CCGCAGCAGCACCAGAGATACCGCCCCAGCAGGTAGAAATTACGCCCGTTCGTCGGAGCGAATAGCCCGGCCCTAGCTCCCATCCTCATAGCTGGTAAAGGTGGCAAGGGGCTCAAAGAGAATAAATGACAACTCCCGACGCCCTATTCCCGAAATGATGATAGCTCGACTGTATGCGGACATTACACCTTATATTGAATCCCAGCAATCCAACTCCGTACCTGACTAGCCCCCTGCAGAGCTGCAAGCTCTCCTCTCTTTCTGTCCTGGTGACCACCACCAATAAGTCCGTACAGGCCGGTGTCTCCATCGCATGCTCCGAAACAAGAAATAGTAACAAAAAAAAGAAAATATTGCCAATGCGTCAACTTGGGATTCCGTCCCACTGAGCTAGGCTTCGTTGCCTCCCGTATCCCCAAATCCCAAGCCCTCCCTCTTTAGCCCGTAGAGAGGGAAGGGGGAAGCTAGTCAATATCCACGAAATACAAAAGAAAAATTGCAATGAGTCGTAAATTGGGTCGTTTGTCAGATGATCGTCAACACTATCCCTGGCCCAGCGTTTTGGGGCGGCCGCTTAGTACCCCTCCGGTTTATCGATGGACATTCCATCCTTGAAGGGATCTTCACGATATCTCGCGACTGGTCTCGCTGTGGAAACGAGGGGAATGTCATCAACACTGGAGTGCATCCCTGTCGTCGAGACATTCTCCTCGTCGTCGAATGTGTGGTGGCCCCGCTTGTGCAGCCAGCTGTTGCTATGGGCTCCAGGATTGTTCTGGCTGCGATCGCCCGAAGGATGAGATGCGCTGTGGTTACTTGCGTACGTCGTGACCTTGCACTTGATGACTCGGAAGAGAGGACCCAGTGTGGGTAGTGATGCACCGATGATGAGCAAGGCCCCCTCGGCAACACCAAATATATCGAGATAGGGAACTGAATCTGCAGTATATCAAGATTAGCATATGATTTTCCGAAGTACTAGAGCTCTTTCCATCTCTCGCTCCACATAATGGCTCTTTCTCTCCTTTCAGTCAGCTGGCACTCACATGTCCGGTCCTTTGCCATCATGTCAAAGACAGACTCGAAAACCGCAAGTTTGTAGACTGACACGGCACATGCCAAAGCACTGAGTCCAAAAGCGAAGCAAACGGCGATTCGATTTCGCAGAGGCATGTTGAGCCTCATGATAAAGGGGACGGGATAGAGCGCAAAAAATAGGTCAAGGAAGGCTGAAAACGCCGACGTCGCGAATGCCAACTTTGTCAAAACATCTGTAGACGCACATGTCCCCTCAATAGACTTGTCCCACTGATAAGCCACGGGAGTGCACTGAGCAAACCACCATACCGACGTAGCAAGAAAGCAGGCCTGGCTAGTGAGGGCGAGACCCCAGAACAGAATAGTCGTCTTGGTTCCATAATCGAGAATGCGTTTGAGGATGGCGACGATGGCGAATTTAGGAAGAGAAAAGGACCAGATAAGGACGGCGTTGATGATGACGTTCCATTTGACAGCTTCTTTTAAATTTCGAGCGTCAAGGGTATCTTCATGCTGCCCCAAGCCGTAGTTTATGCCAATGCTAGCAAAAACGCAGCTGAGGATAAGGATAACGAGACAAATGAAAGTAATCAGGTCATCGAGGCCGAGACGGCCAAAGGTGCCCCGAGAGAAGGTTGCTCGACAGACGAGGCGAAGTCCAACGATAACTACACACAACGGAGGAGAGAAGACCTCGGGTTAGCAATAATGGTCAACTGGCAAAAAGAGAATGAGAGAGCTCAAAAGGGCTGGACAAACAAATAGCAACGGCAGTTAGTGACCAGTTAACTCGATTGGCCACGGCGCCGAAATTATCAATCGCCCCCAATCCCATCTGGAAGTGGTGTTGCGAGCCCGATTACCGTCCATCCATGTAATACCCAAGTCAGCGCCTATATGAATGAGTGACGAGGCACCATTCTCCGTATCAAAAGGCGCCGAGGCAGAATACTAAAGGAGGTGGGATGCACCCTGTTCTTGTATGTAACAGCATCAGGGCCACAGCCAAGTACCTCGTACAGCTCTTGGTGCTAGCAGCAGCTTGCACTCCGGCGGCTTTCCCAGGTCCTCAACGGCTGCTCCACTTGCTGTAGCACAACAGACGACGCCACCGCTAACATTACCGATGGGAAGAGCCTTATGCCGGGGACAACAAGCACGGGATGCACGTCACAGCGTTCAGCATCATCCCACGTTCAGGACAGCCGCCCGTCGCAGTCGAGGGTGTGGAACAAGCCGTGAGCACTACGGAGGCACTGGTCGAGTGCAGGCATAACCCTTCTTTGGGCTAACCAACCCCGGCCCGTGCTCCATCCCTGGGCTTCTCTAACATGGCCTCCCTTCTCCTTAACAACAGCAGTTTTCCAGACTTCCGTCACCGTCGCAACATGACCAGGCCTGCCGATAAGATTGTGGTAAAGCGGCCCCCTTGCCTAAAACCGGTCTCCACCACGCCTCACACCTCACAGCTGCTCGAATGGGGCCGTGCTAAGGCCAATGCAGGAAACTATTTTGAAATTCCAGCGCCGCAAGCGCGTGGGGAATATTGGGGAAGCCAAGCAGTGGCGCTCCCTGAGTAAGTGTAGCGCAGTCCTCCGTAATAGTCGTGGTATTGCCAATTTGTGTGTGTTATAATAGCGGCTTCGATGGAGGCGTTATACGCCGCCTTTCCAATGGAGAGATGGAGCCCTGAGCGCATCAGGAACCGAGCGTTCGACCAGGTCCGATTTGCAAGGCCACGTACGGGTTTATTGTTACCCCCTGGTCGTGCTGGCTGGCCCTGTGGAGAACTCGGTTTGCAGCAGTATTATCGGACCGTCCGCTATTGGATAGTTTGCACATACTGTTGGCATTGTCTTCAATCGCTGCTTTGTTGATCATTTTCATGTGACTTTTTTTTAACTCAAAGTGGTGTGGTAAAAACGAATGGTTACTAGGACTTGCCGGTTTGATTTGAGATTAGTAGGAAAACAAAGTAAAAACAAAGGAGAAGCCAAATGACCTAATCTCGTTTTACAAACAGAAAAACCAGGTGACCGGACGCTGTTGTTATTGCTCTGCGCATATTCTTATGTATGTTATGTGATAGAAAAAGAACCTGGGCACGAAAAGGCAAAGACAGAAGAGCATAACAAGAAGTGAATATCGCAAAAACAACAGCCGTGAACCTGGTGGAAGTTAACGTCCAACGAACGCCGCTGCCTAATAGCCTGTCACTTCAAAAGGAAACGAGCGGCACACAGTTGTTCGTATCTATCAACCAAGAACATCATCCAACCACAAGACGTGGCTCGTCGTCAAAGCTGCAGGTCAGTCGTTCTAAGCCATCGCAATTTCATAGTAATATTGAGTATGAAGTGTACATAAATCTACCGGATGCAGGGAATAGCGCATAACTCGCAACGTTGCCAGAGTATCCGATCGAATCTGCCTTACCAAGGATTGCAGTAGCGGCCGATTGCCGCATAAGACGTATAGGATTATTCGTTCCGGTAACGCGGGTGGTCTCTGCGGCGGCCGAGCATAAGCTTACGAGTTCCCTGCGCTGCTGCTGCTCCGTGCATCGTAAAGTAGCATTACATACTCTGTGGTTCTACTCTGTATCTTGTGCGGTGTAGCAGCACGGGGGCCGATATGGGGAATGAATCAGCGTGGCACAGCCCTACGGCAGGCCAGGTGCCAAAAGGAGTTATACGAGGCGAGAGATAATGTTACCTGTCATTTTTTTCTCTCCGAGCCGCGCATGAGTGATTGGTATGTGATGGAATGCGCATGTTCATCTTCAGTTTCGTTTTCGCATCTAATAGATGATGTCGGCACCAGTCAAGCCTATCCACAATCGTTTGATCCGTGCGGAGTATTATGAGCGGAGTGTTGGTCACCGGAAGTAAAGCCCTCCCAACATGCATCTGCAGACGAGTAGTAGTAGCCGTGTCTAGTAGCCGTCGATTGAAAGTTCTGTATGTGCTGGTGTAATACTCAGAAGCAGGTAACAGAGATACACGTAGTTGGTTCTCCATCAACAGTCGTATATACAACAACTTTCACATCAGCGCTACACATCTCGATTAGAGAGGAATAGGTAGCTCTCTAATCATGGTGTTGATGGGACTGTTTGCTTTCGTTCCTGCAGCATTGAAATGCTTGTCCAAAACAACTTGCATTGTGTTTTTACATTCGTCCACTTCCGTTGCAGCATAACATCAAGATGCTGCATCAAGCAGACATCGGCCCGATTCATAGCTCTCTCATCGTTTCAGGAGGCCGCTCAATGGCCCTCAAATGAATGATCCTAAGACTCTGTAGTTGGCTGCTCAGTCTTGAGCTGGTAACAATTGCCTAGGCCAACGAGAGGTTTTGGCAAACAAATGCTTGAAGTTGTTGTTGGATGAGCTTCTTTTAGGCAGCCAAGGAGAAAGCATTCACATGAAACCCAAGTTATGCCCTAGTTTGACTCATTGGTCTGGCTTTATAGTATCGTAAGAGGTCCAATGATGACCAAATCCTTTGTAGTGGCGTCAACAGACTTTGCAGAAACTTGAATTTCAAGAGGGGATGCTGCATAGTAGCCAGGTCATGTCGTTGGGCCCATCTGCAGTTGCTCATTCGCCAAGCTGCATCGTTGGATCAAAATTCCAGCTCTTCCACCTCCATTCCGCACGTTACGCAAGTCTTGATTGTCATCCCCTCTTCGTTCTCGACTGTCCGTCCCCATTCATGCACATGCCGGCCTCCTCCTCCCACGGCATCGCCAAATTTGCTCGGCGCCCCATTCTTGTTGCCTAACGTCCCAGCTTGTCGTCGGAACGCTTCGGTTCTCGTCTTTCGCTTCAGGTCCAGTAGTTTCTCCTTGAATTTGGCTTCTTTGCGCGCCTTCTTTTGTGTCTCACGTCGTTCATATTCTGCATCTAGTGCCTCTGCTGAGCCCCATTTGGTACCAATGGCGTATTCCTCTACCTGGAAACGCAGAAAGAGCATCATGTCGTGCCAATGAGATTTGTGCGGATTTGGCTTGTTCAGATGAGGAAGTAATTCAGGATCTCGCAGCTCAGCTGTCAAGCATTTCTTTAGTATCAAGAATTGTGAAAATTGGTGCAAGAGACGTTAAATTTGACTTACGATCTGTTAAAAGATAATCCTCTTTGCACTCCGTCTTTGTCAATAGGGAGTATTTTTCGGGGTATTTATCTTTGCAGTTGTTGCACACACAAATATGAAAAACTTCTTCCCATACAAAGTCTATCTCCAGGCTACCGCACTCTCTGCACTTTTTTCTCGTCTTTTGGTCATCCAAAACGCTAATGCCAGGTTCAAAGGGCCCTGCTTTTAGTCTTTTTAGGTTTTGTATCGTTTTTTGTTTCTCCCACTCTTGGATGGTCATTCCTTTTGGCCGCTGTTCATCTGTCTGTCCTGGTTTCTGTGCGCCCAACGCATAGTTATTGGGGTCGTCTTCCATGGAAAGAAAGCCGCCTTTTGTGTCTGTCATCGAGCTCATATTGTAGTCTACAAACTTGGTAAATTTGCGCGCTGGTTTCAAGGCCGCCTCATCGCCCACATTGCGACCGTCACGGTTGTTGCCCCCGGCAATATCGCCAGTTGAAATGTCGGTATAAGGTCGCTTTCCATTTGAAAGTTTCGAAACGTGAACATTCTCTGTAGGTATGAATCCAGCAGCCGACTTGGGCAGTCTTACTGCAGTCCCCGCCGCCCTCTCTTCGGCCTCCCGTTGCTCGCGGATGGCTTTGGCACGAAGTCGACTCTCTCCCTATGACATTCCGAGTGACGCAGTCAGCCAAAGAACTCGTCGATGAACGCCGGAGGACAACATACAATGCGTCTGACCATTTCTGGGGTCTGTGACGAAGCAGTTCTGGGTCTGTCCGAGGGAGCCGGAGGCGTGACTGGACGGTCCATTGTGGATGCGCAAGAAAATTAAGAAAAACAAAAGGGAATAACAGTGTATGATGAGTATAGTCAAACACCAAAGTAGAGCGGCAGGTCAAAGGCCTGTCTATAGGACTGCGTTAGAGTGTGAGAGTCTTCAAACACGATTGACGCCATTTGGGAGGGGCAAAAGTCGCGACGACAAATCGCCACTTAACGCGAGATAACGTGACTTAGCTCCAGCATAGACATTACATAAGACGACGATAGTTAGTTGCCGTGTATTTCGAGAGCCTGGCGCCAACTACATAGTATATATGTATGTAGGTTAGTAATTTAGTAGCCTTTCAAAGAATCGTACTAAGCTATGCGCAAAGTAGAAAAGTCTATCCGTGAGATTGGAAGAATAAACGAATAGTACTAGAGCATGGCTAAGATGGCTGGAGGAATCGGGATGCATCTCGAATCTGCCGCGTCAGAGCCGAATTGTTTGCCGCGGAGAATAATATGAGGAAGATGAAGAAATTAGGTATTACAAGCTAATAGATATGGTCCAAGACGTGGCGCCAGGCAATATATTCCCTTCCCAAACAAAGGTAATACACGATTTTAAATCCGAATTCGCGCCCAAAAGAGCCACTTTTATGGCATGCTCCAACATGGTACATCGCATGTCTAACCTGTGAATACCCAATTTTTACTCTTCCTTGGCACCGCCGCGGCCAGCCTTCTCAGCGGCCTCGACAGCCTTCTTGTCGCTCTGGACGGAGCCGCCACCCTGCTGCATAGCGCTCATGAAGCCCTGTGCCTGCTTGAAAGGTCGCTTGAGATCACCAGAGGCGGGCTGGCCGAAGACGTGGATCTTGAACAGGTTGCTCTCGATGACGGACTTGACGGGGATGATGCTCTGGATGACCAGGGGATTGGTATACTTCATGTAGAGGTGCATAAACGACATCATGGCGATACCCATCAGCTGGCCACGCCAGGCCTGGCGGAGCTGGTTAAGGTCGTAGGCGCAGATCGTGGTGGTGACGAGCTTGCCCTCTTCGGAAGAGCCCATCGGCGCGGGCTCAACGTACTTGAGGGTGGTCATGTCTAGAGAAAGAGATGCCCGCGTTAGCAGCAATCATTGAATGGTCAAGCGACAAAGCGAGGAAACGTCAAGAATCCGTCCAAGGATTGGAAATTGTCCTTACCCTTCTTCTTGTTGATCTGGAGTTGGATGTAGAAGTAGATGGCGGCGATAATGACGTTGCTGCCAATGTAGATGGCGCGAACGAGGTTGAGCACATTCTCATCTTCGAAGGGGATCCTCTTGGTGACTTGCATCATACCAAGGATGATCATCAGATTGGTGCTGGTGCCAAATGTTAGCGAGCTGTATCAATGCGAATCTGTCACGCGGCAACTGTTTCGCGCCATGACCTGCGACAACGAGGCTTTTTCGCTGCCTTCTCTTTCTCTTCCCTTTGTTCCTTTTGCCACGACAAACGGAAGCATTTCGACTCGGCGGTACTTACATTTGCGGACTGATACCCATTGTGACGACGACTGCAAGCGCAGTAATGCTCCAAATCAACTAGAAAAAGAGTTGCAAACAAACAACAAACAAGAAGCGCCTCGATGCTGGCCTGTGGGAGAGGGATGGATGTTCCAAAGGACAAGGTGGATGGAATTGCGCCGCTGGAGACTTTTTTGGGGGAGCCTCGCTGGCCTTTTCCGGGGGGGCAACACCTTTTTTCCGGGTGGCGTATGGGGGACCGAACCTGGCGCTGCCCCGCTCTAAAGCAGATAAAGATAACGCCAACCACGCCTCGGGTTCTTTTTGGTTCCGGGGCTTTCGATTGGCGAGAGAGTTGCCGCTCCTTGTTGAAGCCGCCTTGTCTCTCAAATCTAGACTACCTTGAACATATAAATTCGCTTCTCGTTAATTCGTCGGAGCAGTGAAATTGAAAGCGCGACTAAACTAGCAGCTCAAATATCTTGTCCTTTTGTTCTTTGACATTTAATGCGCTCACGTGGAAACCCATACTTTGCCGTATAAGCGCTTCTTTGTGTTGGGGAGATGGCGGCACCAATCACGGCTCTGCAAAAGCACTGCCTTGGGCTGTATCAAGTACTGAATAGTAACAACCACTCTTTGTAACAGCAGAATGAGAACACAAGGATTTCTTTCTTGGATGATGCGTACTGCGAAATTCTACCCCACTAACTAGATTACTTCTACTCTACTAGCTGAACAGAAAGGCTACACAAGCAAAATACTTCAAAGAGAGGCTGTCAAAAGCTCACCATCATTTTTTTGTATTCCTATTATTACGTCCAGCTTTTGATGATGTGGAGTGGCATGTCTCCAAAAATAACAGGCGTTTTCAGCCCAAGACGTCCAAGTGCAAATACTTAAGTGGAAGAGGACACCATGGAAAAGAACATAAAATGAATCTTCGCATCCGCACTGAAGCAGCTGCACCCATCGCCTCAGTCTAAATCTCATTCTCACTTTCAAATCAAATATATGTTGAACTTATTCAAGAAAAAGTCAAAAGTAACCACAAAGATGATGAGCCGATACGGCAGACAGTCAGAGCGCAGCTACTACAGGCACGTCGTACGCCGCCAAGAACGACGACGATCCTACGGAGTTTACGAATATGATAGCGACGAAGCAGACGGTCACGATCACGATCACGATCATGATCATGATCATGGATCTGACGATCGCAACTTCTACGCAGTTCATAGGCCTGGCAACGGACATGTCTCAATATTCGAAGAGGAAGAACAATCGGGGCCACAATTGGTGTGCTTCTACACTTCTTCGCCGAACGCTATAGTGGATGGCTGTCGTGCGATACCATGCGCCACAGATATGTCCGGCTGGCGGAATGTGCTTGCTCCTCCATGCATCAATGGCCAATACGTCTATGCTCCGCTTCAGCCGCCAGCTGAAGCTCCCAAACCCTTCACCCTCCGGGTAATAGATCATACTAATGGCAAAAGATGGCGGCGTTATGGAGAGTCGTATGTTATCGAGGTCTCACCCCTAGCCACCGGCCATGATATTGCCTCTTGGATCTTATCTTGTGCGAAGGATATAGAAAAAAATGAAGTGTTTGTGCGATGGGATACTGGTTCCATTGAGGAACTGGATTACAATATCGATTTGAAGGAGCTAAAGAAGGGGTGTCGCAATCTCATTGTCAGGGTTAAAGATGCGCATGGACACGATCATGGACACGATCACGGACATGATCACGGCCACGATCACGGCCACAGTCATGGACACGATCACGGCCACAGTCATGGCCACAGTCACGGCCATAGTCACGGCCACAGTCACGGTCATCGCCATGGTCGTCATGGTCACCGTCACAATCACAATCATCATCACTAAGCGTATTGGTTAAAATGTTTGTTGCTTGTTGCAAGGCAGATTAGACGAAGACAGGGGAGAAGTCATGATATATGTTGCTAGGCGTTATAGATAGAGAGAAAAACACGGTTTCAGTTTAGATAATTCATCACATTACAACTTGCACAGCCCCTTTCCAGAAGAGCATATGGTGTATTGAATATTAACAGACCCAACCCCGTGTTTACAAGCGCCCCTTCATAGAGCGATTGCATGAGTTCGCAGCCGTTAGAGTTGCAACCCCCAAATAGTTCCACCTGTCAGCATCACCATACATGAAACTTAACTGTAAGAAAAAAAAAAAAAATCTCCGATGCTCATCTCCCGGGCAAAGCAGTTTCTCCACATGATTATGCCACGATTAAAGAATGCAAACAACAAGAACCAGGGTTGTTTGATTGGTAAACCACATCTACGGTACAGTTGTTGAAATGAGATCTACCCGTGACTCACGAATCCACTTTTATTTAGGCAACACAGCAGGGTGGGCAAACAGCCGCAGTTGACAGCAGTTGACAGCGGCACTAGAATTGGTCTAAATGGCTTCTTGTCAGTTCATGCTCTGAATAAAAATTACTTGGGGTTGCTAGTTCTAGACTTGTCCGAAATCAATTCATGCATTTACTCTGTCTGATTTAGACTCGGGAACTTTTTGCTGTTCTGCTTAGTCCAGTAGTAGTTGGGCATTTACTGCATGTACTGAAAGAAGCGCCGACCACGGGCCCATCCACCCCAGCATGTTTGTTTGGTTTCTCCCGTGTTAATGACTCGAGAATACTTTTTTGCATGGTTTTTGCTTATAATTGTGTGGCTATACTCCGTACATAGCCTCGGCAAATTAGACAAGTATTTTCTGCCAGATCGTCCGCAGGAGGCACGTGTCCTCGAGTGCCTAGAAACCCTGTCCTGTTGCTTGTAGAAATTGCTTAAAGGATTTAAGTTTATCAAACTTCGTATTGGGACGTGATAGATGCCGACGCCGTGCATAGCATGCAGGTGGTGGCATGCGTATAAGCAAGGGAGACCATGCAATGATATTGCTGCCATTCAACTAGAATGCAAGAGTATGCACATGCATGGTTTAAAAAAAGAAGGGGTGCGTACAGCACAGGCAGACTAGGGCGCCGTAGATGCTCAAGTGAGTGCGTGCATGCAGTTTCGGATCCGGGCTGACTGAAAAGGCTACCCTGAATGAGGCCCCGGCTGTGGCGTCGGCCAGCCACACTTAAAAAGAACGGAATCTATGTAAGAAAGCTCGTATTGATGGCGGCTATTCGCCTGTTATATCTTGTAGAGCTTTTTTCTCGTATTGTACATGTTGTGATGGCAGTATGTAAATGATGCGAGGTAGATAGGAATTAGACAACATAAGACAATTCGATACGAGGTGGTAGTATTTCGTTTTGAGGTTGGAGAAAGTCTTGGCTGCGCTACATGTGCATCTGGTAAGCTCAAAGCCAGGGGGGATGGATGAGACAAAGATCCCTTAGCGGGACTCTGACTTGGCTTATGTTTGGAATTGTATACTTTGCAAGACAGCCTTTCCTCCTTTTTATAGTTGCTTTTTCCAAAATGAAAAGCAAAATATAGTGCAGCAATACTTTATATATGGCTGTTTGACGAGTAGGGTATTTATTATCCACTGTCGTAGCATGAAAAGGTATTGTTTTTTTTTCTCTTGTTTTGCTTAAAAAAAAGACGCTTTTAAGGCGCACTGGTTAGGCATTCTCATCCCCCTTTAGTGATCGAGGAGTCATTTACTACGAATGGAAGTCGCCGTCTTATAAATATCCACCAAATAGCCTAGACGCCGGATCCGATCAAAGCTGGCTAAGGTTGTCAGCTCTTCAACCGCCTTGCGGATCAGCACAGCGCCATCTCCTGTTCCTCTCGAGATGGACGACGATCAGTGGTGAGATTGCCACGCCTAGCAGATCAACGCGCCTTCATCTAGTCTCACTTGTATTCGCACCCTACATACGTAATCAGAGTACAATGCTTGATAGGGGTTCACAGACATAGATTAAACAACGAATGAGTAAGATACATTCGTCACCGCGCGTCGTACGCCGCTGCAGCCCTACGGGCTTATCCTGCGAGGATGCAGAAGAGAACATGTACACGTAGTACAGCATATCGGCCAAGTGCGTGCTACACCCACTCCACAGCCATGTATGGAGATGGAATGGCGCGAATCAGTAGCAGGGTGAACGAACCGGAGGAGCCACGCCACTAACCGGCTCAGCCATACCGAGCGGCGCTACTTGTACGGCTATACTCCAGATTACTGGAAGAGGAAAGCTGGGCTGCTCGCACGGTAGAATCTGGAGCGGCGCAGGCCACGTTGAATGGCTGTGTTGCGATGCGCTGTGCTACTGTCGCGCTCGCGTTCGTTCTCGGTCAACTAGTTTTGGTAGAGGATTTGACATTTTCTTATGCTATTCTATTTTTTTTAATAATAATAATAATAACACCAACAACAAGAGAGAGAGAAAAGAAAGAAAGGATGAAAGGGAAGACTGCTGAATCCAACAGGGCTGTATGCGTCATGCCGAGGAAGATCCGGGCCTCGATCGCGGCAATGGAAATCCCGCCACTGTGGTCGCTGGGATGCGTACCTTACATTTTGCGATGCAATACTCTCGGTAGGCATGGCACATAGGAAAAACAGGAAATGTGGCATCGTGTGTATGCGAAACAAAATTAAATTACTCGCTTGTTCTCGACCAAGGCGTTCCATGGTCAAATTTAACGAACAAACCAATCATCTGTCTGTCTTCATTCTTCTCGGGTATAAGCAACATAATACCTCATTTCCAGGATACAATACACCACAGCCTCACTTGAACTCTATTTCATTTTTGCCTCAATATTTGTTATTTATCTCGCAGTTTGATACATAATACCTCATTGCCGGGATATGATGTGCCGCAGCCTCGCTTCACTTGACCTCGCCTTTTGCCTTAGTTTGCTACAGGTCTTCGTCTCGTAGCCACACAGCACCTCACTATCCCATGTGCCACAGCCTCACCGGACCTCGCTTCCCTTTTTACCTCGACTTTATTTTCATCTCGCATGCAGGAGCATATGGGGCAGACGGCGGACGGCAATGGAGCTATACCAATCAAATCGCTGATGCACCGCCACTACCATGGTCTAGTTCCAGTTGCCGTGGTTTAATGGCAAGCCCGTATGTATGCCTCGTTGGTAGGGCGGGTAGCGAGCTCCGTAAAGGCAGCGTATTAGTGCCTCCCCTGCGAACTTTTGTTGTCGTACACAAGCCACGCCTGGAGTCTCAGATCCTGCTCGACCTTGGGTGTGGATTTGGGCGACTGGAGTAGGCATAGCAGGCGTGCCAACTGCCTAGGCGGATCACGCATGGAGTCATCCCGGGCTTGGCAATTGGCGATTTCGCACCAAATATCGCATCAAAAAGAAAGAATTTGTGCCTATCCGCTGTGCTGCGGTAGAAGACATCATGGGACCTGAGCTACCTTAGTGCCCGGCCCTTAGCTGGCTGGGACAGAACAGCAGCTCTACCAACGCATCTATCTATGCTGTATAATACACCCCTCTCTTAAAGGTGTGACTCTTACTTTGCCTGGGATGCTACTCTTTGCTCTCTTGCTCTCCCTCTATCTCCCCCTCTCTCTCTTTTCCTCTTTTTGCTCGTCGTGTAGCGCCATTAGCTGCTGATGGCTTTCTTCTAATTTCTCCATTGTATCATACACATATACATCTTATGCATTACCTGTCTTATATGCACCTCGAGATTGATAGCCTCGCTGCTGGCAATACGTGTACTGAATAGACACTATGCTGCTCCGTCTCTGCAGCCCCACCCGCGGGAGCCTAGTTTTAGCGGGCAAACGGCCCACTTTACCCACCACTCATTACCTTTTTCTCCACCGGCGCCGCCAGAAGCTGCTGACAAAGGCGGCAATTGGCCAATCGTAGCGTCCGGATTCTGGCCCTGCAAGACGGCGCTACTTCATCGACTGAGCCGGCAGTTTGGGCGCTGTCCATCCATCTCAGCCTTTCGCTTCTCCCACGAACACATGATGTGCAGCTGCGCGTCTGCAGCGTCTGCCGGGCTGCGACTTTTTCACACGCCCCGTCGTGCCTCGCAGCGGTGTCTCTGGCACTCCCTCCATTGCCCAAACGGGATGGCGCTCCCGTATTGGGCACAGACGCCGGACAGATCTGGACTGTGTCATCAGTATGGCCTCTTCGTCTGCTCGGGGCGAGTCGGAGTGGAGGGATCGTGGAGGGGTGCCAGGGGTCCCGAACCAGACGACTTGTCCGGTGGAGAAGGCCCGCGGCTGCCTGGCTGGCTGCGATCAATCCTCCAGCATAGCTATCGAGATATAAGAGGCCTTTGTTCGGCCTGAATTAACAGGTAATTGACCCATTGCATCGAACGTCTTCATAGCATCTATCATACATTCAGCTTGGCCGATTGTGCATCTACTTGACTTGGCAGGAAAGGCTTCATTGTCCTACTATTGACCAAAGATATATATTCATGGGAAACTCTGTTAGCTCGCAACAGCCTCAGCATCCTTTCTCTCGTTTACACCAATAGCCTGAGTAAAGCAAATAGACACTTTTTGTTTTCTTTATATCAGTGTCATCACACTTGCACCCCCTACCTAGCGGTACACACATTAGGCTCTCCTCAACAGATAATAAGTCTGTAGCCATGTTCAACACCTTCAAGTACGACCCTGAGACCAACAGTGTCCAGGAGCTCAGGCGAGCCTCTGACCCCATCTCTGCCCGGTCAAGTCAGCATCAAGCATGCAACAACTGCCACGCTAAAAAGGTAATACACCGCAAAAGCCACTGAACCACTTACTTTGTCGTTAATCTGGCGCTAACATCAAACCCCCTTCTAGCTCAAGTGTAGTGGCGAGAAGAGCGGTTGTGAACGCTGCATTGCAAGCCGTCTGCGCTGCGAGTATACCCGCTCTCCCTCTCGCAGAGGAGGCAGAAGATCTAGCGGTAGAAATTCGACTGATAGCCGCGGCGGGCTTGAGCTTGCCAGCGGCGAGACCAGCCCCGGCAGCCGGTCCGGCAAGTCTTCAGGACACAGAAGCAGCAAGCATTCTCACCATGGGGGATCCAGCAGCAGCAAGTACAAGTCTCGATCAGGAGACGATGGCTACGGCGATGCCCTGGATCGATTGGATCCCTCAATGCTTAGCCCTGATGACGGATTCGACTTGCGTTCCTTGTCACTTGAGGGCAGCGGCGGTGCCATGAACTCTGATGTGTACGGTGGCAGCCCTTACTACGGTCAGCAGCAGCACGGTGCCGGAGGCAGCTGGCAGGATATGCCCTCCCACAGCCAATATGGCGGCTCCTCTTACATGGGCACGCCCAGCTCCCATGCGCAAGAATACGACATGGACGAGTACTACGGAAACTATGACGAATATTCGCAGTACCAGGAGCACCAGCACGATCCCCGATACTGGGGACAGCAGCAGTGATGAGGCCTCTCTGCTTCCTCTGCTATTACTTTTGTCTAATTTCCTTTGGCACCTTTTCCCTTTGTCTTGCTTTTGCGAAATGCCATATTAGAGCTAGCCCTCGTGGCTGTGTAAGTGAGTGATGCGACGCATCTAGACTCATACTTTGAATACCCCAAGCCCTTTGTATATTACGACACCACTTTTCGGCTTACCCCCTTTCAATATTTTCCTTGTCTTTGTTTCTTTTCCTTTTCATTCTCATTTTCTTTCGCTTTTCCTTTTTTTCTCTTCATATTTTTTACGTTGCCGTTTTCTGCCTACTTGCATATTTTCCGCATGTGCCTGCATGGATGACGTAGCATTCCTGCAGCGTACGTGTACCTTGGCTTTCAGCCTTGGGGAGAAAAACTACCTGATTAGGCCATGTATTATTCGATAGACGCTATGCCATTAATGGTTTCATGATTAGACGATATTGGGAAGGAATTGGACACAGCATAGATGCTTTTTATTTTATTTTATTTTTATTTCATCATATTTTTCATCTTTGGAGCCTAGTTAGATCAATCGATTTGATGTTACCCTTTGATTTTGCTATTGATACAAGCAAGTGGCTGAATGACCTCATGTTCTTTACCATACATGTCCTCTTTCACAGGCAGCAAAGTAGTAGTAGTAGTAGTAGAAAATCTTATGAATCACTACCAGGGGAAAAGACACATATGGAGATATCGTCACGAGATCTTGATTTGACTCATTTCGCAAAAAGCTGTGGCCTATGAGTCTACGAGTGTTTCTCCAGTGACATTCATACATCTCACCCATCCAGCGCCTCTTGAAAAATGGCACCCGCATCCAAAACCCGTGACATGAGAATCCCCAAGATTCCGAATATCTGGGGCGGTAGTGGCAAACAAAAAAAAAAAAAAGAAAAAAGAAAAAGAGCAAGGTAAACGAGAATGCGGATACTGGGACGAACGCATGTCTACGTCAAAAAGGCATGATTCAGCCCAGGCACTGGTCCGAACTGGTCACACAGAGGAAGAGGGCGGAAATGTGACATCTCCCCCACACACATACGACGTGCGTGGGAAATGCGCCTCAATGTACGCCATCCTACGCACGTACTAAGTACTGGGTTGTCGTATTCTACCCTATCATCGTATATGCGTTCGCTGGGTGCCAATGTATGCACTGCGTGCTAGTAGAAATAGGCACCGAAAGTCGTGTGCAGGCGGACTATAATTTCCGTGTGGTGATTGGATGAGAAGGGGGGGTTGCATGCAGCGTGGCTGCTTAGATGAGGGTGTGTTTGCCGTATTGGGTGCCTTGCAGGGGGGAGTGGTGAGTGCGTGCAGATGGTGCCTTGTAGACTAGGTTGCTATTGAAGATGTTTGTGGAGGAATATTCCAACAAGGAGTTTAATAAGCAGGGTGTGGATGCTGTATGATATATTTCGGGGCAAAAATGTGTGTGTGACTCGATATGTAACGGTGCTGCATATATATAGATAGTATATATATATATATTTGGTTGTTCTTTTTTTTTTCTTTGGCTTATAGAAACGTTGCTTTTTGCGTTTCACAGTAAAATAGGATGCTGATTAATTAATGTGAATCCTTCGACTTTTTTATCGGCTCATCAGCTGGACAAGGGTCAATGATCCTGTAGTACTGTTGTGATACGATCCGCCTGCTTGACATGCGTTATGAGCCGCATAATAGGAAATATATTAACGTAATGTTTTTTTTTTAAAAAAATAAAATAAAAACGAAGAATAAATTGAAAAATAAAATAAAGTGTCATGGGAGAGAAGGGTGACGAGGCTACCGGCGATATACATAGTACACGCGTGAGATACATTTCTTTTATGATGACATGGATGAAGGCGTTGGTTATATGTAGCATAAGAAATTCCCCTGTGAAGAAAATGGTCCTTCGAATTGGGAGGCATAACCAGTAGTTGAGTATTCTTTTATCTCGCAGTTATAGAGAAGTAGACGGGAAAGCTTTAAAAGTCTGTGTTGCGGAACAAGTTGATCATCCGTCTATCTAACTTATAAACACGAATCTAAAGTACATTCTGACCGCGTTAATAAACATAAACAAATAGATTTGAGAATAATTGACAGGTTGCCAATATAAACCAAAGGCTTCATATCGTCTCTATCCCGAGACATGTCACAAATCCCGAACCACCCAAATAATGCACTGAGATATTCAAATCATCAAGATACCATATAATTTCAGCCATCTAAGTTGCACGCTCATCTTCAACAGGCCGGGACAAAGCAGCTGCCTTTGTCTTCTGCTGATTTGCATTCACATATGCTTCATCATCATCCCTCACAACCTTAAACAGCGCTCTCGCAATGACCAGACGCAGAACCATGGACAGAAGCGAGGTAAGCATAATGCCACACGCCGAAAACAGCTGAATGCCAATATACTTTCCAGTACTCCTAAGTATTGCACCCGAGATTGGCGGGCCAATGAGGGATCCAATCCCCTTGAGGATAGCCACCATGCCCAGTCTCGTTCCCAAGCGACTCATATCCGGAGTGATGGATGCCAAAACAACTGATCCAAGTGACACCACGCTGCCGGACCAAAAGCCATACAAGACAGCAAACGCAAGATTACCAGCCTCGTTTGTCACGCTGATCCAGTAAAAGACACTCGTGCTGCTTAGGGCGCACACGACAATGTACGTGTCCAAGGAACCAACCTTGTCGGCAATGAAGCCCGGTATGATTCTGCCAGGGAGGGACGAGGCGTTGAGAATGGGCAGCAGATAGGCAGCCACCGCGGACCCCTGCATCCCGTGCGATACAGCGTAGCTCTCCAAGTAGTAGGGCGGATTGAAAAACGACAGGTTGTTAAAGAAGATGGCGATGCTGTAGAGCAGAAACGTCTTCTCCTTCAGGGCCGAGGCGTCCCAGAACCACCTGATGGAGAAGCCATTCGCCTGCCACGCCGGCTTCTCCGCAAGGGTCCGCGGCCGGATGAGCAGCAACGCAAACGAACACATGGCAAACGCCAGAAAGCCCATGATCCGCACAGTCCAGCCAAAGCCCACCTGCGGCCTCAGATTCTGAAACATGATGGGATACAGCGTCGACCCAAGCCCGCTGCCCACGGTGGCCAGGCCCATGGCCCGGGCCCTCTTCTTCTTGAAGTACATGGGCACAATGGCAATGGACGGGATGGAGAGGCAGCAGGTCCCCAGGCCGAGGCAGATGCCCTGCGCGAGCAGGATCTGCCAGTACGTGGTGCTGATGCTGGTGAACATGAAGCCCAGCGTGACGAGCAGCGTGCCGGCGGCGAGCAGGGCGCGGCAGTAGCCTGCGTCATATAAGGGGCCGATGATGGCTCCGACGGACATGAGGCAGAATATCTGGATGGAGCCGATCCATGAGATGGCCGAGGGCGAGGAGTCCTTGAGGAGGTCTGTCTCGTAGTATGACTGGAAGGCACCGAAGCTGTTGAGCAAGCCTCTGAGCGGTCGCCAAACCAAGGCGAAAGTTAGCACATGATTCTTGAGGGCTAGGGATCTTTTGTACGTAGTTGATATCAGTTGGTGGTTGGTGAGCCGTACAGGTGATTAAAGTAGAGCAGAAACGAAGCCACCACTTGCAGCCATGCCCGGGCGCCGCCATCTATAAGCGCGCTGTCGTCTTGAGTTTTTGTCTGAGCCGGGGGCTGAATCTGTTCCGCTGCTGGTTCCAACACTGATTTTTCGAAAACGCCCGCATCGGCTGCAACGACTTGCTGTACTTGGGCAGCGTGAAGCTCATCTTGGTGGTTGTTTGACATGGCCGGGGGGTTCTACGTATAGGAAGGAGCAGGAGAAAATCAAGGCGAAGCAGTGCAATGAGACGCAGACATTACAGCTTGGGTATCACGATGCGTAAAAACCGAGATAATCATACGCATTTGTAATCTGTATTTGCTTCTTTAAAAAGAGCATGCGAAAGAGTGAGTCGAGGGTTAAGGCACATGAGGGTGAATCCCGAAGCCGGCAATCCAGAGGCTCTCATCCCCCGCTGGGGACGGCAATGAGATCCGGCATTGGAGAATGGCGGGAAATACTACATACTTCGTGGAATGCCTGCAGCTGTAAGCTTTTGTTCTGGAAATACGTCGGGGAGAGCAGAAGAGACGATCATGGGTGAGCTGGGTTTAGCGCATTGCAACGATATGGGCTTTGGAGAGGCGAGTTGGTAGGAGCACGGAGAATGATTAGATGCACAGGCGAATAGGATGAATCTATGGCATGCACATATTACATATTTAGATCTTTTGGATCATATTAAGCCAAGCTCTAGCTATGCTGGGGATGCTCAGGTGAGATACGTGTATACGTGTATGAGTTGTAGCGAGCGTAGCGAGCGTAGCGGGAGTGCCATCTCCCCGGATCTTCGAGGATGGATTCCTCAGCCATTGATCTGATAACGATGAGTGCGACGAATGCAATTATCTGATCAGATACACCGCGCTCTATGGAGTTTTATGCTTGCTGGCGATTATTTCTCCGTGCAGTAGCTATTCCATATTAGGTACTACCTGTATTCTGCGCAAGGCTCAGCAGCAAATACCGGGTCATGAGATGATGGCGACATGGACTACGTATAACACGCAGCTTACGATGCTCCCGCGTCAGACTCCGTGGATGCTGGCGGGCGCTGAAGAGAGGCACTGCATCTGCACGTCAGTCACTCATCTTAAGCTACAAGTATTTACTCGTACTGTGAGAGAGATGTCTCGTGACAGCGAGAATGAAGGCGATCCGGATATTGGGCCCCTACGTATGCTGGTATGGTCCAGTAACAGGTGATGGCAGAAACCCAAAACCACGGGCGGGAAACGACGACATGCCACAGAAGGTTTCTACTAGCATGCATCTACAGCTTGCCGCCAGTAGAGATCGTTGAAGATTCCTTTAGGCCACTCAAAAACAACGACACACACTCTCCTCGCTCTTTTCGCCCTGTCTCTGACTCGGACATTGGCGGCGGCACTGTTTATTTCCGCTTCAAGCTTGCGGAGACTTTTTTTTTGTGGTGGCCACGGCTTATTGGAAATACAAGCTGCGCGACCGAGACTAGACGGAAAAAAAGAACGAGAGGAGATGGTGTGCAGTTCTCAGCACCGCCGTCAAAATCGGCGCCGGATCGGCCTCGCAGCTCCAAGACGGCCGTGTGTGTGCATACAGTACGGGCATCAAATTTGGGGCCCTCAAAATTCTAATCCCAATAGTAGTACCTACATGTATCTTCCGACAAGGCAGCATCGGCAATTATGCAGCAGCGATTAATTACTGCTTCGGCCTTCTTCCCTGATTCCCAACCGGCCCGTTGCAGCCGAACGCCTCATCAAAACCTGAAGCAAAGCTGTAGATGCCCGGTTGCAGCGCCATCACTAGTTTGCGGTCGAGCCGTGTCGTCGGTGACGAAAACTGGTAGCTTGTCGCGTGTGGCCCAGCGACAAGGGGGGGGGAATTTCGGTGCTGCATTTGTTGCGGAATGCACAACGGTGCCCAATTGGCTTCTTTCTTTCTTTCTTTTCTTTTTGCTTTGGCTGAAACTGCACTGCGGCGAAAAAAGAAGGAAGACAAAAAAAAAAAAAAAAAAAAGGAGAGTGAAAGGGATACAGTACGGGATAGAGGCTTCGCAGGGATAGAGCTTGGGGAAGCCCAGATGCGGATATAGCGGTGCAAGTCGCGGTACTGTGTCGCGTGCAATTAGTAGTGATTGTTCCCTTTTCCGCTGCCCTAATTTACGGAGATATTTCCCCGTAGTATAAACTACCAAGAAGAATCTGCGACACTGTGGCTTCAAGGGCCCCGAACTCCGTCGGTCCCTGAAAAAGGAAAAAAAGGGAATTATAGAATTTGGCGCATTAATAAAGCGGATTGGTAATTCGGGCCTGCAGTTACTGGTAGTATACAGTATAGCAGTGCTGCTAGCACCCAGTTGGAGGTACCTAGCGGGATGGAGCTTGGAAGGCGAAGAATGAATCACGGCTAGAACCAATTGCGCATTCTATTTAGATTTAGATTAAGGCCCAGATTGCGTACTCGTACGTACTGCCGAGTCTGCCTGCGCGTGTCTCAATGGCCTCACCTTTATCAATCTGGTCTAGGTGCGCAATTACGGATTGTGGATACGCAGCGGCAGCAAAGCAAATCATTTGCTGGCCATGCCATCTCTCCCTGATCATGGAGTAAAAATAGCGACTCCTACAGTACTCCGTACTACTGACTACTATAATTGCTCAGATCTTGTAAACCCCTATTCCTCCTCTAAGGTAGACACTTTACGGGGTATTTACAACATCGGTCATCAGGTGACGCCTCTTGGACATGTATCGTAGCATTCGGAACGGCAGATGAGTACATACTTGGACATGTAATTATAGATCCCGGCGGGCTGCGGCTGAAGAGGCACAGCGGTATTGCAAAGTACCACTACTACCTAGTACCAACAGTAATACCTACATGTACCTACCTACCCAGGTGCTCATCATTGTTGTTGTGACATGTAATACCGGGTGGTGATGGGAATGATATTTATGCACGCTTGGAGCTGGCTTTTGTGGTCTGCATTGCATGACGCGTTAGGAAGGTTGCACGACACAGCTCTCGGTTGGTGCATGGTATTTTTCTTTTCTTTTCTTTTACATGCGCTCAGGGTCCATTAAAGTGGCCACAGAATGCATTGAGCGTGCCGGATCGTACGATATGCAAAAAAAAGTTTTTATTTTGGTAGCATTCTGAATCTGGGCATTTAAGTGGAAAATACGCGCGCTTTTCCCGCGGAAAACAAGTACGGGGCAGCATTGCTTCGTGGAGTTGTGAAGAATTCATTCGTAATCGAGTATAACTTGCACGTGGGGAGACTATGTTAGCACTAGACCTTATGTCACTTTCCAAGTTCCCAGTCCACGTATAGTACTTCTCTTAGCGCAAACCGCCAAATTGAAAAGTTGGGGGTTGGGGGTTCTGCAGCAGCATGTTTTCTGCACTCTGTATTCTGCACTCTCTCTATCACTTTCAGTTGTTGGAACCACATGGGAGCCCCCTTACCGTGCGGGCACTTGGCAGCACCCCTTAGCTGCGTGTTGGGAAATACTATGTATGTGCTCTGAGATGGACCCCAGTGAGCGAGTGCATTCCACGCTCGAGGTCGAGATCTATGTGCCGTGCTTTGTGGCTTGGAATTGACTTTGGTGAATCGAGGTAGGGAGGGAGAATCGATGGCATCATGCATCTGGCTATTTTTAAGTCGTGCTTGTTTGTTATTGCTGCTCATCCTCCTCCAGCCAGCGCGGGGCGAGACACCACTGCTGCATGAGGAGAAGCTTCTCCCTTTTCTTCTGCTCTTCTCTTCCCGCCTATCGCCATTGACGTACGAGGCCCTTGTTGGCCCCGAGCTTTTAGCTTTCCTATTTTCTTGTACTGGCGTGTACAACACATGGCTTCTTACCTGCACGCGTGACCTGTGGTGACCTCCCGCGTGCGTCATTTCCGCTTTCAGAAATTGGCAGAGCACGGCGTATTGTCCTTCGCAACACAAGCGCAGATACCTGCATATGCTACTGTGCATAGCAAGAAGCGAATTGTCGGCGCACAGCAAATCTCGGGTTACCGAATGACATGACGAAAAGCGTCTCAGGGTCCAATTAGGTGCAGCTGGCGAGGCTGGGGCCCCCCTGCGCCGCGGGCTTTAGCCTCCAGGTTTTTGCCTCAGTGGCGTTTCCAGCTAAGACGTTCTCGAGAGGTGGTGCAGCAAACGCGGTCCCCAAACAGGGTAAGGAGCAAAGAAAGTTGATGGCTTACAAAAAANAAAAAAAAAAAAAAAAAAAAAAAAAAAAAAAAAAATTGCTGAGCTGTCAAGAGAGAGAGGCAAACGGCTGCGGGATCGAGAGAGGTTGAGTCGCGTGAGCCCTTCTGCGACCTCCACGCATCATCATTACATGCAGCCCAAGGTCAGACTTGCAGCTACTATTGAATCCGATGTAGGTACTTCGTCGGTCTAGAAGCGCCATATGGACTGTAAAAGGGCAAATACAAAAAATGCCCAAGGCTGGACGGCCGGACACTCTGATGACTACACACACACACACACACACAAATCAGGCACATGTCTAAAAAAAGCGATGGACGGTTTGCGCAGTGCATGCAGACTGCGACAATCCCTCGAGACTCGCCACAAACGTCGCCGCGGATGCTTCCAATTCGACCGGTCGACCTGATTTCTGGATTGACTAAGGCTGCTTGAGCAAGTAGAGCCGCGTCAATCATTCCTGCTTCGTAAGCCTCCCCTGCAAGGCACGACAAAGGGCGAGGTGAATCGTATCAATTTGGTAGTAGTAGTAGGTAGCATACAAGAACGATGCTTGCGAATGGCCTGGGAAGGGGACTTGAATGGTACCTAACCGCGGATTCCTGCACAATATATGCGATGGCCTCAGTCCTCGCGAGCCCAAGTCCTTTTTTTAGGCCTTTGTCTCTCCTCTTCTGGACCACCGAGATGTCCGCTGCAGCCGCGATCCAAGAGCAGGACTTGCAATGGAGACGCTAGTATTGACCCCAATGGCCTGAACCCAACTGGCCGGCACGGAGATGGATGGCAGCCTCAGCGTGCTCCCAGCACTGTATGCCCGGCCCACCGCACAAAACGCACAGGCCCATGCTGTGCTGTACAGCGAAGGCGAATGCACTAGACGCTCCCCCGAGGCGCTATGCAATGCACCCCACCCTTCTACCGCCCGAGTACCTACGCAGTACATGCAGCGACCGTGTGGAAGAGCTGCCCTGTCTCCCCACCGTGATGCTACCAATTCCGGGCCCGAAACCTGCTTCTCTGGGCCTGCACGGAGTATTGGCCTAGACCAAGCCAGTGACAACACGGGGTGGGACACCACTGTAACGCCGACGCCGTTCTGTGCTGGATTGTACTGCCCTGCTCCAGCGGCGTCTCCAGCGACCGCGCCGTGGTACCGCCCACGTACCCGCCAAGTATCTGCTGGCCCGGTAGCTACGGCTTGTGCTCGCCTGTCGACAGGATTCCCCCCCAAAATTGAAACCTGAGCCCCCCGGTCTCAGTTCAACCAGCTACACTCACAGCACTCCAAGCATCGTCTCGACAGGGCATGCGATCTTCCCACCTCCCACCATCCGCCCACGCGACCTTGCCTGTTCTTCCTGACCGAAGCTCTTCGTACTTTACATTGACCTCTCCCGCTTCTCCATAAACCCTGGACAAGATGGCCTCTCAACTCCAGCTCTCGTTTTCCAAACGGAATACGCTTCTGTAGGCCTTTGCCCACCCCGCGCCTATTCAACTAGAGCAAAAGTTGAACTCAGAAAATCTTCACCACGAACAAACCCCATCCACGTCACTTCTACTTAATCATTGATCCCTTCTCCATCTCTCAAACTATTTTCTGAACTAAGAAGACGCCCTCAACCTTTTCTTTGGAGCCAATTTCTCGAGAATCCATACCTTTCTTGACAAACCACGCCGCCTGTTCCGACGCCATTCGCGCGTGTTGCTGTGCTGAACCTTGTCCAAAACGATATAGAGTCCTATACGTGCAATCAAACCAGCCAAAAAGACAAAAAGAGAACTCTCTTAGTTGACAAGACAACGGAGACAAAGACATACAAACACGGACGCGCATATAAGGCGGCATGGAACTGGACATTTTACCCGACAATAGCATCCCACTATTCTCGCCAGAGATAGCAGCGCCCTTCAGTTCTTCCGAATCATTCCCTACTCGGCTTGACGAATCTTGTCTTGTCGTTGACGGCTTGCCCTTGGAAACGAGGATGATAAAACCCCAGAATATTGCAGAGGGACCGCTACGCTCCGAAGAAAACGCCACCCCTCTTTTCCAGCGTCGAGCGACCAGCCAACAGACATCCTCCTCAATGTCGCCTAAAACTGGTACCATTTCTGGTAAGCCGCCTCTATTCTTGAATCCCCTGGGAATTAGTAAATACTAATAATATCATCAGCCGCTGCAGCAACCGGATCGGTCATATCAATAACTGCAAATCCTGCGTCGGAATTTCCCCTGGCTCCCATGGAGGGTCGACCAGTCAACTTTGGAGTGGTTGTGCCTGGCGTATATCGAAGCAGTTATCCAAAGGCAGACGATTATGGCTTCTTGAAGGGCTTGGAGTTGAAGACGGTAGTGTATGTTTTACCTCTCCATCTGTCTCTGTTTTCATATTACCGGATCGCATCACTAACCACGGGCTATCTACAGTACACTGGTTAAGAGAGATGAGATCGACCACGAGTTCGAGTCCTTCATCGGCGCCAATGGCATCCAGCAAGTTGTTTTCAACATGAAGGGAACAAAGAAAGAGGCTATTCCTTCAAGCACAATGTCCTCCATCCTCGAAGTTGTCTTGGATCGCCGAAATTACCCTCTTCTGGTTCATTGCAACCACGGCAAACACCGCACCGGATGCGTCGTCGCCGCCGTCCGCAAGCTGTCTGGCTGGAACCTCGACAGCGTCGTTGACGAATACAAGACTTATGCCGAACCGAAGATCCGGGAATGCGATGTCGAATACATCACCGCACTTGCGCCTAGCTCCCTGAATATCAGCTCACTTCGGTCGTTCCACGGCGAAAGCTCACGATTCACTCCGGTTCAAGTCCGGTCATTTATGAGGACTGTTTTATTCACTGCCTTTGTTGCCACCATCTGGGTGGTGTCTGGCTCTCAGATAGTCATCACCCGTGACAACATAACGAGATAATCCCCCCCAAAACAAACGATTTTGGAGGGGAAAGAGTAGCTTTGTTGAATAGCTTCACTCGGCATGACCCACATGACGAGAAGTCCAACGTTACTTTGCTTTTAATTTTCTTTTCTCAAAAGTTCATCCAACAGAATCATCGGCAAAGATGAGAGAGACAAGAGAGTCCTGGGATACTACTGCAGATACAGAGCGGGGTTTTTTTGTTAGAAATTGTTAGTGTTTGGTGTTGTGTGTAAGGACCGGTTATCACGGTGTACAGATTTGTACTTTTCAAATCCTCTCTATCGAGATTGGGAGGCGGAATTGGGCTCGCAGAAACTTCAAGAGCTGAGATGATCTGCGAAATGGGCGTTTATTTTCTTTTGTTTTCTTTTTTCTTTTTCTTTTTCCCTTGTCCAACTTGTTCTTCTTTTTCTTCTCTTTGTCAATATCAGCTTTTATTATTGGCGCTGTGAATCGGAAGGAATGGGATTTTATGGATACTACACAAAGGTTTTGTGTCCTTTTATATTCAGATGTCTGTATAGATAGTGTTGGCTGAACGCAGCGAATACCTAAGACTGCCAACCCTTTATTTTGCTTGAGATCGGCCGATTGTTAGCGAATTTGGTGGCCTTGATGGAAAGGATACCATTGGCCCCTGTAGGTAGAACATCAATACGAAACAAGTATGTATTGACAATGCAAAGTGTCTTGTTTGTGTGAATTGTCTTTTCTTTCATTCTGTGTCATAATAATATACATGTATGCATCTCTTTAGGCCCAGCAACAATGTTGGTAATAGTACAAGGGAATACTCCTTTCTTCTCCTTTTTTTTTTGTTGTTCCGTTCATCCCCATAAACATCACACCTTCTCACTCCTTTCCCCCCGTTGGCATCCAGTTCTTCATATCGTTTCCCATCATTTATCATCATACTGCCCCCACCGATTCCTCTCCTCCCTAGCCTTCTTATCCCGATCCTTACTGCCATGCATGTACACCCACCCGCCCGCCACGCAATTCGCGGCCCCCAAGCCAATCGCCGTGCCTCGCACCACGCCGCGGATGCTGAACTTGGCCCGCAGGGGCTGCCTCCTCCGCAGGGCCAGCAGCGCGTACAGGCCGGACCAGGCGGCGGCGAGGCCCGCGCTGGCGGTTGGGTAGCCCGACAGGTTGAGGTAGGACGAGAAGAGGAGCGTTGGAGTGAAGAGCGTGAGGGGGAGGGGCTGGAGGGGGCGCGCGTGCAGGGCGGTGATGAGGGTTGCGAGGAGGGAGGGGGGAAGGGATGAAGCTGTTGGTGAGATGTTAGTGTGTGGTATGAACTGCTGTGTGTGGTGTTGCGTGTGTGTAAGAGGATGGATGGGCGTGTAGAACTGGGGATGGGCAGAACTTACAGCCCCATTCGGTGAGATGGTCCGCTATGGATTTTTCAGCGGCGGTTCCTTTGGAAGCCATGCTGAGGGTGGGTTTGAAGCTAATGTTGCTACAAAAGACTGACTGGGTTGAGAGCTGGGAGTTTTTACATGAGAGAATCGTTTCATTAAAGGTGCAAGTTGTGACGTGATGTATTTTCAAGATGGATGACTAAGCTTAGAGGCATGAATGAACCAAGTTATATTCACCACCTTGAAGCTGCAATAAAGTAAGTAGATTCTACATTCGCAAGGAAAAGTTTTACAGGGACGATTGCAACAATTATACATGTAAATAATCCCATTGAGTAACAATTCATCGCTCAATGGCTTAAACACATTCATAGAGGGAGATTGATATGTTAGAACCCGCGGGTCCGGCCGAATGATTCGCCGACGACCCCAAAATTTCCTAGTTTGCCATACCCATCGCACGACTAACAAGCATCGACAAACTCCAATCCAAACGCCTCTCTCTGGCTCCATTCGCGAATCCAATTCGCACTCATACGCCTCCATTCAACAACGCCTCTATACCCCCCCTCTTCCACAACAACTCTCTCACACAACACAGCAAAAACCGCAAAATCCCCCATCATGGGCGGCAGGCAAATCCGCCCCGCGGGCGTCTACCGAGCCGTCAGCGAAGAGCTCAAGCACCAGCTCATGCCCGGCTACAACGTCCCCACGCCGCCCTGGTTCGCCGTCATGAACTCGGTCCCGCCGTCAGAGACGCTCGTGCGCAACGTCACCCCCCGCCACCGCGTGCCCAACCCCAAGGCGACCAAGCCCAAGAAGCTGTTCCGCCCCCAGACCATTGCCTACCCCGAAGATGCGCTGCGGACGAGCTTCTACAAGGACCATCCCTGGGAGCTGGCGAGGCCGAGGGTGGTGCTGGAGCTGGATGGAAAGGATCATCAGCATTGCGATTGGAGTAAGGGGTTGAGACAACCTGGTATCCCGCTGACGGGTGAAAGGTGAATATTAAACGCTCAAGATGTGGATGGGAAGAAGCAACATCAAACTAATTCGTTTTTTTTTTTACTAGCGTGGTCCAACGACAACTGTGGTTAATGGAAAACCAAAACATGAGCAAGCGCAAAGCATACGACATTGTCCGCCGAGAATTCTACCGACTGCGCCAGGAAGAGGAAATCGAGAAGAGGATAGCCATCGAGGAGGCCCGCTACGTCGGCGCATACTTTGGAAAGACGAGACTGGACATTGGTATGCAGCTCGAAGACAACGAGTTTGAGAACTGGAAGATTTGGGCCGGCAAGGAGACGGCCAACCGGGAGGCCAGGGCAAGCTCGGAGATTGAGACGTTTGGACTGGAGGATGAGGAGGCTGGCGCAGAGGCGGAGGCACAGCCTGTACCGGCAACAGCATAATAGAGAGAGGCATATAGATGTGTGTATGTGTGTGGATGGTGGCCAGATTTGGCACTTCTTGTATTATATGATGTGTATGAAGAGAAGATGGAGAAAATGAGGCGAAGAAAAAAAGGTTAAAAGGGAAGAGCCAAAAAGTCCGCTAGCATTTGACGGGGCTTGGTTCTATATCATCCAAGCGGCGAGAATTAAACACAATTTCTCCAGCATTCTGTACGCCATACCGTATGGCCACCTCTTCGTGCTGTACGACAAAGACATCCGCTATGCCGGTGTGCAACAGTAACTTGCCCGTTAGACTTAGGGTCGATATCCGAGCCCAAGATTCGATATATATGACCTTCATGCAGGTCTCTGGAACAATATAGAGCATCTTCAGCAAATGAATCGCCAGCGCAACAAAGAACCCGGTAGCCGGCCCGTTGGAAAAGACTCGGCTGGGATACCGCAGCTTCCTCCCAACCTCGTTGTCTGGCGAAACGAGCAGAGCGGGGAAGATGTCGAGAATGCTGAGCAGAGCCGTAAAGGGCGTTGACCAGAGAGGTTGGTGGACTCTGCGCGCGCGCGTGACGATGCGCTTGTCGTAGGTGCCGGATGACGAGTCGTGAGATTTGCACAGGGTCTTGAGGCTCTGTTCGTAGTCCTCGAGGTGGTTCTCTGACATGGAGTCGCCGCTGGAGATGAGGTAGCGGCGGTGAGAGTTTGCGAAATGGTAGAAGCCGTCGTCCATCATCATGAGCATCTCTTTGGTGTGCCCGCCTGAGCCGAGGACAAATAGGTTGTAGTCCATTGGCGGCTGAGGAATGCCGACGCCATGCTGTGAATTAGAAGCTGTCTGTTGCTTTGCATTTCGTTTGGAGCTGCGATGTGAGAGGAGCTGAATGTGTCTTGTCTAAAAGGATTGAAATTTTTTGCTGGTTAGCTTGAGCATTGTTTGATATGTCTGGGGAGACTTGCTGAAGCAAAGATGATGAGAGCTATGCCGGAAGCGACAATGGTCAAGAGGCTGCGTCTTCCAAGGAGGGGCGAGGAAATGATTGTAAAGGCAGCTGAGCCGATGGCTACGGCACCAGCGAGGCCCAAGAAGAGGATTGTAGAGCGAGCCATGATGAAGCGCTGGGGAGCAGCCTCTGCTATTGAGATTTCATGTGGACACGTTCATGTCTGCGTTTTTGTAAGCATCATGAGCGGCTGTGAGATTGGCGGGTGGTGTGAATCACTTACAGCGAGATAAACTTTATGAGAGGGGCATTTTTTATTTACAGAGAATCAGAGCTGGTTAAACGAGTGGCTCCTGAGAATGAAAAGAGTCGAGCTCGGTGATGGTTGAAGTGAAGTCTACGGTCAAACGGAATGCTTGTTTGTTCGCAGTGCGGCGTTCAGGTACCGAAGCTTCAGCGCACAGACCCACGTGCTCTCGGTGAACACCGCAACTGCAACATTCCTCCAGTTTCTTCTTCTGATTCAAATATACATGTCCTTGGTTCGAATTATTCTTATTTTCAACAATTTCAACAATTTCCTTTTCCGAAAAAAAGTTACTGGCCTCTTCCTAGACTATAAGAAAGCAAGATTCGTCTGTCATATACGGCATCGTTTGGTATGTAGTAGGTGTCGTATCTTTCAACCACATAAACCCCCTTTCAAACCTTTGATACCCCCCAAATTTCACAAAAAATCACGACTTTATCCGCATAACGCGAGGTACATCAGAACATGCGTCTCTTGTTAGGATGAGCCATCTGCATGAAGCGAGCCATATCAATCGCCCGTCTGGTCGCCTCTCTCGCAGCATCCTCAAGCATACCGTCGACCCCTTCGCCCGTCATGGCAGAACACTCGAGATACCTGTGAGCTCGGATGCGACGAGCATGCCAAGCAGCCTGTCATGGAAGAAAAAGAAGTGTCCCCTGTCAGTTGTGCGTCTTCTTCGTAAAGCGGGCTCAACAGAGCAAACACACACAACATGTACTCACATCAGACGGGATCACACAGCAGGTCGGATACGGGACAAAGTCGTCCGAATCAAACGGGCATGGAACTCTGTGCCTCGGATCCGTGCACTTGTCGCGAGCGTCCTTCTTCAGGCCGACCAAGTGAAGAAGCACCTCTGTATGCTGCTGGGCGAGGAAGCCGCCCTGCACAGCCTCGAGCCACTGAGACGGTGATGTGAATGTTAGCCAAACAATCAAACGAGCATCAGACGGCTTTATATACTCACCCACTGCAAGATGGCATGCATCGTTGGCTTCTGCTGAATGTCAAAGCACAGGAATATGGCATCCCACTGCACATACGACAGCCGCTCCACCGTGTTCAAGTCCGGCGCGCCCGAAGTGTCCTACATTTCGATGCGCACCGGCTGGGAGTCGTACATGCGAGTGTTGACATATGTCTCGTAACAGGTGCGAGCAATGGCCCTGGACTGCATGCAGCGCGGTGTCAGTATCCATGGCATATGTACATTTGATAAACGTGAATGTCAATAACAGAAGGAGTTTGTTCTTACGTCTGGGAATTGGCCATAACGCGCGCGGCTGTGTTTCAATGTCAACATCAAACCAGAAAAGCTAGAACCAAAGGTAAAAAAAAAGCTCATCTTACAACAACAAGGACGTCTGTCCCGCCGACTTGGCCCCCACAAACAAGAAATGAATCGTCAACGGCACATTCAGCACCACCTGCGGCGACGGCGACGGCGACGGGCTGCGCTGCTTTCTCTTGCGGCTAAACAGGCCCAAAAGGCCGCCTCTGCGCCGCCGTGGGTTCTTTGCTCCCGCCGCCTCATCGCCATCGTCGTCTCGGATTCCCAGCGCGGTTTCGGGGCGCTCTATCAGCGGTCCTTGGAGGAGTCCGTCGGAGGGGGTCACTGGCCGCCTGTGGAAGACGGGGATGGCGGCGCGGATGAAGGCGAGGCGAGTGGATGGACGGCGCATTGGTCTCTCTGGTTCACGAAACGTCTAAATGGAATGAAAATTATTGGCATCTTGAGAAAGAGAAGACATTGCTGGGGAGGGGGGTTTACTGACAACGCGAGTGCTCGGTCGAGCTATGAAGCCATCGTCGAGGAAAGGATCCTCGCGCTCCATGCGACTAGGAACCGAGTGCCTCCAAGAGTCGATAGACTCGGCGAGCTCTTCAGTTAGCTCTTCAGAAACGTCTTGCATCGTTTAATCGTCGTTTAGTTGGCCGCGCTTTCAGCAAAAATGAACAAGTTGGTGGAATGGGGCAAAGGAAGCTTGAAGCGATGTATGTTGGTTGTTGAGCGTCTCTGATGATGAGGGGAGTTATCATCGAGTTGCGGCGCATGCAAACAGGTGATTGGCCGAGAGAGAAGAAGTAAATAAAAACAAAGCACACACGTTGACGCGTTTCGTGATTGCCGCGACCAAGTGAGAGCAAAGTGAACGCCAGGTGAATGTGTGATGCTGGTCGTGATGTGCGGCCAGCTGCCAGACTTGGCTGTCATGTGGCCAAAGTGAACGTTTTTTTTTTACTAAACGAATATAAATGACTTGTCCAGATATTTATGTGCCATCCTTAAGACTCGAGTATGGATTATCAAAGTTACAGCAGCTAAAACAGGTAAATGTGTTTTCTACCAGCGCATGAAAGTGTTTGTGTGTGTGTGTGTGTGTGTGTGTGTGTGTGTGTGTGTGGGTGTGTGTTTGAGTATATTCATCGTCTAAATGCTACCAAAGGCTACTACTCATCCTCAAAGCATTACAAAAATAAAGAAAACAAAACAAAAAAAAAAAACCAATTTCGTCCAAAAGTCCAAATCTATCCTTTTTTTTTAAGAAAAAAAAAACGCAGTGTTTTGTATTTTTTGCTTGCCCGTGTGCTTTCCCTTCCGCCAGCCCCTCCCCAAAGACATTCTAAAAGAGAGAGATATGGTATAAGATGAAAAAAAAAAAAGGAAAAAAAAGGGGTAAAAAAAAAGGCAGTTGTAGCAGCGTAGGCTACAATTTGTGATGGGTATCATATTCAACGTTCGTGCTCCAATCCCCGGTCCATTCTGATCAGAACTTTTTTCAACCCCTTTTTTTTGTGAAACACCGCCTCTTAAAATGCAGTACTCAGACTCAGCTTGAGTCCTCGTCACCATCACCATCACCATCACCATCACCATCACCATCACCAGCAGTCTCCGTCGCATCCGTATCTGTATGTGCACTGTCCCCTCCAGCATCTCTCCCAACGAGCATATCCCTCTCAGCCTGAATAGCCGCCGCCCTCCGCTGCTCCACCTCCTCTCGTCTCACAACTCGTCTCAACCCCTCGCTCGCCTGGATCAATCCATCAATGCTAATGGCATGCTCCGTCATCTGGTGGTTGATATAAGTATACACTCCAGCCGGCGTGTCGCACCGCAGCAGATTGCTCTCGTTGAGCTTGAGCAGCGCCAGGGCAACTTGGAAAAGGAACGTGCTTCCATCGTTGGTGCACAGCACCACATCCCAGACACGGAAGAGAGCCTCGGCACAGAGGCAGTCTGTAAACACGGAGAGGAACCACTGGAAAGTCAGGGCCTCGAGTTCAACGGATAGCGAGTCGAGGTGCGCTGACAGCTTGGGAAGAACCGTCCGAACATACTGCCTCAGCACCTGTTGGTCTGCTCTCGAGGATATGAGAGAGTGGTCGTAGTACCCGTGAGGAAGGATCTTCTCGATAATCGATGCTAAAATCCAAAACGCCTCCTCAGCAGACGGCGTAATGAGAAGAATATTGGCGGTAATCAAGTTCATCCCCTGACAGTAGCCCACATCCTTGTTCCGTCGCGAGTATGCCAGCAGCACCTCGCTAAGCTTCTGCACGCCAGGACCCTTTCGGAAAAAGATGTTGTCTGTGAGCGTCCGGTTGATGTCCATTTTGATCTGGCTCACAACCGTAGGGTCGTCATCCTCCCCGCTCTGAGAGACAAGCCCCTCGTAGTAGCCAGGAATACGCAGCGCCGTTGCCCCTGAGCACTCTGACCACACCTTTGCCCGATAGCTGACAGGGATGCCGCCCAACACCAGCGCCTTGAAGCCGTTCCATTTCGCTCGTCCAACTTTGCCCTTGTTGCCCAGATTAGAGATGCCAATCATTTCTCCATCAGCCACCTGCTCCTCGGGCTGGATTATCCCTAGGCGCTCGAATCGAGCTTCGGCAGCTGCCGTCGCAGCGGCGAGCGCCGCCTCGCCCTCACGCTGCCTCTCGGCCCTGACTTTGCGCAGAAATTCATTCCATTGGGCAGTCTTATCTCGCTGAAGGGCATCGTGCAGATCGCTCAGCTGCTGAAGAAGCAGCTTTACCGGCTCTGTATCTTCCTTGACCAGCGTCCCTAGAGTTGGGTCCTCAGATGGCGGCTGTGTGAGAGTAGTCTCGTGGTCAATCGCCGTCGTCGTGCTGGCCAGGGGAACGAGCCCTGACTCGGTCGGGGTTATCGCAGGCGAACGAGCTGAGCGCTCAACTAGCCGCTGGCTGGAGTTCGAACTGGCTCGATCGTCGGCGCCTTCGGTCACAGACACAGTTGTGGCGCTTATGCCAGGCGTATGGCTCAGCAGCTCGGTGGGAAAGGTCGCAATCTTTAGGTAATCCTGCCAGCGCTTCGCCTTGTCCTCACCAGCAGCCCTCTCCTCCTGGCTGCTTGGGCTCCCTGGCCGTGGATCACTAGATACGCTCACCTTGGAACTCGGCACGTCGTCCAGCATGTTGGGTGAGATGCCTGCTCGGCCGTTTCCTAGCAGTTCTCTGCGGTGGCCGTTTGAAATATGCTGTGCCATCTGCGAAGCCTCCCGTTGCCGTTTCTTGCGTCGCTGGTCGTAGATGAAGCCAAACCGATCGGTTAGAAATTCGCTGTTGGGGTAATTGTTGTAGATGCGCGTGAGCGTTGGAGGCTGAGACTCTGGGGGCAGTATGGCGTCCATCTCAACGGGCCCAAACTTGTCTGCACGCAAGGATGATGGACCAGGCGAGCTTCCAGCGCCGCTCCCCCGCGGGTCTTGGGCTTGGGATTTCGATACGCCGGCGATCGAGGAGTTGGACGGCGTCGATCTCCCCATTGCCATCAATGCTTTGGGGCCGCCAGCGACAGACACGGCTCGGGATGAACGGTTGGTGTGGTTACTAGCCGCCGAGCCTGCCCTGGTCGTCTCTGTTCTGGCAGCACTGCTAACGGCACGTCCTCTGGCTTCTGCCTCACGACTGGCAACAGCGCCGCCGGCCACGAGCCTCAGCGCCAGGCTTGCAAGCGATGCAGAACCTTTGCGATCGGGAGTGGAGGCCGAGTGTATACTAGACGGCCGGCTAGAGTTCTTGGCAGGGCCGCTGCTTGTCGGAGTGGCGGGAGGGTCGAAGAGGTCATCCTGCAGCGCTGGTCGCTGGGCGAGGCTGGAATGCGATCGTATCACAGTAGGTCTGTTGCTGCTGGGCGCGCCATCCTTGAGGCTGGTCCTCCTCGTTGTGCCGCCCCAGATGTAGTCTTTCCAGCCCTTGACGGTCCCCGGTGCCTTGACGCTGTCAGAGCTGCTGGGCAGGGCAGAACCGCTGCTGGCTCTAATCGTGGCGCCTGCTATGCCCGTCTCCCCATGCGCACTCTCCGTCACTGCGCCCCCCATGGCGTCACTCATCAGATCGCTGAGTCCACCTCCATCTCTTGAAAAGTGGCCGTTCTTCCGCAGCTCGGTCTCCACCACCCTCAGCCTCGTCTCCAGCTCCAGGCTGGACAGGCCACACTCGCGTATAATCTTCCTCAATGCCCTCTCGCGTTCATCGGCCCGCCGCCGCAGGCTGGATATCTGTGCATCTCGCTGCGCAAGATCGCTTGCAATCTGCCTAACCAGCGTCACTGCGCCGTGTCGAGCAATCAAGCGCTCGATGTGCTTGTCGTCTGCCTTGTGTAGGGCGCCGGGCACGGTTTGCGACAGCGGCGCATCCTCAAAGAGGGCCTCGCGGGCAGAGTTGCGCCACGTCAGGCTGTCGACGATGGAGGAGCCCGCGCCGCTCAGCTCCTTGGCACGGACGGTCCTGTCGGGCTGTCGGATGGCGGCCGTGAGCTGGTTGTAGTCGGCATCGTCGTCGTGGTCGTCGGCGAAGCGGTCGGTGCCCGGCAGCTCGGGCGAGAAGCTGGGGAAGCTCGTCAAGGACTTGTCGCTCTCGGCGATGCTACTGGCCGAGCTGCTGAGGTGGTGATTGAGGAGCGCGCGATGGCGGCCGGTGCGGATGCTGCGATGCGAGCGATACGACGTGTTGCTCTGCTGCGAGACGGATCGTTCCAGCGGAGGGGCCACCACCGAGTCGGACAAGTCCATGCTCCTCCCTTTCTCTGCAGGGCGCAGCAGAGGAGCGTCTGTCTCGTCGTCGTCGAGTCCGCCTGATGATTGGTGTTTGTGTATGTGAGAGTGCGGGTGGTTGTTGTGGTGGAGAGAAAGAAGAAAGAAACAGAAGAGAGGTGCAAGCAGACGCTGAGCTGCCCCCGGGAGGAATGGAGAAGCTACGCGCAGTTTCCGAGGGGCATCACTCGACGGTGACCGATGGATGACTTGATTTGGCTGGGGCAGCTGGGCTCTAACGGGCACTAGCGGCCGATCCAGGGTCCAGGATAGGCAGTAATTAATGCTAGCAGCGGGCTAGGATTGGCAGAAGAAGGCGTTGACTTTGATTAATTCGATAGTCTCAATCTGTTATTATGAGTGAGTGAGGCACGTTTCTCTGCTTCTCTCCCGCTTCAAGGCAGCAGCAGCTTGGGGCTCCAGGCATCACCGTTCTAGACAGCGCAGAAGAAAAAGAAAAGAACCTTGGGACGAATCCACTCGGATTATGGCGATTATGGCATGGAGCGCTAGCTGCAATGTTTCATGTGATGCCGCAAAGAATGCGCCGGCTCGTGTTACGCTGTGGGTAGCGAGGGAGGCAAGTAAATTAAAGATGGCGCTGCTGTCATTTCTAGACGGGGCAAAGGCGGAAAGACAAAAACACAGAGCTGGCACTGGATGAACTGGACGAATGAATGACTCCTCTCTTTCTTTTACTTGTATTTTTATTTATTTACCGGACAGGTGACAAGAGCCCAAGACTGCATCTCATCATCGGTACGCGCTCAGCCCTCCCACGCTCGTATAGCTCCTGATGTTGGCGAATCCACGGTCCAGAATAAGAGCCAGGCGAAAGTAACAGCACCTAAAAATGGCCCTCGTTTAGATAAATTGCATGGCCCGGGGTTCGGCGTCGACTCGCCTGAAGCGGATCAAAAGACAGGAACCAGAGCCAAAGCCAGCCTTGGGTCGTTATCAAAGCTGAGACGGACTCACGAGCCACTGTTGGGGCCTTACAGGTGCCCAAGTCTTAGCAAGATTCTTAGTAGCATCATCAGGCGGTGTCTGCTGGGTGGCGGCCACCTGTGACGGGACTAGACGCGTGCGCTAAAGAGCCTTTAAACGGTCAGTAGCATTTAGTACTACTCAGCTCCAATATTAGTGTAAACAAGGTAATATCCCATCACATGAAAAGGGTCTTGTTAAGTAAATAAATAAATCTCTTGAGCTCTTTATCAAGACTAATCTACGTGAAGTTCCTGCCTGCATCTTCCAGGCAACACCACGGAGTCCAGATATATCGCCGCTGATGATTCTGACATGTGCCACATATAAATTGCACGCAGCCCACACTCGGCACCCCACTTTCTCTCGTCATCGTCATCGAACCGCAAGCAATTAATGCATCCAATTAACTAACGCCTTGCAGCTTCTCCACCCGTAGAGTCTTCAGTGTCAGCTGTGAAACTGCGTCACCGCCTGTGGAGTGGTCTATAGCGGCATGTATCAAGCTCTGTACGTGTATAGGCTAGGGCGCGCACCCACCGCTTACAGCAGCTGACGATACTACTAGATTTTACGGCAAAGTTGGGAGCGAAATGGGCGTTTTTTTACATTGCTTCTCTGAAAACTTATAAACACATATTATAGGCACTCATAACCATTGGCATCTCCAGGGCATGCTTAGCTTATCATATTTTAGATGAGGCATTGCCAAGCATCGCAAAGCATATTACGATCCGGCAACTTTTCCTCTTGTAGACCGTGCAGATGTCGCCGGTGAGAATCAAATCTCCCCCAGTTTGGTCCATGTTTCAAAATTACAGGACTACACGTATCAAAGGCTTCTCTGCTAATGTAGCTTCATCCGCTTGCATGGTTAAATGCTATTTGCAAATTTAGAGTGGTGCTGGCCATGTTTTACACGTTTTTCAACAATTAACCCATAATATCCTCACTTAGCTAATCACCACAGAGCGCTTGAATCAGTGGGCACATGCGGCTGCCATGATATTAGAATTGCGTTTACAAGCTATAACTTAATTACCAAAATAATATCCAAAACAGTAAACGACTCGACACAATAAGCAACTCCCATTAGTCAAGTCTTTACCTCTTTTAACTGGGTAGTTACAGGTATTACTTGTACGGTTTATACAGCTGACCTATATAACATATTTACTTGAGAATCTAATATTTCTCTAATAAAAGAAAAGATTTTAAAAAGGTAGCTCAAACGAGAGACTTCTGAGGATTCAAGTCAGGGTACCTATACTGTCCCCAGACGAAGCCTACCTAGCCTCTCAAAGCTGTCGTCCTCGTACTGCATCCAGACTCCTCTCAAAGACACCTTAGAGGAGCGGTACCATATTTTCCATTCCTGCTAACCCCAAGACATTCGAACGAAACCCCCCTCAGAATTAAACAAGAGTCCAGTGGACTTTACAGTAATGGTCTGCCGTCTTTTCCGATAGGTAATGGAGGCTTAGCCCCCGGATATAGCTTTCCCTCGTAAACACCTCCACGCATGATATGGCCGTCCAATATGGCCAAGACTGCATTGGAATTGAGAAGAACTTTCATTTTCATTAACTTGCAAACCGGACGGTATCCCCGAGATACGACAGTCAGGCCATTTCGTGGCATTCTTGACAGCCCGCTCTCTAATTTAGTCAAGGCATTGCCGCCAGTTGTGTAGGAAGGCCATGAAGTAATGACTCAAGAACATTCTAAGTCATGGCATCGCCCAAGTCATCTTTTTTTGAACTACATTGACGTCAGGCTGATGTACTGAATCCTAGTGTGCCAATGTCATGATACTCACTGGCAGTCTTGCACGCCACAGCTCTGGGGCTGTGATATCCCCTTTTCCAAGCGGATCATTGACCATCTCGGGGTCCCTGTCACTGAGAGCCATTAGTACAAGTTGGCAGACATTCACACCTGGAAGGTCTCACAGTGCTTCAATCTTTCTGACAATCTTGATCATCTCGAAACGCAAGGATGTGCGAGCCTCGATGAGACTGCTCAACGCCATGTCAACTCCGTCAGGTCGCGAGCTCCTCTCGTATCTGTCTTGATGGTGAATTGCGTCATTCAAAAGGAAGAGGTTGCCCTTGTACTCCATGTACATGTCAAGCAACTCGGACGCGAATCCCCGGGCACCATCATATTGTCTAACGCAGATGGCAGGGCTGAACCCGCGTGACCAAACCACGAAATCAGGCAAAGTGTCATATCTTGTCAAGATCGCACAAGTTCGTTGTGGACACTTCAACACCTTGTCCGAAAAGGCGCTCGCCGCACGAATAAGCGACTCGATATTCCATTCTTCATTCGATGGATTGATCATGCTGCCTCCAGACCAATAGACCGTCACTGAGACGTCGGCTTGTCGGAGTGCCTCGATGAGATCCGCGCTCGACGATGGTGACCATTCCGAGTTTGTGCCGTTGAACAGGCTTCTGAGCTTGTTCTTGATTTCTGATTTCTTGGAGGCATCAATTGATTTGATATTGATGATACCATGGAAGACGCCTCCTTCGATGAACCCAGAAATGAAGGTATCACCATAGATTTCATGGAATTGAGCGTTATCCAAGTTCTTGACACCAATCTCTTTGAAGGATATGTTTTCCTGAAAATTGCGAGTCTCATTGACAACCTTGACAGAGATGACTGCGTTTAGATCACTCTCGGCAAACTTCATCTCATCGATGCTGCTTCCGCCGCCAAAAACACTCACAGAGCCTGTTCGGATTGACGAGCCTGCTGATATATTCATGGCACGAACAAAGTCAGACATTTTCTCTATAACTTCTGCCGAGTATGAAACAGTCTGGGACGGTGTGCTACCCTCCTTTGATGCAATATAGGTAGCATTCTTGATGTCGACGGCGTCGCAAATGCAGGGCGCGTGCATGAACGAGTTGTAGCCCTGGCCTAGGCACATGGAAGCATCGAAAGGGGCAAGGAGAAGAGTCGACATTCTGGCTATGTGAGAGCAAAACAAAACTTCTCAAACGATACTGGTAACAAGGCGAGCCTCGAGGTTCACTATGGCCTCGTTTCTCTCGAGACAATGAGAAAATCAGGCGATTCCCATATGCAGTCGAGCAATGTTTGGCCGAACGTGTCTTGATCTACCAATCCATTCGCTGGATGCCGGTTGGATTTATACGTCTCTGATCTAGAACCTCATCGAGCTACTAGCAGGGTTCTCGTCTATTCAACCCTTGGCTAGTATGCCAAGAACGCCTCTCAGAAGCAGCGCTAACGCAAAGTCATTCTGTTATTTGTTTGGCGCATCAATACTTCCCCAGGTGAACTCGGCCGTTTACTGGACATTAGCTGAAAGTGTTGGGTATCAATAACTGCTGGAATTATGGCCGTATTCCACGCACTAGACCCTGAAAGAGAAACTAGGCGCAGGGTCGCTACTGCATATAGCATAGCGGGTGATCTGAGGGAGGGTCACAATACATGGAAGAGCAACTATCGTTGTGAACTATTGCTTTGCCCCTCCACTATTTGCCGTCTAGCCTGTTGATCTGTATTCCGAACAATTGAGGGTTAGCTGGACGATTCGGGCCGCATGCCCCCCCAAATCGATCCCGTTGGTTGCCATCTTTAAAACTGCCCTGCCCATTCGTTTGTTCTTTCATAGCGAAGAACAAATTCACCACCTCATCATTTGAAGTCGATGGGATCTGCTAACATCAAAGGAGTATATATTGGCGCATCAGGAGGGAAATTCCCAACGCGAAAGAGTTTTGTACCGACGTCGAAACGTTGATGAGTGGCAATACATCGATTCCCTCTCTCCCTTCAGTCTTTATCAGAGCAGAGGATCCTGAACCTACGGAGGGTCTAGCATCTACGGTTGAAAAAAATATACGGGTGACCAAGTTTCTGCATTAACTGAAAGATCTTTACGATAGCCATGGTCATTTCTTTTGCGAGGAAGAGCTCATCGGCGGTTGGCTGCAACGAAAATGGCTGATAAATACTCACGAAAAGTCAATTCAAAGCTCGGGTCAGTGTATCAATCTCTGCTCCGATGATTGCTTCAATCAATGCCAAATACTCCAAGGAAACTGAGAGCGACGAAGAACACAATAAACAGGAAAACTTCTCGGTAAATGCAGTGTTGTAGAAATGAGACAAGCAAGCGCATGGTTCGCGCAAGCTGTACCCTATCTTTCCAAGCATATCGCCATCCCACAGTCAAAGGTGATTGATTTCAGCCCGACTCAAGCTAAACTCAAAGATACTACAGTTGAATCACCAGGTTTTGGATCAAGACGTGCGCCACTACTTTGGATGTTACTCCCATGCAATCTTTCACACATAATACTAAGTTGGAGTCAACAAGAAGTAAGAGCTCATCATCGCGTAAATATGTTTGCTACACTGTTATATACGCTACACTATGACCTGTCCCAAGCAAATACGGAGCAAGGTGAGAGAACAGTCTGGTTGTTTCAACCACAAATCTCTTTCCAGTACTTCATGCAACACGCCCCTTGATACACGCATGTCATGACAAACATTAATTTAAAGTATCCCAAGAATTAGTAGATAAAAAGAAAACTTCTATTACTAATAACTCAACAATCAAGGTCATTGTATGAAAACCAAAAAAAAATATCGACTAAAAGAAAATCGATACAGGATATCATCATGTTACTCCCTAGTATTCCGTACTCATACAACATCTAGCTATTCCCCCCTTTTGCAGACCATAGCCACGCTCCAAAAAAACAATGATAGAAAAAAAGACTATGAAAAGGAAAAGGTACTAAAAAAAAAAGTCAATATATCATAGACCTACAAGCGCCTGGCCTGGCCTTGTGCCATTATTCTTTGTAACAAAACGCCACCTATCAAAGAGAGAGGGAGGGAGTGTTTTTTGCGCTCCTTTGCCTTGCCATCATCATAACCAAACACCCCTAAAAAAGAATCCAAACACGCCTCGTGTAGATGCCAGTAAAACGCCCAATCGAAAACAACAACCCCCAAAACAATTACCATTACTTTTTAAACTTCGTCACTTTGTACGTTCTTTGTACGTTCACTTCCTCTCTTTTGAGTCTTTGCCCTCCGTCTTTTTATGCAAAGCTATCCTCAGCGTTCCATCGACTGCGCGTCGTTTCTTGAGTGTACTCTCCTCTAGCTGGATTACGCGGCCGCGATGCCACTTGCTCTTGCTGCTGTGCAGACTCGTGATCGTCAACCAAAGTCTCTTCGAGCTCTGGCAAAAGCCCATCGTCAACAAGTCTTTGCAGGAGAACATCCTTGGTCAACATCTTCTCACGGTCAATCGCCAGGCCGTCTAATTTGCGAAGGCGCTTGCAACTAGCAACGTAGACCACTTCGTAGAGACGGCGACGCAGCTTTGTAGTCTCATCTCGTCGCTTCGCGAAAGCCCTATCTCTCTCCACATCTGCATCTGGCATCACAAAGGAGTCGGCGCTTCCCAGCTTGTCCGCGCTGATCAGCATCTGGACGGGAGGATAGAAGCCCTGGGTGATGGGGTTATCTCGCAGATCCAGCTCAGTGAGATGAGGGAAATCCGTCAAAAGCTCCGTTACCGCCATCGTATTTGAAAGTCGATTCCCGGCCGCCAGCAGCTTCTTCAACCGTGGGATGAAACGCAAAGATGATAAGTCCCGAATAGCATTGAAATTGATATTCAGTGTTCGTAAATTGGGCATTAATTGGCCACATTCATCAGGCAACACCTCTAGCCCGCAATTTGCGAGCTCCAACAGCTGCAAGTTAAGGAAATCGGTCTTTAGCGTAAATGATTGCATATAATTTCCAGACAGGTACAGCTTTCTTATCTCGCAGGCACTAGTTAGGAAATCCAACTCGAGCGGGTCATCGCCTCGCTGTTCACGCAGAGAGACGCTGTCCACCCGACGAGCGTAACGGAAGCCAGATATGTGACTGATACAGTTCCGATCGGCATAAAGTGTACGCAAGTTGCCAAGATTTCGAACATCCAAGGATTCGAGGTCATTGCCGCTGATGTCCAGATCTTGTAGCGCCCTGTTGGCCTTCTCAAAAACAAGCGTTTGAAGTTGGTTGTCAGAAACATCGAGCTTGGAAATCGCCGGGAGCAGATGCAAGCCTCGAACCGACGTAATCCTGTTGGAAGCCACATCGAGTTTTGTCAAACGCCCCCACTTGACCATGGAGAAATCTAGCTCCTCAATAAAGTTGTTTCGCGCTCTTAGATTGAGAAGGCCATCATGAGTATCCAATCCATCCAAGGTTGTCAGCAGATTATTATCGGCCTTCAAATTTCGCAAGTGAATGAGCCTCTTCAACGCTGACAAGCTCTTAACTTCATTGTTAGAAATGTCAAGGTACTCGAGATGGATGAGATGGTCCCACGACGTAAGCTCTGTCAACATGTTGTTGGACACTTTCAAGTCTCGCACACATTCGGGGACTCCATCCAGATGCCCCAGAGAGTTTTTTGACGCATCTAGGGTGATGAGTTTGGAGCAAAACTCGTTCAACATGTGTAAGCTGGTCAGTTGTTTATCTGGGAGAGCGAGAGAGGTCATATCCTCCCAATATGGCTCATGCGGCTCAGCTTCAGAAAGCTTTTCCACGAGGTCTCGTATCGTCATAGACAGCACCTTCTTTGAGCCGTCGCCCGTCGCCATGCGCTTGTTGGCCATGACATAGCTCACTTCGAGTCCGAAGGACCGGTCCGCATTGTTCATAGTAAACTCTGAGAGGGGACTTAGTGAATACTTTCCCACGTTTCGGCCAATGAGCAGGCTGTCGTCGGCTCTCATCGAGATGGGACGGTTTGCCGGGGTTGGAGTTTGATTCACAAGGAACCCAAGGCCTGGTCCGCCTTCAAGCGATTTCAGACTCAGTGACGTATTGTCGCCTATAAAGCTAGCATGTCGCTCATTCTGGCTCTGGCTCTGGCTCTGGCTCTGGTTTTGGCTTTCGTTTGGACTCTGTTTCTGGTTGTGCACCTCTACCGTACTCTCTTCATCTTGCTCGTCTATTCGCGAAACGGGCCGAGGGGTAAACTTGGTGCTAGAAATGGTTCCGTACACCGACCCAGAACGAAGTCCTCGCAAGGAGCCCTGTATAGCACTCTTTGGGGTGCTGAAAGGAGCTGCCTGGAGCTGAGGAGAAATCGATGTGTCGGGCTCCGGGTCGTCCTCCAGGCCTTCAATATCCTCTGGCAGCACACCCAAAACGATGGACGCAATGGGCGATGTGAACGAGATGGTAATATTACGGCGCTTAGAGCTCAATGCATCAAGACTCGACTTCGCTTTAAGAACGGGCAAGCCGCTGCCTCCTAATTCTTCTGCACTTTTGATACTGTCTCCGGGCTGAGCATCGAGCTTTTCAATCTCTCCTCTGGCCCTCGCTGCTACCTCAGGGTCAAGGGGCTCGTAAGCTGCAAGAGTTGTGTAGCTCTTCAGCGAATGCGATTGCGCTGAGCTCTGTCGAGAGCCGCCATCCTTGGGCACAGGTATTCCGTCGCGGCCTCGAGATGTCTGCTTCAAATGCTGCATCTCTTCCGTCATGTCAACAGACAGATCGGGTATGTTGGCAAATGGATCTTCTTCGCTGTCCTCAGAGCCCATGGCGTGAGATGTTGCAGAGTTCTTCGACTCTTTGTTTCTAATCCAAATATTGTTTTGCTTATCCAGATACATGCCACCTATCTTGTCTGGAATCAGATGCGAAACGCTCTCGGGAGCAATCATTTTGCGTGATTCAGAGCCCCTCGATGAAGAGGTGGGAAATATATGACTTGTGGAACGGGCAGAAGTGCTGGAGAACAAATCATGTACAGGGCTCGTTGATTCACTCGCCGACTCAAAATTTGAACCACCACCGCCTGTCCGAGCACGGTTGCTGGCTTTATCAACCATTCTTTCAACTTCTTTGGCAGCACGGATTGCATCCTTTGCAAGACCCATTGACCTCACTGAGGAAGTAATCACATCACCCATATCACTCAGTTCCTGGTACTTTTTGAGTCGTTTTACAACTTCAGGATCTTCTTGCTGTCTCGATCGTCTGGGTATTGGTTTTCCGTCTCGACTTGGCGGTCGGGAGAAGGGCTCAGCTGTGGATCCGTCTGACTCTTCAACCGTCGCATTCATCGTAGTATGGCCAATTTCCAATTCAGATTCTTCAAGACTTGTCAACCCTGGCTGGCTGACTTGGCTGCGAATCATAGCCATGATCTGTGCAGCCTGATCCACGAAATCCTGAGTTCGTATAGATGGTTTACGCTCAGACTCGCCTGGAGCATTCGGCTCAGTCTCTTCCTTAACCGACCTTGCCGTCGATCGACGTGACTTACCCTGAAAAACATCATCTTGTGATGACCTTGAAGTGGCAGCCGAAGAACGAGATTGGGCCCCAGACACTCGTCCCACGTCATGAGTATCACCAGAGCCAGAGCGGTCGGACTGCGAGCGTTTCCGCTGCTTTGCGAGTCCACGGAGGAATTTTTCGCGTTTGGGAGACAAAAGTGCTTTCCAATTTTCATTACCAAATGCAATATCAGATCGATGAAGCGTGCGGCGGCGCTTCGGTGTTGGGTGTTTAGTAGGAGATGTTCTAGGCCGCTTGGATTCAGAGCCATAATCACGCTTTGTCGCCCAGGACTCGTCGTAGGCTTCATCCTGGGGACTGGCAGAATTGTCAGGTGAACTGGACGACATAAAATCGTATCTACTGTCAGTAGCAGCTGAGGACGCCCGGGAGGTTTTCCGATTCCTGCGAACATGCAGCGAAGAGTATTCGTGGAGCCATAATTCTGGAGGGATAAGCTTTAAGGCGCCTTTGGCAGCCAAGGGAGGATTTGGTGATACGTTCTCCTTGAAAAGGGGGCTGGAATGCTGCTCGGCGGGTGAGTGAGACAGCTCGTTCGTGAATTCGTACCCCTCCAGCTCACCAGCTCCAAAATGACTAACAAATCTATTTGGCGTGGGAGTATGATCGAATTGTTTCTGGTTATGACTAGGTGTAAAAGGCGAGGCCTCTGGCGAATTCTCACGCGAGCTCTCGCGCGAGTTTTTACCAGACATGCCCTCTTCAAACTGGCTGATGCGTCGAAGCAAAGTCTGATTGGTAAAGGTGTCATATGGCCCAAAAAGCTTTAAGGGGTTTGAGTTTGCTTGACTGCTGCCAGTGTCACGAACTTGCCTCTTGATGGGGCTTGGAAACGGAGCCCGAGGCACATCGGGGCTGTCAAACAGCGAGCCACTGGCCAATTTCGAGTCGGCTTCTTGAGTCCTCAGACTTGGAAACTGCTTCGGCGTGCTAGCTTGCAGTGAATCCTCGCCCAGCATTTCCGACCAATCCACGCCCAAGTCAGGGCTCAGGGCGTGATGTCGCAATGACCCACCAGACGAATTACTGCTTCCATGAGAAGTATCGAAGTGGTATTCGTGTTCGTAGCCATCCATCGGATTAGAATTTGGTGGTTTTGCATCCACCGCGCTATCAGACGCGTTATGTGAAGGGTCCAAGATCATCTGGTTGAGTTGCAGCCGCTCGAGTCTTTGTCGTAGTTCATCTGCAGGCATTTCAAGAGGGGTGAATTCGATTTTTCCGTCGTCATTGCTTTGCCTGCCGATCAAAATGGGGCTGAAGTCTTCATTTTTTGTATAACTCTGGCCGCTGGCTTTTCTGGATGCGCCGTCAATCAAGGAGGGGATCGCAAGGTAACTATCGTCTTGAGAGAGTTGCTGATCGTGTTCGTCGTCTTGTCCCTCATCATGCTCGTCGTCGTGCTCCTCATCGTATTCCTCGTCGTATTCCTCGTCGTGATTCTCGTCGTGGTCCTCGTCATGGTCCTCGTCGTGCTCTTCGTCGTGCTCTTCGTCGTGCTCTTCGTCCTCATACTCATCGTATTCCTCATCGTGTTCCTCGTCGTGTTCCTCGTCGTGTTCCTCGTCGTGTTCCTCGTCGTGTTCCTCGTCGTGCTCGTCGGGATGCGCAGGGAGGTCAATATGACTATCATTGCTCATAAATGACAGGTCGGAATCTTCTTCGACGTTGAGTTTGTATTTAATATCCCGTAGAGGCCTTCTAGGGCTCGGACTCGGTGTGATCTGCTCTGAAAAGATGCCTCCATCAGTGGTGGCCTCTCCCTCAGATTCCAAGTTAATTGTCGGTGCCTGCGGCGCTGGCGGGCTCGACGGCATTTCTGTTTCGTATAAATCTGCTGTGCTAGGAGATTGAAGGGGTGGCAGTTCAGGGCTCGGCGATGGAGGCTCGAGGTTTGGCGACGGGGAGTCGAGATTGTGAGAGAAAGAAGGAGAAGGTGAGGGTGAGTCGGCGTCGGCGTCGCTAGAGGGCGGCGGCTTAAACATGTCCTGTAGCCCAACGGCTGCCGAGCTAAACAGGTCGCGCTGCTCTCCATACTGCATCTTGCCGTGTACAAGTCGTCGCTTCCATTCCGGCGTGTTGGATTTTCCCGGCGTGTCGGGGCTTTGCTGCGGGATGTTCTTGCGCACAACCACCGATCCGGTAAATGCTGGTGACGGCGAGCGCTTGAGAAATTTGTCGTCGCGTTTGCGCTCGGCGGGAAACTTCAACAGGCGCTTCTTGGGCGATCCTCTTCCTTTCGGGCTGCGATCGCCCTCCAAAATAGTCATGCTTTTGTCCTGCGGCTTGGGAACAACTGCGCCGGGGTGTCTCCAGGGCGCACGCGGTATGCGACTGGGCGTGGGCTTTGGCGATGGCGAAGCCGAGCTCTTCTTCGCTGACGACTTTACCAGCGCAAACTGCGCGGGCGACGGCTGCACAGGCGAGGACCCGGGCTGGGAGACCCAGTCCTCCGTCAGCGAATCCAGCCAAGCGTGCGACATGGTGACGGCCGATAGATATATTCAAAACAGGGGGGATGGGATCTTCACGCCATAGGTAGCGAATACAAAAAGTTTATGCGGGGTCGCGTCCGATGGGTGAAGCACTGGAAGCGCGCGCACTTCTGCCAGGCGGGATGGCGCAAGAGGAGGAAGCAATACAGAATCGGCGGACACAAAAGATGCAGAATAAGTATCAAAGAGATAAGATGGAGCTTGGAGCCTTGGATGCCGATATGGGGGAGGGGGCCCAGCGCAGATGCAGGGGATTCTGCTTAGAGCGACCGTTAGGGAACGATGATGCGCGCTGGAGCTTGAAACGGGAGACCAAAACAGGGATGCTGATTGGCCGCGGCGGGGGTTGCTGTGCCAACTGCGCAGCAGAATCACGTCGCTATATTGACTCCGATGTCTCTTGGTTTGCAAAGAATATGGCTGTTTATAGCACCTTTTGATAAGGGAGTATCTATGATATAATTGCTACTACGTCCTATCTATCATGATGTATTCTCCACTGGCTTTCAGGAGGGAGGCCGTAGAATTAAATGACAAGCGGATGCGGCTCAATACAAAGAAAGAGAGGGCTTTTGCTAAGATTGCCGAAATTTCGCAACCTGGCGTCATCCAACCTGCAATCTGTATTTTTAGCAACAAGCCATTAAACGATGCGCCCGAACTCTCGGCTGCAGCCACTCTGTGTTAATGAACTCTTTTCTGCACTTTGCCGCATAAGCGAAATCGGGAACGCAAGATGCACTTTATCTGCATGCTGCAGAAATTCTACCTTTTTGCTTCTCCCTTGAATAGTCAAAAAAAGAAAAAAAAAAGACATACAAGTAACTTACACTCTACACTATCTTCTCTGAACTACGGCTCGATTGACCATCTACGCATACCCAAGGCATTTTCAGGTCTAAGGAAACTTCGTGAGCAGAGGGAATAAGCTTTACTGCCCAATTAAGTACATGCACTTATGACCCACGCGACGCGCCCGCGCTCTCACGTGACAACGCGATAAGCCTTAACTGCTGTTCAATCTCCATAGTAGAGCTTCCCAAGCAGCTGCAATTTTCTGGCCAGGTGCCGAGCCTCAGCTTGTCTACAGCCACAGCTCAGACCAAATTCACAGTGAGGCGCAGATGAGGAGTTTCTCAGGGTCTATGGCTCTGAGCCTGCGGTGTAATATACAGCATACTTGACCTTCGCTGCCACTCTCTCCCTCGGCCAATCCGCCGCTCTCGACATTGATGCCTGAGTATCCGCCACTGCCATGATGCTGCGAAGAGCTCCAATCTACTGCGAGGCGGTCTTGCAGCCGCAGGATATCTACTACGAAGGGTCAGAAGATGAAGACTACGACAATGCGGAGGCGCGCAGGCAGAGGTACGAAGCCGCCGGGCAGAGGTTTCTCGATGGCAACGTTCCCTTGCTGCTATCTGCGACGTTGAAGGGTCCCTTTGAAGAAGAGTCTGGTTGGGTGAACCCGTGGCGATCAAAGAACCGTACCGCCAATTCACAAAATCCACGTGTATCCGACGATTTAAATATGCATTCTACTCCCAAACGACTTGCCCCGTCTGCGTCTATCGAGCAACATGCGATAGAAGCTCTGAAAGATGCCGAGTGCGCTCTTCCTAGTCCGGAAAGCCTCAAGCAGGCGCCCTTCACTAGCTCTTATTCACGCCCCCAGGAGACAGGCGGCACGACACACGGCCGGAGAGACAATAGCGTGCCTCTTTCACGAAGCAGTGATGAATTTTGGACAACAAACTCACCATCAAAATCCCCAAAGAGGAAATCAATGTCATCACAGACGCTAGATGGCGTCGCGAATAAGCGGCAAAGAACCAGGTCAACCGAAATCGAAACTCCAACGCCAAAGAAGAATCTAATAGCCAAGAGGGATGCTAGTCAAAGAGGAGCAAGGACGACCAGAGCCACTTCCGACAGCTCGTCAATATATTCCCATATTAGAGAGCTCACGTCACAACTTCCCCCTGCTGGATCACAAGATTTGTCAAGCGAAGATGCAGATACAGATACAGATGACGATCACCATCATGAAACCATCTCTACCTGTTCCTCCGTTGATTTCTTATTGGCCAATGCACGCAGGACTCCTAAGAAAGACCTGACCAGCAAGATTCTGCGTCCGAATGAGAATTCATCCTTGTCCTTGTTATCACCGTTTTCTCAAAGGAGCTCCAGAGGAGCTTCCTCTCCTCTTTCTGTCTCGCCAGCGCAAACGCCAACAAAACGGAAGGTTGCATCAAGCATATTCTCTAGCCGCCGGCGGTCTTCAGGTGACCTATCTACACTGTCTGAAACACCAACAAACCTATCAAGCTTGGCAGATTTAGAAATGCTAGGCGTGGATGATGACAACAGTGAAGATCTCGACGATGCAACTCTGATAGAGCGCCAGCTACGGGAAGAACAAGTCCAATCTCCCGAAATTTCTACCGCCAACAACAGAGACCATATAAGCACTACACCAGATACGATTCCACCAAATCTTCCTACATCTAGACCAAGTTATGAAGAGCATCCATCAAGGGAAGAGAGTATCATTGAAACGCCAAAGGCTAAAAGAAGGGATCATCCGGATAGTTCAATATCCAAGTATGATACACCTCGTGGGCGTCTCAAGCCGTTTCGCGGTACACAGTCTTCACGAATGGCTGACCCGTTGATATACGATGATACTGAGGGATCCGATCAACCAACTTCTGGATCTGGCAATAAGGCTTCATCAGACTCACAGCAACCCGTGCCCAGTGAAAACCCGTCAATCAGTTCACCCAAGCAGAACAAAAGTCAGGCATTAGCAGGCAGAAGCGCCACAAAGTCGAATAGTCCTCATAAGTCATCACCTCTTCGGTCTCTGAGCCCTCGAAATGGTAGAATCAACTCACGGCCCGCTCTCAAGAAGATGGTTCAGCCTTACATGTCATCTCTACGCAAATCACGAGCAGCGAGTGCAGATGAAAGCTACTCACAAGAAAAAGCTACCCAGCAATCGAATGAAAATGAGCAAGAGAAAGAAGTAAAAGAAACTTCGCCGCCATCCTCGAATACTTGCCCTCCGGCATCGCATCCTAGCCCGAACGAGATTGCCACAGACAAGGACCGTGAGCCCGATCATTCTACATTTGACGATGCCCAAGAAGAGCTGATGGATCGTGATACTTCAGTCTCATCAACAACACCGCACTCTGATAAGCCTCCAGCCAAGGTTACCGCACCTGTAGAAGTGGTGAACTCAACTCAAGGAGATGTGCCACCTGGTATCTTAGAACAAGATGAGCCGGGCCTCACTACACAGGAGCTATCTACTGATTTACAACGATCTATCCCCATTGAGCTTGCTAATTCGGATATAATTGAGCCGCTAATGAACGGAGACGCACCGAAAAATCCAAATGAGCCTAGCTCGATTGCCCCCATGGCAGATGGCGACAGTTGTGAATGCCAACAAGAGCATCAAGATGAGACCCAGGCATCTACTGAAGCCGTCGCTGAAACCCAGGTTCTACCAGCCGAAAGTGATGACATGTCTCAGCCTCCGTCAAATATCTTAACTGAGCCCTCCGAGGAAACACCAAAGCGACCGTCTACGCCAGAGCCACAATTCGCTGTTGCTTCTTTTTCAACATTCATGTCGCCCTCTCCAAACCCTCGCCGCCAAAGACTCTACTTTTCTGGGCCAAATTTGAGTGGAACTGCTTCTAAAACACAGGGCTCCCTGCTGTCTTGCATGAAAAGGTCATGGGGGAGTACGATACCCAAAAAGCGAGTTTCCTGGGCTCCGCTACCGCATGAAGGGAGCGACATCTCCGGAGAGGATGCCCCATCAGGGACGGACACGTCATCGTCAATGATACGAGGCAGAGACCGAGCAGTTTCACCGCCTCCCCCGCCGTCTATGGGCTCCTCTTCCGATTCGCTCATGGAAGGAGACTTAAAATTTGGTCTTCACTTTGCTGCTGTGGCCGACCGTACGAAGAGCATAAACCCTCAAAGCACGCCTGCTGTGCCAGAATACAGGTCTCCTAGCCCTGACAGGCAACGCCCGGCGGAGAGCGTCGATGCATCGCTGGCCGAGAAGAATAGCTTTAGTACGAAAACATGGGGCTATGACGACCAGGACCCCACCGATATTGTTCAGGACATATTCAACGATATGGACGACTTTTTGCAAGTCTGGGATGTCGATGCAGAGCTAAATGAGGCACGAAAAGCCGACAAGACACGAGCTAGTGGCGCAAAGGGGACAGAACGTGCTTCTGAGGACGATGTAGACATGTTTGCATCATTCCTTTAAACATGTTACCCGAAGCCCTCTTTTTCATACAATCATTATGCTGCATACCGCGACTAGTGTTCACGGCCTTTCAGCATCGTGTGTGGCCAGTCGCTTATACGATGTGTCCAATATCTGTTCATTATCCCGCTCCAAGTTATTTATGAAGAGAAAAGGTCTTTTTTTTTTTACCATGTATCTAGCATATTGCATGCGAGCGTACTTTTTTTGTCACCCTTTGCTTTTACTCTTTGCGTATACGTTTTTTCCTTCTCATCAGCATGTGCATTACTTTTTTTTCTATACAAATACTAGAGCTTCGGAGAAATGATGAGGCAGAGTCTTTTTATTGGCATCTGAAAGTGGCAGAATAGCAGTAGCTTAGATGTGGATATGAGAGAAATATACCCCGATGGATGGCTGCTTACATGTAAAAGATGGCTTTCCTGTGATGGGATGAAATCTCTAGGATAAAATTCTTGGCAGCAAGATTTTTTGTCTTGCTGAATAAGATGTGATGGGGTACTACCTAGTATTTAATGGCATGTGAATTGTTCACGTATGTACGTTTAGTTGGAATGTAACGATGTGTTATCTCTTTATTTATTCTTTCTTCACGCTAGTCTATCTTACTGTTGTCATACGTATAATACGTAAATAGCTAGGACGCTTCAGATACACGATATCTCACCTCACATAGGACATTATTATAGGTAAATAACATCCTTACAATTAATTTAATTTCTCTCGCCAAACTTCTCTTCTCAAAAAATTATCAACAGCCACACCGTTTTATTATTATTAGGAAAACTCTAACTCTGTCTTCACACCCCCTCCCCAGGAAATTTCTAGGGTAAGCTACAGTAAGAACCCAATACCCAAACTAAACAAAGCCAAATTAAAGCACAGATTGCATTGGAATTACGGAGAAGCAAGTAATAGCAAGTGGCACTACATGGGGCAGACGATGCAAGTATCAGTCACCTGGCCAGAAAATTCACTTACTCCATTAGCTATTTGCGCACCGCACCAGGCAGTGAGCAGCTACTGCCATTACCTCACATACATGCCCGTGCATGCTGCATACATGTGGGAAACGGCGTACATATTAAGAAAAGCAAAAAGACGAAAATAAAAAAGGCCATTGGGCATATCCAGAGTTGTAGTGAGATGCATCTTGCAGTGGGTCCGTCCACTGCTCCGAAAACAGACGTCCCTTTGGTCCAATGAGTGTGGTTGGACAAGAAACGTGGCGTGCTCTGCTGGTGGAAAAGCAACGCCGGCTGGTCTTTGTTTATGTTGCTTGTTGTCTTTTCGTCTTATTGACGCAAGTTTTGTGTTGATTTCAGTTTTTCTCCCTTCCCCCCCTCCCAGGTACCTGGGTCAATTAGGCTATACCCTGGCCTTGCTACCTACCCAAACTGTTGCTAGGGGGTGAGAGATGGAGGATCTGTTGGGTAAGTGTAGCTTGGATGTGGTGGGAAATGTCACCCTCGTCGATGTTAGCTGCGCCATGTGTCTGGATAGGTGTGAAGATGGCATCTTCTAACCCCATTTTCTTGAAGCAGTTTTCTGCATTGAGATGTTGAGAACTGACAGATTGACCTCGCTGTCGTCGTTGCATCGCACACCGGATGAGTTGTAGGAAAACACCCGAGTGAAACTCTAAAAAAAGAAGAGCAAACGCTTGGTGACGTCGGAAATGTTACGAGCCGATGGAGTGGAATGACATCCGGCATGATGAGAGGGCGCACAAATTGTTACGAAACAGAAATGGAGGCGGTATCGTGTTCAATTGGCAGAAGCAGATTTCCACCTAGCAAGCTCGCGTCGAACTCGTTTCCCCCTTTCCTTTCAAGGTTATCAAGTCTCGGCCAACCTAACCCTAATCGACGTCCAGTAACATTCGTGTGTCCTGTGTAGCGCCTCGTTTTATATGGTATCGAATAGAGACCAATGCCTAGATTTGGCTTGCGAACCAATTCGCTTCTCTGGATCATGCAACTTGTCGAAGGATGAGGTGACACGTACATACGAGTACGACGACGGCTGCACTCTGTTCAACTCTGTTCAACCATCATCTCACGTGCTAAATGACGTGAAGCGATTGACTGCGTAGCCCGTCCACGTGCCCTTGGGGCAATAGACCGCTCATCTAGACCATACATGCTCTAGAATGCCCTGCCCTTCGGTAGCTCGGGAGAGGCTCGACGGTGACATTTGTTCCTGGCTTGCCTGTTGGGGGCAGAATACTAGTAGAGAAGCAGCAGCACTATACCTACTCCTACTACTATACTAGTGGTAGCAACAACAAGCTTGACCATTTAGTTGAAATTGAGATCCTTGTTGAGATCCAGGAGATCGGCGACACCACAAATTTGGTGTTCCGTTGTTGGCACCTCTAAGGCCGCAGATGTGTCCGCATTGTCTGACTCTCAAGCCTCAAACTTGTGACGTGGACGGTCTGACAATACGTAAGGATGTGCGATGTGGTGTTGCTGGCGGATACACCAGTCAGGCGTTGCTGAAGCACGCACGTGGGATAAGGAAGAAGCCGTAGTTGAGCTCGGTAGCTCGTGGGAAATCCAGGCACTCTTATCCAGGCACCCTATTTTGAGTTTGGGAAAGTAACCGTTAGCCGTTTGTTTGTTTTCCACTTGTTCTTTGTGTGTTTCCGGCAGTGTCGGTGACGAGGATGCGGACGAGTGGTTGAACAGAAAACGCATCGTGCACACCGGCAACTCCGGGGTGACTTTGAATTGGTCTGGTTGCCCGGCAGTAGCCAAGTGTGAGTGCGTTCGATTTGCATTCCAATTGGTGGCGTGGCGTTACCGGTGAGCTCGCCTCGCACAAGCCATGCCACCAAATGCCGTCCATCATGGCAGAGGTAGGGCTGCATATCGGTCGCAAATTTGCACGATCGTTGGCCATTGACCGCATGCCCCAGTCTTTGGAGATTGAGATTGTTGTCTGTTGCAACTATTCCTTGTACCGGAACCTAGACTCCGGGGAAGCCTTGGCCATGCCGGGCTAGAACCCACTTAGTCCACCGCTATGCTGTCGGTGAGAGAACAGGTCGTGGGTTGACTGGATGGCGGTTTCAACTGTTCCACGTGGGCTGCGGTGACGTCCATGCTTCTGGAAAATGACCAAAGAACAGCAGAGATGAAGGCAACTTGCAGACCTCGTGCGCGCCATTGGAGCTGCATTGACTCACCGTGACCGTCTAAGCCGACACAGAAATCACTGCTCTGCTAGAGGATCTTGCTCGTTTGCTGGATTTCAGAAGCAGTGAATGCATTGAGCCGGGGACGTGCTATCTCTGATTGCGGGTCTGAGACAGGCTGCGGGAATCAATCTGGAAACACCAAATTTGCCGGCCACACGCCGTTGGGCACCGGCGCAGTCAAGCCACAACCTTTTCTTAGTGTTCTCCTCGCAGTGCTAACATTTTTAGTATGTACTAATATTGCACACTCCATGCCTGTATCATTGCCTGTATGATAAGCTCGAGGCCTGAACATGACGAGGGCTTGACGCATGATTCGAGAAGAGGTCGGCCTCCATAAGCAGCCGGGTGTCGGGTTCCTATCACAAAGCGAGACCAGGGCACGATGGTCCCGCCCAGATAGTAGATAATCGGCGGGTGGGAGAGATTCCGCGATCGCTAGCCTCAGTCTAGCGGCCTTGTTCCTGCTGAATGCCTTTGACTTTTTGTCCTCCCTTCGACTGCGCGGGATTCTCAGCCGGCGAGCCAAGCGTTCAATGTTTGGTCGTTGGCGGTTCGTGTAGCGCAAAGCTGGTGCATGCGGCGGTGCCAAACATGGCACAGGGACACAAGGCACGGCATGGGACACCCCATCGCCTCGCTTGCTTCTGCGTCTTGCCGGCGCTCACCGACCTTTATCTCTGCAGTGTGGAGGAGACACGATATGTGCGTTGCATGGAGGTTGCATCTTCTCCGCGCTGTGTTGCACAGAAAGGGAAGCCCCGCTATCAGGGCGGCGATAGGCAGGCCAGATACAGAACCTGATATCAGATAGAGCCGGCGCATGGTGCCCAAGGGCGGCAGGTACTTGTACATGTGATATTGAGAGAGATCACGATGCCTTATTTACGCGGCATCTGTGGGATACAGCGCATGTGCATTTTGCATTCATCAACCGCCTATTTCACAAACAATTCAGCCGAGATGCGCTGTCCTCCTTTGTGGCTGCTGAGCTCCTTGCTTGTTCGTACATACGTGGTGCTTGCTGGATGGATGGCGTTATCATAGCTCTCTTTGGCGAGATAAGACGGCCAAGCACTCACCTAAGACAATTGATATTGCGCCGATGTACGCGACCTGACCTCGTCCGTGCATGCCGCAAAAAGCATGTGTATCTGCCTATCTTTATGGATGATTTCACCGTCTCCTGAATATTACAGTGAATCTTACACGACAGACAGGCATCTTGAGCTTACTGTACCGAGGCAAACTTACACAATCTCTCATGTTAAACCTACTACTAGGTAGGTACCTTTCCTGGGTGCCTGATTCTCCGTATGTACATGTACCTCCATCTACATTGCGGCAGGGACGAGATATAGTAGATATCAAGCAGCTATACCATTCTTTTAATGCCATTGAATTGACTGGAGATCGTAAATACGCATACTCGCAAGCATCGATCGATTCAGACATGAAAGAACACCCCTTGCACATGTGTCTATTCACACACCATCACAAGCCTGACATCAACTGCCCCTGTAGCAAAGCGCATTTGAACCACTAGGACCCCGCAAACGCGCCTTGTGCTTCAGCAGCCCCCTCCCACTGACAGCGTCGCCCCGCCCCTGGAAAATCTTCCCTGCGGCTAGTCGCCGTCGTGCAACCTCCAACGTGCTGCTGGGCGGTGGGGATGATTCGGCGGGCAGCTTGCTGCTTGGGGGGCCTGTCGGGGGCGTGTCTGATCGCCGCAAGAGCGCTCAGCGGCGCTGCAGCAGCGCCATGTAGGCGGCTCCTGTACCTGTACCCGCCCGCCCAGCGCCTGTAAGTTTAGCGGCCTCCAGCCATCGAGGCCCCACCCGGCGGCGCTGCTTTGAGTTCCCCCCGTTTTCTCCTGCCAGGAAAACCTGGCGCTCACTCCATTTTCCTCTCTGCAACCTCCAGAAGCGTCTCACGCCCGACCAACCCTCCGAATCAAATCCTCCCACGCAGACGCTCTGCCGCGCCAGATGTCCTCCCCATGTCCAGCTCGCCTTCACACGCCGAAAATGCCGCACCTGCTGCGCTGCTGAGCCCCCAGGCCCCCGTCCGACCCGACCGCCAGGACCAGCGGCAGCCGCACCACCATGATGCGGATGCCCCCCCGGCCCTGGGCTGTGCGAACCACGCAGATGGGAGCGCCTCTGCGGCCGGAGGAGACGTCTCTGCCTCTGTGTCTACCTCCTCCTCTGCCGTGCCTCCTATAAAGCCTGCCCCTAGCGGCACCGCCCGCCAGCGCCAACAGATGGGCCCTTCCCTGCTTTCCCAAGCCTTGGCATCTGCTCGAGGCATCCTACGGACCAACTCGACGCCCAATACGAGCACTTCGTCACAGACACAATCACAGACACAGGCAGACAAGTCGACCAGATCCACGCCGGTCTCCGCCTCTTCTTCCCCAGCGCCCGACCAGCTGCCCTCAAGGCCTATTCGGTCGTCGCCTGCCACTCCCCAGACAGAATCCCGAGATGCATCAGACTACATCGACCACGACGGCGCCCTGACGCGGAGCGTATCGCAGCCCAAGACAATGGCGACGACAACAACGACGGCTACCGCCACAACAACGATTCCGATTACCTCTTCCATCCCTGCACGAGACCGTGCTATTCCATCCTCGTCATTCAAATCGGACAACATCCTGAGCCACGCAAAAGACATGCTTTTAGAACACCGAGAATTTTTAGACCGGACCAGAGGGAGAGCATCGCTGGACCACGACACCAAGTCACCGCCCAAGATACAACATCACCATCAACCATTACCTCATTCATCACACCGCAATGACTCGGTATCGCCTACCAATGGCAGCTATACCAGTGCTGCCTTGTCTACTGGAGTCTCTACCGATGCAGGAGACGAGTCTGGATCACAAGACTCACGTCAGGAACGACACAAAACGATTGATAATTCCGAGAAGACGGAAAAGATATGGTCCATTGGCTCTGGCGATGGCAGCGAAGAAGATGGCTTGGTTGAGCAGTCAGTTGCCGAAGCCATTGCAGGTGTTGAGCACAATGCACGAAGCCGAAAATCCAGCTACAGCTTGCGATTCTTCAAAGAGGGCCTTCCCCCGGAGGACAAGGCACGTCGGAAGGATGGCAAGGCCTCCCACCGCGACAAGCATGTGCCGACAATAGACGAGGAATCTACTTTAACCGAAGAGTCGCCGCAAAAAAACACAAAGACGTCGCCAGCCGCAGACTCGCGCGTGCAGCCAGAAAAATCCACGCGGGCGGAATCTTTTTCATCACGCGCCTCTGATGTACGGCCTGCGCTTGCCTCGCCGAAAGAAGCAAGTAGCTCTGCCCTGCAGCAAGCTGAAGAAACTGGTGGCGAAAGTGCCCCTACCTTTACACACAAATCACCAATATATCATAATGAGGCCAAGCTGGAGCCACCGATTGGAATTCAGGTGGGGCCGGGTGCGGTCCACGACACCGAAGTGGAGAAGCAGCCGACATCACATGACGCCTCCGAGGTCGGCAATTTTCAAGACATTGCCGGCGACAAGGATGCGGGCGCCGAGGCCGACTCCAATATCAATGCCAAAACCTCGGATATCGGGCATGCTAACGGTCACATCCACAAACATGCCACCGCTCATGCCAACGGCAATGCCACTGCCGCCGACTTGGATGCCGAATCTGACCTAGAGGCGGATGCCGAAGGCGATGGAGAAGCAGACGAGTCTGGAGAGGAGAAGATTGCGTCGGCTGTGTTCCTGCCCCATCAGGAGCTCGATGACAGCCGCGCAAGCGTGAGTGAGGGTAGCGATGGTGATGCGATTCGGCGGCCCAGGTCGCACTCGCTGAGTAAAAGTCATCCTTGGCTGGTCAAGGCCGATGAGCCTGAGCCGGAGATGGAGATGGAAGAGAAAAAGGATGACAGTTCCTATCAGGTGTCACATGTTGCATCCCGTGAGAGCCTAGCTTCTCGCCGTGGAGAGATTCTCCCGGCGGAAATCCATGTCCCAACCGAAGCTGCCGTGGACACTGAGACCGAAGTGAACCAAGTTACCCCTACCAAACCCCGAGCCGTGACCCACCATGAAGACCATGTCCATGACCATCAGCATCACGCACGCCGACCTCTAGAAGCCATTGAGCTGATCCCATACAAGCACCAAGTTGGTGGCCACAATACCCTGTGGCGATTCTCTCGCCGAGCCGTCTGTAAGCAGCTCAGCAACAGAGAAAATGAGTTTTATGAAACCATTGAGAGATATCACCGTGACTTGCTACCATTCCTACCCCGGTATGTTACTAATAAGCTTTCCCTAATTCTAGATCTCCAATGCCCGGCATCCCTATATCCCTCTTTGTTATTCTTTTTTCTCCCTGCCTCCTGCCTCCTGCCTCCTGCATTGAAATTAGTGTTTATCTTGCCCGTCTTTTCACGCTGTGAATTGTAATTTAAAATGCCGAATGAATGCTAATCTTATGGCTTCTAGGTACATTGGAGTGTTGAATGTAACATTTCAGAGAAAGCCTCGGAGGAAGAGCACCGTTAGAAAAGATGAAATGGCTGATAAACGCCATCCTGACTCAAATGGTAACGGCGAGGCCGAACAGACTCCCTCCACCCCTGCGCGCGTCATCAGCCAATCGCTTGCGAGCTCTAATGTACCCATCCCTACCGTAACTTTTGACGATAATTGGCACATCCTTCCTCGCAACCTTCTCCAGCCGACGCCCGAATTAGACATACCGCACCGCCGGAGTACGTCGCTCTCCAAGATTTCTTCAGAAGCGCCGATTGCGTCTCAACACCCCGTGCGACCCCACATGGAAGAGCGGCCTAATAGCTGGGGGGCTACAACGGTGAATAAGCGACTGCGCAATGAAGTGTTCAATGATGCATTCCTTAAACAGCCGATTGCGGTTCAGAAGCATCGGCGGCCTTATCAGCGAGCTGTTCCTCTGCCAACTCTTCAGCGATTACTCCGAACCAGTAACTCGGATCCTAACCTAGCTCAAGCCCCTGAGAGTCCTACCAAGAATGAGGAAACCCGCAGGACCACGCCCAATTCTCTAAAACCGTTGACACCACTCGTTCAGCAGATGAGCGATCCCGAGTCCCAAGCTAGCCACCTTGCAATCGAAAGAGAGGCCCCTGTTGAAGTCAAGGATGTCACGGGTACTAGTGCTCCTGAACCAGAAACATTAATGGCCAACCCTGTGACAGCAAAGAAAAAGCGAAGATATTCTGGAAGTGGACTTCGGCGAAAGCCGCAGGATGTGCGCGACTCACGCGGAGATTTGAAGTATTACGAAGAGGCCGATGGCATGGAGTACAAGCGCGAGGGAGAAGACAAGGACGCTTCACTAGATGCACCAAAAGCGGATGCCACAGCCGCCAACGGACCCGGCACTGAAGATGTAGTCTTTGATGCCCCTATCCTTGCTCAGGAGCCTGAACCTACAGAGGACTCGGCTGTAGCTTCAGATGCCTTGCAACACCCCCCTGTGGAATTTGGACCAGTCCTTCGACCAAACAACCCCAAGGAAGCGAAGACTCAGCGTGACAGAGTAGAATACTTTTTACTACTGGAAGATCTCACGGCTGGCATGAAGCGACCTTGCATGATGGATCTCAAGATGGGGACTCGACAATACGGCGTTGAGGCTTCTCCTAGCAAGCAGAAATCCCAGCAAGAAAAGTGCAAGAGGACGACTTCGGCGGAGCTTGGAGTGCGGATTTGCGGGCTGCAGGTTTGGAATTCCAAGACTCAAACGTATGACTTCCAAGACAAGTACTTTGGCCGAAAGGTGAAGGCTGGCAACGAATTTCAGGCCGCCCTTACCAAGTTTCTGTATAACGGTGTTGACTTGCACTCTATTCTTCACCATATCCCCATCATATTGCGAAAGCTTTCACAGCTAGAGCAAATCGTAAGCGAGTTGCGCGGCTACCGCTTCTATGCTGCAAGTCTCCTCATGTTCTATGACGGCGATGCGACTGATGAGAATGGGGGATACGAGACAGCATACGAGTCCATGACGGATGCGGCGACCGATACCGAAGAAGCTGCTATCAAGAAGAAGAAGAAGAAGCGGGAGATTGATTTCAAGATAGCAGACTTTGCCAACAGCCTCACTCCACTGGATAAGGTAGAGGACAAGCCATGCCCGCCGCAGCACCCCAACCAACCAGACCCTGGCTTTCTCAAGGGCCTCCGGAGCCTGAGGAAATATTTCTTGCAGATCCAGCGAGACACGAGAGCCGAGCTGGGGCTTGATCCTCGCGGATGGAGCTCAGGCCAAGGCGGTGACTCAATGATGTTGTCTATTGAGGACGAGGAGGATGAGGGGATGATGAGTGTATAATCTGTCCTATGCAGAGGAATCTGGCTGCATTTCGAGCTTGCCCAGCGATGCCTCTGTTCTATACCTCTCTGCCTTTTGCATTCTTTTCTTTTTTTCTTCGGTTTGTTTCGCCTTACACTATTTTTTTCATTGTCTCTTTTGACGCCACTACGAAATGCTGTTTATGATTTTTTACAATGGATACCAGACCAAGCGTGTCAGCGTGATGAGCCATTGAAGTTTCATCAACGACTTGGGCTTGAGCGAATGACGACGATCTATGAAGCTTTCTTGTAATGCTAGCATGCTATTTGAGAATTTTTCTTGCTCTTTCTTTTCTCTTCTCTTTCTTATACCTTGTCGTCATAAGGCTGGTTTCATCTTTTAAAAGAGTCAATTCGGATAGTATTCATGGCCAGGTGGCCAAGGAAAAGGAAAACCCCATGCACCATTCATTTTACGGATTTGGGCCAAGCATCCCCCTCAGTTCCGCATAATAAATGCTGTCCAACCGACGCCTGTTTGTTTCAGCGTTTGAACCACGTTGTTCATACTATCAGCATTCCCCCCCCCCCCNCCCCCCCCTTTTCTTTTCTTTTCTTTTCTTTTCTACATGTTTTTATTATATGTGTTTTTTCCCTTTGGTGGACTGGCGGATGGACGGAACGGCATGAGGCGAATACTAGGGGCGCAGGTTCCTTTGCTTTTTGCGTTTCTTTGCCATTGTTTGTTTTTGTCTGGATTGGAACGAGATTGATACTTTAGAGCGGTAGATAAAAAAAAATTGAAATGAATGAGCTTTTCTTGACGAAAATTGAGGAGAAAAAAGTGATTGGTGGCGGCTCGAGATGCAGATGCGGAGTCTGTTGTATCGGCCGTCGGCCGCTAATGCAGGCCGAGTTGAAACCCGGGAGCAATACCAATATAGGTGGCACGCATAAAGAGCACAGCCCCGGAGTTGTTTGTCAACTTTTCTGAAACGGTCGTCTTCATCGCTGTTGTCGCGAATGAAATTGAAACAACGGAGAGAGACAGAAGACAGAAATCAGTGCATTCAACCAACAATGGGCGCCGTCATTTCGTATCTCCAGGGCGGCATCACCACCGTCACAAGCGCTCTCCGCACGCTCTCGGCTCTCAACGCAAAGTACCAGTCTCTCCTCCAGCGAGTCCACGCTGGCCCCTTTTCCCCCGCCGAGAACCCGACGGTGTCCTACTGGATGCAAAATCCGCCATTTCCAGAGATTGGCGACATTCAAGACGACTTGCCCGCGGAGGCTGATGTGGTCATCATTGGGAGTGGCATCACCGGCGCCGCGGCTGCAAAGACGGTGCTGGAGCTTTCTTCATCAGTATCGCCTGCAAAAGCGCCGCAAGTGGTCGTTCTGGAGGCAAGACAGCTGTGCAGCGGCGCGACGGCGAGAAACGGCGGACACATCAAATGCGTGCCGCACGAGGAGTTTGCGCAGCTGAGACGGACGCTGGGCGAGGAAAAGGCGAGGAAGATTGTGAGGATGAAGATGCGGCATTTGGAGGTGCTGCAGGAGGTTGGCGCGGAGATGCCGTGGGGGGAGGTCAGGGAGGTTGAGACTGTGGACGTGTGTCTTGAGAGAGGCGTGTTTGAGAAGCTGAAGACGCGTGCGGACGAGTTGAAGGAGTGGATGCCCGAGTGTGAGATTGAGGCGTGGGAGGCGGATGAGGCGAGAGAAAGGGTGAGTTGACGATGGCTCGAAGCATTGCCATTATAAGATGTTGAAGCTGATTTGCGAGAGGAATATCTCTGTCTCTAGTTTGGAGTGAACCAGCATGTTGTCGGCGCAGTCTCGTACAAGGCGGGTGCTCTGTGGCCGTACCGTCTCGTCACCAGCACCTGGAACGACCTGATGAAGCGATATCCAAACCTCGCCGTCAGCACACACACGATGGTCTCATCCATCTCGCCCAACAGCGATGCCGCCACAGCAGACTCCACGCCATACACGGTCCACACGCCACGCGGCACTCTCCGCGCAAAGCACGTCCTCCACGCCACAAACGGCTACACAGGCCATCTGAATCCGGCCCTGAGGGGCTGCTTGACGGGTGTGATTGGCCACATGACGGCGCAGAGTCCTGGAAAATCCTTTGCGCCGGTGTGCCATGGCGGGAGATCATGGTCTGTCATTTACGGCAATGGATATGACTATGTGACGCAGCGGCCGGATGGAGAGGACGGGTCTGCGGGAGAGCTGATGCTGGGAGGAGGCCTGTTTCGGAGCAAGGACGAGGGGCTGGACCAGATTGGCGTGTGGGACGATGGCCGGACGGATGCGTTTCCGCTGATGCACCTGAGGGGGAGCATGGCGACGATATTCGAGCCGAGATGGGGTGTTGGCGGCGAGCTTAAGGGGGCGTGGACGGGCATCATGGGGTTCACGGGGGATATGCTGCCCTTTGTGGGGAGTCTTCCCGCCGAGATGGATGTGTTAGTTCCGTCGAGGAAGAGTAAAACGAAAAGGATCCAGGGAGGCTTTGAAAAGGGGGCGTCTGGACAGTGGCTGGCTGCTGGCTTCAACGGAGAGGGCATGGTGTGGGCGTGGCTGAGCGGCGTGGCGGTGGCCATCATGATGCTGGGCTTGGAGGAGGAGGACTTGGAGAAGGCTGTGGGACGGCCGGGGGGGAGGCTGGATGAGTGGTATCCGATGGAGGAGGTGAGAGTTGATGCGGCGAGGCTGAGGAGGGCGGATTTGACGAACATGGCGGGTGAGGTTTGATGAGATGTGAGTCTCGAGTTGAGCGAAGCAAGAAAGGGTATATATATATATATATATATATATATATATGTATGTATGTATGTATAAATTTATTTATTTATTTCTACTACAATCGTGACTAACAAATCTTTGTCTAGTAGTAAACACGCTTTCACAGCTTCGCCTTATTCTCCTTCCGCCACTGCTCAACAAACACCTTTCCAAACTCTTGCCTCTCCGCCTCCTTTCGCATATCCTCCTTGAACCGGCTCTCCTCGGCCTCCAGCCCGGCCCCAGCCAGCTCCCTCACAAGATCCCTGTAAATCTCCCGCTTAATCGTCCCGTACACGCCCTTCTTGGGCTTCTCCAGCAGCTGCCTCTCCGCCACAAACTTGAGCGCGTCCTCCACCCCTCCCGGGGCCAGCGCATCGGCGACGCCGTCGTCCACGGCCTCCTGGCCCGTGAAGCGGTGGCCCTCGAGCGCGACTTTCCGGTAGACGGCGTTGGAGGGCAGCTTTGCGCGGAAGAGGGCCGCCATGGCGGGCTGGAGGTGCGCGCCGAAGAGCACCTCGTTGAGGCAGATGAAGCCCTTGGGGGAGGGGGCCAGGCGGTAGTCGTGGGCCATGGCGAGCATGAGGCCGCCGGCGTAGGCGTGGCCGTTGAGCAGGGCGACGGTGGGCATTGGGAAGCTGGTGATGGAACTTGTTAGTTTGGTGATGAAGACTTGTTTTTTTTGTGTTTGGAGATTTTTACGTTAACAGACGCTGCCAGACGGAGTAGAACAGGGCCCAGAAGCCCTCCGTCTCAATGGCATGCTGCAGGTCCAGGCCGTTGCTGTAGAACTTGGAGATGCCGCTGGTGGTGATGAGCACGCCGGGCGGGTGGCCGCCGAACTCGAGCAGGTCGAGGGCGGCGAGGAGCGCCTTGCACACGGCGGAGGTGAGGCGGTTGTCTGGGGGGGAGATGAAGGTGAGAAGATAGACGGCCGGTGAGGGCTCGGTGACGGTTATGGAGCCGCCGGGATGGGGGCCGAGGGCGGGGATTGGCACGGTGAAGAGCGTTTTGGACATGATGGCGATACTTTTGGTGAGAAATGAAATAAAATGATGTGAAAAAAAAAAAGATGAGTGAGAATGAGAATGAGAATGGCTTATGAGTATGAAGAAGGATTATGGCAGTTGGTTGAGGGTGAGGCTAAGCTCAGCTCATCAACCTCGGCAGTTTGTCTACAGGTATGGAGACGGGGCGTGGTTTAGTCGACGACACCCCAAGCTCATGAAATACATGCACTATGCTGTAACAACGTATCAATGTATGTATTAGCATCTGTCTGCTGTAGTTTCTGAGCCCTTGACATGTCATTCGGTTTACCACGGCATCAGCTGCGATTATTAAACAATCCCATCCGAGCATCTCCATCGCGCGTGCTGCTGATATATAAAGCGGTACATCCGGGGCATGTCGTCGCATGTGATACCCGTGCCGCGTTTTAGCTCCCAGCCTGCACCTTTCAGTAGCTCCCTGTACTTTCGCCCCAAGTACCACGCCTTGCGTCCCTTATTATTCCCGGAATGCTGCAACACGCATCGCCCACTAAGCTGCTTCCAGCCTAGACCGCTTTACCCCACAGTGTACCTGTCGTCCAAGCTCCAACTTTTGCTCCAAATTCCAAAAAGGCCAAGTTCCATCTCTAGATTGAACAACACCAAAACCCCTCCATCCCGACTCTCTCGCCATGTCTTTGCAAGCAGACGCTCGGCCTGCTGCCCAGGACGGCACAATCGTCTTCTTCCATCCCGACCTGGGCATTGGCGGTGCGGAGCGGCTGGTAGTCGATGCGGCGGTTGGGCTGCAGCAGCGCGGACACCCCGTTGTCATCTTTACCAACCATTGCGATCGCAACCACTGCTTTGACGAATGCCGCGATGGTGAGTGGCAGCGCACACTTGTATAAACATTGATAGTAGGATAAAATCATTAATTGATTTTCAATCACTTCAGGCACCCTCGATGTCCGCGTCCACGGCGAATGGCCCATCCCCATGTCCGTCTTCAACCGCCTCACCATCGTCTGCGCCATCCTGCGCCACCTCCAGCTCCTCGTCCAGATTGCCCTCTCCGGCGAACTCCAAGCTCTCAAGCCCCGCGCCTTTGTCGTCGACCAACTATCCGCCGGCCTTCCGCTCTTGCGCTTCCTCTCCCCCGATGCGCCGATTCTCTTTTACTGCCACTTCCCAGACCTTTTGCTCGCGCAGGGACGGCAATCCGCGCTGAAACGACTTTACCGACTACCTTTTGATTGGATCGAGGAGTGGTCTATGGGATTCGCGCAGGCTGTTGCTGTCAATTCGGAGTTTACAAAGGGCGTTGTTGCGAGGACGTGGCCGCGGTTGAAGGAAAAGGTGGACACTAAAGTTGTGTATCCATGCGTGGACACAACGGTTAAGGAGGACAATTCATCTGGGAGTGATGAAGCATTGCTTGGCGGCAAGCACAAGGTCATTCTCAGTATTAATCGATTCGAACGGAAAAAGGACATTGGACTGGCTGTCAAGGCCTTTGCTGCTATTCCTGAGGCGGACCGCCGAGGAGTGCGTCTTATCCTAGCAGGTATGTTATGTCTTATATCCTCTATCTCTCTGTATCTATGCGTATGGTTGATGCTGACCAAATTTCAGGTGGCTACGATCCTCGAGTTGCCGAAAACGTCGAATACCACACCGAGCTCGAGACCCTCGCCTCCTCCCAGTCTCTCAAACATCACACTGTCACATCCTTCGACACCACTTCACTTTCCTCCATTCCCAGCGATGCTTCCGTCCTCTTCCTCCTCTCTATACCAAACTCTATCAAAACCTCGCTCCTGCGCGTAGCTCGCCTCCTAGTCTACACCCCCTCCAATGAGCATTTCGGCATTGTGCCCCTCGAGGCCATGCTCGCTCGCGTGCCCGTTCTCGCTGCCAACACCGGCGGTCCCGTTGAGACAATACGAGACTCGAAAACCGGCTGGCTGCGCGACCCTGATGATATTGAAGCGTGGTCTAGCGTCATGCGTAATGTATTGGAGATGCCTGACCAAGATATTCGTCGCATGGGCGCTGATGGCGAAGAGCGTGTGCGGTCTCTATTTGGTCGCGATAACATGGCATTGCGTCTTGAAACGTCTATAAATGAGGTTCTCTCTCAGAAGCATGCACAACCATCTTTACTAATGCTAGTTGGCATTGTGATTTCTCTATTATTAGCCGTATTGGCGATATACGTCCAGTTTTCATGATTAGCCTATATCATTTCTTTTTTTTTTTTTTTGTTTCTTATTTTTTTTTTTTCGATCCATACACATTGATTTCATAATTACGATTGTTTCTAACTAAACTAAAAGAAGAAATAGTATCATAGATACTGATATACCCAGATAGTGCAAAATAAAGAAGTATTTTTATCCAAATAGCTATAACAGGTGGCCAATTCTCGATCATTGCTTCTAGAGTTTAATTTTATACGTTCATAGAGACGTAGTGCGCAACACTGCCTCTACTGCTTCCACATTTTCTTATATCTTGATAACTAGGCGATGAAATGGCTATTTAACGCCCTACCTTCGCTTCATGCGTTCTGTGTAGCGAAGATATTTCACCCCCTTAATCTTTCCGTGTTTTCTGAAGCGGAAGCAGCATCATATCCTCCATATACTATTCTTTAACCATTCGACTATCCATTTTTAATACCGGTTTCAATTTCCTTTTCGCTCTTCTCTTGGGGTATTTCCTTTGCTCTAGCCGCAGAATAATCCTGATACCATGAGCTGGTAACGAGATCATGCACTATTGATATATCCCAGATTAAGATATCCTTACCTCCTACTCCTACCAATAACTTCGAGTCATGCGAGAAGGGGGCTGAACAATGTCCGACATAACCATCTTCGAGCGTGTATAGGCATTCACCAGTTGTGCTAGCCCATAGCTTGGCAATGCCATCCTCTGACCCTGACGCTATTAATTTCGAGTCGTGCGAGAAGGCAACTGAACAAACAAAGTCACTATGACCAAGGAATGTATGTAGGCATTCGCCAGTTGTGCTATCCCAGAGCTTGATGGTCGTATCACATGACGCTGATGCTACCAATTTCGAGTCGTGCGAGAAGGCAGCAGAACAAACTATGCTACTATGACCATGGAATGTATGTAGGCATTCACCAGTTGTGCTATCCCATAGCTTGATGGTACTATCACCTGACCCCGACGCTACTAACTTCGAGTCATGCGAGAAGGCAACTGAATAAACAGAACCATTATGACCTTGGAATGTATTCAGACATTCACCAGTTGTGCTATTCCAGAGCTTGATGGTACTATCCAGTGACGCTGATGCTACCAATTTCGAGTCATGCGAGAAGGTAACTGATTGGATACCACCACTATGACCTTGGCATGTGTGTAAGCATTTACCAGTGGTGCTATCCCATAGCTTGATGGTCTTATCATATGACGCTGATGCTACCAATTTTGAGTCATGCGAGAAGGCAACATACTCAATATTATGGTTATGACCTTGGAGCGTGTTTAGGCATTCACCAGTTGTGCTATCCCAGAGCTTAGCAGTGAAATCCTCTGACCCTGACGCTAATAATTTCGAATCGTGCGAGAAGGCAACTGAACAAACAAAGTCAATATGACCACGGAGTTTGCGTAGAAAGTCAGGCTTGTCTCTTGGGAGCATCAGTTGTACTATGTTGTAGTATCCTCTCTCCAAGGCCCAGCGCAGTGGCGTCCCTCCATATTTATCTTCCGAGTGAATATCCACCTTTTCCGTGTCGAGAAGCAGCTTAACGACATCTCGATGGCCATTCATACTTGCCCAAGCAAGTGGTGTCCGCCCAAATATGCCGTCTTTATGCTCAAGCTCAGTCTCGTCAGTGTCGAGAAGCGATCGAATTTCATCGACATTTCCTTTTCTCGAAGCTGTAATCCACCGTGCCCATCGCTTGTCTGCAGCTATAATATCGGTTGTCCCATCGAATAGCAGATTCATTATATCCATATCATCAATCTCCATGGCTGAATGCAACTGTGTCCAGCCATCTTCACAGCCTTTGGTATGGTAATATTCATTCAGCCGCTTCTTCTTATATACCACCCGTTCGGCTATCTCATTTTGTCTCTTTCTCATATGTCCTTGCTTCTCCTCTAAACGCTGCATCTCTTGAAATTTTTTTTGTTGTTCTTTAACAAGTAATCTCTTTTTCGCTTTAAGTTGTTTGACTTCACCCTCTATCGCCCCTCGCTCTTCCTCAATGTATCCTAAACGACTCTTGATATCCTCAGCTCTTTGGCTCAGCTCCTTTATGTATGTATCGTTTTTCTTCCTTTCCCACAGCAGCCTGGTTGACACTAGCACTGTATCCAAGTTTTCTAACGCCATTGTTGCGTTAATAGTATAGCTTGACGGGCTGGCCATTGCTTTGGGTGTGATAGAGGTTATATTCCCTTCCATAGGCTCAAGTTCAATGCGTAGGTGGACATGTTCGTTACTGGCATTTGCCTGTCTGAGTGCCAATAGTGTCTTTCGGTCAAACTTTCCGGCTATTTCATCCAGCGCAGTCTTTCTGTGGCATGTAAAAACGCAACATAGTTGGTCTGTGCGAGAATTTGGCTGATGGAAGTCGATTACTATTACAAAATCGAGAGACTGTTCTTTGTTTTGACGAAATCGGATTAATATTTGGCCAGGATCGTTGTTATTGAGAATATTTGTTTGCGAAATTAGGGTCAGTTGATCATCCCAGCAGGCCCGGGGTACCACATCAATTATAACCAAACCAATTTTGGCAAATACGTCTTCATCATAAAACAGATATTGCTGATTCTTCGTCGATATGTTTTTTTGGCCATCTTTCTTGACGTGAATAAGCTCAGGTAAAACATCGGATGAAGGCTTCGGATGAAGAATTGCAGAAGCTCCCTTTGGCCTCACATATTCATTTGCTGCCGCAGACGTTATTTTGGCAAGAGGGATAGCAGTTACTTGTCGTGTATCAAGCTTTGGCCCACAGCTGAGCAGCCCAAAAGTCTCACTGGTATTGTCAATAGTAAGCAGCGGCAAATAGACGCGAAGGCTGCCGCCAAAAATATCAAGTGAGTGCAAGGGATTTGTAGCCTGCTCCCGAGTGACAATATGCCCAGAATTTTCAAAATCCGACGGAGCGGCTGCCAATATGTCACCGTAAATGAACATATCTCCACCAACGAATTTTTGAAAGTTGCTTATTGACGAGTCTTTGTGTAGGCCCCATGCCAAGATAGAATCATCTCGGGTCGTCTTCATAATCTGCTCTTGCAGTCGAAAGAAGGCCTCCTTGCCACCCTCGCCATATATCATTGGCATTGTTATGCCGAATATTCCTAACAGACAGTATGCAAGATCTTCAGCCCTTTTGGTTTCTCTTCGCGCAGCCCAGGACATGCGCTGCGCAACGCTGGCAGTGTGCAATTCAGCAACACCTAGTATAAACTGGCGCGGTATCTGGGTGATTTCCTGGATGAGAGTGCTTCTGCTCCCCTTGGTGCCTATGCAATGCCAGTTTGAATTGTAAAACCGCAAGTGCTTAGGCGCAAGAAGCTCTTGCAAAGTCCATCCTCTCTTAAACCACCGACTTGTCCGAAATTTGGATGCTTGATCGGAGGGATCATCGCCGTCAGGAACATCAGATAAATAGGCGTAGCAGACTGTAGCGAGGCTATACCATCTGAACATGGAATTGATCGCCTCGCCAAGCTCTACCAAATTAGCTTTATCGATACAGCAGGTGTCGATCCAAGCGTAATTAATTGAATTCGCTTTCGCCTGCTTACAGCACTCTCGAAACTTGATCGACCCGATGCCTGGCTTGTCGGTTATTCCGTTTTTAACATCAGAGAAGGTGAGTTCTTCAAAGTCAGGGCCCCAAGTATGCGATAGAATAGCATAGCTGGGAGGTTTATCATCTGAAAATTCCTCCAACTTCAACGTTTCAGTATTGATCAAGCGCATAATGATGAAAATCTCGGTCGTAAAAAGACTGGATTAAGGGTTGAGGTCAACCAGTCAAAATGCGAGCCTTGTTTACTTCTGGATATCGTTGTGATGCTCGCTGTAAACTCTTGCAAATTGAATAGAAGGCCTGCAGAAGGTGCACCAGCGTCAAATTAAAGTATCTCAAAATATCGTGAATTGGGCCGCCATGGCGTGAGCAGAAAATGCCTTGCAGGCTCCCTCCGTAATCTAGGCTGCAGCTAAGGCGCATTGCATATATTACATGCCCATTGAGTCGAAATGCATTAGTAGACATGGAGGGCAAAGCATGCAGACATGCATCTTCATCGCCCAAGTCTGAGATGTAGTTAAAAGGACAGAAAAAGCAACAACAGGAAGACAATATAAATGACAAGAAATCAGCACTTGGCAGCAAGTGTTTCGCTGCCGCTGGTGATGTATATGTGTTGCCTGAAAAGAAAAATCGTATACAACGGCGTACACAATCGCATCGCCTTAGGCACCAACGAATTTGCATGCATCAAAATGGAGACCCAGCCGCAAAACGAATACGTAGAGCAATAAGAACAGCACCGCAAGGAAAGAGCGGTGTCATCACTTGCATGACTTGAGCACCAATCATATACCCATGGAAGTTTAACATCCGCTTGGCAGGAACGCCTCGCAGCCTGATGACCGTCAGAGGCATGGAACCCTCCCAGCTCATTATCATTACAAAAAAAGAAAGCGAGAGGAACAACAAAATCCAGCAAAGTAGAGCAGAAATATGCATTCATATTACACAAGTAGCTACCGATGTTTAACTAATATCATTCTATTGCATTCAAGCATATCAAGCATTACCATTGATTCCATGCCACCCACGGCCTAAATAAAAACAACAAAAAAAGGACTCCATCATCCCAATACTCCATAAACAACACACTTTGACAAAAATCTCAATTTCATAATCAAGAGAAAACAAAAAGTAGGAAAAGAAATGGAAATAAGACCCCATCTATTTCAGCCCCTCATCGCAAAGCAAGCAAAGCCTGAAAATTAAAAAATAAAAGAAGAGCGAAAGCAATGGGGTTTCCCAATTTCCAAAAGATATAGGGGGTGCGTGCAATGGTTTTTTTTTCTGTTTTTGTTTCTTTATTTTCAAGCAAGCAAGCCTCCCATGCAATGCAAAGAGCAAAAGCACAACGCCCACCTGTCCCAAGTTTACCCTTCATTCACTCCTTCCAGTATTCAAGCAAAGGGTATTCAATAAAAAAGGGAAAACAATAATAATGTCTGTTCCAGGCCCATTCCTTGAAGCTCCGGTTATCCGTCCCTTTTTGTTAATGATGCAGATAATAATGATGTGTTGTTGATAATGGTGATGATGGTGGTGATAGTGATGATGATGATGATGATGATGATGATAGTAATAAATGATGCCATCATTGATTTGCCTTCATAATTGTTTGTATTCCAGCCTTTGCCAGTAGCGCTTGTATGAGTTCTCTTTGTGTCCAGTAATTATAAATGTATATATATTTCGCTCAAAAAAATGTTCACATGAAATACAAAAAAAGAAGAATCGAACAGCGCTCTGGTTGGCCCATCCAAAGTAAAACTCCCAAATTATGCCTTGTGTCATGATCTTGGAGAGATGTCGACTCTCCTAGCAGTCTCATCACTTGCCGTGCTCATGTTCGTGTCGCGTCGCCTGGCCTCAAAGGGCCGATGTCTGGTCGTAACTGGCGGTCGCTTCTTAGGCTTAGCCATCAACAGCAGTCCCTCATCGCTATCATCATCGTGCTCTTCATCCTCTTTGTGAGGATGGCTTGTTGGTGCTGGTGGGCGTGTATCATCAGTGCTCACCCGAAGTCGAACACCTTCCATGGAGTTATGGCTCTCAAAGACTTGGTCAATGGGAAAGCCATTGACAGGCTCCTTTGGCAAGGCGGGAGGAGTGAGTGAGTCCTTGGTATCTAGGAACGTGCCTTGCGGGCCTACTGTTCCCGGCCTAAGCAATAGCTCTCCTTCTAAATCTGCCGAAACAGAGCTGGCGCCACTGAGAAGGGCTGGCAGCGACGGATCAGACTGAAAGACGAGCATTCGCTGCGATGCATTAGTTGCTTGTGGGCAAGCGACCACAGGACTGGCAGCTTCGCTTGGACTGGTCAGTGGCGTTCCGAGATGATCCATGGAATCCGTGCTCGCCGTCTTGGCAATTTCTATAGTGCCTCGGCGTGACTGAGCGTCGGATTGCCAATCCTGATTGGCAATCCGTGACCATTGACTCTCCGAACCCATGTCCACTGAGCCATCTTCGCTTACATATGAGGCAGAATAGGCGGGGCCAGGGCCTTTGACGGTGGAGGAGCGTGTAGAAGGTGATTTGATGTCAATGCCATTGGCCACACGGTGAGCGGTAGTTGGGCGCTCCTGGAGTCTGTTGTGATGAAAGTTTGGGTCTGATTGAAGATGCCTGTGCTGCTGGTATGTAGACGGATGCACGGTATGAGGCGACGAGGATAATGGGGAGGATGAAAGTCCGTAGCTATATCTATTTCTCCCCAGATCAACGGAGCGCATCGACCGCGTACTTCGCAAATTTGGAATGCTTCCAGGGGCGACGGCGGTGTTGAGAGCTACTTGAGGCGTGGCTCGTTTGTCGTGGCTCACGAAGAGGCTACGGTCCGCGGAAGGGGAGCGGATAGTGCTCTGTCCCAGGGCATTGAGCTCTGCTCTTGCGCTCGGCAGCTCGAGCTGGAAAGAAGTACGCCTGTCATACAAGGGAGTAGCAGGGACTGTGTGAGGTCCACCAATGTGAGGAGTAAGAGGCAAGAACTGCGGGCCATTTCTAGCCCGTATAGTGCCCCCTCCGTTGCGGTTATTTACGCGACTGGCAGAAGGGCGAAATTCTGACGTTGCCGCCTCATCCAGTTCGCTGTGAGAGCGGCCTCGAGTGATAGCAGATGGTGTTTCAAGGGGACGCAAGACAGTCGCCATTGGATCGTAAGCTGCAGTTTCCCCGCCAACATTGGCCGTCACAGAGTCAGAAAAGCGAGGGTCAATATTTGACAAAAAGTCCTTGTCTAAAGGGGGGATGAAATCGCCTGTGTGAAGGCTGCGGCGCCTATTGATGTAAGGAGTGGGGGGATTCGTGGCAGGAAGTGGTGGCACGGCGACGGCAACAGGTCGCGGCAAGCTATCGCCTCCGGAACTCGCAGCACTACTCGTGGCCCTTCGACGTGAGCGACTTTCGCTGCGGTCGACCAATGGATGCACGACTCTTGCAATTGTCTTCTTAACGGCAGACCGAGCTCGTTCGAGAAAGGTGAGAGGCACGACAGCAGAAGAAACCTCCCTCTCGTTGACGAGAATCTTGCTCCCGCTTGTGGGCTTGGCTGGGTCAGTTTCTTCCAGCCATTGCCTTGGGTTGGGGAGTCCCTGGAGAACCCAAGGGTGCCGCTTGATGTCTTTGAGGCGAATTCGCTTTTCTGGATTCTTGGTGAGCATCTGGCGCAGCAAATCGTACAAAAGGTTGTCCACATCTTCATATTCGACATCGTTGTCATCGCGGTAAGGATACGTATTCTGGCGCTTGTAAAGTGATGTTACTGCTGGGGAGGTTGACGGGTCCACGGGCTTCAATCTCTTTCGCGGAATGTACACTTCCTCGGTGGCAATCTTCTTGAACATCTGGAACTCGTCCTCTGCTAGGAAAGGGATACGGGCGTAGATGAGGCAGTAGAGAGTCACGCCAAGGGACCATACATCGATCTGTTCAGATACCTTGGGCTGGGGCTCGTCAGGGTCAGTGTAGCAAAGTTCCGGGGCGAAAAAGGCCGGGGTGCCAACGGTCTTGGAAAGTTCCAGATCATCATCGAAATCCCGGGCTTCCGACTCGGATACCAAATCATCGGGTTCACCATCACGGATGGGTCGGCCGAAATAGGAAACACCAAAGTCGGAAATCTTGACGCGGTGGTCTTTGCTCCACAGCAAATTGGCAGGTTTGATATCACGGTGAACAACGCCATGGTAGTGCAAATATTCAAGGCCCAGCACAGTATCGCGGAAAGCAGATCGTGCCTGGTCAAAGGTAAAGCAAGGGACATACGAAAAGTCGTCAGCAAAGGGGTCGTGTGCACGAGGGTTGTAGTCGATGGAGGACATGTGGGAGATGATGGAGTCAGCCATGCTGGGAGACCGTTCGCGGAAGCTCATGGTCTCATCGTTGTTCGCGTAGGAACCAAACATGGATCCGTCCAGTGCGCTTGTGGACATTGCTGGTTGGGAGGGGCCGGGAGTGACGTGGTCATCCTGCCATTCGTCCTCTTCTCTGGGATGGAAGCCTGAAGTCCCGGGCGAGGACGAGTTGGAATAGGAACGGGAGGGAGCCAAAGAGGACCGGCGGGAGATTGGCTGGGACATGGAGCCCTCGGTGGCAGCAAAGTCGTCCTTGGAGGAGATACGGGACCAAGGGCTCCCGTTGATCATGTCGTCGGCAGCGCCGTGCTCCACGCTCCAAAACTCGGTTGGACCGCTGTAGTTTTGGGCCATCTTGGCTCGCTTGATCTCTTTGATGGCCTGTCGTCGCTCGAGCATCTGGTCGTAGAGCTGCTCTTCCATGGTGGGCGCCTCTCCGCGCATTTCGCGCTCGGCTCGTCTCCGTTCATACAGGCAGACATGGGGCAGTCCCTTCTTACGCCATACAATCTCGCCCAGCTCGACGTGCTCCAGCACCATGTAAATCTTTTTGAGCTCGGGATCGTCAATGACTTCAAGCAGGGCGACGACATTGGGGTGTCTGATCTTCTTGAGGATGGCGATTTCCTTTTTGGTCTTGTCCTGGGGGGACAGGGCCGTGAGCTTGCCAAGGCGGCGTTTCTTGGAAAAGCGCGGGATGATTTTGATGGCGACATTCTCGCTGGTGCCGAGATTGCGGGCCAGCTTCACCTTGCCGTGCATTCCACGACCAATCTCTTCGATAACCTCATATTGATTGATTGATTTGCGGCCGGTGACGACGTCTGAGTCGATGAGAGCTTTATGGGTCCTGTAATTGGAGGGGAAAAATTTCAATCAGCTAGTGTGTCTCAAGGGCGGCAGCAGAATGGTAATGTTGCAATGCTGCTGTTGAGAAGGGAAAAAAAAAAAAAGGGTTTCAACGAGGATTGCAGAAGAAGACAAGAGAATGTAAAAGAAGAAGAAGAGAAGATTGTCTAAACGTACTCTCTGACTCGGTGAGTCTGCAGCGGGTGCAAGTAGGGGCTGTCGAACGGGGGAGCAGGCGTGTTGCTCTCCGAGAGGGACGAGGTCGGGATATGATGGGCGTGCCTGGCAACCGGGCTGAAGAGGCCCGGCGACGTCGTGGGCGTGCTGCTGGCGGTGCGCAGGGGAAGCGAAGACAATTGAGACAGCTGCGTGTAGAGAGCCGGCTTCGGCTGCGGCTGCTGGCTGTCCATGATGGCGGAGGAGGAAAGATCGCAGCGAGGTGCTGTCGGTGATCTCGAGGAGGGGAGCGTGAGGATTGTCTGGAACGGCTCGCGAGAAGGAAGAGTGCCTCGAATACAGCCGAATCACAGCGCTGGTCAGGGAGGCACCTCACTAACGAAGCATCGTCTCTTGTGCAGATTGCGTCGAGGGGCTCCTGGCGGGCGAGGAGCACCAAAGCGGTTGGCGAGGCGGGAAGCAGGCGATAACGATGCGAGGCGAGGCTATGCGACAGCGGCAGAGACTGAGGCTGGGCACAGAGGAAACGACGAGCGAACAGGCGACGGTGTCTATCAGTGGCACGCTTCTCCGTGCTGAGGGCTTTCGAGTTGCAAAGGTCGAGTCTTGTCTTGCTTCTGCTTTTCACTAAGTGGGCAATGTTGGATTGGCTATGGGGCAAAAAGCGAGCATGAAGGCGGCGAACGGCCTTGGAGCGGGCTGGCCAAAAGCGGATTTGCGGTTAGCACAGTCTGAGTTGGAGCGGGGCGCCGGCCGCATACGGAGTACCGCGTGCCGCAGTACCCTTGGCAGGGATGGTGGCAGCGCTAGGAGGCGGCGTTGTAGGGGAGGAGGAGCGCTGGTAGCCGAGGCTTGCAAAGGCAGACGGCTGGGAAGAAGGGAGCGGGTACTTGGGGCCAAAGTACCAGAGATAAGATCAATAGCGCGGCAGCGATTAGCACGTTTGGCTGTTGATAGTGTGGCAGCGATCGGTTTAGCACTAAACCTTCTTAACCTTCCGCTAGCAATAGTGGCAGCACTACTTGTAAGCAGCCGAGCATTTGCAACGGACGGATGCTTTGTTCTGTGAGTCTGTCAACATTACGAATCGCCGATGTGCGTGGTTGAGGGCAACGACTACGGAGCACATGCCTGCTGTATGTAAACACTGCATATGTACTGTTTCCCTGTTGTCTACTAGGTAGTTGCCGGGCACATACCTGGGCAGCCCCCTTATTATCCTGATCGTCCTCCACTGACTCTGGCTGCCACTTCTCCCCCCAATAGCCTGTTGCAGCGCCGCGGCCCCAGTCGCGCCCCATGGTTCTGCGTCTGCGGCCGGGTCTCTGCGTCTTCGTACATCTTCGTACATGCAGAAAGCATGGCGGCGCGCAGCAACGAGCAAAAGCGCAGCGCATCGCAAAGCGGCCCTTCTCTTCCCTCTTCCCACTTCCCACTTCCCACTTCCCACTTCCCACTTCCGCAGCTGGCCCGCGTACCTTCAGCAGTGGAGCCCGCGCATGTCCCTCGCGCGCCAGGGACGTCACCACGGGCCATTAATCTCGCAGCGCGGCCGAATCATGGCGCGGCGCTGCGCACTTATCTCTGGCCGTGGTGGTGGGCAAAGGCGAAAGTCGGAGCACTGCATGTGGGACAGGCGATGCAATTAGGTAAGGTAGAGATAAGTGCTGGGGCGCGGCCAATTGAACGATCGCACTGTGACGGCCGAGTGACGAGTCACATCTGCTAGGCTGCAATCAGCGTGCTGGAGGGCCGCAGCCTGCAGATGCGTACCGTGCGCCTTGTACAGTGCACTGTGCGATAAGGAGACTGTGGTTATCTATCCAGCCATCCCAGCTACATACATATCTTGGCTGGCGCCGACATCATTGATTTGCGAGGCTTGCAAAGGCGCGCAAAGGCTTGATGGCTGATTGAAGCTTGTTGCGCTTAGATAATCGGCCCAGCCAATGACGCGCCCGTAGCCCCTCTTTTCCTGTTGGATCCTTGCAGCCTGTTCTGCCGGAGAAGTCCCCCCGGCTCTCCCGTCCCGTTGTCATTCCAATCAGGTTTTCTCTCATGCTGCGCACTCAAACTCAATCACGCCTCCATCTGCGATAACTGCTATTCTTACCACGACGACGTGCTACTGGGTAGTGCAAGTACTTTGTACTTGGCTTCCTGAGTATAGTACCGAGGTAGTACCTTACCTGCGTAGAGACGTCGCGCAACGCTCGCTCAACAAACAGCCTGCTCCAATATGGGGAGGCGAGGCCGCCCGTCACTCAACATCACGCCAGAGGAGCGGCTCCAGCGCAGGCGATCACAGCTTGTCGCTTCTCAACGAAAGCGCAGGGCCCACAAACGGCTCCTATCCCAGCCATCTACGTCTGCCGGCGACCCGGCGGCAACATCCGAGAGGCTGGCACCGGCCATACCGACTGTGCTGCATCCCGTCCATGATGCCATGATGCTGCGGCACCGCGCGGGAGTCGCCGTGTCTCAGCACCAAGGCGTCGATGCCACAACCGCAATCGCAAACGCAAACACCACGTTGTCTCCGAGCGCTCGGTCGCCGCCGCCTGCAATTTGTCACCGGTGCGGATCGGCTCCCTTAGACATGGCCGCAATACCCGCGGCCGTGTCGCCTACTTCACCGGCAAGTCTTTTGTGGACTCGTCAACTTGGAACAGATACTTATGCGTTATCCTCTAGACTCGCGAGCCCGATGCCGCCATCATCAATATGGGCTGACGACAGACACGCAAACGAACCCGACGATGCGGGCACCGACAAAAACTCATTTACATACATAGCCAGTCATACGTCACTGTTTGGCCGCGGAGACGATTCCTTCGACTGTCTTGGTAATTCTCTGCTAAGCGAGGAACTTGAAACAACCTCGAACTGGCTGAAACGCCCCACGAACGCTCTCGCTACAGGGATAGACAACGTTTTCTTCCCAGGGCGAGCTACCTTTACCGCAGACTCACTCTGGATGCCATCGTCTCGACAGGAGGATGACCCGATGTTGACTGGCGCGACATTGTGCGGTCCAGCTCTCTGCAGCCCGATGTTGAGTAACGATGACATTGAGATTTGGACGCCGTGGACGGGAGCTAAACAGGTAGGTCTTTGTCGATCCCCTAATCGATAATCTAAAACGTACCTTGATGATGATTGATGGAACTTGTACACTTCTCAAGGCTAATGGCTAACTCTTTTTTTTTCTCTGCACCAGGCGATCCCCATGGGTTTCTGAGATTTATTTCTTGCACACGCAAGCAGCTGTCGCAAGCAATAATCGAAACCTCACATTTGCATTAGCAGTAGTCGAAGATCGACTATACAGTTTCTCGGGCAAAAAACACGCTCCACACCCCCGAGAAACAGATTCGCAGATTTGTGGAAGCATGTGATATTGGCGCATCATTATTTACAATGGAATTTAATACGGGGAGCTATTGTGGAGACAGAGCTGGACATGGTCACACATTTGGTAATCAGAAAATAAATCCGGGAACAAAGAATGAATGGAACGCCTTGATTGTCTTCATGCCCAGTACCTACATATAGGTCCTGTCGTAGAATAAGAACCTGTCATTCGCGCAAGCTGGCTATTTTTAGGGCCCCCATGACGGCTTAGATTCGGCCTACTAGTAATACACAACGGGCGTTTGCTTGGGTGCGGCACACAGTATCACAATTTGGCCCTTCGCCCATTGTGTGTGACGCTAGGGAATGGGATTTTTATTACAGCCAGCCTCTATTGGTCGAACCGCAACGCTGGAAGGATGAGAACAATGGCTTCGAACTTGAAACTTGGGCGGCTCCTTTTCCGCCGCGATTACTACCTACCCTCTTCGTGGGAGTGTCCGTGACTCAGGTTTGTCATACACATTCGTTTGAGAGCACGTGTGCCCCTTTCCTTTTGACTAAACGTGGTGGATGGGAAGAGGGCCGGATAGCTTGCGTGAGTTTTGGGATCAAGTGCCGATGCCGATGATACGCGTCCATGGTGTTGAATGTGACGCGCGCAGGTTATTGGCGAGGCAGGGCGCGATTTGGTGTTGCTTATTACTAGCACCAAGGTTGATGATGCCAAGATTGCGAGCATGCAAAACAGGCTTTTTTGCTTTCCTGCCATAGGTCTGGATGTTTTGTGAGAGGTGATGTATCATGAGTCCATTAATACACTCTACGTCTCATATCCTGTAGTTTGTCATCTCTAGGCTGTGATATCCCTAGGCGAGACATTATCAGTGCGATGGATCAGGACTCGCTTCCTTAATTTTTGCGACTGGGAGATTGAGTGGAAGGGCCCAAGGAAGGATAATAATAATACGTACCGGAGGGTGACCTTAAACACAGCGTTGCTGTAGATGATGATGTGCCGTACTGTATATCGCCTGCCCGTTGGTAGCTTGAGATGAGGCCCCTGATGTTGAACCAGCAAAACATACCGACATTACTGAACAAGAGAAACATAGTGAAGGAGAATGAGTTGTTAAAAGGTTTAATAAAATTCCTTGACTAGACTATCGCAAGTTATTATTAAATAAATAAATATACTTCTATTCATACAAGCCTCTATATCGTTCAGCCAAAAAATCTACATCTCATTCAATGCCATCTTGGCATATTCCGCGCCAAGCACCCCATTCAACCACTCTCCCGCCTCTTTGCTGAGACCGTCCCCTAGTCCAGCTCGTCTAAGCGACTCTGTCCAGTTGGTAATCTCCCATACCGAGGTCCCGTGAAACACAGAGGCATCCAGTCCGTTGATGGCGGCTCCGTCGCTGTGCTTGATGCTCATGTCTTCTATAACGCCATGTCTTGCGAAAAGATGAATGTTCAGCTTAGAATAGCGCATTAGTAATTTACATATCAACCAGATAAACAGTATAAACACTTACATCGAACGGCAGCTCTGGTCGAGGCCGGGGATCCTCCTCCGTCGGATGCGTCGAAAACGTAAATTTCGGCGTCTGGCCCCAAATCCAGCTCTTGGATTTCAGCTCCTGGTAGCCCTTTCGTATCTCATCCACCTCTAGAGCCGTGTCATCAAATTCGCCGCGGAAATGAACGTCTCCATACATGCTCTCGAATTCTCTCACCACCGCATCTTTAAACTCTTGGTTGTCCACGTCAATGTTCCTCACTGGACTGCGCACGCTGTCAACGCCACGGGCATCAATATACCCCAGCGCAGGAGACCGCAATAACCCAGAAATGCTGGCAAGGTTAGGACTTCGAAGGAGACAAGTGCCGTGATGCAGGGATCTCAAACGTGTAAGCTTGTAAGCCGAGCCAGAGATTTTATACGTCTCCATATCGGGCGCTACATCCGACGCCACATCCATGACAATATCATGCCTCTGATTGACGCGCGTGTTCGGCCTCCCCAGCGCTTTCAACGCCCGCACAACCATTTCGGCGTGCTTGTCGCGGTCGAAGCGCTCCGGCGGGCAGATGACGCTGAAGTTGACGTTGCCGGCATCGTGGAAGACGGCGCCGCCTCCGGATCTGCGGCGCACCAATTGGATGGGGGAATCGGTCCAGCTGACGCGGGAAGGCTGCTGCGCGATTTGGGTGAGGCGATTCAGGTTGACCTGGAGCCAGGGATTCTGGTTGCGGCCAAAGATGATGCTCGGGGAGTTGACGTAGAGAGTGAGGACGGTGGAGTCGGGAGGCGTGATTTGGAGGAGGCGGTGCTCGACGGAGAGGTTGAGGAAGGGGTCGTTGGAGTGGGACGTGTAGATTTGGACTTTGTTGGAGGGGTGCGAGGCTGGGGCTGTGAGAGATGAGAAGCGAGAGGCAGAGGATGGAAGTGGTGATGAGGCTGGAAGCAGTGATGCGGCTGAGGATGGAGATGGTGAACGGGTCAGTAGCCGGGCAGTGGTGGCCCTGCGGCTCGACAATTGCGGGATCCTCATTGGATGGGGGGGTGGCGATGGATGAGGAGATTCTAATTTTCTACATGCAGCTTGTTGAGGGCATCATGAATGATGTGCTGGTTGATTGGTGGGGGGTGGCATAAGTAGCTATAAAATTGAAGAAGCTGATGCTATTTTCAGTTGTTAGTTGTCGAATTCTCCATGCTAAGAGGCGGAAGCTAGCACGCTAGCAGCTGTTGAACCCGCATCTACAACCTCTTTTGAATCAATTGGGGTAAGACCCATATTCACAATGCTAAATAACTCTACTTTATATAAAATCTAGATTTTTGGAATAATATTCACCGCTCCAGGTATTGCATCACAATACCTCATCCCGCCTCTTCGTCTACATAAGATGCAGGGTAAGCTCCAAATGCATCCAGGGTCCAGCGCTAATCGCCTCGGACAAAACACGGGAGAATCCTTGCCAATGCACGTCAGATGGCCCCTCGACTCCAAAATTCAAGGAAAATTAAAAAGTAAACAAAAAAAAAAAAAAGGAGTTTATGGAGTCATTCTTCTTTTGTATAAATAATAAATAATAATAATAATAATAATAATAAAAGACAGAGAGAGAGGGAAAGAAAAGTACCAAGGAGAGGCCCAGAGCCAAGTTGGTCAAGAGTTTGAGCGACACAGGCTAATATATGCAAAATAGGTAACGATACTGTCTGTATACAGACAATGACACATACTGCTTTGGCGTCAGCTAAAGCCTACCTTACCTATAGCTAATTATAATTATATTTTACAATCGTTTATCATAGTTATATAATTACGCGAGACCTATTACACCTTCTGCCAATCCTACCACAAAATCTGACGGAAAGTTTCTCTTTTCTTCTTTGAAACAAGAAAATAGGCTACCAATGCAGTCATTTCAATTCCTTCCCTTTCTACATTTTGAATTTCTCTGTACTCGATAATAAGAACATACCTAGGTATTTACAATTCTCCATATACGATATATATATATATAGACAGCAATGCAGCGTTTGACTACGTCCATTCACATGACACGAAATAATAGTAACAATAACAGATAGCATCCGGCTATTCTGCACATCATCAAATCTGATATCCAAAAATGCTGTAGACATTACGTATATGCTTGTAACACGGTTTACCAAAACACTGCGCCAGATTTTGCATCGCTAGTATGACCAAGCGCCGAAAACACCATCCATCCATCGTCCATCCATCCCACCATAGCAGTCTTACAGAAATGCGCCATTGCCGTCATCAGTCAATAGATATCGAATAAACACGGAATGGCGCAACTAAGTGCCTGGAAATTTCATAGCGTTCTATTCACCGCCTATCCAGATTCTTGATGCTCATCAAATAATCCTCCCAGCACATCGCTGGGAATGTATTCCAGCCACCCTCCCATAAGATCCGGCTGTTGTAGCCCAAGGGCTCCAATGTCAATATCCTGGCTGTCAAACGTAATGGCGTCCATGTTGCCCATAATGGGACCCCACGGCCCATGGTAGGCCATATTCTGTGCATAATACAAGTTGTTATGTGCTCCGCCCACCGTGGCAGCAGCACTAGTCACGGCCGTCGAGTTCATCATGCTTCTTGATCCATTGACCGGAGATACGTTGTAAGCATCATATCTCCCAGACCCCTGACCCAAAGTTGCGTAACCAGCAGGCAGCTCTTCGGCCTCTTCCTTTATATCTTCAAAGCTCATTACATTGCGTGAGGCCACACCACTAACATTCATTGAGTTCGTAGTAGCATATGCCGACCGCCGGGGAGAATGTCGGATTGCCGAAATGTTTGGCTGTGGCATAGGGGGGGAAAACATTGCCCCCGCCCCTGGCATTGTAGGTCGAATAGTGTCGTAGGTTATGCTCCCTGGTGATTCACTAGCCGGTCTCGCCATGGTGTGAGAAGTGGGAGGGAATCCAGTAGGAGGTCCTGCGTTGGAGTTGAATGCCTGGTACATGAGTGTCAGGCTCGAATTCGGCGAATGGTTTGTTCCGGATAAACTGAAAGCAATCGGTGAACCGGCCATCATCTTTGGTGACGACTGCTTCTCCAGCCGAGAGAGCTGTTCGCCGATAGACGGCCGGGCTGGCGGCAGCTTAGTGCTCTCATACTCCTCCACGGTATATGTCTCACAGTCCCATTTGCCTTTTGACTTTTGATCCAAAACAGTGAGAATGTACGTCACGCCACCCCAGTATGACTGAATCTGCTGTAAGGAGTTGTAGCATTTTTGGTAGTTTTGATTCGCCGCCGAAGCGAGGAGCGAATGCCGAGATTGCTTGGTATTAGACTTAGCCTGCTGCCGGGAGCGGTTTGTGTTGGAGTTTGAGGCAGGAGGTGGTGTTCCCTCTCTGGATGATCCTTCAGACGCATTGGTGGCGCTGGATTCCATGAGAAAGGCGCATGCGGCAATGTAGATGGGTTGATTGGTGAAGGGATTACCGATGAAACTTTTTGGGTCGATGAGATCGGCAAAGGATAAGATGTCGCAAATCGTCTTTGCGCTGCTCATGCTCAGCTCACGGCTATCAGAGAGGAGCTGAAGCTCGCTTCTCAATTCACAAAAGGGGGTAAGAAGGGTTGGCTGATGCAAGATGATGAAGAGCGCGTGAAACCAAAAGTGAAGGAGGATGAAATTGGTGCCCTGGCCCATGCCAAGGTATGTCTTGAAGTTGCTGACGTTGAACTGAAGCCGTGGATCCCAGTGTTTGTACATTCTCGTCAGCCGATGTTCCATTTCAGATAGCTGATCCCATTTATCTTGGGTAAGGTCCTGGGCATTATGAAGATTGTTCAAAACATCGCACACCTGGCCGTAGAGGTTGATGATTTTGACAAAGACTGGGAACGGATTAGGCCACCCAGTCATCAAGTCATTGTTGGATTCGGGAAAAGCAAGCTCGTAATCGCCGTCTCGTATGGTTACCGGCCGCCCTGTGCCGGAAGAGATGACTCGATCCAAGATGAAGACGGACCAAAATGTGTCGATGCGTTCTTGTTCCACCTCCTTCTGCTCCTGCGGGCTGAGCGTGTCGATAGCGTCAGTTTTATGCGCTTCGGGGCTCTCTTGGTCATCATCATTGGCGCGGCTACGATGTCGGGTATACCAAGGGTCCTTCTCGCCCTGATACTGGATTCCGACGCACTTCTGAAGACCAAGATCGACTGCCATGCGTATGGCCAGACCCAAGTACATCCACAAGGCGCTATCTTGGTTGGCGCCAAAGCCTTCGTATGCCATGAGCAGGCAGGCTTGGACTGCGCCTACAGAAGGGCAAGGGAAAGTATCGACAGTGGCTTGTCTGGCTCTTTGCGCAAAGACTTGGCCCCTCTCTGTTCGGGGCATTTTGTCATTGCCACCAGTGAGTATATGGTTGTCTGAGAAGCGCGCCGCAATGGCACATACGGCATCTACCAAGATCGGCTCGACGCGCTTGTCCTTGACATGGCGCAGGAACTTTTCTTTGTTGAGAAAAGGGTAGTTGCAGCCAACATGAATGAAGAATGCGGTGACGAGTTGGATAATGAGGGGATGGACTGGGGCGGGGTTATTAGGATCATAAGACGGAATGTCTTCGCGGACAATGTCGCTATCCACGGCCGAGCCGCTGGCCATGACGCCACTGGGCGTGGACTGGAGCGAAGGGTTAGAATGCGAGCCTCCAGTAGACCGCCGCCGATCGCGTACGGAAACTACCATTTGCTTGAATCCTGGGACAATGGCCGTGGAGCCAAAGTATCGGAAATAAGGGATGCGACGGCTGGGGATAACCCGCCGGAGAGTGGGAGAGCTGGGTAGATCATCGGATGCAGCTGATGGATGAGCCTGGTGATGGCTCACCACATGATGCTGGTGATTGAATACAGGGGATTGGTGTGGGTCTATATCGTTTGGATTGCCATCGGCACCAAGTTCGATGCTTGGTGCAATGTTGGATGTTCTAGAAATCAGCGGCGGTCGTGAAACGGAAGCAGACGCTGCTGGCACATTGTCTCTTCCCGATGACGTTGGTCGAGTTTCGGACGCGGCACCAGCATGCTTCCTTGCCACAGCGCCATCGTCTTCTGCTTGGTTGAAGTCTTCGTTTGGCGCATCGTCTTCGTCGCCCGGCCTCAGTCCTGAGGGATCGATGCCATCTCTCCTATCCTCGGGATAGCCCAGGCACTGGTGTCCATTCTTGGTGCATGTCGAGCATTGCGGTCGTTCGCCGGCGCATCTTGTCTTACGCCTTCGACAGGTCAGGCACCTGTGTCGCAAGAAGAACGAAGGGCCGTTGTTAGCAGGAATGCTTGTTTATTCGTTTGCCATGTTGGTGCTGGAAGGGCATGTATCTGAAACCGCTGCATATTCGCCACCATTGCTCCAACCGGTTGAGGGGCAAACCAGGCAACATATGGGGGAGAAGAGCAGGCATGATGCGAGACAGATGGGGGACTTACGCTGCATTGATTCTGCGTCGCTTGGACGGCGGCTGGCCCTGGTTATGGACAAAGCGGATCGGGCGAGGCGGGGGACCTGAATCCGGCCGGTTGTTGAGCAGCGTGGTCATGGCTAGACCATGACGGTGATGATGCGGAGCATAAGACACATGTGCGGGCTCTGCGTCTGCGTCTGGTTTTCGAGAGAATGGGCGGGAGCGGGAGCGGCAAATGGCGGACGGTGGAGCGAGATTGGGCGCAAGTCTAGCAGTCTATGAAGCGCCGGAGAGCTTGATTTGGCGATATCGTGTCGACGAATGGAGCTTGGCGAGGTCGTGGAGGGTTGCACAGCAGACGGGAGAACGATTAGGCGTTGTTCTAAGCAGGGGATATCGACGGGCGGTGGCAGATAGCAGGAGCAAAGGTATTATTCGTAATTGAGATTATGGCATTAATTAGGGCGTGGGCACGTATGGGCGAGTAAAAATAGAAACACGAAGCTGGAAAATAGGGATATGGATATGCATATGGGTCACGACAGATTCGCTGGGCTGAAATTGTTCGTGGGATGGAGTTGGAAAGAATGGGGTCTGGTGCCATTGATGGATGTTTTGCCTGTGGGTAAAATGGGCTCTAGCACACAATACAGCGCCAAGCGGAGGCGAGTTCCAGGGCCTTTAGCACGCTCATGCACCCTGCACAGCAGCACGCTCCAGCAGTGCTAAAGTAGGTGCCTTTGGCGCGGGCCAACCGAAAACCTGCTCGGGGCGCGTGCACTGACGTACCTGCTAGTACGCAGCCAAGGTACTCCATACTCGGCGGCAGATGGGCGTCTAGCGGGAGACTCAGGTACCCGGTACCCACTGCGAGTCGCATGCTGCCGAGTTGCATCCTGTGCCGTGCCCCGGATCCGGCCAGAGACGCAGCCAACCGCAGGTCTGCAACAGCGTCTCGCTTTGGCATCACGGCTTCTAGAAGTCTTCCATCGCTTACTTGGCGTTTTATCTAGATTGGAATGGCACTTTTTCTTCTTCTTTTGACCCCAAAGCATCGATTGCAGTTGCAACTTTGACATGGTCGGACGTCAGAAATTGCACCGTCGTTGACAAGTTCCCCCGGCCCCAGCAACACATCGATGCTTGCTTGACTTGCACGATCGGCCCCCTCTATGCAAGCTAAATTATCGAGAAAAAGCTTGGCCATGCTTCGTCTCCGGATGGCGTCCTTATCTTGCGTAGCCATTCTAATGATGAACAGTTTCACAATTGACAGCAGTTCATTGGCATTTGCCTTGTCCTACCCCAGTAGTAGAACATGGCACAGGCACAGCATTTCACGCACAGCACATTCAACCCAAGCACCAAACAAGGCATTTGATAATACAAGAATTGACGCTACACAGCATCTGCCCCAACACCCGCTCTTCCGATTCCGACAGAGAAACCCCCGCATCCCGCCGGTGGGTAGCATCGAGCACCCCGGCCGCTTTGGAGGTTACAGCCTTAGCATCTGATTTGAGCGGCACTTCCATTCGACGTTGTCGTCGAAATGACCAATAACCAACACCAACCAACTTCCTAAATAGGCATCGCCAACGAAGAATGCCCAGTAAGGAAAGGCTGAGAAACGAGCAAAGCGAAGAACGATGCCTTTAGCAACTAGGTATTCTCTTGGCCCGGCCTTCAGGCTATTCTAGCCGTTAGTGGCCTGATGCTTTTCAACTAAAGCATTGTAAAGCAACATTAACTGGATTCGTACGTGTTCGTCGTGGGCTTGTGTTGACTCGGCTTCACATGCCCGCTTTTTCGTATTTTATTCTTCTGCCTAATGAACGACTAGCCTTCTTCTGCCCTTTCTTTTCTCTCTCTCTCTCTCTTTCTCTCTCTCCCTCCCTCTCTCCCTCCCCCTCCCCCTCCCCCTCTCCTTCTTATGGCAGGTGAATCTAATATCCATATACGAGACAGCAATAGCATCTACTAGCAAGTAGCAACACCACTAATAATAACACGGAGTCTATTAGCAGTAATACTAAGCACATAGCACTGCTGCTAGCTTTCCCCATGGATGTCTTTGGCACCTCTCCAGTTAAAATACTACTTGCAACAGCCGTCTCCAAACTCCATCCTGCTACTACTGCTGGGAGCTATGGCCACTGCCCACAAATCCCACGCTTTAGCAGATCGCTAATCCCTCTCTCCCAGCCTTTGGATTACGGATGCTCCGTACCGACATCGCTCAAGCTTTTTTGGCATGCAGGGCGATCCTGCACTAGACCGACTCTCCTCTCCAGGGTCAAGGGTCAATGCTGCACTTGCATTTGCTTCTCCATCTTTTTATCTGATCTTGTGACCTCCAAAATTTCCCCTAATGCTGTGGGTAGAGCAGAGCCCATAATTGCAATTACTGCCCGCAATTGCCATGCACCAACTGCAGCCTCCTTTTGACAACACGAGGGGGCTGGCAAGCCGCATGGCCCGAAACTTGGCGCTGCAACGCAAGCCATCTCGGAGTCGCAGACTTTTGCCTCCCTGCCACGCGCAAATAGATCCATGTCCGATCCCATAGTGCTTATTTCTCTTCAAATCCACTATTAGCCCTCTGCTAGTATCTGCCATCCAACCAGTCACATCTGACGGCCAGCGTAGATGCTGTCATGTTGTCCCAACATGCTTCCCACGTCGTGGCACTCGGACACAGGAAACTCTAAAACTCTATTTTTTCTAGAATAGTCCATCTCGCACAGAAATGCGCAGATAGGTACACAGTGCCTATTTTGCACTGTACTGAGACAAATAGTCCCTGCAGTCAACCAACTTCCTTTGGAGGCATACTGCAGCCGGTATATGATATATCCATGAGAATCAATTAACAGTTTAACAGTATTTATACATAATGCTTCTTCTGGTTTTGAGTCCTTTCTTGAAAAAAAAAAAACGCATCAGTTTCGTTTGTTTCGCTATAGGAAGGGCTCTTTGAATATTCCAACTCCCCGTCCGTCTGTCCACCGTGATAACATCTCCAACGCCTCATATGAAACTGAAGCCAGCTAGCAATGACGTAGTCCATCACCTGTTCGCCTGATTCAGCCTGTCGTAGTCTCAGGAGAGAAAAAACAAGCGAAAACTCCTTTGAAATCCGCTCCCATCCATGCCGTGGTATTAAAAGCTTTCATTATACAATCTGCAATGCGTCATCGCTCCCAAGATTCGCGCTGCTCATCGTGTCTATCCAAAGACAACCGATACCCCCATATCTTCGCTGACTCTCCTCCATAAATCCTTCTTTCGCTCATCAACATGTATTATTTCCTCTTCGATATCTTCGCCATTGTCCGCTCGTCTCCAAACTTCCTCCACTATACACCTTGCTCGCTCGATATTGGTCATTCCCTGTCGCTGCCCAACAGCCGCAAATGCTTGTCGGGACATCTCTCGGTCCACCGGATCAATCGCCTCACACGAGGCCACAAAGAGTGGCCAAAGCAGAGCGCCCATGGGTCCTTCGTTATTCACGGTTCCAATACAATGGAGAAGGCTGATGTGCGTGTGGCGTTGCACAACGGCATGCCGCCGAGAACGGCCGTAGATGGTTCGGTAAAGGTAAACAAATCCAGAATGTCGATATGCCATTGCGCTGTTTACAATGCTCTGCATACGCTTGCTGGCTGTGGTGACATTTTCTTCCTCGTTTGGCGAAGATTCCTCTGGTGGAAGAGCCCACTCCTGTAGAGCAAGCTCCACTGCAGAAGCCGTCGTCGCAAATTCCGTTCGAAGTATTGCTATGTTTGAAGCATCGCCTCGTAGCTCAGCCAAATGGAGTTCTTGCTTCAAGTCGCCTAGAGTCGAGAGTCGGTGTATAATGGGCCATAAAGAAGTAGCCATTCCAAGTAGTGCATCAGCTCCTGCGGAGACTGTAGCACCACGGCAGTCAACGGGAGGGAATGGAGCAAAATTTCCGCTGTCTGGTGCGGGCAGGATTGGGGTAGAGCCAAAGGATAGTGCTGTGATAACGTCATAGAACCGGAAGGCCTATATTTTTGATGGCCGTAGTTAGCTAACAAAAGGCTGGCGACCCCTAGGCTGCAAAAGAACTCACTCGTTCTAAGAAAACTGCGGTTGGATCAGACATTGCTTGGCTATTGTACATAATAGCTACAGCACCTCGCAGGTGTCCGTCGACGATATTAGAGCGGCCAGTTTGAACCAGCTGTATTGTATCAAGGTTAAGATAGTGCCGTGGAAGAAGCAAAGAGCAATGGCAACTTACCACCTCATAATAAATTAACAGGATGATGGCAGCTAATAATTCATTTCTTCTTGAATCACACCCCTTTGCTATCAGAGAAGACAGCCCACGGATGGCATGGTTGTGGAAGTGGATGCTCTTCTCGTTGTTTCGTACGCCTCGGTGTTCCATGTGAGCACTAGCCAGTGCAAAAACAGCGTTTAAAACAACTGGACTCTTTTGGCATAATGGTAAAACAAGCTGCTGAAACGGATTGCCTTCGTCTTCACGTAGGACAATGAGATGAGATAGCACATTGGCGAAGTGATCAATCAGCGCTCGTCTATTTGTCTGTCGAGAAAATTCGGCAAAGGCGGGCATTACAAGTTCGATGGCGGGGAAAGAAGGTGCAGTCGATGTGGAGGCGACCACTGCGAGAGAAGAATTGTGCGGGTTAGAGTTGGAAGCTTCATCGTCGATGAGGGTGATGGTTTGGTTGTCGTCATCGTCATCGGCATCGTCATGCTCCGTCTCCTGCTTTGCAGGGCTCGTGACCGCATCGAAATCCAGCCCGGTGATATCCAAACAGCCATCGTTTTCTATTGTGTTAGGGGCCCATGTCGTAAATATCTCATCCGCAACATCTTCACCGTATTTAGCTAAAGTCGGCTGCTGCATGCGGCCATCCACGGTGAGATCATTGCCGAGATATGTGTCGGAGCACCACAGAAGAGCATCTTCCCATTGCTCAAAAGACATTCGTTTCTGGGCGGCTCGAGATAGCGTATTGTTTTCCAAAACCACAGAGGAAAGTGCATTCACTGATGAGTCGTCGAAAGAATCTTGCCTCCGCCGTTGGCGCGGCTTAATAGGCTCATATATACAGCTCTGCCCATGGTCCTGGCAGCGACTGCATATAGGTCTGATTTCATCGCACTTCTTCTTCTATTACGATGGCGTTAGAGGGAATCAGGAGTAGAAACCTGCAGTAAGATGAGATGTTACCTTTTCTTTGCTATAGGAGAGCAAGAAACATGGGTGTTAGCTTTTATGCTTCTGTCTATCGACAGTAAACAGAGTCCAACTCACCAATAGTTACATCCTTCAAATCCAGTCACAACGGCAATTAGTAAAAGACCCCTATCTCATATCGCTCAAAGAGAGCGGCGAATTCGGATTTTAGCTTACCAGCTCTAGAACGGCGCTTTGGAATTTTTGGTGGAGCTAATCGAGTATACAACAACATGTCTTTGACAGCTTCGCTTAGTGGTTCTCAAGAAGATATGGCGCTGAAAAGATGGCGTAGCGAAAGTCCTCAGTAGCCCATCACCTACTCCTACAGAACTCAGAGTGGAAGAGCACTCAGAATCGAGGGTTCAGATCGGCAAAGGTTTGACAGTTTCTGAGTATTGATCCAAATGTAAAAAGAACAAACGGAACTTGGCCGTTAGCCAGAATGACACTGCCAACAAAGGAGTACAGGGCTGCTTTGCACGTGGTGATCGCCGGCAACCAGCGGCTTCGAGAGCGGATTTTTTTTGGCAGACGGGAGATGCCGAGAAAGGGGTTAAATAAGATTGTAGACGGGACGTTTGGTTGATGAAACGGTCGGAGCGGCCTAAGCGTATGGAGTAGATAAAGAGAGGAGACTTAATTGTAGATGATGGGAAAAGGTCAGCAGATTTGAAGCCGGTCTTGACATGGAGGATTAGCCGTTTCTCCAGACGCTTCCACAGTGTCCCACTTTGTTCGCCTTGAAAAAGTTACCTCACGCTATCCGTACGGTTCACCACATTCCGTGGTTTCTCAACACGGCTTAAGCCAGGTCAAGGCACCAAGTTCTCGTTGGAGGCAAAAAGTGGAGGCAGGACTAGCATGCGGGGTTGGCACAGGCAGGCCTGAAGATCGCTGTTTTAAACACAGTACGGATTCGCATGGGGAGCACCCTAGGCTGCCAAAGGTGCTTCGTACTATGGTAGGTGATTTTCTGCTATCTTGCATGGGTGAGGAGCCAGCTAAAGACGCTCAATAGAGGAGCTTTGGCTATGCTGTGCAGCCCTGTGTCTTCCGTCAGCCGAGCATTTTTTTGAACCTAGCAGAGATGTCTACTACTACTGCGAAAACGATGAATCGCAGAGACAAGCGTATTGCATTATACGCAAGACGACTTTCGCGCTCTACCTTTACTCCGCACCAAAAACGGAGGTTTGACCAGTTTTGGGATAACTGGTCACTGTGACGCCTTGGAGGCAAGAAGGGGGCAAGGTCCCTGGCGTGCCTTGGAAAATGTGAATGAAGATGGAGTCCGCCATTCGGCCTATTGCACCGTGAGAGCGGGGAAGCGGGTTGGCTAGTGAGGGCGACGAGGGTTTTTTTTTCTCCACGTTTTCGCGTCAAACTACCGAGGGCCTGGAAGCAGTCCGTGATTTCGATGTAACTGAAAAACACTGTACCTGCTGTGTAAGGAATGGAGACGGCAAGCTTCCGTACAAGTAGAAGGGTATTACTGCTGCTTTCTGCCATTATTAGCTCGAAGCTTCCAAGAGGCGCCGCAATATTGCAACATCACTTACGAGATCATGTCACGTATAGACGCTGCTCATGGATCATATGACAGGCCCTCCGCCCATACCCATGCCTGTATCCAAGGCCTTGCCAGTTCCTGGGTGGCCGCGTGTCGGCCAGGTAGCATGTTGCGCCCAGAATATATCCTGAATCCAAGGACGACGACCCGAGTCTCTCTCTGGAATCGCCATCTCAATCGTCTGTCTGCCTGTCATTGCCATCGCGCGACGTGATGCCGAGGATCATGCCTTCGTTAGGGGGTAGACTAATAGTGGATGCTAGGAAGCACTTCGGCGCCTTCATCTTGGTCTGTGACGTTTCTGATCCGTCGCCGCCACATGCCGGATCCCGGTCTAGCGCCTGCACACGGTACGTGCAAATATGTACTTCGGTCATGGAGCCCGGCTCGCTGGCTGGTCCTTCTTGATGAGTGATTCGGCATCTGATGTTCTGATCCTGGTGACATTGCAGAGTTCAGAGTGTAACTTTGCCGTGGCTCTGCTGTCGAGCCTTCTCTGATGAGCTGTGGCTTGGCCGTGCACCATCCGTCGCAAGTCGGGATTAGATAATATTCCGGCCGCTGCCTCAGGTTGTCAGATCAGGTAGCAGCACCTCACCTCGACCTCATCATGTAATCCGCAGATTTCTTACCTATGCAAATTCTTCGTATATTACATTCGTACATACGGCAGCACCACTTTTGACATTCCGTTCGTCCTTCTGGTGAACTTCCTAGAGGGGCTCCTGCAGTGATGCTGAGTGCTTAGCCCCAGCGCCCCAGCACCCCAGCGTGCCGAGCCTGTCGATACCGACTTGCAGACGGGCAGGCAGGTCTACGGGTCATGATGCTAATTTTGGCACACCCGCACCGTCGTATTATTGGCGGCCTTGTGTAGAGCTTTTGCTGCATCCAATATCCACAGCCAGTCAGGCGGGGTAGAGCACCTCCATTACAACGTCGAGATGGCACATCACGCGAGAGCCACGGGGACCACGACTTGGCAGCCAATGGCGATGGAGCGAGATGCATCCGCGCGACGGGTGCGATGGAGCGCTGCTGCCACACTGCAGATCACAGCCTCAGTGCTGAGTCCTGCAATGGAACCACCCTTCAGCGGCATCCTCTTCAAATTTTCGCCCTTGGGCACTCTCGATTGCTGGAATTAGCCGTCATCTCCACCGCCTGCCCGCGTGTTTGGCCCGTATGCAAGGGATCTTCGATCTCAAGGCGCTTATTTCGTCTGATTCACAGCTTACAGCCTCGATATTCAGCCTCGTTTGTCGCGGCAGCAGAGACTGGCATCATGTCTCTTTCATTTAATCGCGGCCCCCTCGTTACTTTTCGAGTGGACCATCAGCGCAGCGTACGGCTATATCTATAGAAGTGGCGGGGACGCTTCACTATATCCAGCAACATAAAATACGAAAGGAAACATTGGGCTCTCAGCCAAAACTATTAGAGAAACTCTTCTGTTTGAACAAATCTCGTCTTACTTATACCTTCTACTTTTGATCGCTCTCTTCAACCCGAATGAGCAACGAAATCTCATTTCATTTCACTACACTGGCCTGCTCCAGGTAGTCGTTTACGGCTACTGCTCATCACGATGCTTGCTTCTACGCCAATCTTGTACAGCGTGTTGCTGCCTGGGACCTTCTTTGGCGCAGTCGTGGGGGCTTTGGACTACAGACGGTATGATGGAGTCCACCGCGTGACGAAATCACCTCAATCTACACAACCAATCGCGGCGACAATAACAACGGCCATCAATACAAGCGTATCAACTAGTATCGCGGTCACATTTGCAACAGTGGTCGTTAGCGCCAAGAATTCAGATATTCCAATTCGTCTTAGCAGGTTGGAGGGTCGAATGAATGGCGATGGCGCCAGCCAAGCAGCCGGCACTAGCACTTCCACCTCCATCCCAGAATATGCGTCTTCAGCAGCTGAGACGGACAACAGTGGCAGCGACAGCCAGGATAGCCTGTCATCGACACAGTTGGGGGGTATAATTGGAGGAGCTGCTGCGTTTCTTGCATTAGTGGTTGCTGTGGCCTGTGTTTTGATCCGGCACATTGACAGGCTAGCTGACCAGATAGCCAAGATACCTCGATCATCCAAGTCTACCAGCACAAGGAGATCAAGACCTAAGCCAACCAGCATATCATCGTCAGATACCGATAGCAGAGATTCGCGAGAGGATTCTGTCATCGAGTCAATGCGGCGGTCATCATTACGGCGCTCACAAGCTCATCGGAAAGCTAGATCTACAGCTCGTCGTAACAACCAGCGCCGCAACGGTCTATACGTTGCTGCAGCCGGCAACCCTCAGGGAGAACGTGTCCAAGAGAACCAGGATCGTTCAACTGATATACCCCTCCGAACATTACCTCGGCCTACCATCAATCGCCGCCCTGTCCCGGCTCCAAATCCGGCGCATGCGGGCATTGTGTCGCCTGCACCAATTAATGCTATTTCTCCGAGGCTATTGAGCTCACCATCACCGGTCAGCGCCATATCCTCGGAACTCGAAGCGTGCTCGCTTGCGCAAGAATTGGCTGGAATATCATCTGCGGAAAGCCTGGCAGCAGACTCGCTCATACACTATGCCCGAGATATACCCCCGAGTGATCTCCCGAGGGTTGCTGTTAGGCCGCCCCTCGCATACCAATGGATGAAGAGCATAGGTCTTCTGAGGCAGTCAGAGAATGTGTCTCCCGAGCACTTCAGTCTCGATGATGATGACGAGGAATGGCACGGATTCTACGGAGCCAGAGGCTATATGGCAGGACGAACTGGACTTGGTATAACCTATCCAGAAACCTTGGGGGAGAGTCGAGTACGGATGGGCCACGTCAGAGAGGGGAGCAATTGACATTTATGATACCACCAGCATTTCCAACCTTTTCTATTAAATACCCAGGATACGAATTTTCAGCTCATAGAGGAGGAACTCAATGGGGAGGTTTGAATATTTTTAAAACTGCATTGCGGTTGCATACGGCGCTATTTTGCATATGATACAGCGAGGCACATATTGATTTCATGCTACATACATACATATATAGTACACGGCAAGAGTATGGGAATAGCAGTAAAGCTTGTTTAAAATAGAATATAGAGAATGTAATAGATAATGTTAATGTTACACTACCAGTATTGCTCAACATTTAGCGTTTCTTCCATGATATGCTTAGGATGAAAAAATACTACCAGAGGGGCTGAACAGGCAAGAGCTAGCTTCCTAGTTGGGAATAATGCAACCGATATGCATGAAATAGGCCGTGTGGCTCAATGGCAGAGCGTCTGACTACGATTAAGTACATCAGGAGGTTGCAGGTTCGACCCCTGTCTCGGTCAATTTTTTGATCTTTTTTCCCTTTTGCTTACAGTAAATAAGGCTTGATCATTTTACAAGCAATTGCGGTCTGTAAGAAATTATTTTTTACAACTATTTTAATAACTCTTGTCTGGAAAAGTGTAAAACGTATATTATGTGCCTTACATATTTACCCCGCAAAGTGCAACTGCCTTGAAAGGCTTCGCGATATAGACAGTGTATACTACCCTAGAAGAGGCAGGAAATTTTACTTGAGGTAATACCTACTAGGTATAGAGTGGTACCAGTAGTAAAAATTATTTAAAAGCTCCAATACAGAGCAAGTTAACCATGTAAAGGAGCGTCTAATATAAAAGAAATCCAACGGGGTGGTCCTCGTCAGTCAATTATTTTTGGCTAGGCGACCATTTCAGGCAGGAGAAGTGCCTTTACACGAGGGTGAGAATCGAGTATTCAACTGTATCAATTCATATGATGCAACGAAGTGAAGATGCAGTTTCAGCTAATTCAGTAATTCACTAGACCTATTAGCGCTGCAGCTTAACAAGCGAAACTGCATGTACCCCGCGTGTTCTTCCCTAGGCGATGAGGACTCTCACGCTGATTAGTAGCTGGGGCAGCCACCCCCATTGTGCATATGGTCTTTTCATGGCGGCAAAATCACTGAACAGCAAGTCTCAGCGCCTGGCGCTCAGTTCTTGATGTGAATACCGACAGTCGGCTTCCATCAAATAGGCCGTGTGGCTCAATGGCAGAGCGTCTGACTACGATTAAGTAAATCAGGAGGTTGCAGGTTCGACCCCTGTCTCGGTCAAGCAAATTCTTTTTTTGCCTATTCCGCAATGGGGAAAGGAAGAAAACTTGCGTAGGATGCACCTTTGATGGCTTTTGACGATGTCGACCATTTTTCTTCTTCTTTCTTCTTCTTCCTTTCTTTCGATTTCCATGCTACTCTTGGATTACTGATGAACACAAGTTTCTTTTTCGCTGATCATCAAACAATTGGAGCTGCTGGGTCCCAGCGATCGATGGGCGTGCTGATTGCCCGATCTGGCTCGGATACTGCCGATGGGGTCAAATTGTGCATCTGGATCTGCGTTCCACACTAGATGGATGTGATGAGAGAATCAATAGCTGGTCCGAGTGTAGATGGGTTTGGCGACAATGAAGTAGACGTCCTCTATATATACCATGGAGTTTTAATGGGCCGTTAGAGGCAAATGCTGCATCTAGTAATGCTGAGCTTGTGCACGTAATATATCTCGAGCCCAGGCCAAGCTACGTTACACCAAATAGAGCGACCTAGGCTTCCGAGTGTGCCGCCCAGTCAAGAGATTCCATTTCACGGATTTCCCTGAAACCGAGCAATTGCTGGAGATGATTCAAGGCCTTAAACTAAAACCTGGTTGTCTCCAAAGAGCAAAGAGAAAGTATATGAAGAGACCAGACTTCAATGTTGTTGCTCCACGGTAGAATGGTTCTACCTATTATCCTTCTGTCATGACGGTTTGTCTTGGTGCTCTTGGTACCTTTATAGGCGTATCTATTAGAATGCTCTGGACATCAGTGGCCAACATGTATATCTTCTCTTAGGTACCCGTTGTGGGTAAAAACAACACGAGCAAAAAAGCTCATCTTCCAAAATAGTACCTCCAATCCCTCCGGCAAGGGCTGCCACGTGGATGTTGCTATAAGAGAGATGCATTTTATTTACTGGCACAAAGTGAGGATACATGTATCCATCCCCTGACTACCTATCTTGGCGAGGAACTTTTACTTCTCTGCTTCTTCCATTCTTCACTTTTGCCTATTTCCCTCCCGCTGCGGATTGATTTCTTCAGCCCCAATGCACCTATATCATTTCGGGCTCCATCCGATAAATTACGCTCGCATCCCAGCACACGCATCGGCCAATAGAGGCACCTGTCAAACCGGCCACGGCGGGTAATACAGCGCTGTTAGCGTCCCAGTACCTGCAGTTTAGGCTCCCGCTAGAAGGAATCGGGGCTAACCAGCACCGCTAGAGCAGAGCCTTCGTGCCAATTTCTTCATCAGGCCACGCCAATTGATGACGGCATGAGGCCGACCTGAGCTTGCATCTTGGCATCTGGAGTTTTTACTCTGATCCCTTGTCTTGGAGACATTCCGGTGGTTCTGCTCAAGGGACTTGTGCTCGTATAGGCTGAAGTTGTTACCCAACAGTGAGTGCGTTTTAATTTCATCCAATCGTTAATACAAAGCCCCCCTTGCCACGAGGCAAAAATGTTGGCTCCTATGCCCGGTTCCTGCATGCCTGCATCTGGATATTTGGTAATATGGCAATGTTCACTTGCCGTTTAACCGAAGAGCGACTTGGCGTGTTGAATCGTAGAGGTTGAGCAGACACTGATGAATTGCTAGTTTAGGTCCCGGAAGTTGAGCTTGGATCCGATACTGCGACTGAGACAAAGAGCCCTATGACCGCTGGGCAAATACGATTGATTCTCTCCTTGGTCTAATGCACCTGCAGCCAAAGCAAATCGTCATGTTTGCACAAGCATCAGCACCGGTGGATGGAATCAAGAGTACGCGTCTCTGAGCAGGGTCTTCCTGTTCCAGCTGCCATGGTCTTGTAATCGTGCCAACGGATCGTACGGATAGCAGACTGGAGTCACCTACTGATGTTGACGGGATTTTGTAGCTGTATCGCCGCTATAAAGTGCGTACTAATACCAATATTGACCAGGGTCGTTTTCTTGGTATGCAGGGAACAAAGAACCTGGTCAATCTAGCAGCAAATGCACCCGCTTCCAACTCTCCCAACACGGCCACCGACGGATTCACGTCTTTGCAATCTTCCAAGCTGAGATAGAGCACTCCGCAAGCTTGGATGAGTTGCACCAAGTCCCGGAAATGGGCCGTTTGACACTCGTCAGCCCCAGATTATTCCCGCCTCATGGGAGATAGAGAGGCCCCGATAGGTGGAGAGACATCAGCCACGAGGCTTTTTAAGAGCTGGCCAACCTCGGGAACCTCTGCTAGCTTCCGCGATGGAGCTGAAGTGACGGGGAGGCCATGCTTTTTGATTCGGCTGGTCGCGCCGACGAGGGCCTGTAAGAATGGAATACGCTGCTTTAGTTCATTGTGAATCCCCAAAGCGGCCACCTGCCGGCCAAATTCGAATTCGGCCCCGAGCCCAATTGTCCTCTATACGGCCCCGACTACTATATAGTGGCTGTGTGGCGCTCTCTACCCGTCTTGCCTTTGTTTTGTCCCTTCTTCTGTATTCCTGTGTTGGCCAATCATCATCCACCCCAGCGGATCGCAACTCAAGTCTCCCTACCATCTCCCACTGTATCAACCATACTCGTCGAATACCGCAAAGATGAAGGCCTCCATCGTCTTGTCATTCGTTGCTGCCGCTATGGCCAGCGTGATCGAGCGTACCAACGGCTGCAATGCCGATAACTGTGCTCGCGCCGTCACTGGCACTCGCGACGGTCTGCTGCCTATTTCCTCTCGCAAGGCCGACTGCTCCAGCTTTATGCGAGTTACTGTCACCCCCCATGCTACGTATGTACCCATTCACTCACTGTTTTGAACTACATGTGCCATTTATAGTGAAAGGAGTATATCGGATTACAATACTGCTGCTAACTGGATGTGAAGAACCACCACCATCACCGTCACTGTTCACCCCGGTATTACCGCCAAGCCCAAGAACGATGTCAATTACGCCGCCGCTACTGTCTGTCCCACGGCTGTCCCTGCTTATGCCTCTGCTTGCGATGGTGCTAAGAGATACTCCTCTGCCTGCTCCTGCTGGGGCATCACTGCCACCACTGTCACCGCTCACACGCCTACAAAAACTGAGATTGTCACCGTTACTCAGAACTACTGCGAGCTGTAAATGGTGGACACTGAGAAGTAACAGGAAGGGATGGCTATTCACAAAATAGGACTTTTGATAGAGTGAAAGATTTGCCACTTATAGAGGCCGGTAATTGAATGCTAGCTACGCCTTTGGAACTAGCTGACAATCTTTATGACGAATACGATAGAGCATGAACAGATGCAAAACATGCATGTTTACTTAATAGCGTTCCTTAGGTAGCGAGCGACCAAATGTCAAACAATTTAGTCACATACTGCTGTTACATGTCGCCGAAGAAGGTGGAATAGAAGAGATGAGAATGGAATAGAACAATTCTGACAATCACAGAATTGGAGAATCACCAAAGATCACGCAGTTCTCTCAGCGGCGTTGGCTGTTCTGATGTGAAAGGGTTAGACTTGCAACTGCAAGAGGAGGAATCTTTGCCTGTGATGAGCCTGCATTATGATAAAATGACGACATTTCCAATATTAACCATTTGATGTTGGAAGAAAGGTTACATCTTTTAGTCGGAATCTTGAGACTGAGAGGGCATAGTTGCAGTTTATACTTCAGCCTTAATTTACACTTAAAGCTGATAGGTCACGGCCTATCCCAAGAACATAAAGTATTAGCACTTATTATAAGATAATAATAATAATAATAATAATAATATATATACAAAAGATCACATACTAATTATTACGACTAGGCACTTAATGGTTGTAGAATGGCCAAGGCACCAAATGGCTGCGAAGTATCAGTGCGCTTTGCGCTTTTTGTTGAGCTCTAATGAATAGAATTAAACCAAAATATTTCAGAGATATCTGGAAGCCCACCAATTCTTGTGAGATACCATCATGAAAGAGAAATTTGTTTTTGACAAAGCCATATATCCGGGCGACTGAGAAATAACCTATTCCTGCTCCACTGTATGGATCGAAATAAGTTAGACTATACAGACATCTTTTGCACCAATTAAAAAAGTAAAGTTTTCCGCAGACATTTTAGACGGAGCACAGTCACGATGATTATTGCTGACCCGTTAGAGCCCGTCCGGAGAGTGAGAAGCCCCAACATCACATGCCATTGGCAATCTGGAGCTAAATTAGAAGTCCGCGGGCCTACAACTACTGCCGCCCCAAGGTTAAGAAAACCATTTTCTTGGTTTTACGCACAGTTTATTTTGAAACCGATAGTTTGTAAGGGGTCTTTTCCATAATTGACATGTAAGATTAATACCCATGCATACCTTATCGGAGAGCCTAGTATGTGATGCGCGCTCCCCCACGAAACGAGAGGGAAAAAAGAATAACCCCCCCCAAAAGTGCTAAGCATAAAGGGATTTGCTCCGTGGAAATTGACCGAACTCAAAAAACCTATGGCTGTCAACTAAGCTCCACCACAGCGGACCAGCTGGCCATTTGAAGCTTAACCCGAGCCTCTCCAACGCCCACGATGCCCGAGAGCTGAGGTCGAGAGAGAGTCGCACGGCACGGATATCCGATTAGTCTGTAGCCATCCAAAGAGGTAACAAATGAAGATCGCCGGATCTAAGCTGGACGCCTTGATCGAATCCGGTAGGATATTACCAATTTGATCCAAAGAAGTCTCTAGCAGCACGCTATGAGAGTCAGTCACCGCTGGATCGGTATCGCGTAGAAAACCAGTGTGGAGCTGAGCTTCTTCTTGTAGGTTTTCTAGGATCCGGCATTCGCCTTGGACGCCCGCCTGCTCCGTGAGTTAAGCTTCAAGATAAGGCCTGCGAGGAGCTGCAATTACCGACGATGACGAAGACGGGGGAGGCTGAATGGGAGGCCGGGGGGGTTTGAAGAGGGTCGCAGCCGAGATTATAAGACGTTTTACAAGCTCATCCCCTTTCTTGGCGGAACTACATCTAGAGCTCGCATCCCGCTCGTCTTGTTGATTTCGTCGTCAACTATACTCTTCAGAAGTTGTCCGTCCTAAACTCCAATCCTTGAATTTCAACTCTGTCCGTAAACATGACTCGATTCGCTCAGTTCACTGCTGTTGCCCTCGCGCTGGTCGCCCCGGCATTCGCAGCTTGTGATTACGGAACCCATCTCTATCCCCGAGAGCGCACCGTCCCGGTCAGCACTTTTGGCTACAATGACCTCATTGGCCCTCTGAACTGGTTCGGCCTCAACAAGACTGCCAACAAGCTCTGTGCCACCGGCCAGCACCAGTCTCCTATCGTCCTGGACTCTTCCATCGCTACCGCCCACGGCAGTTCCATCTCCTTCAGCGTGGAACCGTCCCCCCTTGGAAGCGAGTTTGAGAACTTGGGCAGCACTCTCGAGGTGCCCGTCAACGGCTCACTCAAGGCCGATGGCAAGGACTACACGCTGGCTCAGTTTCACTTCCACACTCCTAGCGAGCACCGCATCAACTCTGAATATCACCCTATGGAGATGCACTTTGTGTTCTCTGCCCCTGGTGAGTAATGAGCTGTACCTGGTAATCCAGTCATGGGATTCAATCTAGGTCTTATGCCAAGAGCTTATGCTAATGCCGTTTTTTTTTCTTGCATGTGAATAGACAAGTCCACTGCTGTGGTTGCTTTCCTGATCGCTCTCGGTGTGCCCGACCTTCTGCTGTCCTCCGTCTTTAAGCATGTTGAGGAGATTGCGACTCCTGGCCACACTACCGAGACTGGACCTCTCGTGTTTTCTGCGCTGGAGAGCCACCTTACGTCCAACGCCATCTACACGTAAGTTGAAAGCCTAAATTATACAAGATTTGCTAAACTTGAAGCTGACTCAAAATGAAATAGTTACTCTGGCTCACTGACCACTCCTCCTTGCACCGAGGGCGTTACTTGGTACATTAGCTCCCAGCCTCTGCAGATTGACCAGGTTACCTATGGCCGTGTCAAGGAGGTGATCAAGTTTAACGCTCGCTACACCCAGAACAAGCTTGGCGGCGTGAACCTGCTGCAAAACATTGCCGACGAGCTGAAATAGGCTTGGTGTTGAAAATGACGGATTGCGTGTATTATTAGTAGCTGTACATAAATTTTTGAGTGTCTATATGTGCAGCAAATGAATGGGCTGGGTCCATGGGTGTCTTGTTTTGTTCTTCTTTGGGGCGTGGAAAAATAAAGCTGTAAAGTATAATGCCAATAGGTAAAGTTTTCAATATGTCAAAACATGTAATATGGATGGATAGCTCCCGTGAAGCTTCTTACTACTGCGGATTGTGGAGTTGCCGATGTAGGGGTGCAGTTTAGCAACCCCAGTGTCAACTATATGCAGGGACTTGGCCGTTGCAGAAATCTTGGCTTAATTTAAGCTTTCAACTTACAAAACGCTACTATTATTATCGCCATGGTGTATAGTATAGAAGACGCAGAGGGGTTTGTAGCAGTAATATCTGTCTTGTGACAGCTCCACACCTTTATTTGGACCGGCAGGGCGGGAGATGCCGCGAAGGTTCATCTTAGCAGAGTTGAGCGGTCAACTCACGCTGCTGTCACTTACAATGGGACTTATATAGGTACTACTATATATACCTACCTAGTAGGTACTACAGAATGCTGTCATTGTCAACTCTATGAGCATGTGCCCACCTATATTCTGGTTGCCTTATGTAAGATGGAGAGCATATAACCTGATCGATTTGGCGGTGAGAGTGGAGGATACGCGTTGGCACTTTTTTTCCCGCTATTCTGTCGAGGTTAGCACGTCATGCTACAAGCAGTAGCCAGATGGAGAGTGACTACATGCATGAACTCTGCTTGTCACAGTTCTCCTTACTCCTACTTGCCCAGCAATTCTTGGTACGGGAGAAAGGATGAGTCTGCCGCCCATCATCCCCAGGTTAACCGCTCTTGGCACCGTAAACTGATGCTGCCATTGTCGCAGGAAATAAACAAGTCGTTGTTGCTTCTGCTACCTGCCAATCGTCCGTTTCATGCCCCCCCCTGGCTGGGAAAACTGGAATTGTGGACCAGCGACAGGGGGAGTGTAACATCGCTGTACTGTAAGGCATCTATGTGATCGCTTCAGGCTGCAAAGCACATAACAATGGCGTTGATACTGCTGTCGACGAATAACAGACTCAATTGGCGCGCAGAAGATGGGATGCATTCAGAGATGCTTTGCTTCTTCTCCCTCTCTTCCTTGCATGTTCCGTAGCTGCAGCAGTCAATCATTCAATTGACAGTGCTGTTGAGAGAAAAGGCACCGTTCTTGGGCGTCTACAGGCTCCAGGGGCTGGTCGCTAGTGGCGTCTTCACCAATCAGGCCCCGCGATATGGGCGGCCCGCTCCACATTGGCCAGGCAACCGGAGTAAACAAATATCCCAACCAGGCCGCCACAGGAGGTTGGGCCAACCAAGCGAAGCCACATCTGCACGCACTGCAGCCCTCTCCATATTTGGCCGTCACATCTCACCTCCATTGGGGAATCTCTGATCCCCCCCTTGTGGTGTTTTTCCTTCTTCTTTCTTCATTTTGCTGTCTTTGGGACGGTTATATCATACGTTCACGTGTACTGTACATCGTACTGTTGCTGTTCCTGTCCAGCGTTGTGGGCGTCCATTTTGTTGGGTTAGCGAATTCGAGCATCCGTACATAATAAACCAACCAGCCTCTGGCGAGCGAATCTCGGCTCGTCCTCTTTTAAGCTTTACTTTCCTTCACCCCCCTCATGCCCCGGCAGTCGAGGGCACAGGGTCTAGACTTTGACATCCACAACGACCCAGCCTGCAGTGGCCCTAGCATGGAAGACGAATACCGCTACGAGGACGCAGACGAGAGTGTGCTTCACCACTACGACGACGAGGAAGGCGACATGTCCCACGTGGACGGCGGCGACAACAGCTCGCACCACGACAACGAGGACGACGTCTTCAGCGACAACAGCCCGCGCAGCTCCATGGGCTCCGTGTCCGAGGGCGCCCCCCGCAAGAGCTCGCACGACGCCCGATCCCCGCGCATCTCCGACATCCAGCAGTACGAGACCGAGGCCGACTTTGTGCCCACCGCCAAGGGTGCGCCGCGACCGCCCTTCAGGTCTCCTTCGTCGGTCAAGGCCATGCAAATGAACTCTCCGGCGCCGTCTGTCTCGGGCGGCCAGCCTCGCTCTGGCCGGCGCAGCGCCCTGCCCACCGTCTCTCGCATAGGCTCGCCGGGCAGCAGCCAGCCGCCGCAGTACTCGCCCAAGAAAACCCCGCCGCGCTTCAAGAAGAACGACCCGCCGCTGGTGCTTCTGCACGTCACTCTGCTGCCGCTGCGATGGCCATGGGGCGAAGTCTTGGACGAGGCCAAGACCAGCGAGCTGAGCGAGGGCGTCAAGACGCTGCGAGAGGCCTGGCGAGAGCTCCAGGACACCATCGGTGACACGATCCAAGACCGCGGTGTCCTCTTGCCCCATCCCCAAAACGACTTTGAGGTCATGGAAGAGCGCCTTCTCGAGGCTCTGGAGCTTCCCTTTAAGCGACGAGCACGCATCCTGGAATGCGGCCACTATCTTGGCCCTTCCAACGAGATGCCCTTTGCTGATGAGCACGACAGCGATGACGACGATGCCTTTGATGAGGACGGCGAGATGCTCCCCAGCAATGACAAGAAGCCGACTCACTGGTGCACCACCTGTTCTTCCGAGATCCCAGTGGACGCCCTCGGTGCCGGCAAGATTTATCGCGTCAAGGTCTATGCTAGCAACGGACTGATGAGGGCTGGTGCGTGGGAGGCCTGCTGGAAGGAGATGGAGCGAGTCGACATTGAGCTGGAACCCATGATGGACGCCAAGCTTCAGGACGAACTCGTCCATCTTGCCGCGCGCCAGGACCGAGTCATTCACTCCAAGAGCAGAGCAGGCAGGCGACCGATATCATCTCGCATCCAAGATGTAGAGGATGAGCGGGAAGACGAGGACTTTGATGACCATGTTCGCGAAGAAACAATGAATGACGGCGAAGAGTCCTTTATGGATGAAAAGGCACACCGCCGACAGACCTCATACGACACGACATCCTCTGGAAAATTTCGCCAGCACTCCGCCAGAACTTCCATGGGCGGCCGGTCCTCGATGGGATTCGCGCCCCAAGAAGAATCTGCTGGCAAGCAAAAGCGGCGCTTTAACCCCGGCAGCTTTCCCGACGTGGTTGTCAACGCTTTCAAGGCGCTGCTGGATGATAAGAGAAACCTTGCAATCCTCCTCCTGAGTGCTCTAACCGTGGTAGTTGCGCTTCGGGGTGGCGTCAGCAACCGGCTTGATGATGTTATTTCGTTCCAGCCGGTCGTTACCGACTCTGAGGTGCCGACTGCAGTCCTGAAGGAAGGCGAAGGAGAGGGAATAGAGTTGGAGGGAGAGGCCGGAGCTGAAGGTGGAACCTCGCCTGTGGATGACATCCTATTCACGCCCCAAGTCAACATTGACGGAGAGAACCCCTGCCCTGCCGTGGAGCCGCAGACCGTTGAGAAGTGGATGACTGCTACGGTCACCGAGATGAGTACTGTGGCACGTACCGACATGCCACTTGCGGATTCGGATTTTTCTTCTGACGACGACGACGACGAAGATGCTATTGTGGATAAGATGCTCGCGGGCGAGACGCTCACTTTGGGCGAGAATTATGTTGAGGATGAGGAGGAGATGCATGGACAAGGACATTCGAGCTGGGAGTGGGGATCTCCGTTCAAGTTCCCCTGGTAATTTACTTTTCTTCTTCCTCTGCTTCTATTTTCTCCCCCCTTTTCTCTTTCTTATCTCTCTCTCTGCTATTTTGACCAGCGAATGATGAAGAATACCAATGATGTAAGTATGCAAGTAACAGCTGGAAAGATGGAAATATGCCGCGACGAATATGATTATGTTTATTTTGGGGATTGGAAAATTCTGTAGTTAGCTTGAGAGAGATGCGTACTTGTAATAAGACTGGAACGTTGGATGATTGTTGTACAATGGAAGTCTCTTGGATATTGTTTAGTGCCCAGATATCTATTTAGATGGTGGCTTATTTGTTTGCGCGAAGCCCCATTATACCCGAGCCTCTCTCTCTACCTTACCTATATAGAGTAGGATGAAGCAACAAATAGACTTATTTTCATGCTTATATCCAATCCCCCGTCTTGGCATTGGACACAGCCGACCATGTCTACGTTTTGAAACATCAAGGCGCTCAACGGCATCCTCCTTTATTCATGCACGTTTCACAGGCCTTAGCTTTGTGGCTTGCCGCTGAAGAAGTACAGGGACCCCACTAACCGCCGCAGCTACGTCAGCTGTATCACAAAGGTGTCATCCCGAGCGATAGGTACCCGTCGCCAAGCTGGGGAGACGCGCGCACAATTGTGTGATGGATGCCGTGTATTATTACAGGTAGCAGAAACCAATTAATAAAGGTAAAAAAACAATGATGATAATAGACAAAATGCTGTAGCCCGTATGTTCATATCCTTGCGCTGGCGAAACGAAAGAATCTATAAACCGCTTCTTCTTTCTACATATTTCTGTCCAACGCCCAAGGTCATCAAATTAAATATTCGTGTGTTCATGATTCCAGCCTCGGTGCTCCGTCGCCGTTGTCGCCGTCGCTTTTTCGCCATCATCGTCCATCACAGCCTGACGTAAATGTCCATGCAGTCGATCCTCCATTCCCGCTTGCCCAGCATGTTGCGCAGCCACTCGAAGCCGACGCCCGTCCACTCGTTCCTCAGCACGGCAATCTCCTCGGCGGCGGCGCGGGCGGCGGCCTTTGCGGTGGAGTTGAGCATGTCGGCGACGGACTCGTTAAAGGCGTTATGGGCGATGAGGTCGTCTTCGAGGAACGGCGCGGGGACGGTCGGCCGGGGCTGGAACCAGTTGCTGCCGAGGTCGAAGAAGCAGCGGTCGGACCAGTTGCACGAGGTGAGGAAGAGGATGAGGAGGAGGACGGAGCAGTAGACGCAGGGGCGGTTGAGGAAGTACGTGCAGATGAAGAAGAGGAGGATGAAGGCGGGCGAGGCGTTGGTTGGGATGAAGAGGAGCGGGAGCCAACTGTGGATTTTGGTTTGTTGTGTTAGCTGTGATGATTTCGTAGAGAGAGGCAAGGGATGGATGAATGGCACTGAGATGCTTGGGGGGCGGAACTGGGGGAAGCGAACCTTCGAAGGCAGAACATGGTGGCGGCGATGTGAAGATAGGGAGAGAAGAGAAAAGAGGGCAAGATCAATGCCGAGTAGAGGAGGGAGTTGTAACGTTGAAAGCCCAGCTCCCTTGAGCGTGCGAAAGTCGAGAGTGGCGAGGCCTGTGATGTGGTATTACTGAAGTTGAATAGCCAAGCATGTGATGGAGAGGCCAGCTCAGAGACGATGCGAAAATGGAATCAATCCCCGGAATAAGCAATAAATGGGTAAAAAATGGGGAGTTTGTCTTAATCTTATGCCAGATGGACAATATTACTGCTGGCGGTTTTGTCGCAGAAAAGGTTCAAGATAGCTGGAGATAGAGATAATCTCTACCGGCGCTCAAGGCATGGTGAGGCTGAGCTAGTGTTACGCCACACGAGGCTGTGGTGGACTCGACACCGCATTTTCCTCGTCTTGCGCTTTTGTCCTTCATGCCGCCTTTTGGTGTTGGGTATAAAGCGATATTCAAGGATTGTGTTTTTCTTGTTCTTGTTCTTTTTTTTTTCTCACTAAACTTAGATGAACTAATATTCTGTACTACTTGATTTTTTTTTTTACTACCTTTTTTTGCCGCTGCTTTATTCCTTATCTGTCTCGCTTCGGGCTTTGTGGTTGGGCATCTGTGACGTGCTGGGAGGTGTGTGTGCGTGTGAGTTGGCAGCAGTGGGTACATGCTAGTGCACGCATAAAGGCACTGACATGCCTTGTTGGTTTTTCTCCTTTGTTGATTTGTTGCCTAATTCGAGGGTGACTAAAATAACCTGGTCCCGTAAAATTTTCTTTCTTTTCCCGAGCGAGTTGCTTTCGTCTGGACTCCCCCGTGTTGACCCTTTGTCGTGCATAATAACATCTCCAAACATGCAAAAAGACGAGGTTTTGGGCTTTTCCTGCTGACTAACCCGCCGGAGCTTAAACTCTTCAGCAGCCCGTGCGCCGCAAACTGGTGGGATTTACAGGCGCGTCTCCAGCGGAGGCTCTAGCGCAAACAGGTGTCCTCCCGCACATCTTTGTTTCCGCAGCTAGCGGCCAACAGAGGCAGAGGCACGCACTAGACTAAGAGATTTAGCTGGCCGCCATAGCGAGGCTGCCTTGTGCTACGCTACGGCCGGAGTGAATTGTGACCTGACTTGGGCCAAGTTTTTTTTTCCGTACTCCTTTCAACGAAGCGCCTACAAACAATCTTGTTTCTCCCAAATTCACCTCCATCCTCCATCCTTCCTCCTCGCCATCACCCTCATCTTGTCTCCTCCCCGCATCGCCACAAACTTTCTTCAGCCCCTCCAATCGAGAGACCAGACCAGAAAGAAAAAAAAAAAAGAAAAAGACACGCAGCGTCGGGCCGCTCCACTCCCGCCTCCACGTCTTCTCTCGCGCAACGCGGCAGCGGCAACCAATTCTGCATTGCATCGCATCGCTCCGTCGCTTCCCAATTCGCAGCTCGTCTCCATCATGGATCTGCCTCCTGCACCAACTCCGCCCGTGTCTGGCGGCGTCGGGCCCAATTCAGAGCGAACCGCCAATCTGCTGAACCTGCTCAAGTTTAGTGGCCCCGGCAGCTCCAAAGAGCCGCTGCAGGCGTCGAACCAGAGCCAGAGTCAGGGCCAGGGTCAAGCTCAGGCTCATGCTCAGGCTCCGCTGCCAGCATCCTTATCATCCGCCCAGCAGCATCAGCAGCCGGGCGACTCGCCCTCCCAGTCTCATTCCCACCCAGAGCCGTCGTCGGTGCAGCAGCAGCAGCAGCAGCAGCCTGAGAGGCAAAACGATGAAGTCGACGACGAAGACGACGAAGAGCAGTACCAGCGTATCCAACATCTCCAAATGCAGTCTTCGAACCAGTTCCAGACCCGGATTCATCAGCCTGCCCCCACGGCGGCCGATCCTACGGGCCTGCTCGCTGCCCTTATGAGAGGCGCTCACGAGATTGACGAGCCCAAGTCTGCTCCCACGCCGCCCCAAGTCCAGGCCCAGCCTGCGAATCCCTTCGCTAGCGGAACGCCGCCCCCTGATACCAGATCGTACCTGCTCAATCTCCTCAACAGGCCCAAGCCTAGCCAGACCGATCAGCCTCTGCTGGTTGAGTCTTCACGCTCTAACCAACACACCCCACAATCGCAGGAGCATCTGTCAGAGACGAGCAGCCGCTACTATGGCCATCACCCGCAACAGACCCAGCAGCAGCACTCTCAACAGCAGCAGCAGCAGCAGCAGCACCCGACCGCATACCATCCACAACAATTGTACCAGCAGCAGGTCGAGGCGTTTGCTGGGCACGGCACTGCCAACGCCAACCCCATCTTCTCTCCTACACCAAAGGACCCCGCAGATGTGTCGGTTCTGTACCAGGCGCTGGCGGGCACGTTGAACCAGATGTCGCCTCATAGTACCGGCAGTGTCCACGGGTCTGGCCCTCCGCCTGCATTCCACATCTTGAAGAAGGATCAGAGCTCGCCAGCAGGGTCTAATCCCTTTGCCGGCAGCGAGCGAAGCTCTCTGCAGAGCCCTCCCCAGCAGTTCAGGCACAGCCTTGACCGGGCTTCATCTCTTCATTCTCATCAATCGCACCATTCGCATCACTCTCAGCACTCCCACCATTCCACCCAGCAGTCCATCAAGCAGACGCCTACGACTTCTGATTTTGGTAGCTTTGTCAACATTGATAAGAACAGAGAGACTGTTTCCGAGGCTGTTCATGATCTCGCCGGTAGAGCCGATCGCGACGCCCAAGAAGCCTTGGACAGAGCTGAGCGCGAAACCGTATCCAACTATGCCGATAGTGCCACCGTCCGACCCCATGACGAGAGCGACTGGGTTCAGCCATCCAACTACTCTGATGCTACTCGCTCCATTGAGAAGCACACGATTGATGAGATCAAATCTGATCACGAGCACCGTGGATATGGTTCCTCTGCGGAGCATCTTTCCAAAGAAGAGGCTCCCGAACCTAGAGAAATTGACAACCACGGAATTGCCGATAGCTGGGAGAGCGCTGATCAGGATGAGATTGTCGTCATCGAGGGAAAGGAAGCTCCTTCTGTCAGGGTCTACAACTTCCCGATGAAGCCATGGATTTCCATCACGCTTCAAGAGGACACCACCGAGCCTCGACCTCAGTTCCGTGAAGAGTCAATCATGGACGTTGCCCACCTCAAGAAGGACTTTGACCAGATCGACCGCAACTTGTACACTGCCTCTCAGTCCTACATGACGCACGGCATGTCTAAACAGGGTGGCTTACGTGTCATTCGTCAAGACGATGGCAAGGACGCAAAGGTTTTTAGAGACACCAAGGACCGCATCTTCAACGTCGCCATGTCTGTCACCCCACACGATTACGAAGGCGTTCCCCGGGAGGCCATTATCGCTACTGGCATCAGCGGCACCGTCTACTGGGTCCAGATCAAGGACGGCGAAAAGGATCACCTCGAGGACCCTCATCTTGAGCAGTACGGCTTCGCGCTGCCTCCCATCAACTCTCAAGAAGGCGACGCTCCTGGTGGTGCCCTCAAGACTCGCGCCCGAGCTTCTACCAACCACCCCGAGTTCTTCGCCGTCGGCCGCGGCAAGTCTATCCACTTTATCTGGCCGTCCTTTATTCTGCAGAACAATCTGTTCAAGCCCGGTCATGACCGCGTCGCGGATACTGAGGCACTGCTGAGCCAATGCTCCCTCAAGATCAACACTGGCAAGGCTGGTAAGGACTTTACCTTTAGCCAGGACGACTCTGTTGTTGTCTCACTGGACAAGTCTGGCCGCGTCAAGTTCTGGGACGTCCGCGACCTGACTGCCGTCAAAGAAGGCTCAGATCCTCGCAACCCCGCCCCTGCTCACTCCGCTTTGGAGATCAAGGAGCCCTTGATGACTCTGGCTAGCACCCCAGAGGGCGAGAAGGCTTGGCCTACATCTGTGCTACTCCTCGACAAGCAGCGCCCTTACCAGAAGCGATGTGCGTTGAGGTACATGATTGTTGGCATGAAGCAGAATCATACTTTGCAGCTGTGGGATCTTGCTCTGGGCAAGCCTGTTCAAGAGTTCAACTTGCCTCACAGCAAGGAATCCGATGCCGTCTGCAGCGTCATGTACCATCCGGCCAGCGGCATGATCATCATCGGCCACCCAACTCGCAACTCGGTCTACTTTGCGCATCTTTCGGCTCCTAAGTATAACCTGAAGAACGTATCTCAGGCCGAGTACATCCAGAAGCTGGTTAGCCAGGACCCCTCTATTCCCCAGCCAGATAGTACTGCTGTCATTAGCGGCGTTCGGGAGTACTCCTTTGCCAACCGTGGCATTCTACGAAGCCTGGACATTCTTGCCACACCCGCCATGGTCCAGGACACAGAAGAGCCCACGTTGTTTGAGCTGTACGCCATGCATTCCAAGGGCGTTGCTTGTCTGATGATCAAGCAGGCTGAGCTAGGATGGTCCAAGGACAACAAGGTGCTTGATCCTGTCGATGCCGTGATTGAGGGCGTTGTCACGGTGTCTAAGCTCAAGACTCCTGTGCAGACGGATGTTACCAACGGCACAACCACCGAGCACACCACCCCAGTGCGCATTGCCACTCGGTCTGCGACGAGAGAGATTCTGCAGCAGCCTGCCCAGGCCGCTTCTTCTGAAGCAGCAACTACTCCTCGGGGCATCGAACAGCAGGCGACCACTCCTGCCAAGCCCAAAAACGACGCCAGAGAGATTGAGACTCCGGGACAGTCATCTAAGGAAAACCATCCCGAGAAGCCTGAGCGCAAGCAGCGCAAAAAGAAGGGCAAGGATGCCGAGTCAAATGCCAATGGATCGGCATCAGCGCACAAGGGCGAGGCTGCTGCCTCTTCCAATAAGAGTGCTATCAACGGCCTTGGCGCTGGTGGCATTTCATCCGAGGCATTCGACTCTGCCATTGGCAGCCTGGAGACGAGGCTCGGAGCTACCGTATCCGACACCTTCAAGGTCTCGATGAACAACTTGCACAACAAGATTAACGACAGCGCTCGCGTCAGGGATGAGAGCTTCAACCAGCATCAGCTGAAACTGCTCGACATGGTTTCGGATATTTTGAACGAGAACACTCAGAAAGTGCTCGAGAATTTGATCCACCAGCAGTTCACTGATGTCGTGATACCCTCCATTGGTGACAAGACCAGCAAGGCCGTGGCTGATTTGGTCCAGAATAAGATTCAGGTCAACATGGCTTCGTCTGTGCAGAAGGAGATCCAGAGTGCCCTACCCCATGCTGTTAGCCGCTCGCTGCGATCCAACGACTTCATCAACGCCATCTCTGATAGAGTCAGCAATGTGGTTACCACCAGCGTGCAGCAGGAGGTGCTGTCCACAATCTCGCAACGCTTGGCGCCCACGTTCAACAACATTGCTACCCAGGCGGCTCAGCGCGTGGCCACTGACATTCACAAGCAGTATCATGAACAATTCGAGCAGCTGAAGGCGCAACATGCCGCGGACAACAACAAGATCGACCAGCTTCTGTCTTATGTTACCCGGCTGTCGGATATGGTGTCCACCATGGCAGCTTCGCAGTCGTCGCTCCAGGCCGAGTTCCTTAAGTTTAAGCAACAGCCTGTTGAGCTTCCTGTCGTTACTGCTGCAGGCGGCATCAATATCCCGCACGCTGCCAGCGTTGCTCACAGCATTGGATCCCATGGCTACGCTAACACTGTGGCTAGCCAACGCGCAAGCTTCCCACCTAGCCAGGCACCTAGCCAGGCACCTAGCCACCCACAGCAGTATGGAAGCCCTCAATACATGCGCGGATCTCAACATATGGCGAGCCCCCATGGATCTGCTGCCCCCTCGGATCACGTCGGACCCGCCAACAACGTGGCTGCACTTGCCGGTGCCTATGCCAACCAGATGAACAAGACTGAGGCCGAGGCAGACAACGACCTTGTGCAGCGTATCCGAGTCATCGAGACGGCCATTGCCGAGAATCGTCTGCAGGACGCCATGATCCAATGGATCCAGAGCGGCCGCGAGACGGAGATTTTCCGCCGCTGCCTTAGCCGGTATCCCCCGGGCAAATTTGATTCCCTGCAGCCGCTGATGCTGCTGGTCGTGATTGCGACCATCTCCAAGGACTTGAAGCCGAACCCGCGTTTGAAGGAGGAGGTTGAATGGATTGAGATGGCTGTGAGGTCGTTTGGCGCCAGCCTGCCCAACTACGTGAGTATATTTCCATATCTCTCCCCCTTATTTTCGAAACATGTTTGCCAGATATGCTAACCTTGAGTGTTGCAAACTACAGAACTGGGATGACGACATGTCTCGTGAGGTGATGAAGAGCATGTCGCAAACGATGCAGCTGCTCATTGCCCGCGTGCAGCCTTTGATTGCTGGCATCCAGGATGGATTCCCTACTGATCCCTTCCTGGCCAACCTTGACAGAGGCAAGCTCGAGTGGATTGTGCAAACGTCCAACCACATCTTGGCCAACTTTTACTAAACGACAGCAGCGATGGCTTTGTTTGTTTTTTTCATAATGGTTTTTTATTTTCTATTTTATATACTGCCTGGCGTACGCGAACGTAAAAGCCCAGTTGCATGATGCGATAACTTCTTTTTAATTTCATGTCGAATACTGTACATTGTAGTAGAGAAAATGGACTTGGGGAATATCATGTGTAATATCTTAAATTCACACTATATCACGCAAATGTTTGTTCTTCCTTTGAGTTGTGACCCCTGTCTATCGTTGTATTTTTTGCAAAGCAGCGGTGGTTTTATAGTTTCTGATTGTTATCTACCCGCACCTACAGTACGGGCGAGGAAAAGTTAAAAATGCCGTGCCGCATACGTAATGCCACACGTCACGCAGCAGGTTTGGGATATATGCTGGTGTTTCGTCGCGTGCGTGGATACGTATTCTGCGGGCGTCTGGAAGTTATATTCGCATGTAGGCACTTGAATTGGCTTATGAAGATGGGGTGTGTTTGTGATGGTATTTTAAGCCCCGTGAAATCTGACGAGTGCCTTGTTCAGAATAAAAGCATATTTGACCTCTTTTTAACAAACACTATTAATCCTTGATTATAGGGTTTGCTTTGCTTTGCATTGGAGTGAAGTTGATTTGCTGTTAGGGTGGGCTCGAGTCTTGGCATCGATGATACTTCCGTAGCTGCCGAGATGATGAGGCGGCAAAGGGGTAATGGAAGAGAGGAGGAGGGAGGGAATACTAGAGAAATACTAGAGATGGAATATCTTATTGAAATTAGAGTTGTAAGAAGAGAGATTCGGGGTGTGTGGCGATGTAGATGTGTCGTCATTCATTTTACTTTTAATATCATGGTTCCTCGTTATCCTGTCATATATGATGAGTCTTTAGTTATGGCCGGCAACATATATACAGACCTATAAGCTTTTTCTGCTCGCGTGACTGTTTGCCTCCCTCTTTTTCTTCCTTTTCTTGCTATTTTTTCCCCCCCCTTCTGAGGAATTGATGTTTTGAAGAAGTGTGACACGTGTATGTCGTGTGAACATGGGCCTCTTCAAGGATGTTATTGAACCAGCGAGTACGTCAAGAACAGCAACAACGCAAAATACCCAACTTGCCTATTAGTTTTCCAGACAAATATATTCACCTCGTAATGCTGACGGACTTGATATTTTTCAAAAAACAATAGCCATCACTCTTGCCTTTACAGCCGGAACGCTGATTAATCGGCGGCGCTTGAAACCTCATCAACATCATCATCATCATCATCATCGTCAGCGTGACATCGAATCCATACCCGAATGCATATCCGGCGAGAAGAGGACTGACGTCTCGTCAGTCGAGCGCAGGAAGAACAAGAACAAGGGCTCGGACCTGCTCGTGTTTCGACAGCTGTCGTGGATCTTTGGCACGTTTCCGTTTTTGATCGAGATATGGTATTGGCTTTTGACGTACTGGTTCGTTTCTGACAATCCCCCTACTTTTTTCACAAAGCAGATGGCAAGAATGGGTGGAAACTGATATGTATTACTTGTATCTATAGGATATATCAACTCAGCCGCGCCTTTACAGCTCGTGCCATCGCCGGCTATCCTCACATCTATGCCCTCGCCAAGGAACACGCCCTGCAGCTCCTCGCCGTCGAGCGCGTCCTCCACATTGATTTCGAACAGTCGTTTCAGGCGCACATGCTCGCGAACCACGCGTGCGTCATGCCCGCGCTGCAGTACATCTACCACTCGCACATCATCGTCGGCGTCGTCTTCATCATCTATACTTACACGGTGCTGCCGCCGGCGGTGTTTCGGCGTATCCGCCGCACCATTGCCGTGGACAACGCGATTGCCTTTGCGATTGTCTCGCTGTGGCGGTGCTACCCGCCGCGGATGCTGCCGCCGGAGTACGGCTTCGTGGATGTTTTGCACGACGCCGCGGCGGGGGGCCAGGCGGGCTCGGTGTGGACCAACAACCGGTTCAGGCTGACGATTGCCGCGATGCCGAGCCTGCATTTCGGCACGGCGCTGCTGTTTGGCGTGTGTCTGGCGCGGTTCAGCCCGCATGCGGTGGTGCGCGTGCTGGCGCCGCTGTGGCCGGCGGCGATGTTCGTGACGGTGGTAGCGACGGCGAATCACTTTGTGCTGGATCTGGTGGTGGGCGCGGTGGTGCCGCTGCTGGGGTGGCGGTGGAATCGGGGCGTGCTGGTGCTGAAGCCGGTGCATGATTGGATGTGGTCGCCGGTGACTCATCGGATGGATCTGGAGCTGGATTGTTATGAGAGTTGAGTAGAGGGTGAGTGAGTGTAGTTGTGAATGTGAAACGATGGACGATTTACTTATAAATCACTTGTAAGAGACAGTAAAACCTAGCTTACCTCTTCGACTAATGAACTCAATTTTAGTATAATAGCACAAAATATATATACAGTGCTCTCAGCATTGTCAAGAATTGTCATCCCTTGCCTTTACATCTCATCATACTAGCCAAAATGCCCGTGCCTGTCGAAGCCATCATCAAGACCTATCCATTCGATCCAAACGACGCCGAGAGAATCGCCTTCCGCCGCGTCAAGAACGAGATTGAAATCGTCGAGCCGGACCCCTCATGGCCGCAGTCCTTTGAGCTGCTCAGAGACCGCATCGTCTCCGCCCTGGGCCCGACCATTGTCGAGCTCTCCCACGTCGGGTCCACCAGCGTGCCCGGCCTGCCGGCCAAGCCCCTCATCGACATCGATCTGACCGTCAAGGACGTCCTCGACGAGGCTTCGTACGTGCCGCAGCTGCAGGCGGTGGGCTTTGACTTCTTGTTCCGGGAGCCCAAGTGGCATCAGCACCGCTTCTTCTGCGCGTACGAGCCGGTTGCCAACTTGCACATCTTTGGGCCGGACTGTCCCGAGACGGTGAGACACAAGATCTTTCGGGACTGGCTAAGGAAGACGCCCGAAGATAGGGAGCTGTATGCGGCGGTGAAGAGGGAGGCGGCGGAGGCGGCGCGTAGGGAGAATGAGACTGTGAATGAGTATGCTAAGCGCAAGGATGGGGTTGTTGCGGCGATTCTGGAGAGGGCGTTTCGGGATTTGGGGTATATTGAGTAGTGGTGGGCGGCATTCATGTCCTGGCGGCTTATGACTTGCTGAGCTGTTGTTGATTCAGTGGTTGAACAGACAGATTTATCCATGTGGTGTGGTCTTATGGGCCGTACGTGATCTATAAGGAGTCTTTCTTGATTATCTACCGCGTCTCTCTTAATTACTATCCGCCATAGCTTGGCTTGTGTCGCGTGACCAATATCCCAAAATATCCTCGATAACGCCATCAACAAGCCAAAAACCTCCATTCCAAGAACTTTAGATTCAGCCGCCGCCCTGGGCCGGAGGTACGTGGTTTATGCGTGGCTGATAAGGCTTAGATGACGCCGTGGCGCGCCATGTTTGGCTACCCAGTGCGTCGGTATTAAAGTAAGGCTGGATAGCTGAATCCATTGTTGTTTTAGCAGATCTGCCTTGACCTCGGACGGTATCTTCAGAACCATTATTGTCTGGACTTGAGAGGCGAGTGTGGGCTTTTGCGTTGGCATCACACAAGACATCTATAGGCCCTGGCGAGATCTGCCGCCTGACCATTTTCTTCACCAACGTCGTCGTTGTTGTCATCGTCTTTGCTGTGAAATTTGAAGAGGTATACTGCTTCTTGAAGTATTTATTTATTATTTCCCACGATACGATACTATCTCAAAAAAAAACTAAAAATACATTATAAAAGACTTTCATCAATTCTCCCAGCTTTGCATTTGCGCTACTACGGTTGGTTTTACTACATATAAAAGCTCCCTGGCATACGCAGCAGCTGTTGCGGCTGCATAGAAGTGCCAATCGTCATTCTTGTGTACATCGCAATAATCACATATACCCCGGATCGCAAGATACTGGAAGTTGTCCATAAGGCCAGCGGCTTCCATCTCAAAACACAGCACATTCAGCTCCGGATCGTTGGCATAAGAGTCCCTGATCTGGGGATTCTTCATGACTGTGTTTGAAGATGCGATTGTACCGTAAAAGACGTCAATGGCCCTCGTTGAGGTGCGAGGCTTTCGCTCAACGAGGCCATCTGGGTCACATTCCGAGCAATCCCTTTTTGCACCGCGATGTGCGCTGTCTGTGCGGAATAGACGATCCAGCTCTGGTCGATGGAAACGGGAATCATCATCGAATCGCCTTAGATGCTCATCAACGCCTCCATATTGATCTGGGTTGCCATGTCTAAGACGCATTTCCGGCAGAACACCAAGTAGTTCTGTCGGAGGGGCGTCTAGATGGCCGGTTCGCTCAAGGCGGCCACCGACTTGCTTCCCCAGATCGAACTGAACGACACCGCCTAGCTTGCCGTTGGGTACGCTGACGACCACGTCGCCGAGGCGAATATCCTGAGCCGGAGTTGGTGCGCCGCCTCCTATGCCGACCATCAACCCGAAGCGGATTTGGGGAAAAGAGCGCATCATGTCTTGCGCAACGCGAGTCGCAGGAGTTAGTCCGTAGCGACCTGCTGGGAGGCATCCGATCACGACACGATGCCCGCCGATGCGACCAAAGAAGTATGTGTTGCTGTCATTGGGCTCTGCATATTCAGGACCAGCAAGTTCCTCATCTACCATTATACAAGCCGCCTCATATTCCTCTTGAAGGGCGCATATCCATCCCACTGTAAAGGAGTCTCGAAGTGCCATGATAAATGATGATGGGTGTTCACAAGAAACTTCGCTGTGGCTGGTAGAGTTTGGAGAAAATAACAATAATTATTATATTTTTGTATTTCACCCAGGTCATGGGGAATATGTAGTGCTTTATATCCAGCCATCTGGAGATCCTCATGTATAATAGGTAGTAAGGGTTGAATCTCAAAGCTATGAAAAGCGCTAATAGTTGAGATCTGATTGATTCGTAGTTTCAGGTCATGCAAGCCACGCGCGTATGTATAGCATCGTATGGCCAAGGTCCTCGCCCGTAGGGCATCTATGGATCACTATATTCGTGCCTGCTATGTTATAATCGGAGTGCCATCTAAATGAGTTCATAGGATTTATTTGATTTGCTATGGTCTTGGAGAATCTTCAACGCCACTTACACTAGCCGATTGACCATGGATGAGTGGAGTCTCCTCAAGGTCAGATCTAAGAACCAGCGGCGCTTAATATCGCGAGAATAACGGATTTGCCCACTCTAAGCGCGTAGAATGACTCGCGCAGCTATTGCGGGCCATCAGATTGACGACGAAATAACTTGGATTGGTCAGATTTCCCTATACCATACATGATATGAGAATGGAGAAAGAGCTTCTGGCCCAATATAACACTGCGTATGCAATGCTAGCTAAAGACCCCCCAAAGTTAGTAATCCGCCAAACAGGATGATAAATTCAAATTTCAGTGACGGCTTAATCTTGCTGTAAAGTAGGCAAAGCTTCTCTTTCTGCTAGTCGCATGCCATGTGGGATAGGATGAGAAGAGACTTGCGTTGCCCCATTTCCACGGAGGAGGTTGCATATTCTACAGACTGAATGTACGACGAACCAAAGTCTCAAAGCTTTGTTGCTACAGCCCAGCATATTGCGATGTATTCGTCGTCCGATATTTGTTGTCATACCCTATGTCTGTGCTCATTCTATCGTGGGCGATTATTGCAGGAGGCACGCTTTAACTTTCTTCATACACATCCTTGTAAGCGCACATCTCATTCATCTTATCCATCTCATTCTGGATGCCTAGTAAATAGTAGTGGCCTCTTGCCTTGTCAACTTGCCTAGGTACGTAGAGATAAGGCGACACCTATCAGGTAAGTAGATGGATTAACATGGACAAAAAGTCTTCACCTGCTCGCAAAAGGCTTCAGAGCCAACCGCTTGAGAATTTCGACTACTGTCTAATACAGTGGCTCTTTAAAATGATGTATAGCCTGTAGGAGTAAAACCGTAAAGTATATAAGTAAGTTACACATATATCAACTAGATTTGGATCTAAACTTAATAATAGATGTGTGAATTTAGTGCCTGCTGCTTCTACTATTTCGACTGCTCCCATCGCTCCCACAGTTTCTACTCCTTTTACTGCGTCTAATACTTCTACTTCTTCTACTTCTTTTACAGCTTCTACGACTTCTACTACTAACATTTTAACGACTACACACATACCCTATTAAAATTAGCCGATTTGATGATGGAGCCGCCATCCCCGCCAAGCGTCGAGGAAAGGAACTTCTACTACTACGGGCTTCCTTCTTGCCCAAGGCTTGTTGCTCGCTCAAGCACACATGCCTGGGAGAATCCGCACCGATACGACACCACAACTTTTCCACCCTCCGTAAATATGTATAAATCGCTTCGGCCTGCTGCGGGCGATCCATTGCTGCATCGGTTGTGGAACGACGCAACATCTTCTCTTAGGATCCAGATCCTAGAAGCCGTCAGCGTCTCAGACTGGACAGCGGTTGATATCCTACGCCTTGGCTGGACAGGAGAATTCCATACAACTCTCTTGGTATCCGTCAAACCAGAGTCACTGACTTGGAGCGAGGCGCACCCCATCACAATACGATGCAAGGAGATTCTGGAAGAACATGGCATCAGCAATATTCACTGCGAAATACGCGAAAGCCTTGTAACCTCATGCGGCAATGCCCCCTCTGCGACTAGATCTGCTACTACTGCCGACACTCCAAACCATTTCCAACTTTTTTCAGCGCATTTCAAGGGTCTCACACAATATATTTGCAAGGACAGTGCAGACCTGTCCGACTGCCTCGGTACCAAGATATCAATGAAGGATGACGATGCCAGATCTGGCACCAAGGGCATATACCTCGCTCTCAAGTCATCTAACACCAAAAATCACCCTAAAATCGTGGCCCTGACCTGTAGGCATGTGGTAGTAAACCATGAGACTGAGGGCATTCAATCATATCGCCACCAGGAGTTCCAGCCGTCTAGAGAAGTCATTCAAATAGACCAGCCTACTTACAGTAGAAGACTTGAGCGATATGAACTCTACGTTAAAAACGATCGTAATCACGCTCAAGCGTTCCGAGATTGTGATGATACGGAATCAGCAGCCACATACGAAACAATGGCAGACGACATGGAGGATTTCGTCAGAAAAATGAGACCGTACGTGGCCTCTTCCTCAAGAGTGTTTGGCACGCTTCTTTATTCGCCAGCATTTGCGTTTGCACCAGCTCAGCGAGAGGCTCCCGGCAACGGTCCATGGCAAAGAGACTGGGCGCTCATTGAGCTATTGCCCAGCCGCCACCAGGCTCAGCTCGGCACACTCAAGAACAAGGTCTTTGTCGGACGACATGACAGAATTGCATCTCTTCTATTCAGAAATACACGCGGATGGGAGGAGCTGGCAGGACTAATGGTGCCAATACCAAGGGACTGCACCATAACGCTTACAAATGACGTCGTTCCCATGAGTGAGCTTTACAAGCCTGCTAACAATGCCAGGAACGACGAGCCAGCGATGGTCATGGTCAAGTATGGAGCCAGTGAAGAGCTGACGATTGGCCTCGGAAACACCCTGAAATCTCTCGTTCGCCGAGAGGAGACCTTGGATGGACACATGGAAGGCTACAGCGAGGAATGGGCGATAACATCGCTGAGCAGTACTGGCCAGAAGCAAACGGCGTTTTCGTTCAAAGGGGACTCTGGCTCCTGTGTGTGGGACATGGAGAGGCGCCCTGCCGGGATTATAATGGCGGGTGTACACCACCCGGCCCCGAATGGGAACGACGATGTTACATATGCCCAGCCTTTGGAGCGCCTGCTTGGTGATATTAAAGATCATGGCTTTGACGTTTCGCTTATTTAACGTAACAGATGATTGTGTAATGTTTTCTCTTCCTTTCTTCTTCTCTTTCTTTTCGTATTTAATGAGTAATACAATTATAGAACTTTAATAGAACTTTAATAGAACACGGCTTATTTATGTCTTTTACCTTCTACTACTTCTACTACTTCTACTACTTCTACTACTTCTACTACTTCCGTCTTCAAACATTCTATAATTTTTACTAAATTATTTACCGCACTAGATAGACAGGATTTACAGGACACTTTTCCAAAAGCTTATCATGCTGATCAGTCCAGCCCCCATCTGTCGTATATGCCAACCCAACCCTTCGAAACACCAATTCCGAAACGTCTCTATGAGATAGATCCGGATCGTAGCCCTCAGTAGTTGCCTTGTGTCCCACAGGTTCGAGAACCAGAGCTGCAAATACCGTCTTTTCCTTCACAGTGCTCTTAATTGGTAGGCGCTTGAAACTCGCTATAGGAAGGCAGTAAAGCGACTCGGTGATAACGTCATGCATGCTATCCGGGTAAAAGACCAAGGGAGGCATCTTCTGAAGGGCAGATTCGTCGCTTTCATCTTCCTCTTGAGGGGGCATGAGAAGGATCCTCCTTTGGACAATCTCTCTCCCAACAGCGCTTTCCTGGAGTATACTAGCTGACATGGCTCCCAAATAGTAGGTGTATTCCGGATACTCTGTATTGCTGATTGTGAATGAGAACGCTGTTGCAGTCATTTTTGTCTTCCAAATAGGCCCAATAATGACAATTGCCGAAGGAGGCACCTCCGTATACATGTCGTCTTTCACCCAGTCCCGCGGCTTGTCATGATCGTCGGGCAATTTTGGAACATTCTGAGCGCCGCCAATAGAAGCTACCAGCGAGAATTGGTTAGTCGCTTCATCGTTTACAAACGGATACGTGACTGCGCACTCGGGGTAGGCCCAGCTCCATGAAATAGGCACAGCAGGCTCTGGCAAGTCCTTTCTCTCGGCGTCTTTGAAGTATGTCAATCTCCACAGTAGATCCAGCGCTGTCTCAGCTTGTGGTTGAAAATCTTCTGTTTCGCCCTCTTGGTATTCTTCATACCAGATTCCTGCGAAATAATCCTTGCTGCCTAATCTTGAGTTAAAGTTCTTTGCAAGGCCGGCTATAGCGTATAGAGTATCGCTGCGATATGTGTAGTCGAGCTGAGAGTATGCTTCGATGACGTGTCTCCACGCGCGACGAAGTTGGCTGTGAGAGGGGTTATCACCAAGAAGTTGTTGCATATCTCTCCTGCTGCCGGCTGAGCGTTCTGGTACGTAAATATTATCCCCCCATTCTTTCATGAGCTTCACAGTCTGCGACTCAGATTCATCGAGGCCACATTCACATCTGTGGTGGCTGGCACATTGCCATGAGAGCTCATCGGGTCCGAAAATAAGGAGACGGTGTGAGAGAAGTCGTTCCTGGAACACCCATGCTCTTTTCCAGACGGGGACGCTACCATCGTTGATCATGTAGGTGGGATGATGAATTGGCTTTCGGAAATGTAGTTCATGGTTGTTGCCTTGTGCATCTCTAATAGAAACCGGCTTCGAAATATCCCTAAAGGAAGAATCCTGGAACAATCTCTTTGCAGTGTCCAGCTCGTGGCTTTCTACTAAAGTAATTGAGGAATTAGAATAGATGTCGCTCATTTTGAGAGAGTGCTTCTCCCAATCACTCTTGGAGTCCTGTACGATGCACAAACTGTCGATCCAAATGTAGCGTATAGGCTCTCCATACTCTTCCTGGTGCCATTTCGAAAACTTTCGCAGAAAGGTTATAGAATCTTGGTACGTGGGCGAAAGGTAATCCCATGGAACCTCCTTGCACAAGGAATTGATGTTCATTCCTATTGTCTGAGAAGTATCTTTTCCCCAGCGGTGACTTAGACAAGCATATCTTGCTTTTTGGCCGTTTGTGTGAATCAACTTGACACCAGAGATGGTATCTTCAGCAAAGATATCGAGAACTCGTTCGGGCATTTCTGAAACTTCTCCAAGCGAGCAACTTGAGTGTGTATCGTTGCATTCACGAAACCAACTGGTAGCCTTTTGGAAAGCTTGCTCAGATGCGGTGTTTCCAGAAGTGTCAGGTCGTTCAAAGATGGTTAATCCACGGTCCGGATACCAGGGCTGTCTCCACGGCGATGGAATTTCTGCATACCAAACGTGTTAGCCATGTCACTTGTCAATGATCGAATTATCCAGATATGTACCGTTTTTGAGGAAGGGCTCGACGGACCACACGTGTGTTGGTATCTCCCCGGCACTCATATGCCCTATTCTCAGACACTGAGATGCTGAATATCCTCCTGTGTTAATAAATCCCAAGTCTTTCATCAACTGTTGACGGTCCGCATATCCACCACTGGCTGCCATCATATAGTCGTGAAGCCCGCGCCTAAAGGTTACGCAGGGTGCGGTTTCGCCTTTGGTATCACGATGTGCAGGGCAAGGCTGCTCAAGCCAATATGTGAATGGGATGGATTTATTTTTAATGAGCTCAGCCTTGACAAAGGCTTTCGCCTCTTCATACCCACTCTCCTTGATGTCTGGGTTTTCGCCGCTGAGAATGTCATAAACTCGTTTCTCAACTATATCGTTGTCAATAGGCATAGTGTAAATGGTATCGATATTCTTATCAAATTTATGCCTCATAATCTCCGAGCTGGTCAACCTGTTGACAGAAGACCGTGTTTTGCTCCCCACTGCGCTACTCTGAGATATCCCGGAAGCTGTCTTCTTCGGAGGGCTATCGGGCGTCTCCTTGACAATCTCTTTCTCGGTCTGTCCATTTCTAGGGCTTGGTGGTCTAGAGTTGGAAGAGTCTGATGTGGGATCGTCCTCGACAGTGCCGCGAAATGCAGTTTGCGTGAAGCCAAAGTCGAAACAGATTGGGCACACCAAGTCCACCTGTTTCGACCTGCGTGTAGAGGTCGTCAGAAGTCGTCGAGCGCCATACTGCAGACTATTCCGCAACATGTTCATTCAAGGCGATAGACTTTGTTAAGAACGCCAACCCAGATGATGTAGATTTGATTCAATCAACCTATTCTACTGGATTTTACGAAATAGCCAGGCTGACTGCTCTGCCTCACCCCGCCCATGGTTCATGCACCCCTGGCAGCCAGGATTTAGCGTCAATGGTATCGGCGCAGGTTTTGGAAGACATGATTGCCAAACTGATTGCATCTTGCTAACTAGCGAATTCTTTGAATAAAACATTGTGTACGTCAAAACAAAGCTAATGAAAGACAAAAAATTTTCCCTTTGAATCCCTCTTATTATAAAACTCATAACTATCGCGGAGTCTTGTTGGCGGCCTTCATATTGGGACTTAGACTAGCTCGCTGTTAGCGCTTCACACCGATCTGTTTCCTTGGAAGTTCACTTATAGCGGCAAATTCAGCAGTTGCAGATTACTCGAGTCTCAAACTGCCATTCTTTATGATGTCTTGAATAAGTACAGAACCACCAGCCCACTGCCTCACGCGTTGCGCACAGACCATTGAACTCATAAGATATAGCTACACATAATAAGATCCTAATAATTGTGGGCTTTTCAAGCAAAGTTATTCATCAGGCCAGAGGATATCAGTTCCTTTCATCTAAAAATAGTTCCGTGAGGAGTCGACAGATTACACTCCAATCTTTTGAGGGCGAAATCATTATGCAATTGGCTGCCATTGTAAAACCCCTACAAAGCTCAAAGTATAACAGCATAGAGTTATTAGGTATATTTTAGACAGTTAATGATTCGTGGAATATTATCATTGTTGTCTTGCAATACAAAGTGCAAACTCGTAGACTATCAACCCTGCATATGCCGCATCGATAGATGTCTTATATAGCAAGCCCTTGTCAATGCAAACCGAATACAATTACATGGGCAGATCTCACATTTACTAACGGCTTAGTTTTTGGTCTCATGTTTGAAATTCATGATATCTTTAGGATGGGTGCTGCTGAAGATCTCCGCCAACCAGAAAAAGTATAATTGTGCCCGCTAGAGTTATAGACTCATACAGAGCCCCAAACTATCCCAAACTATAACGCCGTTTCCGGAGTCGAAATATTTTAGTTTCATAAATGAGACAACTAATGCATCTGGGCATCAGACACAAGCCTATGATGTGTCGCTATGTCGCAAAGTTCTGACGTTACTGATGCGGGGTTGAACCAATATCTCTGTCAGCTTGGTGTTCATAAAATTCATAACTCTTCTAAACACGATCTACCTTTCTCCCTCATTCTTTTTAGTGACGCTCAAAACCATCGACACTACTGAAGACTTTAAAGTGCAATCAGTGACACCGCAAAATGATTATCCCAACTGAAGTAGTGGGCTCACTGCCTCGTCCCGCCTGTAAGACAATACCCAGTGCTCACTATCATATAAACTAGCGCTAATAAAAGGGCAGATTTACAAAAGGCTTTTGCTGACTATGATGCTGGACTAATCACTCGCAATGATCTTGTGGCCGCTCAGGATAAGGCTGCGAAAGATTCCGTTGAGAGGATGGAGGCCGCAGGAGAAACCTATGTAACTGACGGAGAGCAGCGCGCTAGCTCGTGAGTATAAAAACATAACCAGACGATAACATGATCTTTTCTTGAATATGTTAACATGAAATTTTAGTTTCGCGACATATCCTGTTGTTGAGTAAGTAGTCGGGATGACGATAACTAGTTTCACTTATAAGCTGGGATTCTCACGACACATGAATACAGAACTCTCAAGGGTGCTGGACTACCTGATAATTTTGCAGGGGACGGCCAGTTATTTGTATGCTTCTTTGAGGAAATCGAATACTAATATATGCTAACCTCCATCAACAGGCTTATTTTGCTGATGGCCATCACCGCCAGCTTCCACGCCTGGTCAAAGGGCCTTTCAAGTATGATCTTCTTATTTTTAAGTTGCGAGAATTGTAGTGCTAATAAAAACCTTTGATCTCATGAATTAGATATGCGACATATGCGTCTCAAAATCTCCAAAAGTCTATACCCTACGCCTCAAATCCTATGAAGCAAGCTGTCATTTCACCGAGTATGATGTACCTTTTATACCCCCTCCAGGGAGAATTAGAAGGTTACCCTCGAGCAGATTTTATTAAAGATTTAATTGATGAAGTAAGCTGTAGTGCTAGCTTCATAATAACATACTGGCTAATTTTTTGCACGCAGTGCGAAAAAGACATTCGGGCATGTTTCGAAACAGGCGCGAAGAGAGTCTCGATTGACTTCACAGAAGGTATATCTGCTAAAGTTGAGTATCAAGGATCATTAAGTTACTAACGTGGGCTTCTATTTCACATCCAGGTCGTCTCGCTCTAAGAAACGATCCTAGGAATCCTTGGACAAACGCCGAGCTTCTTGAAAGATTTATCTTATTGATCAACCAGTACGTATAAGTAGTGCATTGAGGCCTATAAGATATCTTGCTAAGTCATATGCAGGGTTCTTAGTCGCTTCACTCCCGAAGAACGAATTAACATTGGCCTGCACACCTGTCCTGGCGGCGATTGTGATTCTGTGCATTCACTAGATGTCGATTATCACAAGCTACTTCCATCTCTATTCCAAATTAATGCGGGATATTTCTTAATCCAGCTCTCTTCTGAGAAGGATCGTGAAGAAATATATAAAAAGATTGGGCAGCATATCCGCAAAGATGCCAATGGCGTCAAACAGGTATGCTCATGTTTTATAGGGCGCAGATGTGGTGATCGTACGTATGCTAATACATCAAACCAGGTTGCTTTTATTGGAGTTATTAATACTCTCAATCCAAGAGTTGAGACCCCAGAAGAAATTGCCGACCATTTGATACTTGCCAGCAAATACATACCGCCGGACCAGCTCGGGGCAACAGATGATTGCGGTAAGATTCAAGACTCTAATTTTAACTCGTATTCCCCGTTGATATGTAACTAACGAATAAATTACCAAAAGGATTCTCTCCATTCTCCATTGACGTCAAGCCAAGTCATGGAAGTCCGGATTTTGCCAGGGATATCGCATTTCAAAAGATCTCAAACCGCGTCCAAGGGGCTAAATTAGCTAGTGCAGCTCTTTCTGCCTAAATATCAACGTTAGGGAATTGAGTTGGCAGAATAATAGTTTATAATTTTAGAACTAATGCCAAGGGCCGAAAATGAAACGACTAAAATAATACGTGTAAACGAAGAACGAAGAGTAGTTCCTTTCGTCATAGACATGAGGAATATTCCATTAGCAAATTTGTAAGGTTATTATAACCCTATCGTTTTCGTTGCATAATCATCTCCCCTCTTTATCAGCAAGGCCAGCAGCCATGTAGTATATATTGCTGGCCGTATGGCCTTGTGCTTTATATAGACTTGCCAACGTAACTGGTATATACTCTTTCAGGTTTCTCATCTCATAGGCGTGTTGCTGTAACCAAGTGAGAGAAGAGATACTCCGTTAGCCTCCCCCATGACTAGTGAAGGATACTCCGTAATTGAGAGATACCCCGTAGTGCTGATTCCAATCCCCTGGGGTAGGCAGCCGACCACCCGATATGAAGAGAGATTCGGCGGGGTTCCAGCCTCAACGTTCCATACAGTAGCGCACTTGAGCAGAACATCTCCCCATCTCATCATTAACATGGAGGGGTCAAATCGGCAAATACCTATCTAGTGTGTGCGTAAATGCTGACAAGGCTCCCTGGACAAGGATTACAAGCAGGGGTTTTGGTGCCCGGCTACCCGCGATGATAGCTCACCTTAAAACATTGACACGATCTACCAATGGAATAATGGTTCTGACTGAATTTTATAAGATAATATGAGTAACTGCAATATATATAACTATGCTAAAACGTATTCCATCAGTATTCTTGGTTTATTATGTACTTTACTTAACATAACATTTATAAACACGTAACAAAAAGTTGAACAGCTGTGCACTAGCCGCTTTGTCGCCCCCCTGCTTTATATCTTACACGGGTATCCCCTGTGACTACATGTACGTTTACCTGAGTTTGGCGATTACCGCTGTCGACTAGCAAGAAACAGACTTTTGGATCTCACCTTATAGATCTAAATGAGTTGTGGAAGTCTATAGCACATAAATTAAACACTACTTTTGTTTCTTAACTGCTAATAGTGCCCGTTGACCTCGCTGGAGAGCAGCTAATTTTCCCGTGAGTCAGTAAATAGAATATTGAACATATGCTGCTATTTACAGCAATAGGCTGACAAAAGAAAATAATAGAAAAGACCATTCTTGGCAGAGAAAATGAGGGGCCTACTACTCCGCTAACATCGCCTTTTGTCAACGATCTAGCCGAAAGCAGCAGTCACAATGTGGAGCAATAAGGTCCGATTCTGATGAAAGGGTCTGCATCAGCTTACTCTGCTGCATGTTACCGGGTGTTTGGTATAGCCTGAAGTGGTGATATTGCTCGTATTCCGACTTCCGTACAAACGGCTTGCAAAAACCCGGGACTGGGGAAATAATCGGCATACGAATTGAGGGCAATAGCGTAACTAAGCGGCGATATATTTTCCGTGTATTGGTTGTGTGTAGTATGTATTATCTTATTGTATGCACTTATTCACTCTGCAGTCCAGATTGTTTTGCAAGCTGCTTGTAACAAAAAAATCATTCCATATCTTGTTTTAGATGTATCACAATTGACCGTACATTGCAGAATAGTAGTGATTTCTTCCATCTTCTACTCTTTTACTCTAGGTGAAATATGCAGATCATCGTCCTCTTTAACACGAGACGCTTTGTATTGAGAAGTCATGCTTTCAACAACTTTTCAATGGGGCACTAGAAACCAGTTATCTTTCAATTTACATCATATTATCTACAAAGTCCACTCTGGGGGGCAATATATTAGACTTGGGTTACCCCCTTGGCGTAATGTATTTTATTAAATATTGCTCCTGGATTTACTTTTACGGTGGTATTTGCCCGATCTGAAACGTAACCCCAATAGACTTCATTAAAAGTACGAGGACTCTTTGAATAAGCCTAAAACCGAATGCATTAGATCTATTATACAGGAAGCATGGCAAGTGATGATACAAAACACAGAGACTGGGGAAACAACCAGCACACAGCTCCACTCTTACACACTGCAGTATCCACATCCTCTCAACAAAGAGAATGCGTCTATTTTATCACAGTATGCGTATTTTCATTTTTGAAGTCTACAATTTCTGGTCCCCCCTTGCATGGGTTGGAACACATTATTGAAAGCGTGCATATAGCTATGGCAATACGAAATGGTGGCCTGGCATTTACGATAAGTCGAAAACTATAAATATCAGGTCCAAGGTCGTATCTCAAATCCTCTTATCCCCATCACTCTTCGCCCACAGCTAAATAACAACTCATCCAAGAAAATCTACTTTTCTAACTTTTCAACTCCCACACACCTTCAAAATGAAGACTGCCACCGTCCTCCTTGCTCTAGTTGCTGCTGCCTTCGCTGCACCCACCAACGTCGAAGAGCCTACTCTCGCCAAGCGTGGCTGCGCTGCTGGAGATATTTGCATCAGCGGCACTTGCTACGTATGGAGCTGCGGCCCAGTCGGCTGCTCTGTCGGTGGCAGCCTCGGTACAAGCTGCTAAATTGTATGTTACTTCCCATATGCTCAGAATTAATAGAAAATCCATAACTAACCAAGTAGATTAGTGAAAATGGACCATGAAATGAACGGAGGAGGACAAAACTCGAATACTGGGTCAATGTGCCTGGATCACATATGAACACTGTGGTCTCAGAGTGATTCGGGAGGAGGGATGGAAGTATATTAAAGGGAGTTTCTATTATGAGTTCCATAGTCCCAGATATCCACCGATAAATCTAAGTATTCCAGGATAAACATTAGCTTGAAAAAGTGTGATAACCGCCTGTATGAGTGATTTCTCCTGTTCAGTTCGTTCAAATGCCACTTCGATCGAATTGATAACCTGACATGCTGGATGCCGTCTAACAGAGCGAGCTATATTAAATTACGGTATGTAGTTACTTGATGTCTACTGCCAGAGTCTGCGATATTGGAAGAAAATCATTCATCAACATGCTTGACGCTTGACACCTTAAGGCTTTGGAATAATAAGTTAGCTTGACATTGTCACGGCATCAATAAAATCTCATTTCTAGGACCTTTAAAGATGGGAAGCTTTAACCAAGTTCATCGAGATGAAACGATCAGTTTGATGCTACAGTATTTATATCCCATATATCAATATATATTCCGGCTTACGTATTTCCGATGAAACTTACGCTCCAGCGTACGCCTTCTCTAAGAAGGGAACAGACACACCAACACCGTCTAGAGTTGGAAGAACGCTGGTATACTTCAGAATAGCTCAGAGGCTTGGAAATTATAGTGTCTTGCTGGTATAAAACTACTTCTCTTTAGCACTCTGTTCCCGTCCCTAGCTTGGTTCATGGTGAATCCAACTGCTGCACATTAAGACTGGAGCAGAGAACATCCGCCATGTTTGTGCTCTCATTTCGGCTACCTACGAATATGGAATTTCAGCTGTCGGCCCCAACCAGATCTTATGGGGCCGTCCCTCGGGCCGTATAGTGCTAAGCTAGTACGCGTATCCCCCACATCACGAGGACCCTGTACTCCGTAGCTCAGGGCGAGATGGTTGGCGTTTCTAAATTCCTCCATAACCAAGATTCCTGCACCTGTCGACTTACCGAAAATTTTCTACGCATAGAAGCCTACTCTACGGAAACAATACATTATAATACAACTCATAAAGCTCATCCCTAGACCGCTAGGACGCTGACACATCTCCAAATTATTGTAGGAGCTCCAAAAGTGCGAAATACGATCGCTATCAACGGCAAAGAAAGGGATTATCCAGAACTGTAACGTATTGATACAAACGAAAAATTTTCATTGGTGCCATGGCCGTTGCTTCTAAGCGTTGAAGCACGAGAGCAATGCTCTAATGAAATACATTCTTGGCTCAATAGTATTACACACATAATCATTGAAGAATAACGTTTGTATAGGAGATTTGGTATAGCTACATGAAATTGACCTGGATAGGTAAAGTTGAATTAGATAAATGAAATGATCTTCACATCAGTACTAAGATTTCATATGTGAAGTGAAAATAGATGACCTGACTACTCCTCTTCTGACTCAATTTCTTCCTCCTCGACCTCGGCCACGTCCTCAAAATCACCACCGCCCTCCATATCCTCGGAATTGACCAATTCGTCAGACTCAAACTCCCTCTCACGTTCGTCGAATTTTTGTTTGAGAAGCTTCGCCTCGTTCACTACAGTTTCATCAATCTTTACCTGAGCAACAACGTCCTCAAGCTTGGCCTCCATCTGACTGCGAAGTACAGCCTCATCACAAACCAACAACTCCTGCAATTCATCCAAGGTCATCGTCGTGACTAGCTTAGCCAGCGCAAACATTAAGCATTCATCGTTATCGGTCCAGTACTGAGCTCTTTCCGATGATATTGTTAGCTTCGCAAGAGCCGAGCAGGCGTTCCCAATTTGATGATTGCCTCCGTGTAATAGTCCATCTTGATGCCATCAAGGTCATAGGTTACGACCCAGGCATAGCGGTTAAACGGATGATTGAAGTAGGCTTTCATGAGCTCAAAGAGAACAGCTTCTCTGAGTGAGCCCGTGATCCAGGACGGAAGATTAGCCTCTGCGGAAAGCTGACGTGAATACTTGGTGAGCATTACCCTCTCCTGGTGGTCGTGAAAAGAATTTTTAACCTTGAGGTTGTGCCACTTCACGGCCTTCGTTTGTCCCAAGCGGTTAAGCCGACCGTGCATTTGCAAGATAGTCTTTGCGCTGAAATGCATATTGACTAGTAAACCTTTGCAACAAGCAGTATGCAGGTTAAGGCCCGCACTCATGATAGATATATTGGCGATGAAGACTTCTGCTTTAGAATTAGGACCTGTAAACAGCTGGATAGCCTCGATTCTGGAATGAAGACCTTCTGATGGTCGCACTGTCAACGTATTAATACCGGCCATCTTCAGTGCTCCGTACATCATTCTGCGCACTTGGTGAGTAAAAGAATATATAATGACAAATCCGTAAGAGGGTTTACTCATTGCTGTATCCATGGGGTGTCAACGTAGATGATCAGTCGCTTTTTTTGCTCATGTATATATCTGTGCGATAACGGAGTTCATGTCTGAGCTGTTGGCTCAAGGCGGTGCCCATGTCGTCCTACAGAGGATCTCACCATGCAAACCGATGTCCAGATGTTCAGGACCTTTACCAAGAATAAGTGAAGAATTAGTCCAAGGCGAGATTATGGGCCAAATTATCATAGAGTGGCACGATACATAAGGTATCAAAACATGTAGAAGCTGCCCTGCCTTGATCATTCATACTAATAGACGGAAACAAGGTAGGCGAGAATTTGACAGGCCATGTACTTTTCTTGGCCCCTCCTGATGAGATACTATCTCCAATGCTAGCCAATAGTACCTTTTTGTACGACTCATAATGGAATGAGAAGAAATCCGGTGAAGTTATACGTCGCCTACGCCGATCAAGAGTGTGGCGGTGCAGATAGGCACACAAGCACTCCAGCGTGGCTTATCGCAGAAAGACGCCTTTCAATGGAGTGCTCGGCACATGTAATCACTCAGGTACAGTATTAGCGCAGTACATGCCAAGCTCCAGTACTTACAGCGGGCTGAGGTGTACCGGCGTCAATGGCGTATCCCGCGGGTACCTCATCAAGGTCCCCAGGTGTAGCGCCATGGCAACGTACCTTGGTGCTCTATGAAGCTATGAAAACTCCATCAAATGCGCGCGTTGATACAACTATGCGTTATGCTCTGGTACCTTTATTGGCCCCTTCACCCAGCATTATTATACGATCTCAACGCAGCGCCGGGCAAACCATAAATCGCCACCTTCAGCCTGATTCCATGCATTGCGCGGCGCTTGACGCTGGCTGCGTCATCCTTGCGTCCACTAACACGCAGCGGGCAGGCCTCCGCACTCCAGAAGGTACAAGCGCTGCTCGCACCGCCACACTCTTCCCCAATCCTCCAGGAACAGAAACAGACATCCTCGATTGCCACAGTGCCTGATTCTCTTCAAAACCACCTAAAGCCTCATGCAAGACTCATTCTTTCGTCCGATACTATAGCCCTCAGCTCCTCACTCCTAAACCTCGCGTTCGCTGCAATTCCTGCTGCTCTGCCATACTCCCGCCACCATGCGCTGCTGGCCTTGATCGCTGATCCAGTGACGACATACTTCCAACCCGTCTCCCCCACCTCGATTCTCTCCCCCAGCCCTTGCTGCTCGGCCCTGATCGACAAGCTGGCGTAGCTTGAGGACAAAAAAGCAATACAGCTTCTTCCGCCAGATCATCTTCATCAAAGCATGTATGTCCAGCAGCCTCCCGGCAGTATCGAAGACGTTCTGCCCCCGCCTGGGCCGCCACCAGGGCACCGTCCGTCGATGGAGAACAGCAGCTGGACAGACGAGCCGGCCACAAGTGCCTGGGAAGACGTGGCTCCTCAGCATGTGGCTCCTCAGCATGCAGCCGCGGCTGGTGCTACACCAAGCTCCATCCATCGCAAGGAAGTTCCTGCGTCTCTGCGGCCTGGTGGAGGCGGCATCGACGTAGGCTTCGGCTCTCCGGAAGAAGAGGATAGCGTGTGGAACGAGGCACGGAAGCAGCCATCCGAGCTGAGTCTGCCCAGCCAGATCCCCGATGCCCTTAGACCAGGCGTACAGAGATCAGAGACAAACCCATTTCTGAAAAACCGAGCTCCGTCCGACTCCAATCTCCACGCTGTTCCGGCATCTCTGCAGCCACCCATTGCCTCGCTTTCTCACATAAGCCTGGACGAGACGGGAACTAACAATCCCTGGAAGCCAACAATTGCTGTGCAGCCGCCAATCCAAGGAAATGAGCCACCTGTTGTAATAGCACCTGGTGACTCGGAGCCTGATCCTTGGGCTCGTTCCACCCCGGAGCCGCCTGCAAAGGTGCCTATTTCGCCGAAATCCCCAGATTTAATCTCCCTACGCTCTAGAAGCTCGACATGGGATGAAGATTCTCATAGCGAGCGTGATGAAAAAGGCTCTCCGTCGCAGAAACCTGCGATGCCAGATGACCTCGAGCGTGAGCAGCATGTCTGGGACGATTTGGGGTCTTCGGATGTGGCTAAGGGCAAGGGCAAGGTACCCGAGCTGACGGCAGCACAAGCACCTCAGTTGGATGATTGGAGCCTGATAGACTCAGATCCGTCATTGAGCCCTCCACCAAGACAGCCGCAAGAAGAACTCTCGACAGCAGTGCTGGAGGAAAAGCCGGCCTTGCCGCCCAGAGCCACAGAGGGTCGTGTGAAATGGGTTCCTTCACGTCCGCCAGTCGATGGCAAGGCAGAAACGTACCAGGTGAAGAATATCCGCTGGCACGACCCCAACTCATCCAACAACCCCCGCGTGTCGCCCATACTTATACAGAATGAGAACGGGCCTTGCCCCCTGGTCGCGTTAGTCAACGCGCTGACTATGACGACGCCTGACGATATCCCCGATACAGTACTGGTTCAAGTTTTGCGTTCACGGGAGCAAGTCAGCTTGAGTCTTCTGCTGGATGCTGTATTTGACGAACTCATGTCTCCTCGAAGAACATCGTCAGAGGACTCTCTGCCAGATGTCGCGGAACTATACTCATTTCTCCAGAGTCTCCACACCGGCATGAACGTCAATCCGCGATTCATCCCCACTCCAGAAGTTATCACCGCATACGAGCATACTTCACTAACACAGCTTCACCTACTGGAGCGGCACAAATACATCCCTGGAACTTTTGAGGACACGGCGGAGATGAGTCTCTATGCGACTTTTTCTATTCCTCTCGTTCATGGATGGCTACCGCCTTACGATGATGCCGTCTGTGCTTCCATGCAAAGACATGCTACCTCTTACGAAGATGTGCAGAATCTACTGTTCCGCGAAGAAGAGCTAGAGGATAAATTGGCCACTTCTGAGGAGGGCCTCACGGAAGCGGAGCAAGATTTATATCAAGACATCATCACCATCAAGATATTTTTGAATGAGTCGGCTACCCAGCTGACGCCGTGGGGAATCGAGGTCATCCAAAAGGCAATTCGACCCGGTACATTTGCTATCCTTTTCCGCAATGACCACTTTTCAACGCTTTACTGCCATCCGCAAACCCAACAGCTCCTCACTCTTGTGACAGATGCCGGCTACCGGAGCCATGATGAAATAGTATGGGAAAGTCTGGTGGATGTCAACGGGGAACTAAACCAGTTTATGTCTGGGGACTATCGACTTGTAAGCGGTGATAACACGGCAGAACTAAGTACTGGAGCTGGCAAACGCCACAGCGACCAGGGAAGTGGTAATTGGACAACTGTCACCAACAAACGGGGCAAGACTAAGGAGACCGGCCCTATCGAAGAACAAGGTCAAGCGAGCTCCAGCACCGAACAAGAAGACAGAGACTTGGCCCTCGCCATGCAGCTACAAGAAGAAGAGGATCAGAAACACCGAGAAGAACAGGCTCGCCGGCAACGGGAGCGAGCACTCTCAGAGCAATATATTGAGCAAGCTCACCTTCCCATACCCGTTACTCGCCCTGTGGGCAATTCTGGAGGAAATACCGGTGGTAACAGTACTTCCCGGCGCAGCCCTGCGGCCGGACCAAGTAGCAGCACGCCTGTTCCGCCGCCACGGCGAAGTTCCAACAGTGTCAGCAATAGTGCCAATAATAGCACCAGTGCACTCCCTGCCTCCACATCTCAACGGTCTTTGCCTGCACGCGCACCAACGTCACAAACCGTCCGACCCCTAGTTCCTCCTCCGAGACCAGGTGTCAATAGACCGGTTAGCTCTGATGAACCGCCGCCACCCTCATATGAACAGGCTGCTCAGGTTCCTGCATATGTTCCTCCTCCAGGACACCCTAACCACCACGAAAGTAGCCCTACAGCTTCCAGACAGGCATCTCGAACAAGCAATGGTGTAGGATCTCCTGCGCCAGTTCGTGGACGACGAACCAACGCCTCGGTCCCAGCAAATCGAAGACCTGCTGTGGCTTCTGGAGGGTCCTCGAGCAAATCCGATAGAGATTGTATAGTAATGTGAAGAGAAATGACGGAGAAATCGAATGGGAATGGGCTATCGATTGTAGTAGGGACTGTCACTTTTGCAGATAGGGAGGGGGATATCATGCTTTGCAGGCGTTTCTGGGCTTCAGCTATTATACGGAGGGTACATTCCTTTGAATTTTCTATCTTCAAGCATAGGAGCATGTTTTTATGACGAGATATGCATTGATACGAAAGCTTTTATTTATAACGCATTGAACGAATGAACAAATGTCTTGGGTTATATTTCTCTTACAATACCAAATAAATGCTTGTGTGAGAATAGAACAGGAATTCTGCCCAATCTCGAACTCAGCAGATAGCCCCTCTCATTGTATATTTAATATCTATGAGGAGGAAAAAAAAAATCATGTACAATTATGATTATATGCAACGTAGAATAGCCTACAGTCAACAAAAAAATAAATCATGGCGAAACGATGTACCAGGGACTCGAACCCTGAGCCTCAGTCTGGATCTCCCTGTTACGGATAGTAATAGGAGGACTGCGCGCTACCATTGCGCCAGCACACCATGCAGTTATCGGGGTCGATCTTGTTATCTCTTATACTTGTATTGGCGCTGTATTCGGCAGGTGGCGTCTAGCGGCAGAATTGGCCATGCAGCTATGGGGTAGTCTGTGTGCCGCTGTTTGCTGTTTGTTGACATCATCAAGCGCCAGCCACAGAAGGCTTGTGGCTTACGGAGAGCTACTGCATATACGCATCTACGTCAATCACTGTATTCCATCGATTGACGATTCATGATTGAGCATCTTACATGATTCCGTGACGCGTGGCTTTGTTTGTTTCTGCTTTATCGAGTCGAGCATATTGCTGGATCTGCCATCCTCGTCGTCATGTCGCTAATTGAAGGGTGGTATCCTCCCACGCGGGAGAATTACGAGCTTCTGCTTTTTTGGTGGCAGATTGGCTATCCAATTGTAAGCTTCCCTCATATTCTCTCTGATCTCTTCATTTTTGATTCGAGAGGCAATAATGGGTTGAACTTACACTAATTGCCGTGATGACAGTGTGGTTCGCTACAATGGGTTGTTAACTGGTATGGCATGGGCAAAACGTCTGTGAGCAGCAGACTCAACATCCCTGGCCGAATAGCCTGGATTACGATGGAGTGCCCTGGCTTCTTGACGCTGTTGTACGTTATGAATACGCTGCCGCAGAAAGCTGGGGTCGACGACCTGCCGTTCCAGAATCGAGTGTTGGGCGGGCTCTTTGTATGTGTCCTTTCATCAATTACACACATTCTAGTGTGATGGCGAGAATATCCACTGACAAATATCATATCCAGGTCATCCACTACTGTTACCGAGCTGTTCTCTTCCCCTTCCTCCAGCCTTCCATGTCTCCCATCCACGTTGGCGTCTGGGCTCTCGCCATCGGCTTCCAGGTCTGCAACGCCCTCTGCATTTCCTCCTGGCTCTCAGCCTACGGCCCCACCACCACCGAAGCCTGGTCCTCTGCGTGCTCCGTCACCCAGTTCATCTTCGGCATTGGCATCTTCTACCTCGGCCTCTCGTCAAACTTCTTTCACGACGAAGAGCTGCGGGAAATCCGGCGCCGCGAGCAGAAGCGCCAGGAGCGCATCCGCAAGAAGGCCGGCGGCAACAGCCAGGCCGCCAGCGTGGAGAAGCACTACCAAATCCCGCAGGCGGGGTTGTTTCGGTACATGCTGTATCCGCACTACTTGTCTGAGTGGGTTGAGTGGTTCGGCTTTTGGATGGCTGCTGGGTGGGGCTGCGCTCCTGCCAGGGCGTTTCTCGTGAACGAGATTTTCTCGATGCTGCCGAGAGCTGTGAATGGGAAGAAGTGGTATATGGAGAGGTTTGGGGAGGATAAGATTAAGAAGAAGTGGGCTATCATTCCTGGAGTTTGGTAATGGTAAGATAACTCAGTGAGAGGAGCATTTGGACACTTGTCGCGACAATTGCTAATTTATTATTTCTTTATTCATAAGCTTGAGACCATCTAAGTCTTACAAGTGTTCATCTATCGTTATATATACCGCCGACGCCTAATATATATTTCATTTAATAGTGATTCTTTCCTTTCTCATCATAAAACTCCTGCACCCACTGCTTGATGGTCGCCACCTCAGCAGAAAAAATGTTTGCCAGCGCGGTGTTTGCGTTCGCATTGCGCCTCAACTGGTCGCCGCAGTGTGCTCCTCCGGGAATGACACGCACGGGGTGGGCTGAAGTCGACTGCAGCTGACCGCCAGGACGACTGGTTGCCATAACTGTAGCGGGCCTCCATGGATCGAACTCTCCAGCAGCCCACTGCAGGCGGTGCGTGTTGACGTTGAACCAACCGCCAGTAACCCTGTTGACATCGGACGTGGTGGCGCCCTCGGCAATGCCGTAGCTGTAGTCTCCTTCCCTGGGGAAGAAGAGGCCGCATTGGCGCTCAAAGTACTCTTGCGTGACGAGGCGAGAGACGAGGTTGCCCTCACCGCGGACCTGCCACCACTTGAAGCTGTGAAATTTGTCAGTATGGGATGCCCATCTGTGGGGTATAAGCCGGTTTTCGGGACTTACGGCTGATTGCAGAGGAACCAGTTCCATTGGCGGTTGGCAGCGTTTCTAGGGGTGAGATCTGTGTACAAGGGGCTCGTTGCGTTGTACGTGTTGAAGCAGTCGGTATCGTACTCGCCGGTCCAGTATCCGTAATTAGAACAAGCTATTAACAGGTTGTTAGATCTAGTATCCGTCACCTCTATCACATATATAACTCACTGTTTGGCAGGCTGAGTTCGGTAAACCATTTGGCATATCCAGCCAGTGCCTTTGTGAGACCAACGCCATGAGGCCCAGGAGTTGGGCTGGTGCTGTTGGGCCATTTGTTCTGTTGTCACCCATGTTAGTTTACATTCACTTCAGGAAACAATTCAATATTTTTACTTACCTCAATATAGTCGCACATTTGGTTCGTGGCGCTGAAGCCGTCCGAAAAGAGCACATCCTGCCAGGTGTACAATCCGCTGACCAGCGCGGCCGCAAAGTCATCGTCATGCTCAACAGACTCTAGGCGGAACAAGCTCTTGAGCTCGTCCTTGGCCTTCTTATTGTATCCCAGCAGAATACTATCCACGTGGTCAACGATCTTGACATAGTCAGCTGTGCAGTTCTTTGGCATTGCCAGCTTGACCTGCTCAAAGTATTGCCACAGCGGGCCAATGGCCTCGACCACGGGGCTGGAGGCACTGTAGGCCCAGAAAGTTCCAGGAGCAAGGTCCTGCACCCACGCTGTCAGAGCACCGCTGTAGGAGCAGCCGCTGAGGACCCAGGGCGCCTTATCGGGAGTGCTGGTGCGGTTCTGGTCGAAAGGCAGAACGACATTCTTGGCAAAGTAGGTGAGATCCTTGATGGACTGCTCCATTGTAAGATATGTCATGTTCTCAGTGTCAAGAGACTGGTATGGCGAGCTATCTCCCCAGTAGCGGTGCTCAATGATGATGGCTCCGCCGCCAACTGCTTGCGCATAGGCACCGGGAAGAGTCAGATTGGTGGTGTATCCCTCGTAGCCATCCAGAGCAGACTCGTTGGGTCCAACCAGGATGATTGGCGAGCCGGGGCCCTTGTAGTAGTCACCGTTGTAGGCATATCTCTGCGAAAAGGTGCCAAGCTCGGGGTGATCATGGTCGATGAGCTGCTGGAAGTAGCCGTGAGTAGGACCATTGTTTGAGGCAAGGACACCAGGTGCAATGGGAGCCTTGGGAGGGTTTGTGTCCTGAGGGGTGCTGGCAGAGACAGCCCCGGCGAGCAGGAGAAGTTCCGCTGCCACGGAGATGGGATTAGACGACCGCATTGCGACGGATTGGTCTGTCCACGCTTGAAAGCTACCGAAATCCTTTGACGCCTCGGATTATGAGCCGGCTGCCTTAAGACTCAAGCTCTCTCTCTCTCACTCCGTCAGAACCGAGTGGCCGAGTCGACCGGGCAGTTTATATACCCATCTTCGCGTCTTCTATTACATGCCTCTGACCAATCAATTCGGGTTCTCTGAAGAACTATTGTATTCACAAGGTAGTATCACGCAAGTACCCGTCTAGCTCTTCTTGTCAAAGCTCCCGCGTCTTGGTTCATTCTCCACCCCGGCCGCACTACAGATATGGCCCTGACATGGTCCGCATGCCAAGGGATTTTTGTCGCCAATGAGCATAGCCTGCGCAGTCAGGTCCGGATTCCTGCCGAGAAGAGACTATGCCGAGATTTATCTCCCGCTTGAGCGGCTGCCAAAAATTGTGTCTGGCGTGAAGCAGCTGCTCCTCATTGTATTAACCACGACTGACTGGAAAGGCGTGAAGCGACAGACGGCTTGAGAATTAAAAGAACTTTATAAAGAAGATAAAAAAACAGGATTCTTTGGAAGGAAGTCTGCCTAGAGTTTACCTTGTCTTTCCGGAATTCCAGGCAGACTACAGCAAAAACCCCAGTCGAACAAGAGACCTTCCCAAGTTGATACTAGATGCTGTAACATCGGCCGTTTGCCGTCTTCCAAGCCCCGATCCAGCGATTTTAAGCTGGTCTCCATGAAATTGATTCAAAAGGTCCTCTATGGCAACTTACTAACAACAAAAAATTACAGCGCACGTCAATGAAATCCTTGCCTAATTCGATCGACCTTCCCGATACGGCATACCTTCTGCCAGGGTCCGGACTCTACCGGCCGGCGGTGATGGCGAGTAACATTACCAATCTGCGAAAGGTCCCAAGAGAACTTTTTAAAAACCGGCGGGGAACTGCCTTGTTGGAAAAGATATTTTGTAGCATTGGAGGCTGTGAAGACGCCGGACAAGGCCAGGGGATTAACAGCGATCATCGCTATGTTAGTCTCCACCTTGCGATCATATGTACAAGGCATGCGCCCGCTTATCGAAAACTCCCGCGATTCGCTTGTTCGGTGAGAGCTTGGCTGAGAGACTTTGTCACGAGATTCATGCGAGGATGCAGGCAGGCAGGCATTATTGATATTGTATCACACAATTGGCGCAGCTTGAATCCATTCGTGCTCCTCATTGTGCTCGGATAGTCATCTCTTCCGATTACGTTTTCTTGCGCTTCAGCTACTTATTTTGCGTTGATGCGTAATTTATTTCACTTACGCAGCATGGAGAGAAAGACGATACACAGAGGATTTAAGAGCTAGTAAGACACATTGGATGCGCTCTCTCTTGGTCACATTTAACATGAACCAGCTGATTGATCTCGTGCGACCTCGGTCACCATCCGCTCGGTCACCAGAAGATCAACAACGCTCGTGCCAATGCCGATCTCATTTAGCTCAACAAGCCTAATTCTCAACGACGGCTATGCAATTGCAAAAAAAAGATGCGTTAATATTATCAGACAGGAAAAGGCGGTCGGTCTTATGTACGCGATGAAACAAACGAGGCGCGACTTTTGGCGTTGGCGATGTTCACCTTTTTGAAATGCGCACGCAGCTTGGTAGGGGCACACTGGTTGAAGCAAAAGCGGTGGTTTCGTTATGTCAACGACCCGAGAGCCCGGGGAAGATACCGAAATCGACGTCACTGGCTGCATTAATTCAGATTTCCAGGATGATTGCTGCACAGGGCGTTGGACTCGGATAGGATGCATTTCTCAAGCTCTCGCGCCGTTGATGCAGCGAGCCATGACTTTGGCTGTGTTCAATGTGCCCCTACTACGCTTTGCACGTATCTTTCGTCAAAGATGAAGGTCTGTTGAGAGGCCTGCCAAAGCAAGCAGAAGCGCCGCCTCTAAACATCGTCAGTACTTGGGCAGAAAATCTGTTCTGTTGAACAAAACTATATTCCACACTAACTAATCACATCAAGTTCTTGTGAATAGTAGAAATTTCTAGCTTGCCGCGTAGTCGTTGGTGAGCTTGGCGCTGTGCTCTTGGAAAAAGAACTTTGTCTGTTCCAGGATTCCTGTATCGTTCCAAAATTTCTGCCACGATAGTTTTGTCCAAGAGTCCAAGCTGCATATGGCAATGCTGTGTTGCGTTCAAAGCAGACAGCATGAATAAAGCAGTAAACATCGTCCAGATGAGTTCTTTTGCCCCAACAAAATATCTTGCAGCTACACTCGCTTGTTTCAATAAGAGACTCAGTTACTCTTTTATTCGCTCAGGTATACCCAAATAGCAACTCATATTATATACTAATAGATGCTATATATTAATACCACGCAGAAATGCATGTGATTTATGTAAAGTCTATCAGTCATCGCCGTCATAGAGACTGCTCACAGCCCACCCATTCAATATGCTATACTGACTCAACGGCGACGTCCCCGTCAACATGTTATAATGTATCCTCTCACCACACAGCCTATCGTTTCCATACTGCACGCATGGTCTTCCCTGAAGCAACGCCGCAACCTGGGCGCCCGCCTCGCGGCCTTCAAACCATGCCCCGTGCAAAAAGCCAAAATACTCTGCGCTGGTGGCCTCGCCGGCGAACCACAGGCGCCCGGTGTTGGCTCGTAGGTTTTGATGGGCTAGCAAAGTAGTGCCCGGCGGCCAGTTTGAATAGCTTCCGTAAGACCACGGTTCAGAGGTCCAGCGAGGGTAAGTAAAGGCGATGGGCTCGGGGATGGTAACGTTGGGGAACATTTGGCGAAGGACCTCCATTGCCTCTGCTTTAGTCTCTTCGTCGGTTTGTCGTTCAATACGGTAAGATTCATCGTCCACAACGGTAGCGAAGATGATATTTGACCCGGGCATAAAACCTTCAGTCGATAGAGATTGCCATACCGGGTAGTATCCCCTTGTCGTGGGCGAAGCATAGAGGAAGTACTGTTTATCTTCTGGCCAGAAAGTCTCGTTAAACTGAAGGAAGATCTTGGTGTAAGTCCCCATGGCGAAATTCTGGATTGCTCTCTTCTTCCACTGCGGCAATTCAGGAGAGAAGCGCACGGTGCCTCTCTGCAGCACGCCCAGTGAGAAGGTCGTTATGGCATAGGCAGCAGAAACGCAGCTACCGTCGTGGTTGTGTATTGTGACGCCGCTGTCGGAGTAGCTAATGTTCGTGACCTGGGTATTGAGCAGCAACCGAGGATCGTTTTTGGTTAGAAACGTCGACGCCTCGCCAGTGATGATGGCACTGTAGCCGCGTTGGTCGATGACAAAGTTATTGGCGTCGCCGAACTGGTTGAAGGTGAGGTTGTCGCCCGCAACGCCAAACACAAAGGATGACTCTTCAGGGGGGTATCCAGCTTCCCAGTCTAGATAGTTGTCAGCGTATATACAATATATAAACTAACGTGCCTCCTCATATGCCAAGAGGCAAATAGCTACTGCTGTTCGGAACAACTCACCCCAGTTCCACCACTCAGCCGCCATTTTCTTCATATCGCCATGCCTAGGATTCCATCCTGCAAGGGAAAGACCCGCGCGCATAGTTTCATCCTGCAAATTCTGGACAAGATATCGGCCTGCTTTCGCTGCGGCAGTGTCATAAGCATCGTTATACTCGTCTAGGAGATCAGAATAATTCGAATATCCCGTTTCATCGTAAGTCAGGATGGAATCGTAGTCTGAGTAAGTGTTGGCGAGGTGGTATTTTTGGGCCTAAAAACCGATCCAATGTTAGATTGACCCCGCAGTAGGGGGACTTGTATATTTGAAAGCGAGGTTGAAGGTGTCGCCTACCAATAAGTCGACAGGATTTTCTGGCATGATGTCAGCAATCAAGACCATATGCATCTCGCTGTATAAAAGGTATTGTAGCTACTTACGAGGACCTTTAGTATTTCCAAGCCCTTGTATCTAACAGTCGATGTCGTCAATATTTTGCCATTGTCAACGTTGGTTTATGCATTCGAGCTCGCGGTACGTACCCAATTGCAGCCATACTCAATCACATACGGGCTGCCATCCGATTTCTTGCCAAAGTCGCCGTGCCATGCCCGGCCACCGATTCTATCTTGGTACTCGATGATGACAAAGTCGGACACTGAGGCGTTGTGCAAGGCTTGCTGCGAGCGAGGTCAGATATGATAGGAGTCTGTGGATCATATCCCAGTGCAATTAAATAGAGGAATTGCAGAGCATGAGGGGTCATGGCACTTACAGCGGCAGTGATACCAGCCATTCCGGCACCTCTATGTATGTATTAGCAGAAGTCACCTCCAACTTGACAAGCATAGATACTCACAATATCGCCACAGACGTCTTCCTACATGTAGATTCACCCCCACTACTTGCTGGCGCCGCATGTGTAAGTGGAAGCCATCCCGCAAGCACGACTAAAGCACCCAGCTTGCAGCTTTTCGGTGCCATCTTTTCATATATTTCATAACCCGAAGAAACGACGTAATATTCAGATTATCTTGAAAAGTTTATACGAATAGTTCCCTTTTCACGAGAGCTTCACCTCGTCCCTTATCTACTCACCACCAACCACTTCTCTTCACACCCCATGACGTAAAATAGGAGGCTGTACAACCAACCATTATCTAAATGTGCCCACTCATATCCGTGCAATGGAGGTTTCAAATGCGCATCTTGTACTCCCTGTATACAAACTGAGCATCGCGGCATGCACACCAACACAGCTGTCAAAGCGGCACAGGCCCAGGCCGCGGCTTCAGCGACGAACCTGGCGATCTCCATCTCCATCTGACCCATCAATGCAACCTCAGAAAGCATGGCGCGCGGAGTCTCGTGCACCGAGTACCCGCCCATATCTAAACATCGCGTAGGTACCATGGTTCCCATTCCACTTTTTCATTCTCACTAATCTTATCTGTATAGATGGGTATGTACATTATCCAGGTTATCATATCCACCGAACAGATAAGTAATGACAGGCATCAACTAAATCGCCGTCGCAGCTACAGTAGTAATAGCAATAGTTGCTGAGATACGAGCCTTATGCAGCCGAGGCCGCGCCCTTGACGCCCTGCGTCCAACACGACGCGGATCAAACAAGCATCGAGCCACCAAACTCCACCACGATGCGTTTACAATTAGACAGCCTACCAAAACGACAAACGACGGCGCTCTCCGCCTCACCCTCTTCCAGTCAAATGCCATTTGCTAACCTGTTTGAGCCATCTTATCGATTTCCCCGCATCTTGCTGAGCGGGGAGAGCGCCAGACCGTCTCCACGTTTTGATACCTCTAAGCTAATGACAACTGCTGCTAACGGCTTACATGGGGCTTGGCCGAGATAATCTACCGTACATGGCTGATAGCCATTCCAGTACCAGGCATTAAGTCTCATGCTGGATTTGCTTTATCAGTGGGCTAATCACATAGCTCTGGTGCCTTGTCGGTCAATCACACCGGATCTGTCCATCTGCACTTCTCTCCCTCTTATTGCCTGTCCCGGCAATAGCATGAGAAACCAAAGAGTCTCAAGCGCCGGCAAACCCTTGTCTCCGCACGCCGAGTTCGGGCTTCCCAGCATGATGATCAACTGAGATGTCGTTGACTCGTCTGATGGACGAAAATACGACTCAGTTTCACGATTGACCCCCATCGATGATAGCGTGGCCAAGTTGGCCGACGCGGGCAATGGGGTCCCCATATTCTCTCGTCTCCATCTTGAATCTCTGTTCTCACGCTCTGTAATAAAACAATAAACTCCTGATCACTCACTCCCTCTCACTCACTTACTGGCCCTTTTTTTTTTCTCCTCCTCTGCCACTCCCCTCAATGCAGGGCACATTGTGATCTCCCCTGAATCCTGCCGAATGAGAGAAGAGTAGTATCCAATAGCTGCTCATCGTTTTGACACAATGAGCGAAGAATATACCAAGCACGAGAATAGCGATGACGCCCAGCTGGCGGCCATGGGTCACCGGCCCGAGCTGAATCGCAACTTTTCCACTTTGTGAGCCCCAAGTCCCGCGGCAAAAGTTCCCGTCTCGACATACATGATTGGCTTACAAGAGCTCAATGCGTGGTTAGATCTATGCTGGGATTAGCATTCGCAGTATTGAACTCTTGGACAGCTCTGTCTGCCAGTCTGTCTCTCAGCTTAACGTCCGGAGGCAGCACTGGTGTCGTCTGGGGTCAGTTATAAGTCGTATGCAGATGCCGTTCGCACATGCATGCTTAGTCCCCCTTTCATGTGGTCTTGTCCTGGCTAACATGCATGTGTGTGTGTGGCTGTGGGTGTACAGGCCTAGTCACCGCGGGGATATGCAACTTGTGTATCGCTGCCTCATTAGCTGAGTTCCTGTCGGCGTATCCAACGTGAGTGTTTGATCCTGTTCGGCAAGGGATTGACAGGGGCCACGGTTTACTAACAACGTTTGGTTGGATCTATGTAGCGCTGGCGGGCAGTACCATTGGGTTGCAGCAAGTATGTCTTTTGCAGCAACTAACTTACACCATCCGCTTCGTCTAACAAGATTACAGTCTCTTGGCCGAAATGGGTGCCGGTGCTGTCATGGATCACAGGCTGGGTTAACGTCGCCGGCTGGGTAAGGCCTTCTCTCTATTCTATACGAGTAGCAATTTCTAACACTCTTTACCTATAGGTTGCTCTCGTAGCCACCAATGCTCTGTTATCTAGCCAACTGATTCTCGGTATCATCTCCGCCACCCACGAGGTACATCAAGACTCCTCAACCTTTTTCTAAGACAATCTTTTTGACATTCTTGCCAGAGCTACGAGCCTCAACGTTGGCACCAGTTCCTCATCTATATCGCCTTCACTCTCGCGTCGTTCGTAATCAATGCTTTCTTGAACTCCTTCTTGCCGCTTCTCTACCGCGGTGCCTTTATCTGGTCTATTGGCGGCTTTGTTCTCGTGTCAATCACGGTTCTCGCGTGCGCCTCGCCGAATTATAATACTGCGTACTTTGTGTTCCGCGAATTCATCAACACGACAGGATGTAAGTACTACCATCTCTGGTTGATTGGTTGACATTCTTTCACACTATAAAGTCGCAACTTTGGATGCTAATAACAATGTCAGGGCCTGATGGAATTGCATGGCTCCTTGGGGTGCGTATACAACCCACAATACATACAAAGAGAAAAAAAAAGGATATTGAACAACGTTTCTAACAACCTGCAGCTTCTCCAAGGTGGCCTCGGTGTTACCGCTTTTGTACGTTCATCTCTTCCTCTCGTCATCACCATGACTAATGCCTTGTAGGATTCCGTCGCCCATATGATTGAAGGTAGGTGACCGTTTTCTCCAAATTCCTCTTGCAAGATGCATACTCACCACTCAAACCAGAGATCCCCAACGCGGCTATGGAAGGTCCCAAGATCATGGTCATCTGCGTTGGCATCGGCACCTTTACCGGCGCCATCTTCCTCATCGTTCTACTCTTTGTAGCCGGCAACATCGACGATGTGATCAGCTCGGCAGCAGGCCCCTTGCTTCAGATTTTGATTCATGCCACGAGCAACACTGCTGGAGCTATTTGCCTTCTTATGTTAGTCTTCATTCTTTATCATATCGTTATAGGCTTCCTTCTTGAGGTTAATCTGACAGTTGAAACCCAGGCTCCCGCTTGTATGTCTCATTTTTGCGACTTTTAGTGTCATGACGACGAGCAGTCGCATGATTTTCGCATTTGCCCGGTATGCTTCCATTGAGACAACCCGGATAATTGCGCCTGGCTAACTACTACAGCGACGGCGGCCTCCCCGCATCCAAATTCTTCGCTCGCGTCCATCCGAGACTCGGCCTTCCTTTGAATGCTCTCATTCTTACCTCTGTTGTCGTCATAATCTTCGGCCTCATCTTCTTGGGCTCATCAAGGTAAATCCTCACACGTATTCTCTAGTTCTTCTCCAGCTAACGCCGGCAAAGCGCGTTCAACGCCATCATCTCGGCCTCTGTTGTTACCCTCGATCTTTCCTATGGCCTGCCGATCATGGTCAACTGCCTCCAAGGGCGTAAGAAACTGCCTGAACGAAAATGGGTGCTACCTAGTTGGTTTGGCTGGACAGCAGACATCATCTCGCTGTCGTATATCGCGCTCACCACAGTCTTATTTGTCTTCCCTCCAGTCCTACCTGTTACTGGTAGCAACATGAGTGCGTCATACATAGATCTGGCCCCCAATATTCATGTGTGCTAACTCGCCCTCATAGACTACTGCATCGTCGCGTTCGCCATCATCATTGCAATCTCTCTCTTTCAATGGATCATCGATGGCCGAAAGAACTTCACCGGCCCTCGCGTCAATCTCGTCAGTGGGCAAGTTATAGGAGAGAATATTACAGAGATTGAGAGCGTGCAGGAGGTGGCGCCTACAAGCAAGGAAGCTTGAAGGCTGGGGCTGTTTGTAGAGGCTGGTACCTTTTAAACATTCAAAGGTACAGAACAACGTACCTATCTATCTAAAAACGGTTGAGTTTCTCGCTACAAAAAGGGCCATGTTGACTAGATAAGAGAGTGCACGTTTGAGATTGCATAATGGCTGATGGATGATATGAAGAAACAGATGCCAGGCATGCGTGTGTTGGAACCCTTTAATGCTAATAAATCCATCTAGAAGAACAAACGAGAAAATGAATACAAAATTACATGATGTATTATGACAGTGGGTCAAAAGAAACATGGCTGCTTCTCGCTTTTTGCCATCAGCCCAACAATTTTCAAAGTTGACACGCGTCTTTCACTTGCTATCAAACTGTTCAACAAAATCCCTAGAGCCTACTGTTGCTTTCTCCATACCCAATATATACCTATCAAGCAGCAATACTAAATTTCTAAATTCCGATTGCTTTTCATTCCTTGTACTCGTATCATCATCAGCAACTTTCTACCTCTTTTTTTCCTTCAGCAAGCAATTCCCATTATTTCCGTACCATTTGCGAAATCTTTTCTTCGATATCCTCGACAAATACAAGCTATATACGTCCTCGATCATTGTTATCTTCGTCCACCATAGTACAACTTTAGAACACAATAGACGCTTTAGAAAACAATGGACACGAGCTCAGATATCCCGACAACCTGGTCTTGGCAATGCCACAAATGCCATCAAAGCCATCCTATGGCCTGTACTCAACGATGTCTCTCTTGTTCCCACACGATATGTTTCCCCTCTGGGAACACCGGACACGATTCAAACTCGAACTGCAAGATCGTATTCGATGTTCCTAGTTGGCGGAGGTTCTTCAAACGGCGTCGCGAACTGTTTCAGCAGCAGAGTTCATCAAACGAAGAACAGCAGATGGCCGTTGCCGATAAAGCCCCTGAACAGCATGCAGAGGCCCCTGCGAGAGATCACGCTCATGTACAGCCCGGGTGGCTCGTCAAGATGACCAATGGCACACACAGCTGCTTCACAGACTGCGAGTTCCCCAGCGAATGCTTCTTCAAGATAGCACTCGAACGCATCTGCAAGCCCTCCAACCAGCCATCGTCGTCGTCGTCATCGTTGTTCTCACAGTCCACGACTGAAAAGCTGCTAAAGACAGCGAAAAGGGCCAAAAAGTACAAATCTCGAGACAGCAAAAGCTTTCAAAAGGTGCCGTCCCCTTTGGGCCAAGAGTGGCACGTTGACACTGCCTCGGATGAGGAAGTAAATCGCGACGCGGTCAACTCTCAAAGGGGAAATGTTTAAAGGTTTCATTCAGCATGCAGCTTGAGGTTATTGTCCCCTCGTTTTTTTCTTATTTCCTTTTTTTCCTTCTAGCAAGCAAGTTTCGCGTCCATATATACTCACACATACATTCAAGGACAGCACTATAAGGTTACACATTTCGGTTACACATCTTCCAACACGTTTGTCTAAAAATTGTATGACACTTAGTTGCTTATTAAAGGGGGAATAGAAAGCTCATGTACTATTAGCAGGCATTTTTATCAAATAAAGAATGATATTTCGCTGTTAGCAAACAATCATGGCGTGTAACAGCAGTGGCACAACTGCAGCAGTCCCAATCACGTCTTATGGCTTCATGCAAACTATGACAAAACAATAACCGGGACCAGACATCTGCATAACAGAGCCGTACTTCATGCTTGTTTTTTCTCCTTTTTTTTCTTGTTAAAAGTACCTAACCCTAAGATAATCTTGCGCTGCCGAATGCCAGCCGCCCAACAAGATGTTTTTCGTCCACCATATCAAACAACATCAGCTACTATCTCCAAACTGCATCCAGCAACATCAAACAAAAAAAAAAAAAGAAAACCCAAACACAAACAACTGTTGTACATGACCCACACGACAGGCCATTTGCTCGACTGGCAACAAGACAAAACCATCATAATGTGGCCCTGTCATTCGGCCTTTTGAGTCGCTGTCGTGCGCCCAGAATCTGCACAGTTGTCCAAGCCTCCTACAGGTTGCATACCCATTGACAGGTTCGGATACCCTCTGCAGAAAAAAAAAAACCAAAAAAGCATCATCCAGTTCAACAATTCCCAGCCCATCTCCCGTCAATCGCTCTGCGATTCGAAGTAGAAGGTATTCAAAGTATTAAAAAGAGCGAAAGCGATTCGAGCGCGGGAGTAGAAGAGGTAATTTAGGCTTCCAAGGCCTTGGCCTTCTTCTTCTGCTCGACCTTGAGCAGGAGGGCGCGGTTGATGTGCGGCAACACACCACCAAAGGCGATGGTGGCGCGGATGAGGGTATCGAGCTCTTCGTCACCTCGGATGGCCAGCTGGAGATGGCGGGGGGTGATGCGCTTGACCTTGAGATCCTTGGCTGCGTTCTACACGGACGGTTAATGTTACCAAGTAGCGAGTTACAGGATGCAGAGCAACTTACTCCTGCCAGTTCCAGAACCTCAGCAGTCAGATACTCCAGGACGGCGGTGACGTAGACTGCGGCTTTGGCGCCCACACGCATCTTGCTTTGGGTCTTTTGCTTGAGGAAACGCTTGACACGGCCGCAAGGGAACTAGATGCGCCCAAAACAAAGCGGTTAGTAACAGTACATCTTCTGGCTGTAATCCCGGTTTCGATGACAATAGCATGGGTAGAAGAAGCCCGTCCCAAAAGGTTTCCGCTAAGAAAAAAAAAATCCTCTCCCCCTCCCTGCGCCCAGCTACGCGACTAGGCATCCAAGCAACCCAAAGGCAACAAACTCCGCAGGGTGACACAATTGCGCGGCTCGGGTCTGGCGAGATTCATCGCCAACATGCCTCTGGATTTCCGTGCCCAGTCGCAGCAGCCGTGGCAGTGATGAGATGGCGAACGCGTCAACGTCGTCCAGGGAAAAAAACTCGTCGAACTCGGCCATCGCGGGGAGGTTGGAGGCTAAAGCGGGACTCGCATGAGGTGCAGATGGGCGTGCATGCGCGCAAATCGTTTGGGCATCAAGCAGGACGAGGAGACGCCGCCGCGGATGGCGACGAGAGGGCAAAAAATCAAGCTGCTGCTGCTGCCGCTGTCCGACGACCAGAAACTCACCTGAAGACCGGCTCTGGCAGAGTGGCTCTGCTGCTTCTTGGCTCCCTCGGCGCTCGTCTTACCGCCGGAGCTCTTCCCTCCAGAAGACTTGCCCTTGCCTCCGGCCATTGTGAACGGCGTATCGATGCGGGACGGCGACTAAAGATGCTTCGTGATTCAAGCTGAAAATGGAGCGTCTGCACTGGCGAGAGGCGAGAGCAGAGGTTGATGCGCGTGCGGAGGCGGTGATGGCGTCGAAGCAAATAGTGGGATGTTTGGTAGAAATTTAGCAAATCGACGCAAGCGGGCGGTCCAGCTGTTGTCATGTTTTTTTTTTCTGCCCGCCTTTGGGGAGGTCCGCTGCAAGGAACAGCCGCCTTCTGGCGCGCCGTCGCCCAGCCGAATGAGCTCCCCCAACCTCCCCCAAAACAGCCCCTCTCGCAGGCTGCAGCGCTGTTGAGCTGCCTAAGAGCAGTCTGTGGTGCCGTCCAACAGTAGCCTCTGGCGGTGCTGACGGCCTACCAGCGAGGCCTTTGGTTGGAATGTCCGCATCCGAGAACCCGGGGTATAGCCGAAGGCTGGCCGCCACTGGCGCATCGCAGGCAGCTCGAGATGGTGGCAGGCCGAGAAAGGGCTGTCAGTCGGCCAAAGGAGCTCCAAGGCGGCCAACGCTTTGGAAGAGACGTCGAAAGGCGTCGAATCAGACAGCTTGAGATGGAGGAACTCGATGGGTAGTCGCCGCAGAGACACCTCTAGAGCACTAGAGATGGTGCTGAGGACGACTCATGGCATCGAGATATACTGACCATGCAGCTCGGCTGCCATCACAGCAGCGCTGCCAATGCCTTGTCTTGGCCCATGAAGCTGCAAGGTGCAGTAAAGGCAAAGAAGGCAATCACCCCAAAGCAGTCATCATGCCAGTTCAAGTCGGTGTGAAGTTGCTGGCTTGAATGGACGATATCTTGCCTTGGTGAGCCTGGAGTTCGACTGTTTCTAAACTCGGCGACTAGAGTTGGCATTGTCCCGCTGTGGCGGCTAGGCTGTGGCGCAAGGCATGGCTTAGTCCCGGCTATTTGCCGATGTCAGTGCGATGCAAGTAGCTGAACTTGGCCGGAAAAAGAGTTTTGCGTCCAACTTGCGTCAGCATTCTTTTTTTTTTTTTTTTTTTTTTTTTTTTTTTTTTTTTTTTTTACTTGTAGGAGGTTTTTTTTGTAAATACACGGGCACTATATGCTACAAATGAGCTGAATATTAACAAAGCATCAGCGTTGGTCTGCCGTAGGGTACAGATTAGATGTAATGGCTATCCTCACTTGTACCAAAGAGCCGTATCAAACCACTGTGGCTCAGTACGAGGTACCAAGGTACCCGAGCACCCTGCCGTCTTAGCCTGCTGTCACTCCAGCTCGCACAGACCACATGTCGGCATGAGAACTGGTAGAGCTTCATGCACATCCCACCTTCTACTACAGCAGATAAGCTGATAAAGAGCCGCCTACAGTCTGTATATCTGTACAACTCTGCAAATCCAAAGACACGCCTTGCAAAGTTTACGGACACAGCATCATGGCAAGCGTGAGCGCATTCTTCCCTCAATATGTGCGGCATAGATTGCTAATGCGCAAGGCTGCGGCCTGCTCCAGCACAACGTAGCTCGCACAACTCGGGTGCGCACCGAAGAGCAGCGACTGCAAGAGATCGAGAAGATCAACAAATATCGCGGCATCGAGGACCAGATACGCTCTCAGGCGGCGTCAGGGACCTACAGCCTCGAACTCTACGACCTCACCACCAAACTCCTCCGTCTCAACCCCGAGTATTACACAGTATGGAACGTCCGGCGCCGCTGTCTCTTATCCTGCCTGCTGTCTACAACAGATCAACCGGTACCAGATGCTCAAGACCCGACCCCAGATGCCAAGAACCAACAGTCAGACGGCGAGGTGCTACAGTCCGAAATCGCCTTTACCATGCCGCTCCTGATGGAGTTCCCCAAGTGCTACTGGATCTGGAATTTCCGGCAATGGCTATTGTCGCAAGCCATTCTGCGGCTACCCCTTCCAGCAGCACGCAAAATATGGGAAACGGAGCTCGGCCTGGTGTCCAAGATGCTCAACAAGGATCAGCGCAATTACCATGCCTGGGGATACAGAAGATTTGTGGTGGCTCAGTTAGAGAGCGCCAAACTAGACGGCAAGAGCATGGCCGAGGACGAGTTCGCATATACCACAGCCATGATTCGACAGAACTTGTCGAATTTTTCTGCGTGGCATAACCGAAGTCTACTCATCCCCAAAGTTTTGGAGCAGCGAGGCGCCGACGACAAGGCCAGAGCAGCTTTCCTGGCCCAAGAGCTGGATCTTGTACGGGAAGGCCTCAATGTCGGCCCCGAAGATCAAAGCTTATGGTACTACCATCAGTTTCTGGTGTCTCAAATTGTTGGAGACGGAAATGGACAGAGCATCACGCCAGCTTTAACTGTCGGCGAAAAGATCGCCTACCTGAAGCGTGAGATTGATGAGATTACAGACTTGTCAGAAGATTATGACGACATCAAGTGGATTTACGAGGCTCTGTTAGAATACACTCTGGCTTTGAATCGACTAGAGGACAGCAGCGATGGAGCTGGTAATCTACAAACCTGGCTCACCAAGCTGCGGACTCTTGACCCGATGCGCGTGGGTAGATGGAAGGATGTAGAGCAACAGGCCAGATGATGATGCCTTCTATGTGGTCGATATACCAAGTCACCCCTTGTACGAAATAGAATGAGAAAGGAATTAATGATACAAACACCACAGATCAGGTAATATAGAAGCAGATAACGCAACAACTATTTTGGGTTAGGATGAGCGGATGACTATTGGACGAACAACAGCTACCCCGCTACAGTACAAATACAAGCATTGAAGTACTTACGCCGCTATGATGATTCGGCCATTAGCGTTACCTAAATCCCTAAACGCAAATACGTTTGGTGCAGCTGTAATCCCAGCTAATATGGCTCTTTGTAGATAGAGTCCAGCCATTGGCGCATAGATACCTTGCCTACTGTTTCAACACCAAATACCTATTTAAACTCGCGTTACCAGCCAAAACGAGCATTGTTTGGCTTTACTACGATGACGTCAGTATAGCTGAGCCCCGCGCTAAAGATCACGAAGCTGGTCAACCTGAATAGAGGCCCAGATTCCAAGACTCCAAGTTTTAATGGGCAACAGCTCACGTACTATCTGGACTGGTTTTACAAGCAGGGTATTATTATTGAATTCAATCTCAAATACATTAGCCAATACATAATACTTGGAGAGACAGTTTCGCTTTTCATCACTATGCCTCCCTCTAATGAAGACAACGCTATGCGAAATTCGGAGACTGACAGTGTTCAAGTCAGTGATTTTACACAACCCCCTGATGCTGCATTTGAGAACGAAGTCCAGAACTCGGAAGAATTAAAATACAACAACGATGTTGAGGATGGAAACGAGGCCGAGAACAGACATGTGGACAATGGCAGCAAAGATACAGACGCAGCAGATGCAAGCGCACTACAATATCCCTCCATTGATAATCTCAAGTTCGATAATATGCCAGATAGTGCTATGTAAGTATCATGATAAGAATTTTGTAACAACACTCTCTCACCCAATATTCAAGCAATGCAGAAGATTTAAGCCCGTCCGATTGGCGAAATATTATCAACACTAATAGACTTCTGCACGGCTTTCAAATCCGAGAGGTGAATCAGGATATTGTTCGTGCCAGAATGAATGGTGGGTAGGCGCGTTCTCAGCACCACTCCTGCTGTCGGCTTACTTTCGAGGCAGCCTTTGTGCTTCATAGCTCCAAGACAGGGTCCGAGGATCCCTGTTTCCAAGTGGAGGATGGATCGAGTATAGACGTCCAGGAGACGAAAAACGCATTTCAACGGTCCCTTGCCCATAATGCATTCTCCAGACAATGCATCGAGTCGAATGTGTACGGTTCTCAACACACATATGAAGCCAACCCTCTCTCTAACACGTGTATATTAGTTCCGCCGGCGATTTCGGCATTATGCTAGGCGTGTCGGGGAAACGGGAGCGCGAGTCGTCGTCATCCCAAACATCGGGCACAACGTCGCGTAACCAAGAGTACTATGCGACTTTTAACGTATGGCATAAGTCATGTGCACATGAAGGAAAAATATGGACGGGCGGCTGACTTTCTTTCCAAGTTTCCACGGACACGTGTATTCCTTGACGAAGAGGAGCTGCAACTTTCAGAACGGTGCAAGACCGCATTGGCCGAGATTAAGGAGGATCCAGTGTATACGCGACTTCAGAGATTCTATAAGCTTTTCGGCAAGTATCAGCACTTGCTCAGGATATTTAACTTTCATTAACGCTTCCTTGAGGCCACATTTTTGTCACATCCGTTTTGCTTGGAGGGCAGCAGACATCGTCGAAATTTGCAGCCGCGCTCAATAACACTGCCGACGAGCTTCAGCAAGATGCACTGCGCAACGCTATTGGTGTCCAGCTAAATGCCAAATACGTCGCCACATCAGCAAAGTTTTCTAGTGAAAAGGGTAAATCTTCATCTTCCAATGAACAACAAAATAGTTCTCTATCACAATTGGGAATGCGCGCAAGGGGAGGAAACACTCTCTGGGGTTCAGAGTAAGCAGCTTCCCATCCCAGACAAGCTACAAGTAGTAACACGAAAGGAGCGTTTGTAAATGGTGCCAAACAGTCGGTCCGTTCAAAAACTGGCGCGTCATTGAGGTATTTAACAAGCAATAATGTGGAAGATTCCTCAAGCTAACTTGCGCAGAATGAAACTGCAGTGCCTATTCATGATCTGATAGGAAAACTTCCAGGCTGGGAGCATATCCCTGCATTATTCAAAGCTATAATTGGCAACAGAGAGGCCATCCATCGACCCTGGAGGCGAAGGCTATCATTCTTATTAGATGGGAAGCCTCTTTGTTGGATCAGTAATGATGGAAAGACCAGGCTCTGTCCATCAAAAGATCCTCTGGCTGAAAGAGCGATATTTATTGTCTCCTCAGCTAATGGACTTGAGGATCAGAGTTTGAATGAATGGAGAGAAAGTGTAGGGGTTGACTTTAGTCAAGAACTCAAGCACAAAGTACGTCAAACTTCTCCCAAGGAGTTAAACTCTACTAACTAGTATGCAGCTAATTCCGGACACGCCACTGATTTTTAAGAGCTATCTTCCCCAGGACGTCAGCGAAGCAACTCCGCGTGCTTCTCTACCGCCGATGGTAGGAGTTGAAATGACACACGAAACAAGAGGAGCGCTATCACCCAGCATCCCCGTTTTATCACCAGCGAGAACGTGGCGGTTTTCTTTGCGTCGAATCAGCGAACTTGGACAGTGGAACCCAGCGAAAAACGCCCGTCCTGAGAGTCCTGGAATCATGTCTGGCGACAAAGTGAAGCTGTTCTGTCATTCCCTAGGCCTTGGTCCCTTTGCTACATTCCTATCACCCCCATCATCTGCCTGCGCCGCGACCTGTAGCGATGATTTGATCACTTTCGGTATCCCACAAAACATCATCTCCCCTGAGATTCAGCAGCTGGTGTACCTTTATGACAGCTACAAGTTAACTCGGGGCGACATGGATGCCTTTGAGAAAATGGGTTTCATATCTACAGCAGAATTCGCTCCAAAATCCCCCGAGATGACTACCAAGGGACAGGAACGAGACCTTGGCTTCTCAGCTGAGGTCTCGGCTGGGGCCTCAATTGGGGGGGCTTCGCTTGGGGTCGTATGGGAGTTACCTTCAGTCAAGGAGTATACAATTGTGAAAGGGAAGAAGTATCGAGTCGATTATAAAAAGCTGCAGGGTGAACCCTTGAGATCTGCCCCGCTTGACTGGAGCAAACAACGGCATGAGCTCGAAAGGCAGTCACTTACAAAATCCGAAACAATGGAAATTTCCGAGCCTGTTATTCTAACAGTACTCTTTGAGTAAAAAAGTATCTGCAGAAGGTAAATTGGAATTAAACTTACTAATACAATTGGCTGAGTGAATAGCATACCGTAGTACCTCTTTCTTATCTACTTACCCAGCGTGCTTAGCCTGGAATGTTGTACGATGAATTCTAAAAATTTAGTGTGCTGCAATTGTATACAGGGTACTGGTGTATACCTATTCACATAATCGAACCGAGTGCCATTTCAAGTATCTTGCCGAATCAGAAAGTATTGTAGACTCAAAATGATGATAGAACTCAGTCGCAGGGCCCATTTTGCGTCATCAGTCCTTGTTGCTATGGAGATATACTCCATGTTAAATACTACTAAGGTAAGTCAGAAAGGGGATACGTCCCCAGACTACATGTATCCAAAGCATCTAACTACCTATATGCCAGTATCCTATCAGAGCCCCTTACATAACAGTAACACAAATGCTAGCAGCGAAAGCGGCTTTACTCCAAACAAGACAGGGTAAGAGCGATAAAGCCCTAGATTATCGTGTATGAGATTTTGATAGCTTTGAAGTGGCTGTACTCTGCTCCAGGAGATTGGCCCGCCAGGTGGATATCTTACTGCAGAGGCATGCATGTCCTGGCAGGACAGTACACCGCCGTTCTCGCTTAACAGCAGCTAGGAAGATATGCATCTAGGCAGTTTTATAAAATTGCCTATGAGATGATTGCTATCGGACTGTTGTTTTGTGGGTGTACTTTGGCAAGTGTCTGGTTGTGTCGGCGTTGGCGTTGGATGCAATGCAGTGTCTCTACAAGCGATGCTTGATTGCCTTTTTCGTTGGATATAGCCTTTTAGTAGTTATGTCCCTATTTTTTAGACGATTTACATCACTCAACGTCAAGGAGTGGCTGTTGTATAGTGCCTGGTTTATAAATCCGAGTTATTGCCTATGCTTTGTTGTTTTTGACCTTTTACTGGTTTTCAAGGCATTTTGTGTTGACGCAATGAATAAGAATAGCGACATAATGCGTCTCTTATGATCATGGCTGATACATTGGCATGAGCCATTTTTATTGAATTATATACCTCTGCTTTGACGTATATGTGTATGGTATAATACAGTTTGTCACGACTTCATATCCGTACCCTATATTAGCGGTTGAACATAGGATGCTATTTTGTGCTCCTCGATAGAGCTAAATAATACCACCCAACGAAGTAAAATGGCGCTTCTAACTGCAAGTTAATATTTATTTGGCTGGCATAGAGTGCATTGCATCTATAGCATGGCTTAAATGATTGGTTCTTACGAAATACGCCTTAGTGTTAAATCGTATCTGCGACTGACAGGCCAAGTCCACAACTAGGAAACATGGAATACAAAACGCCAATAATAGAACAACCGGCGTCAGTCCTTATTCATCTACAAGCCAGACCGCAGATTGATCATGGTCCAAGTGTCAAACGAGAGCCGCCTACAGAGTCAAAGCACAATCGTCCATGGTTAAGCATCGACGACACTAAAGCTGCAAGTGCATACCCGGGCATCCGTCGGTGCTCCCCCAATGAGCCGTAGCGCAATCCGTGGTGCTACGTACTTCGTATGGAGTTCGTCCCAACATCCATCGACTAAAGGCAGACATGAGCCGGGCCAACCAGCCGCCGGAACATGCAGGCTGCTGCAGGTACTGCTCCCCAGTACGTGCATGATCAAACTGGCCAATGCCCGGCAAGCAAACTGCGGGAGTGTGGGTATATGCGCATGCAGTACGTTTGTAGCCCATCGAGGGCCATTGTCACACGAAGGATTGGGTGGCTGTAACTCGTGTGTAAAGTATAGAGTACCAGGTAGGATGACGACTGGTGAGTGCCAACACGTGGTTGACATCGTGATGCCCGTAGCCAAGGAGCCACAAGACTGCTACATCAGTCCTTCATTAGAGCAAGGGGGGCCAATTTTAAAATGTGTTTGCGTGTCCCTGATGGCGAAGCACCGTCTTCATCGGCCGCAGAGATTTGCCTGTCTTAGACAAAAGAAAGGATTTGCTGATTTACACGCACATTTCCCCCCTTTATTGTCTGTCTGCTCTAGACAAGGCAGTTTCAAAAGCAAGACGACCACTTTCATGGCTAGAGCAACGGTTAGTAGTTGACAAATTAGACTCAGAGCGTATGCTACATAGTTGGGCCCAGATGCAGTAGATTGATAAACTTGGAAACCCACGATCCCAGAATGCGGAATAATACAAACAGAGTTGGAAATGGCACGGAATTGGGAGCTGTCAGGGGGGGGCTTGAGTGGACCCTTTAAAAAAAAAGGCGGTGCCTCGGGCTGCCGATTTCTAGTCAGAGAAGCCCAGATGGCAGAAAACGAGATTGGCCCCGGAAATTCAGGAAGATCAAGGAGGGCCGATTCGCGGAAAGGGGCTCAGGCCAAATGTTTGTCGCAACGACAACAATAGCGGACTGCACACAGCAACAAGAGGGCAGAGAGTTGCCATGTCGGCATCGGTGGGCTATGCCTGTGACGCGCAACATCTGATAATTGCATTTTCCTGTTCGCGTCTTTTCCGATACAGTACAGCGCTTCTTTTTGGCGCACTGCACGGAGCAAGCCAGCGAAGCGATATTGCAGATCCATCAATGGCATTGGAGCCTCTGCTCAGGAGCTCAGCTGCTCAGCAGTCCCCGTGCCGTGGGCTGAAGAGACGCAAGCCGGCCCTTGTGACTCTGCATGTGAGGCTTCCTCTGCGATGGTGGCTTGTCGCCTGACTGAGCAGCAGCGAGTGCCATACCCCTGCAAACTCGGCCAGCTACGAATCCGATTCGCTAGACAGCCCTGATCGCGGGTGGATACACTAGAGATCCATATTTTCTGTTGGAGACATGCCGTCAGAAGGAAAAAGAAAGCTGAAGGACGTGAGGTTGAGAGGAGCAAAAAGGGGCAGGCAGCGGGAAATCTTTGCAAATGAGAGGCCCATGCTGGCAGCGCCATTTCTAGACTCTCTGCAGAAGGAAGACATGGAGAGCCAGCATAGTTAAATGTCCGAGGCAGGCCTGCTGTCTTCGCCATGAACGTCAATGAGGAATCGAAACTCGGGATCTAGTGAGCGCCACGCCGTCCCGTTGTCCAAACTACTCTACTATAAGTTGAGTCTATTATAGTACCTAGTACTGTCGTGCTCCCGGGGTTTCTCACCCATTTTGCCGCCTGGAGGGGTCGCGCACGCAAAAAAGGGTTCGAAAGAAACGAAGCGTAGCGTGATATCATGCTGGGTGATGCTGGCGGCTGGCTGGATCTCGGCCTGATGACACTTCGTAAACGATTCGCCTCCCCAAGCAAAACAAAACATTTGCCAATCATCACTACCACTCCAGGTCGTAGCACTGCGTCGTAATACGAGGCGCCTGGAGTAGATGCAAATAATCGCTCGCCCACGCAGTAGGGGTCTTGTTTGGAACTGCCGTTTAATGCCCATCCGCCCCTTTAGTGCCGGGTCAGTCTTATTACACTCACCCATCGTGTTTCAGGGCGTAGAGGTGCACCATACCACATGCCGCTAGATCGAGCGTGTGTGCCTAGATATCCCGAAATTTGATGGCTGCAACGTGGCGCAAATTGCTTTTTACGGCGCATTCCAGAGCAGTTACGGTACGTCAGACGGGTCGAGGGAGCAGAGCGAAGGTGAAGTCGGAGGGTCGAAAGGGGGAGCATCGAGCACCTGTCAACACCACGTTATGGATCATGAGGACGAGACAGAGACGGATATACTACTAGTATCAAGCAAGGACGCATTCTATTCGTGTTTCGTATGCATGTGGTGTGTGCAGTGCAATCAATGCAGCGGCTGATCGAGTGGAGGCTTTCCCTGCTTCTCCAAAGATTGCTCTTGGTCATCGTGAAGGTGATCTTGCAGCGGGAGGGTGTTTTGGTTGACGCAGCGTGAAAACGACCCCTGCGCCTGCATGGGAGCTAGACAGGGAGCCTGCGAATGGATGCACCTGCGACTCCGCGCGTCTTCCATCGGTGGCCTACATAGTATATGCCGTCGCAATAGAGTTACCTATTGAATACCTAGGTGCCAGATGATGCGAGGAGGAGCTGTCGTTGCAGCAGCCCAGTCCTTGTGCCATCAGGCAGAAGCGGTCCTGTACAAGTGAAGCAGGGCAGGAAGATGCTGTGCTTGTTGGATAGTAGAGCAGACTCTAGGCAACCTGACAGGCGACGGGACTGAATAGAGGCCGATTCAATGTTGCTTTCACCATCTGCAGGGCATCGTATCCAGCCGTTCAAGCCCTTTGACGCACCTAAACTAGCCTGCATGTCAACATCTCAGCTCTCTCTGTGCCGCAACGAATTATCCTTCCAAGCCACCGATGGCCGGCAGCCCCTGGTCTGGCCGGTTACATGCAGCCATTGTTTTGCACCGCCTGCGAAGCTTCGTGCACCTCAACAAGCTGAAGGGTGTGGCGATGAGCAAGAGTTGCCTTCACACAGTATAAGCCCCATGACACAGTGCCGGGAGGGAGCCCTTTTGGCCCCATCTCTTCCATATTGCTTCTCCTCGAATTCTACAGCCAATGGCTCCATCCGGGACTCCGTATCATAATAAATGCAATGCCTGGGTCATTTCGCAGCAAAACAGAGCAGAAGCCGCGGAAAATAGGGGCCGGCCTCTTTTGTCTTTTTTTATTTTTTTTATTCTTTTATTCTAGAACGTCGAAGCATGGCCAAAGACCCGGGTTTGTTCAGGGGGAGCAAGAAATAGCAGCCAGAGGAAGAGAATGACAGGCAAATGAGATGAGAAATCGGAACCGGAAGCGAGAAGGGGATGCAGGTACATCTGATACCCCGCTGTTTTGCTGCGACAAGAGGTAGATTCATTAAAACGATAGATTCCGCAATCGCAATAAACCGCCTACTAACCTGTGACTATTCCACGGTACCGAGAACCTCCCAGCGGCCGGGGCTGCTAGGCCAAGGCGCAGGTACGTACACGTATTAGGGCTCTGGCTGCTGAGCTGAGGGTACCATATGCAGTGGCGGCACAGCAGATATTTTCACGTCCGACGGAAACGGGAGGTGGATGCAGCACAAAACAGAACAACAACAATAAGAACGAGGTGCAAGAAGGCGAAAACGGCAGCTGGGGAGAGAAACAGAGGGAATCTCACGCTGGTATAACAGCAGCTCGTTTACCTTATGCAAGAGCCGTTTGCTCCCTTGCTTCATTAGATTGTCATTAGATTGCAGGCGGTACTCGATACCTTTTGCGCGAGCGGCGCATCAGCACTGTTGTGCCCTAGAGTCCAGCGCCCTAGCACAGGCCGCCAGGTACGGGGAACCTCCAAAATTAGGGGTCTGCGCCGTGGTGTTGCTTTGGGCCGTAATCTGCCATATGCACCTAGCCGGTGCTACCTTTCGCCTTGGTGGCGGCCCCTATCATCTCACTTGTACCCCGGCCATCTGGCGCACCCAAGTCGACAGCGCGGTGGGGCGGCAAGAGCCTCCCCCCCTAGTAGGTTATTACCCGTACTTAGGATTATGCTCTGGCGTGCAATTTTTCTTTTCCATTAGCCTGGCTCTCCAACTCTCGTACTTCGTAGTACTGCTCGCTTCTCTTCTCTCCTCTCCATCGCCACCTCTCCTCTCCGTCGCTCTCTCCTGCGAACCCGCGACATCCAACGACGTCGTCAGAGCCGCTTGCGAGAGTCGCCAGTCGCCAGTCGACGCCCAGTTTTGCCGCCACCTCTTGACAGCTCCTGGAACGCGAGTGTGCTAGATTACGCCTTGGACTCCGGATACAGAGCTCCCTGGATCCGACTTTGGCCTCCCGCGCATCTTCGACCTGATCCGGCTGGCACAGTTTGAAGCAGGGACACCACGTTCCCAGATTCTCGACCGTAATTTCTCGGAAAAGAATCGCGAGCACCAAGCTCGGTGATTCTGCTGCATTACTCGACGCGGCGCCCAGTCGCCTTCGAAGAAAGGAAGAAAAGCAAGAGTGCTTCAACAAACTTCGGCCATCTTGAATTTTTCTCTTCATTATAGACTTCACTCCCTACCTCTACGCATTGCACAGAGCTAGCTAGCTAGCTTTGCACTGCCGACTGCACGACTGCTCTCTTGTTGGGTTGGCCTGGGCTGCTCCCCCATCTCACGTTACGACCGTCACGACTGAAACGATCCGATCAAACCAGACTGTGCATCATCTATGCTGCCATTTAATCGTCCGTCTCTATCGCGTTTTTGAGTATATTCTTTTTCTAGTGCGAAGGCCTGGAACCTCGTTGTCACGCCGATTACGTGGTCCTTCTCCGCCCATTTATTTCGCATCATTTTGACTTTTTGCCCCTTTGCGTATCTCCGGAAAACGCTATTCACACCGTAGTCGCAATAACTACACATTGGACGGTATTACGATATGGCCCAACAGCCTCACGATATGACTTACCTCGATTACGGCACGGCGACCAACCGGTCGCCCAGCTCCTCGAGACAGAATTATGGCTTTGCCCCTGGCCTGACTATGCCCCGCCAGACGCAGCGAACCTTCGATGCACCTCTGCCCTCAAACAGCCTCTACTCCTCCGATAGACTGGCTAGTAGCTATGGAAGCCGAGCTATGGATACCATCGGCGGCGGCGGCGGCGCTATGCCTGGATACATGATGGACAACAGCCAGACATGGAACTACAACGGCGCCAACGTGGCTACCGTTGGAGGCGCCGTGCATGGCTCACAAAGGCAGCGAAGCGTTAACCGTCGAGCTGCTTTGCCTACTGTATGTTTAATTCCTTCAACAGCCTTTTCCTTTGAAAAAGCGAAAAATGCGTTACTGACTAACAAGATGCAGAATTGGACCGAACATGGCGGAATGGGTATGCCTAACCTTCAGTCTTACTCGAATGGCCTAGCTGGAGCTCCCATGTCCAATGGTGGTCTCCGTGTTGATGCTCCTGGATCTCACCCGTCCCCCAACAGCCTTCAATCCGTCGGAAACGACGCTGATCAGCTGATTCCTACTGCCATTGTTATTAAGAATATCCCATTCGCCGTGCGCAAGGAAACCCTTGCTTCCATTATGCTGGATATGCATCTTCCCCAACCCTACGCCTTCAACTATCACTTTGATAACGGAGTTTTCAGAGGCCTCGCCTTTGCCAACTTCCAATCAGCCGAAGATACTCGTATCGTTATTGAGGCGATGAATGGAATGGATGTTCATGGCCGAAAGCTGCGAGTCGAGTACAAGAAGATGCTTCCCGAAGCGGAGCGCGAGCGCATTGAGCGAGAAAAGAGAGAGCGTCGAGGTCAGCTGGAAGAGCAGCACCGTGCTCCTATTTTACACAACCAGAGCTCGCTTCAGAGTTTGGGTGGAATGTCCCAAGCTCAGGCGCGCACCCCGTCTGCCGCCGCTCCCTCTTCTGTTTCTCATCTCGGTAGGGTTTTTGTACACATATCAGTTATTTCATGATTTACTAACGAACAAGACATAGGCGATATTGATCTGAACGACCCCCAGACCCTTGAATTCTACACCGAACTTGTCATGTTCCGAAGAGATGATTCACGTGAAATCTTAGTGTTCCCTCCTGGAATTGCACCCGAACACCGCCGGTCCATCCACATTCTCGCCCACCACATGGGCCTTGAGCACCAGTCCATCGGTGAAGCTGATTCCCGACAACTTACTGTGCTCAAGCGACGACAGCCCTCACCTACTGCCGATATCCATACGCCCCCTGCTAGCAGCTTGGATGTTCACAAACGCGGTCTGAGCCGGGCTGCCACATTCGACTTTGCCGCCGACCGAGAGTCTCGAGCAGCCAGCAGCAACTATGCCCATCTTGTTGGTCGACATGGCCCTACGCTTGAACTTCCCGGAAGCCCAGATGGAGCTGGAATCCCCAACAACCTACGAGCTGCCAAGAGCTTTGCCGACCTTCGCTCGTTTACCCCCAGCCCCTCTCAAGCGTCATCAAGCTATCTGGCCCCTGGCAGCGGACTAAGCGGTATTGCGCCTGCCTCGACTGCTCGATTTGGCGACTATCTCAGCAACGGCAGCCAATCTCAGAGCGGAAACCCAAGCACACCCGGTGCAAAGAATGACAATGGCCTTGTTAGCGGCCTCAGCGGATTGAGCCTGTCTCCTTTTGAGGCAAGCGGGCTGCAGCCCCAGGCACGGAACACTCCTGGTGCTATTGGTAGCCAGCGACCCAGCGCAAACGGCAACGGCACTTCCAAGGGTGCCCCCGAGAGACAGCCACGTGGCCCAGAATGGGAGACATCGAACGGCTTTGGTCGTACTCGAGCAAATGGCCACATGCAGCGCGGTAGTGGTACGTTCGATCACGCCTCTTACGCCACTTGATTTTAGAAGCTAACATGAATATTAGATTCCTCGGACAATGGAGCTCGTGTTGGCACCAGCTCCACTAATGCTTCGCGATATCACTAAACCAATACAACACGCGTCTACTCGCTCTCTTCTGTGTGCTGCATGCGGCTTACTGAGAGAGCTGATGGACTGCCCTATGGGGGTTATCGGAGCAGGCTTTCTGCGTCGCATCCCTCGCCTTGCCCTCACCCATTGCTTTTTATGATTTGTAATATTGATTTTCATCAGGACGACGAGGGTTCTTGGCGATTCCAGGACGACTGATCAAAATAGTGGCGTGCATTCGCTCTAGGTTGCCCAGAGAGTCTCAGGTTTTGGCCAAGTTCAACCCTCGTCGCTCCGTAGCTGGTTTTTATGATGATGATGCCACCCCCCGATGAGAATGTGGAAAAACAGGATCAGGATACAAAAAATTTTGTTCGACAAATGGGCAACCGTTACGCAAACGTTCATGATTCGTTTCCGAGCGCAATGCCTGGAATATCCCCCTTCGAGTGTACTCGTTCAACCAGACCTACGACCGATTCTTGACGATTATGACATTTATTTTCACGACTTTTACGTCTAGACAGCTGCAGCGAATCCACCTCGTCGTGCTTCGCATCACATTGGCACTGAGTGGAGTGGCTTCGGCGACGATGACGAGCAGTACCTATACCCAAAGAGAAAAAAGAATCTTATTAATACCCCCATGTCTGACGTCCAGATACGACCGTGACGACAACGAATTGAGCATCCCAGCTTCTTGTATATGCAAGTGGTAGGCTTGGGATGAGAGTAGCGATGTGTTTGTTGGAATGAATGAGTTGATTGGAGATGATTTGTGAGGAGGCGAAGAAAAAAATTATCTCCCAGAAAAAAGATGAAATTTCTCTTTGGTGCTTTATACGAGAGTTTATTGCCTCTGCTTGCGTGGATTAATAAGTCTTGTCTCCGCCACTGAGGCAATTCCCGCGTAACGCGACAGAGAAAAAAAAGTCAACTTCGCTGAGAAGGTATAATTTTTTTTTTATGGAGGCGTTGACCAGGCAGCATTTTTTTGGGTTTACTATATTTTGGATATTTTCTTGTCTCTTTCCTTCTCGGAATATGCATCTATGTGAGATTTCATTCTTTCTTTTTTGTTTCTTTTTTGTCGAAGAGAGGGGATTGGTGAAGGGAAAGAAGAACTCCGTGCATCCTAGATAGATGCAAAAGAGGAAATGGGCAAATTTATAAACTCATACAGGGCTATACGATTTAGCAGGAACATGTGAAAGAAAGGAAAGAAAAAAACAAAATGCGGCAAAACTTTTTTTTTTCGCCGTCCTAATTTTTCTGTTGTTTTAGTTTTTTGTAAATCTTTTTTCTTCTTCTTTTTCTTCTTTTCACGACTGTAATTGTTGTATTAGTGCCACCGAGAGCTTCTTTTTCTACCTTTTCAATTCAACTTGGAGTTTTAGTTTTTTAGTTATAATCGAGTTTGAATGGTTCATTTTCTATCCAATTGTGCATGTATTTACCTAGACAGGCGGGCTTTTCGCTTCACAAATTTCCTTTTTCTTCGACATACAATGGAGAATTAATTCTTGACTAATTTTCTATACGCACGAATTTAGTTTTCTTTACTGGGATTCCGTCAAGCTTCCTATTGACAGGACGCAATGAAAGTCATACGCTGTCCAACTTGCAGCCCTGGTTAGCGTTGACGATGTCTACTTATGCTTATGTTTTGCTGACTCGTTCTCGAGATAGGTAATCGGATCCACTAAATGTGGGAAGATGGTCTCTTGTCTCAGGGTCAAGTCGTGATGTAGTGCTCGTATCGCAAAATCTGCGGATGACGTAGCCTGTACGGGCATTATTGTCCGCAAGTTGAAGGTTATATGCGGCTATGATTGGCAGATGTTGACTACCCCACTGAAGCGTAGCATTTTGAAATTTATATCTTTTGTTTTTCGAAACAATTGAGTTCGTTCCTTTTTCTTCTTTTCTCTGGCGATTGTTGATTGATATTGATAAGACGTGCTATCGTCGCACTAACTTCGCTGAAACTTGGATTCCCCGCATCAAATCGTCGATGCAATCGTCAAGACAAGAGAGAGAGAGAGAGATACAAGACACTTATTAACTTATAAGTCGACGACTAACAAGTGACCATGGCACCGACCAATAAGCAATGGCTTTCTAAGCTGGATGGGGTTGATAAGCTGGAGTTTACGGAGGGCGAGGTGCCCGTGCCGAAGGACGGAGAAGTGCTTGTCAAGATTCATACTGTGAGCTTGAACTACCGAGATATTGAAGGTATGTCAAGGCAGTGAATTTACTTGGTCGGTGTCTGTTGATGATACATGCGTTGCAAATGCTGTGAGTTGACACCTTCTGTTCTAACTTGGTTGTAGTCTGCGAAGGCCAGTATACCCACCACTCAAATCCCGATGACTTCAACGCCGGCATCGTTCCTTGCTCTGACATGTGCGGCACCGTTGTTGAGAGTAAATCACCGCTCCTCACTACCGGCACACGTGTCATGTCCATCTTTTCGCAAGCCCATCTCTCTGGAGCCCTTAAGCCGTCTGACTTGGCAACGGGCCTGGGCCTGCCTCTGCCCGGTGTTCTGACCGAGTACAGATGTTTTGATGCAAAGACTCTGGTTAAAGTGCCCAAGTACCTGACGGATGAGGAGGCTAGTTGCTTGCCGATTGCGAGCGTGACGGCGTGGATGGCGCTGAACTGGATGAGGCCTATTGGTAAAGCCTTTCAGGCGGTGGAGATATATGGGCAGAATCCGGAAGAGAAAAGGGTCGAGACAGTGTTGCTGCAGGGCACTGGAGGGGTGAGCATTGCGGGGCTGCAGATTGCAAAGGCGGCTGGGTTGAAGGTCATCATTACGTCTTCGTCAGATGAGAAGCTCGAGCAGGCGAAGAAGCTTGGTGCGGATCATACCATAAACTACCGTACTTACTGGGAGTGGCAGGACCGCGTCTTGGAAGCCACGGGCGGCAACGGCGCCGACTACATTGTCGAAGTGGGTGGTGCGAAGACTCTGCGCAAGAGCTTTGATAGTGTGGCGTTTGGCGGAACGATCAGCTGCATCGGCTATGTGTCCGGCAAGGAGGACGAGAATAATGACGGGGACAAGGGCAAGGCGTCGAGCTGGAATAAGCTGAATGTGAATGTCTTGGCGCTGCGGAAGAACGTCACGCTGAAGGGGTTGATCAATGGCGGCAAGGACCGGTTTGAGGAGATGGTGAGGTTTTACGAGGAGAAGGAGATTCGGCCGGTGGTGTGCAAGGTGTTTGGGTTGGAGGAGGCGAAGGAGGCGATGGGGTATGTGCAGGCGGGGAAGCACTTTGGAAAGGTTGTGATTAAGATTGCGTGATGCTGTGAGGGTATGTAGAAGGGTCTTGTTGGTTACTTTAGAATAGGTAGTATAGATAACTTGGCTTGGGTACTCTTAGGTACTTGGATTACGTAGGTATGCTTCCTGTGCTTCCTGTGCTTCCTATGGCTGTGTAGTTTTGAGAAACTTCGTTGATAGATACGTATAGAGGCTGTTAAAATTGTCTTGTTAGCAAAATCAAGGTACGTGGTAATGTTTGCGTCAGTATTACTTGGATGTTGAACTTTTTCAGATATCGCAACAGTAGATTGGCTTGTTGAGTCGTCATGGATGCGACGAGATGTGACATTTTAATTTAATTGAATAGACGGACGAATAAGAGGGGAGCCAAAGTAAGCAGAGAAACAGTATACGGTGGGTATTATCTCTATTACTGCGAGTGGAGCTGATATCAATATACAACAACGTAGTTTCGTGTTATTGAATACACAGTAACATATCTTTTCCCCTCTTCTTCACATGTTGTAGACTTCTCCGATACTCCTCTATGCCTGTAATATATCATATCCTAGCAGGCCGGTCTCACAAAAAATCCCAGTCGGCCACTCTCATTCCTTTTTTCTCGTTTACACTGCGGGGTGTGGCAGTGCGACTTGACAGGCGGTTTCATTGGACGACTGAATTCCTCTTTGGGACTTGTCTGGGGTAGGATTGCAATCAATAGTCGCAGCTGAACAGCTGGCTGCCTTGAATATTGATAAACTGAGTTCGGCTAGCAGAGACAGCCACTATTATATGTGTGGTTATCATGCTCTATTAACGCTATTGGTGAATGGGAGCGCCGTGAACGAGATACTGCGAAAGCAAGCTACTCCCCATAAGGACTGCCTTGCATACTAGCTACGACGGTGTGTAATATAGATAACCGGCCAAGGATATTTTCCTGCTTCCTAATTATTTATAACTTGCTATTATTAATAATGAGACAAGCAACTTCTGTTCATTGCAGGATTGACCATTTACGTCTTCGAATTAACGGTACGTGTCTCGAGCTTGCCTTTATGGTTTGGCTGGAGAAGTCGTTACGTCTTAACTTCGTGACTTTTTTTCCCTTCTTTTCTTTTTTTGAGAGGTAGATATGGAGTGCTCTTAGTGACAACTTTTATTGTCATCTCACCGGAATCCTAGTTTTTACCTTATATAATACATTGCCTCTTTTATATATGTTGGCTCTTGAATTACTTTTGAACTATACCCTATGCTTAAAAACCTATGAACTACTTACCCTGAGCTCACCCTGAGCTTACCCCGAGCTGTCATTAGTTCCCCTCTCTGTAATCAACTGATCGGATTTTCCCTTTTATCACTGACAATAGAACCAACGGATAAATTGGAAACAGACTTTGAGCTTTGATGGCATTGGATTCACATTCAGCATGCCAGATGTCCCCGAGGGCGATGCTGGATGCTAACCAATTAATATTCTTGCACCTTCCCTATTAGCTTATATATGTACACAGTGAGCGGCATGAACTCTTCTATGATTCCTCCAAATGTTTTGAAAATAGCAGGTCGGCTAGACCGTACGCCCCTCCAGGGGCATTCTCAGCTGCCTACATTTTACCTTGGTCAATACTTGTGTGCTGTAGTGAAGCATGTGTGTGCATAATGTACCTATGCGCCGCTGTCAGGATGACGAGTGCAGTATTATGACTTCGGACTTCCTCACCAAGCTTCAAGGCATAAAATTCTAGCTGCCCGCTGATAGCACGATATTTCTCACCTTGCCACCGTTGTACAATATGATTTATGATAAATACAACAGAGGGATATGCGTCTTCAATCGCGCACATGTTCGACACTGTGCTAGTCATGAAGGTATCTCGCAAAGCAATTCGACGTAAGAAAGAGAAACTTCCTAATGTCGCTTGCCTACCTTTTAGGATGACACCTGGTTGTACAAGTCGTTCTCAGTGTTGAACAGAACATGTACATACAAGAAAAGATTATGCGCATCAGCTAGTGTTCGAAGCTCCCGCCTCGTGGCTCCACACCCGCGAACGACGCAAGGCCATTACCCACTTGACTAGACCATACGTAGCTTAGTACCTTACCTATGGACCCCAGAAGAGTACTGCAAAGTACCGGAACCTTCTCGAGATTTCCGTTGGAAGCAAAACCGAAAGGGTGGAAACACGAGCTCAGCAACCAATCCGTCTGAAGGGCCAAGGAGAAAAGGAGTCTGAGGGAAGAGGAAAAAAAATGACGCGCTTTGGAATTGAACCATCAGGACCCCCTACTCGCTAATGAGACTTTCACCAGATCCGCCCCCAGTGCAGGCTGGCCGTGACCGTCACCTTCCTCCAGGCTTTAACGCGGCCGATGGCCTTTCCCCTTGGAGGGACGCTGTGAACGCCCCCCCGCAGGTATTCAGACACGCAGCGACTCGAGTCACCCACTCCGGTTGCAGGGCCACGTCGACGAAACCTTTGTAAAGCTCTACTATAAAGGTCTGGCAGCTTGGACTTTGCGCATCCTTCGGCCCGTGGCGTTGCAGGCACAAAATAGGCTCCTGGTGGCTGATCCTGTGAGAATTTGACTCAGCATCTCGGCCATAGACGTCGGTGGATTTGTTCTATTCTTAACGTACCGGAGGCCATCAGCTCTCCGAAATTCCATTGCCCAGAAGGTCATGGCTTCGGTTCCTGGGGAGCACACCGGGATTCTGCGGGAGGAGAATATTGCTCTGAGGCAACTTTTGGGATATAACCTCGACACCCTCCCTGCATCGCCGTATAGGCTGGCCTCAATGGGGCAGTACCTGCCGGGCACTTCTACGAGGGACATTCTCTTCGTCTGCGTCGATGTCGATACCGGGGGCGGTTATGAGGATATCTTGCCAGGACAAAGTTTCCACATTGGCATATCTCTTTTTGACACGCGAAGCCTCACAGAGCAGTCGCAAGACCCCAACGATGCAATCAAGTCATATCAATTTATCAACACTAATTCAAAGCCATGCAAATGGGCTGCCAAGGCCTTCCTTTTTGGAGACACAGAGCTGATTGAGCTCTCTGATCTTCCGGCGAGGCTTTCTTTGCTTACCCAGGGACGCGATTATGTTTTGGTTGCTCATGGAATCGATATGGACATCAAATTCTTTAATAATCTTGATCCCGAGATTGCTAATAGGGCTTGCTACATACTGGATACAGTCAAGGCCGCGCAGTTCCCCCTACAGCTCTACTATCGGCATAGCCTGGAGAACCTCCTCGACAAGTTCAACATCCGCTATGCAAAGCTCCATGCCGCTGGGAACGATGCTCATTTTGCCCTCAAAGCGCTGCTTATGATTGCGGTTCGCGATGGCCAAATGGCACCAGAGACTACTGTACCTGTAAACGGGGAGCTGTTCAATGCTCTCGACGCAATTGCCCATGCTCCGGTTGCGCTTCCGGTTTGGATTGAAAACCCACCAGCGGCTGCTCAAGCATCCCCAACCAAGCCTAAAGTAGGCATATATGCAAAGCGCAGGCTACGGGCAGCAGCAAAGGCCGCGAAACAAGCTTCCCAGGAGTTACCTTACCCCAATGAACCGAACAGACCGGGCGAGTATGATAAAGAAGATCAGGGGAAGACAGCCGGGAGATCTTGGCAATGACCTTTTCTTCGTTACCTGCTGGGAATCTGACCAACTAGTAAATGCATGCATTCAAACGGTGTCTTCAACTCTATATATCCCTACCAGATTGCCCAAATTGGAGGAAGGAGATCCTAAATCATTTTTTTGGGAAAGATATGGATCTAAACCTCAACCTGAGGCCTAGTATGTTGCTAGATGTCAAAACCGCCGAAACTGAGCTCTGAGAAGGGCTCGAAAAGGGCTCTAAAAGGGGGGGGGGAAGGTTTTTCATCTAACGAATAGACGAGTAGATGGATAAGAGAGCTTGACCAAGGAGTGGTCACACAAATCTTCGAGACAGCCCAACATTAGTGCTATCTACCCCTCTTTTCGGAAGAGTCATGCCCTCCATTCGTGGATGGAAGGTTGATATGATATGTGTTACATCAAATACTAGGGAGCTACGTGTTTGTTTTCTAATCGAGGTCATTTGCATAATCCTACAAGCCTCATTCCATGCGCGATCACAGCTGGTACTTAATATTTACTATATCAGGCATATGGTCAAACCCCTGCTCCCGGTGGTTGTTATTCGGCAAGAGCCAAGCCAATCGCTTAAGGAGGCACTACACCTCTCTTCTCTCATGATGTAAACAACCAAGTCTAATGACGTTAGTAGGTTCTAAGGATAACATGGATTGTATTTACGGTTACGGTTACTATAGGTTCAACATCAGCCGCAAGAGTTATACTTAGCCTCAGGATCCCAAGTGTAATATAATCTATTTAAACGGCACCCTCTTATGCACCTCGAAAATGAGACCTATCTGAACTCTGTAGTCATACATATTACAATTTACTGCCCGCTTCTGATAAGAATGACATCGGTAATCTTGATCCAAACCCTCATAGCTCTAATAAGCTTCATCGTCTACTGGCAGCTATTACGCAAGCCTAAGAAGAACCTACCACCCGGCCCAAAAGGAGTGCCCCTCATCGGCAATATTTTCGCCCTCCCTCCAGATGGCACTCCTGATTTTGTACACTGGAGATCAATTACGGACAAATATGGACCAATTGCTTCCATCACGTTCATGGGGCAGCCTTTGATTTTGATTGCCAGCAAAGAAGACGCACTTGAGCTTTTGGAAAAGAAATGTTCCACTTCATCTACGCGCCCGAATTTCGAGTTTGGCAACTATGCTGGATTTGGAGGCATTGTTTCTATCATTAAACATGGAAAAGAGTTCAAGTTTCACCGAAAACTCATGCATAAAGGCCTTGGCACCAAGCTTCTAGTGAGCAAGTATGCGGATACACAAGAGCAACACGCAGGACTGCTGGTGCAGGACACGCTAAAGACACCTGAAAACGTCATCAAACACCTGGAAAAGTAAGTCATATGTAACGTTTTGCTATTATGGGAACAGCGATGGCTCACGCAATGCCTTTGTATGTGCTTGGCTAACTCACATTTAGTCATGCAAATGCGGTTATGCTTAAACTCTTATATGGCTATAATATTAACCCCCACGGAGATGATCCATTAATACAATTAAATGATCGCGTAAATATCAAATTCTTCCAGGCTGTTGATGCTTTTGGTCGACTTGTCGAGTACTTACCTGGAATGAAGCGGCTTCCAGATGGATTTCCTGGCACGAAATTTAAGGCCGATGCTGGGGAACATTACGCCCATGTTCAAGCTTGGGGTGAAGAGCCTTACAGGTTTACTCGTAAACAGATGGCAAATGATAAAGGCATGGACTCATATGTCGCGAAACTTGTCCGAGAGTACATTGGTGACACAAAGGAACCAAACGAAGCTGACGAGCATGCTATTATTTGGTCAGCGGCGGGGTTACAGGTTGGTGGCGCAGAAACTACAGTCACAACTATCACTGGCTTCGTCTTGGGTGCTATTATGTTCCCTGAAGTTCAAAGAAAGGCGCAGGAAGAAGTCGATCGAGTAACTGGGGGCACTCGCATGCCTATTATTGCAGACCGAGAGCAGATGCCCTTTATCAATGCCATAGTCTCCGAAGCTCTTCGCTGGTTCCCAATTATACCAATGGGGTTCCCTCACGCCTTGTCAGAAGACACGTCATACAAAGGTTACGATTTACCCAAGGGATCATACCTCGTATGGGCAAACTGGGACTTCTGCCATGATCCCTCTGTCTATAAAGATCCCTACAAATTTGATCCGGAACGCTTTCTCGAGCCGCGGAATGAGCCGAACCCAAAATGGACCGTCTTTGGGTTTGGACGTAGGATATGTCCTGGGCGACATCTCGCCGACACAGCCTTATTCCTCAACATAGCTAGCTTGGTAGCCTTTTTTGACTTTACCAAGAAAGTTGATGAGCAGGGCAATGTGCTCGAACCAAAGTTGGCGTTTGACCCTGTGAGAAGCGCTGTTTCGAAACCTGCGGCGTTCCCATTCAAGGTGACGCCACGGAGCGAGAGGCATGTGGAGTTGCTCAAGGCTTTGGAAAAGAATTATGTGGTTGAGGAGAGTGACGCGGGGCTATTAGGCGAACTACCAAGCTGATGGAATTTTCTAAGTATTATGCGTACTATATAGCCTACCTATGGGATTATCTGAACTGATTCGTGTTGAAATCTGGAACATGGAATTATCACCTAAGCATGCATGGCTATATATGGTCATGTCAAGGGAATGGGAATAGTGCAGCTTATCGGTGGAAGAATACTCAGCTTGACTATCTATGTTCAGTCTCAGTATAATATCATTTTTATTTGATTCAATTTGGCCTGTGCCGGCCATTTTTGTGAAGCATAACACTCGTAATTCGCTCTCATGTGGACAGGCTGCCGTGGCTCCATGTGGATTCGTTGAAGACCCATATTATATCTTTTTTGTGTCAAAGGAGTGCCAAGATTTAGATGAGCAGTGTCACTGGCGCATGCAACTCATAAAAGTGACAATGCGCTGTGCTATGGGGATATCGATGTTTTCGACGCTCAGACCACACTTCTGACCATCAGCTGAGGACCAACAGAAAGAAAACATTATTAATGACTCATATTCCGAGTTGGAGTTTGCTACTACGTGCCGTTTAGTTTATGTTCGTCAAACTTTTATTCTCGCCTGGAAACCGAAGCGATTCCGTCTGACCATCAATTTTTCGTTAAGCTGATATTCTGAACTTGAGCTCTATACAAGTCATAATCCTTCATTGTTTACTCCCCTAATTGTTTCAATATTAAGGCTATGACGGAATATTTGCACGATGGTACCATCCAAAGCGTACGGGAATATGAACCAAGCCTGCTGCCCCCTTATCAAGACGAAGACACCTCCCTACCTCCATTACAAAATGTACCATCACTATACTACCGTCATTTCCCTTCATTGATGATAATGCACGCTGGATGGTCGAAGTCTTTCACAATAAATGATGCGAAATCGAACGAAGTTCTATACCTGGCAGAATTCCACCCTTTCGGCTGGTTCTGCCCAAAGCCGCTTGGCGCAAGAGGAGGCTTCATTTTGCACAACGGCGTCGCTCGTAAAGACCCTATTCTTGCCGCAGCTGGTGATGTCACTGTTTTTGAGCAAAAAGTCAATCCATTTGGCAACGAGAGTAATATTTTGCTGCCGCCACTCCCGAAGAAAGACAATGTCAAGGCTTCGACAACAGTTAGCCAAACCGAGACGATGATTGGAAAATCCACGCCAAATAACGGCGTTGCGTTCCAGTTTTCAATTGAAGCTGGGCGAAGCATGAGGAGGGAGAAGTTCGAATGGAGAAAGGTCAGCGAAGGTGGCAACGAAAGCGTCGCGTGGGAGCTGATGAGACACCCCAGTGCATCTCGAAGAGTCCCCCCAGAAGGAGAAATAATTGCCAAGCTCTCATGGCTGCCTACCTCCTTGGTAAATGTGGCCAACCCATTGAGTCCCAAGCCTATCTTTACACTACAGCTGATGAATAGCCTGGAATCTGGCCTGTTGGGAGAGCGCTGCATTCTCACCGTGGTCATGACTGCGCTGAGATTATGGCACTTGCGCATAAAGGGAAAAGATAAAAGGTCTTACATTAGAATTGGAGAAAAATGACAAGGTAGATAGGTTTTGAGAGCTTTTGGAATACATTTAATACAAAGAAGGGACCTTTCTTCATTTTTTGCAACAGTGATTCTAAATACATGTAATAGACTATTACTTCGCTAGAGCAGCTTCATTATTTACTCTGTCAACTAGCTAGTGTTTATCACGAATGTCATAGCATATAAACAATAGCTTACAATGATATCTAAGATTGCAACCCTTGTGGAGGCTATTGATAACCAGGGAGCAGCCTTTATCGATACCCTGAAGCAACATGGAGACAACAAAATCCGTGGACTAACGCGGCAATCTGAAAACAATGCTGCTAAAGCTCTTCACAATCCAGGTATATAACTCATCAAAGCAGATGTAAAAGATTAGTAAATATTAAAGAGATTTTCGAACAGATAAGCCACTCACAAAATCCGACCACCACTTATCAACAGCTACTTCATGAAGGACTGGCCCACCCCCATTTGTCGCAGCACTTACAGCGGCATTAGCCACTAATATGTCTGCAGGACGGCCATATCGCTCCCGAATACTAGCGAATAATTGTTCCACAGCAGTCTCGTTCGTTATATCCAATGCAACGAGCAGTGTCTCGACTTTGGGATTAATTCGAAGAACTTCGGCCTCCACATCTTTCAGCTTAGCCTCGTCGCGTGCAACGAGGACTAAACCGTGAGCTCCTGCCTTGGCCAGCGAGGGGACGATTCCCTATGAATAATACTATGTGAGTAGGATGGTCTATAAAGATGTGAAGCCAGCTGGCTACGAACCCTGGTAAAGCACGCCACTGCTGGCACCGAGTTTGCTATGCTGTAAGGGGCAATAATGGGATAAACAAAGTATGATGCTGAGGAGCTAATATTGACGATAGTGGATGGTGTATTTGTATTTGGGGTAGGACGGGACGATATAAAGCATTTAACTAGGCTTTGAAAATATATGTTCGTGGATTTCTAGCGCGCTGTCGGCTGGGGTGAAAGTATTGATCTCGTTCTTCGCCTATGCAGCTGTTCACCTTGACTCCGATACTCATGTTGGGCTGGGACCCATACCGGTGCCGGTACAATGTTTAATTCTAATCTCCCACCTTAGTGCGTGGGATCACCTTATGCTGTAGGATCTACTTCATCACGGATACTGGATGTTCAAAGGCAATTGACATTCCTTGCGCACTGTCGTGAGCGTAAAACTCAAGCGTTGGTCTACTATTACCCCAGCGAGTTTAGAGTGGAGTAATAGGACCAAGTTTCTGACACTTTATGCTGCCTTGATGTAGAATGAGAACTTCTCGGCCGCCAGCTTTCGTTCTACAGAAGCAAACATCAATCTCAAATTCGGCTTGGGGATCCTGAGTCTCTTAAACTCCTAAAGTGATATGCAATATCTGTTCATGACCGAATTACTGTCAACTATCGCTACCACTGCAAGGCCATAGCGAACTTGTCTGAGCTGTGTATGTAGACCGGCGTTCGAGCACTACAACCTTCATTGCTGGTCTGTCCATTCATATCTCTCGGTCTCACTAACGACGAAAGTTGCTGGACTTCAAAGCATCATCGGTGAGAGAAATCTTCCGTAGTAAAGCTCTTGCATATACTGCTGCCGATAGAGCAGCGTAGCCATGCCACTGCTGATTCCCGTGTGAGTCGCAATAGTCGCAGATGCCTCGTATCACAATACATGGGAAGCTGTTCATAACTCCGGCAGCTTCCATTTCGAAACATATGACACCCTTTTCCTGGGCCAACTGGTCTCTGAAGCCGGCATCCTTGACCCGCAAGTGGCCAGAAGCGATCAAACCGTAGTGCACCGCTGGGCTATCATCGTCCTCATCCAGCTTACGCCGCGCTATCTCGTATTTGGCATCGCAGTCAAGCTCGCATGGACCATCCGACGCATGGATATATGAAGGTAAATATAGTCTGTCTGAGCTCGAGTCTGGCCGTGAGTAGTGGTTGCGCAATTGAGGATTCTTGGCGAGAATGGATTGGATATCATGCTTGAGCCCATGGCCTCGCAGCTCAGACTCTGTTTCTAGAGATGCTACCGCCACGAGCAGGGCTCGGGGTGGCGAATTCAAATGTCTCGTCCTTTGGAAGGCTCCATCTTGGAGCCGCTTGCCCATATCGAACTGCATCACGCCGCCGTGAGTGTCGCTCGGGTAGCTAACTACAACATCACCAAGTCGAACGTCGTGATTGCCTAACGGCACGCCGCCGCCAATACCGACAAGTACAATAAACCTGATCTGAGGAAAACTGCGTGTCATGTTGGCTGCCAAGAGTGCAGCTGGAGTCGGCCCATGATCGCCCATAGGAAGGACGCCTATAACAATATTATGACCGCTGATCTGACCAAAACAATAGTTATGGTCGTCTCCGGGGATATTCGGCATATCCTCGTGTCTAACGTCAAGGCAAGCAATTGCGGCAGTAAGTTCGATTGGAAGAGGGCAAATCCATCCTACAGTGTAATCACTGTAACTGAATACAGGCTCCGCCTCTGTAGATCCGGGAGGTGGCGAGTCGGAGCCGGCTTGTTCCTGTTGCTCCGCTAATTCTTTTCTTACCACAGTGGCCGTATCTTGGCTTGGTTTGGTTCCGTCTTCCTCTCTTCTCTGGCCTTGTCCATAGACGTCCTCTTCCACTTTAATTCCCTCCCCTTCTTGTTGCTCTACCTGCCCGTCTTCATCTTCTTCGTCATTAACTTCGGCACAATTTTCTTCGTCTTCTTCATCTACTTCCTCGTCATCCTCATCGTCAAAATATCTCATGCTACGCAGAGGCCAGAGGCCAAGTTGGGCCTGATGGCGACCAATGTGTGTTCTGATCAGTTCGGGATATCGTATCTCGTCACCACATATTGGACATGTGGGTACCTTGGGCTCCGGTAGTTGTCTACTATGCGCCCCATGCTTCTCGGCTTGGGCGGTATCCTCAAACTCCTCGTGAGTGGCCCTTAAATGGGTTTCATAAGCTGACTCAGAGGTAAACTGCCTCAAGCAGCCCGAGATACAGACCCAGGTCCTTCGATGGAAAGCAAGCTCGTGGCTATACCAGTCGTGACGACTGGAAAATAGTCGGTCTGGTTCTTTGCAATCAGTGAATGTGCATACGTAGGGGCGCATATCTGAGAATACATGTCTCCTGCATTGTCTATTAATTTGCAACCTCATCTCGAGATTCGACTTCTGCGACTTACTTCCATTTCCCTCGATTCTTTGCTTCTATCATCAAGAAGCAGCATGGGCATTCGAAAGGCTTCCCCTCCTGGCCCATGGGCGGCATTGGGGGCACTCGGGCTGACATATCAGAGCGGATGGATGATGAGTCCGAGACGTCGGACGCAGCTCCATCGCTGGCGCTGTCAGACACCCCTATTGGTGTAATGTCATCTATGAGGATGTCCGGAGAGAATGGTGTCGCCACGGTGTCTGCGAATTCACTCTTTTCCTCCGCAAGAAGCGTTTCGTCTCTCTTTTCATCTTGCTGAAATGGCGCTTCCATGGCTAGTTTCTCCTTGTGCTCTTGGGTATACTGCAGAAACCTCCTGCGACTCAGTACTGCCCGCAGCAGTCTCTCTCGGAGTATCGGCACTGCTTTTGGGAACAGCTCGTCAATATGACCTTTGTCTGTTGGGTAGAAATGGTCAACGTTGACCTTTTCTGCCTTCGCGTACCTATCGACCGAAGCTGGCGTCCTAATTGCGATGGAGATGCGAATCAGAGACTCAACAACCTTATGCATTAATGAACTAGGCTTTGAGCTTGCCGCCTTGTCTACCAATATATCCAGCGGCTGGTTTCTTTTTGATGATTTGCTGGAGTCCGGGCTTTTCCTGCTGTCTGCTCCCACGTGTGACTTTGTCAGCCTCAACGTCTTCAGCCATGGCAATGTCGGCAAAAGTTGTCTACCCTCCAATGAGGGTTGGGTCAATAGAACTAGCAAGCAGCCATAGATGCTAGAATTGATTCGACATATCCAAATCCCTAAAACAGAGTCAACTTACGGTATTTAAATGCTGTAACCAAAATGTCAAGAAACCGTAAGATGCCGGCTCGAATGTCTGGGGCGTCGCGCAGGCGCTCGTCCAGGGAAGCTGTGCCCACTCGATGAGCGGCAATGTTGGTATACCATTCCACGAATCGCTTGCGCGCATCTTGTACCTCAAAAGACTCCACCGGTGCCTGCTCGAAGAGCTTGGAGCAATACAAGACCTTGTCCCGTATCGTGGAGTCCATCGTGCTGCCTTTGCTCAGCTTATCGCGACGACCACTGGGTTCGATTTAATGGCAGCTGTGCCAGTGCGGAGGTTCATTCTGTCCGCTGTGAGCCTGAAGGTATGGATACGGCCAATAATAAGACTGGTAAGACTGGCTTGCTTAACGCGGCCCAGGTCCAGATGCAATTAACCAGGATTGTGAGGGGTCGTGTAGCTGCGGCTGGAGGGCCCTCGGATCCTTCGTTTCAAAAGCTGTTGAAGAGACGATGAGCTTGCGATGGAAATTGATTCGATTTGGGCCCCAGATATTATACGATAAATCAGACGATCAAGGTCTTGGTGGGAGTCTGTGAGAATAGTAGAGCTTCCTTTAACGCAATGGCCCCTTCACCGGCCCAACTTGCGGGTATGACTTTCACGGCCATCACTGAGCGGTTTCAGAAAGCCATAACCTTTGATCCCGAGTCTAAACGACGGCTTGTAATTCTTCATTGCTTGTTGGGCATTCAAGCTGAGGAGACAATCTTCAAAAATGCTGTACAGCGATTTTTGAAGACCGACCAGCCCTTTGACAGGATTGATTGGTCCACTGCGGAGAATATGCTAGAGTCAAAGCTGGGGGCACAATATATGGTTTACAATGACTCTATTAGGCGGGTGCTCGCCGCTGTGAACGCGCTGGCAATTTTGACCAATCCGGACTCCAGCAAGGTGTGTAGTTAGTCTCTCAACATTATCAAAAGTTGATCTTGTCTATCCGCATACACCTCATCGTACCCTGGTCCTAATTTCCGTCACATTGGTTAATCGCATTCTTCATATGGAACATGGACTCCATTAAACCCGCCTGGGTGCCTTCTGCTGACACTACTATCTTTTGTCTGGATCGAAACTAATCACATTCAGGCCATCTTAACGGTCGAGGAATGGAGCGAAGATAAGTATGATAGATTCATACTTGCAGTCTTGGACGTGGACAATTCCATCGAAAAGCAGATCAAGATCCTCCGCGATGCCAACCAAAAACTTATTTCTACCAAGGTTGAGAAACAGATAAGGGTTAGGAAGGAGTCCACCAGATTTGATAAAATGAGGACAAAATTATCTGCTGCAGCCTCTGTCCTGGGGCCAAAGCTTGGGTTCGACTGCCTATGCCACCAAAACCATGCAGCCTTCCTCAAGATACCTGAGTGGTCTCCATCTCAAGGCCAAGTGGTGGACGAGAAATTTTCGCTCCTATTCCACAACGAAGCCGATGTTTGTGCATGGAAATGCGTCGAGATGTGTTCGACTGTAAAGCAAGTAGAGGAGATTCGTCAAAGGGGACAAGATATAACACATGAAGGAGGGACTGGTCGGCAGGTCCGGTTCGCTGAAGACGAGTTTGAATTGGACGAAGACGCGGATTTTATCACCATCAACGTAAAAGCAGAATCTGCACGGCACCTGACAGCTGAAGCTATGACTGGAGGCATTTCAAGCTCGCAACATACAGAGCTTGCCAGGCCACCGAGTCTGTGTGAATATATTGCATCAAATCAGAAAGAGGACAATGAACGTGGAAAATTCAACTTCGTCATGAATACTCCAAGTCTGTCCTTGAGGATGAACCCAATAGCCACTCTTGGGATACCAAGTGCCCCTATTCCGCTAGAACTACACTTTAGTGAGCGTGGTGGACGATCACTTACCACGTTAGAGAGGCTTAAATTGTCCACCCAGGTAGCCTCTGCAGTTTTGTACCTTTATGCCACGACTTGGCTCCCGGAATTTTGGGGTTCCACGGACATCTATTTTAGGTACGATGGTGATGACATTAAGTTCAATCTGTGGACTGTCAATTCTCGTACCACCGGGGCTTTGGGCCCAGCCGTGAACGACTCAAAGACCTCCCTCACTGACCCAACAATTCTCTCACTCTGTCGGTTCCTGGTAGAACTATGGTTTGGTGCGCCTTGGTCTCATATCAGAAGGGTCTACGGATCGCATTGCCAGCTCGACGAAGGAGAAGCCGCGGCAGACCGCGACGTGATCGAAACTATATTGAGCTGGGCCGCAGATGAGACTATAAGCCCGCATGACCGGCCATTCCACGAGGAGGGGCGCCTCTACCTGGATGCAGTAAGGAACTGTCTGAAATGTGACTTTGGACAAGCGAAGACCTCCATGACAGACCGAACGTTCCGGGAAGGAGTGTATAACAAGATATTATGCCCCTTGCGATGGGCCTTGGAAGATTTCCTAGCCGCCCAACTCCAGCTGTTCGGAGCAACTCGAGAATCTGCGGCTGGAAGAGAGAGAGAAAACAGGAGGCTGATTGGCGGGGTTAGTCTTTATGATGAGGATAGTGACATCGATAGTGCCAAGTACGTGCTCCTTTCTAGTTATGCCTCTTCTAGATCCGAATGCATGCCCCCAATACATCTCGTGTGGGCGAGTACAGAATCAGTACAACGTTGACTCAACGGCCTTCATCTGCTTACAAGCCGAGCTAAGTATCAGCTCACTCAAAAATGCACCGTGCTAATATTGGGCTTCTCACTTCTGGAATCCTAGGGATGCCACTACTGACAAGTGGTTCAAATCATACCTCGAAGTTAAGAAAGTTGCAAAGAAGATCAGGACAGATCGACCGAACAAGCCCGAGCAGCGTATTCGCGTGGCCATCCTTGATACCGGCGTCAACGTCAACGACCCGTTCCTGAAGCCTTTCGCTCTGAAGCGGCGGATCGTTTACCAGGACTTTGCCCAGCCCGGTTCGTTCCAGAGCTTGCCTGTAGACGAAGTCGGACACGGCACCCACATATGCGGCATTCTTCTGACGATTGCGGATAACATCGACGTTTATGTGGCGAGGGTTTCTGTAGACGGGAAACGCTGGAATGGTTCCCAGGTGGCCGAGGTTTGTGTTATTCACAATTTCAATCTGGGGACGAAGAGTTAACAATCATTTGCTGCTAGGCCATCAATTGGGCAGTGGAAGAAAAAAGGGTGCACATCATCTCCATCTCATTTGGTTTCCCTTACACCATTAAACAACTCGACCCTATAAGACGTGCTATCCTGAAAGCGAATGCAGCAGACGTCTTGATCTTCGCTGCAGCGAGCAACGAGGGGGGAAACCAACCAGTGGCATTCCCTGCCTGCATGGATGAAGTAATCTGCGTTGGTTCAACAGATGGGAGAGGGATTAAATCCGACTTTACCCCAAACCTGCCCCAGGGAAAGCGTCTCTGTGTGCTTGGGGAGAGAATTGAGTCCTCCTGGCCACCAGATATGTTGGACGACGATGAGGATCCCCCGCGAAAATCAGGGACGTCTTTCGCGACTCCTGTAGCCGCCGGGGTTGCGGCGATGGTTCTCGATTACATGTGGACGTTTAAGGACAAAAAGGAGTATAAGTCTTGTATCCCCAAGCTCCTTACGAGGCGGGGCATGCTCTCCGTGTTTAAGCAAATGGTGGAGGAGTATCCCACCCACGACTACCTCGTGCCGTGGCAGCTGTTCAGCTTCCGAGTTAGTGGTGATATGGACGAGGATGAAGATGAAGGCACAATGGACATTGATGAGACTGGAAGTGTTGAAGTACAGGAGGAAAGAGATCCGGGTATGGGCATTGTCCAAAAGATTGTAGCTATACTTCGACTATTATGAAACTACGCTCAATTTATCTCCTATTTAGATATTCTACCTCACAATTTCGAGTTCTCCCTCCGCCGCACTCAGAAGAGCAACCCATGGTCTACGCCGTGGTGGCTGTCACTGGGACAATCACCACACACGGCGAGCCATCCTCCTCGTCTATGGAAGCGGACGCAGAGAATGCATCCCCAAATTCCTTTTTGAGGACTTCAGAGGTCACTTCCTTAGCTACCGTCTTTTCCAGTTCTTCGGCTGGCAAGCCACTATCTACATCCAGCCCAAATAGTGCCCCAGTGTTGTACGCCATGGTACTAACGTTTCCCTTGGCGTCGCATCGGACCTCCATGAGTTGAAATGCAAACACGATGGGCGTGGAATTGCTAAAAGTCTGGAGCTCAGTGGACTGCGAATTATGACTTGCTTGTGGTCCAACAGACACGGGGCCTGCATCCACTCCTAGAAACGCCGTAAAGTCCTTTCCTTTATTTTTCAGCGTCGTCACGCTGGCCCCCTCGACAATCTTTAGCCCAGTGATCATATACAACGGGCTATCGTATGCTATTCGTTTCAAGTGACTAGCTGCTCTCTTGCTCTGAACTGCCTTCTTGACGAGATCTTCGCTTGGGATGAACCATTCGGTATGCATGTGCTTGAAAGAGTACTTGAGCACTGCCTTGCGGTCGTACTTGACGCTTGCCTCTGCGCCGAGCCCAAACAGGTCCAGGAATCGAAAAAATAGCCCGCCCTTGTCACCCTTTTCGGACCTGACGACGCCAGTGTAGTCATCTTTTGTAGTAGGGAACGTGGTCGTGTCAATGTCGCCGTCGCCAGGTTTGAACAGGGTTATGTGTGGCTGTTCAGGGCTGGAGGTTAGGCTGCCAAGGCAGACGGATCCCTTTGGGAAGTCCCACGAGGACACCAGGAAGTAAGTCTTGTTTGTATTGGCCATGTTGCCAGCGTTGCGGAATGATCAGACATCGCGATGTTTACACACAGCTGGGCATTGGTAAAGGAATCTCCACGCTCTCAAGCCTCGTTAGGTTCAAGTGCTCGTTGATGGCATATCGTCCTTGTTCCTTGCACCATCTCCTGCAGACACAGCCGCTGCAGGTGCGCGATTTTTCTTATTGGGTGACGACTAATGGAAACGCAAGGATTCTACCAAGTGTTTGAAGATTTACTGACCCCATTAGAAAGAACGCTACGAATAAAAAGTTTATATATGAAGATGGTTGGCGTTAAGTAATGCTTTAATGAAGGAGCCCCAGGATGCTATCTTAGTTTTTATCTCATGAACCTAACTGGTGACCTACCCAGTATCAAAATCACGTCTCAGCAAGTCTTAATAATTACTGCCCCTCAAATCTTTCATTGAAAGCCTCACGAGTACTTGACAACTATTTTAGAATTGTTCGTTTTGAACAGACATCCAACTTTTTGCTAAACTCCATGCGGATACGCCCTAAGTAGTTCTGAATCACCTGGAATCGTCAGGAGTAGAGAGTAGCGCCTAAGCCGATATGAATAAGTAATTGTAAGCACAAGTGTGAAGTGAAATTAGTTAAAAATGAAGTATTTATTTTTGGCTTGCTATAAATAGTGGCTTGCAATACAGGCATGGATGTTATTTTTGAATATCTTATTTGTTCCTGTTGCAGTCTCAAAATTGTTCTTGAATAAATCAAGGACTAGAACATTAACTAATAGTCGATTAATGAAAGAGTACATAGATTGGAGCCTGAGTAAATTTCAGGGCATGATTCAGTTGTAGTTACGAGGATTTCAGCCATTGCTTTGCTAGGCTAGGGTGCGTATTCCTGGTAAAGAGAGAAGCTTGGCGGAACCGACCTATTTACTACGAGAGGGAGGCTGTTTGAAGATTGCTACTTGAATCAGTACAAGGTTTAATGAGAATTCCCATATACGGTGTTGTATCTCTGGCGAAAAACACGAGAAAGCTGCAAAGGCATCATGATTGTCCATGTAGAGTGGATTGAGATGAATGGAAGGAAAATAGTTAGAATTCTCCCTGGTAAATGGGCGGCTTGGCCCTTTTGTGCACTGCATAGATCACATAATCTCACAGATACCTTCGCAGGTACACACAGGCACATATTAGCGTTTAATGAGCCTTGTGAGCGCAGTGTTTGTGTCACATAGCAGTATCCGGGCTTCGGTGAAGTAGGGCAATACCGAATATTACTTGGAAATAGAAAAGAAAATGCTTTGTCAACGATGAATAATCTTCTGCTGCGACGAGTGGGATATCTGAACTTGGGCAGAAGCTGCATCATGTTGACTCTATGCGCAGGAAGCCGGCTGTCGATATATTAACATCATAGGCCAATAGCAAGCACTGGCAGCCACTGAAATGGAAAAAGCAAAGTGCGGCTGATGGCCCTCGTCCCAGATCCCGGCTAGAGGTTGTGTCAATGCGTCAAGGGAGAGCGGCTTTCCGGTTGCGGGGATCGGCTGTATGGGGCGATGCAAGATACAAGATCCCAAACGATATAGGACTGCTTAACAAGTAGCAATAGCGTTCCAGCTAGCTATAACCTACAGCACATTTTCTACATCTAGCATAAGTACCTAGACTAGATTTACTAAATGTGATCTCCTTTCTTGAGATATCTTAATAACGGTGCTTGCATTTGCCACTGCCAAAATGGAAGGTTTAAATGTCAAGTTTTGGGTATAAAAAGTCTGCACAGGCCACATCTGTTGAATGGGATTTTTTATTTGTCCAGATGAGAGGGCCTATAAACCATATACTTTATTTTACAAATATAATAAAAGAATAAATTAGCAGCTTATAATTAGCGTCAAAGGGCGGTAGGGCTTGTTTCCAGCAAGGATACTAGAGTAGGTTACTTCAGCCGCCATACAAATTCGTCGTCGTGGCCTTGTAAAGAGACGCAAGAGAGCAAATATCAAATTCGAGTCCGGTTGTCGCGAATCTGTCAATTCAGTGAATCTTTAGCCTGACTTTAGCTACTTTTACCAGAGATTGTGGGAGGCATACTCGCTGTTACCGACATAATCATCCAGACTAGTCAAGGGGAACCATGGTAACGAAAAGGTATCTTCCTCCTCGGAATGCCGTAGACCTTCATCGTCTTGTCGGTCTGCAGTCAGCTCTTCAGCATTTGAAGTCCGGGGATCTCGTTTCCCCGTGCGAATGTCTCCTCCAGTTCGTCGGTCCAGGATCTGCTTTCGAGCGTGGGAAAACATTCGATATAGGATCTCTGCACCAAAATACGTCCTTCGCAGCTCCTCAGCTACGATCAAACAGAACTCAAGGTTATGATGGCCCATTCTCTGAACCAAGGGTTTCGCGGAGGTGGAGTTAAATAGGTGTAGCTGCATGGCTGGAACCATGGCGATGCAACTTCGGCCAATTCTTAAGTCAGTTACAGTGAGAAGGGATGGGGGCGGGCAGAAAGTGAGGGTAAGAAAGTTAACAAGGTGTACACCAACATAATTGCTTGGCAGATACCTATCATGTCTGCGGTGATAAGACTCTCCAAAGATCTGGTGATGCTAGCAACAGCGGTCTGAGCCTTCCGTTCTATGACCGAGCGCCACTCCTTGGACGCAGCGGAAGGATCCTCTTGCGATGGTTCAAGGAGATATGGTCGGTACAGAACCAACTTGACGGATCTAATCATGACTTAGCTTCATACTAAAAGCTGCATTTGATGATTCTTACTCCAAATATAGTTCAAGATGATAGACGTGTAGGGAAACCGTACGGATGTAAGAGTTTTTGAGCCCATCTCTGGACTGAAAGCACGCTGTGATCTTCCGTTCGATTTCCTCTACCTCGCTCATTTTTAGCTTTGCTCGCTCAACTCGATAATGTACCGAGAGGACACCAGCCAGGACAACTGTAAGTCTCAGCAATTCAACCCACATCCAGGACAAGTCTTCGGCACCATCAGGAATATACTTCTCCCGGACATTACTGGGTATCCCACGAAGCAGCTCATCTGAATCGTTTGCGTCTGGCATAGGAGTATTACAATCATCTAGGTTTATGTGCATCGGTCTACCCATGCCTACCGAAAACCACGCATCGCGGAAGACGCAGGCCCACCAGATTTGACGCCATAGTCGTTCAACACTGGCTGATACAGATCTTGTAATCGAGTCAGGCTTGCGATGCAGCCCAATTGTTTGACAGAGACTGATTGCAACGCCAATCCAATGCCACGGTCCTGTCCTGTCTTCTGTGTCGGCGTACCAGAATCCCATGAGTAGAACTGCCTGAATCAGAGTAATTCTATTTCTTTCATACTCTAAGTCGTAAAGTACCTTGCGAATATTGTTAGTCAATCGTGAACACGTTAGCCTGAGTATGTTTGCCCCGATGGTGCGGTGTGGTAATTACCTTCGCTCTATAGTACGTTGAGCGCCTCATCTCTTTCCGAGACGAAAATCCGGCTTGTTGCAGGACATCTTGGTCTAAGAACTGAGTTTTGTTAGGTCGACTATTGTGCCATAGGGTGGGGGTTTGATGGAGCATCGCTTCGCACGTTTGACGCGGCCAAAAACATGGACCATAAAAGGTGAACACTCAAATTTACCCTCTCGGCGCTTTCGTACATATCCAAAAAGGACTTGGCGTCGACAATCGGGAAAAAAGGATGTACGTGATGAAAGTAGGCTCGAATTATAAGGTCACAGACCGGAGGCTCAGGCAATGAAAATGCACCCTTCAGACGCAAGTAATCGAGATCCTCGGGACCCAAACAGGCGGCTATTGCTTTTGGCACGAGGAAGTGTCCGCTATTGTTTCTCAGTTTTGGCTCGCAGATGTCAGCCACAAAAGCAACACCTCGCGGGTCCCCTAGCAAGTCGGCCATCAGGAGCAAGATCATCAAAAGGCGTAAGAACACGAAGAGAAAAGAGACTGGGCGGTCAATCCTTACCATAAAATGGAGCTTGTGCCTCAGCTCTGCTACCAGGTACCGTCTGGCCATCGCCGTGATGGCTAAAATGGTGGTTCAGCGGGCGATAGGGAACGGAGCGGTCATCAACACACGGCCCAGTTGAGGGTTCCCTCACGGGAGAGGGAGTCTGGGAGCAGCCCTCCCCTGCCGAAGTTGCCGAGGCAAATGGGTGGTCGAAGGCTGCAGAAGCGTCGAGACTTCCGGTAGAATTATCCATCTTCCCATGCAACAATTCCTCTGAGGAGGGTGCTGCAGACTCCACCAGCTGTAAACATCCTGAACGTGGGTATAGACGCGCTTCCTGCCCTGCCTGCGAGTCTAGAGGTGCTATGCTATGTAGGTCGTGCTCAGTCAAGCTCTCCGTCTTGCTCGAGTTGAACACTCACTTTCGTCTCTTTCTCGCTCTTGGCTCACATGATATTCCATCCAGAGAGCAGTTCACGCAAGGACGTCCGGACGAGACCGCATTGCACCTCACTTTTCGATCGTGGCAGGCTCGACATGCTGCTGCTGATCGCTTCCTCGGCGCTCGTCTGGCGTCCACGTCCGAGGAGGTTGAAGGTCTTAGCATCTTGTCCATGTTGTATAACCAATGATCTCCAGATGTTTGAATACGTCGACGGAGGTCATGCCTTTTCAAAATCCTCGGCGATATTTATTATATATATGCTAGCGTGGCAGCTGGATGCGGGCCTGAGCCTCGGTAATTTTAATATCAGATGGAGCGCGGATCCTCCGTATTAGGTAGTATTAGCGGATAGTTGACCGATAGAGCGCTGGACTAAGTGATCCTGAAAACCCATTAGGATTAGCATAGATTGCTTAGATTCTCCGCCCCAGATTTGTACCAAGCTGAATTACGTCCGCCCTACGGCTCTTACGACTCAAATTCCGAGACCGCCAGGAATACAACAAAGTGAAACACGATTGTAAGTTGCCGCCATGGTGCCTTAAAAATGGCCATCGTGTGCTACAGGTATACTTTAAAGTAGCGTGCATACGCTTCCTACGTAAAGTGGCCTCTGCCGAATGCCGCTTTTCAACTTCGCAAATGTTGAATACTTCTATCATAACAGCGTGGCGGACTCGCCGACATTAATCTTGACGCGCCGGGCCCGAGAATGGAAGACAGGTTTGCCGAGGCGCATTGCGTTTCCGAAAGGTATGACGACTGAATCACTGAAAATCCGAGGTATAGCGCTGGTCCATGCCTGCACTATCCTATGAACATACAATCGGGCCTGATCGAAATAAAACCACTTGGTGCAATCTCTCTTTCCTTGCGTGAATAGAGTAGCCAATACTCATCTCACGAACAGACCAACATATATCTCTCATCGATCAACATCCAAAATGGGACTGTGGAAGTGGGTGTTCGGTCTATTCCTAGTTGTGAATTTGAAACTTCTGCCTTTTCTTTGGCACGTAAGTGAATATTTACTACTGTTTCTTATATCTCTGGACAGGACCTAACCGCCGAACAGTTTCGCTTCTTCCAGGCCCTAGGATCAGGGATTCTTCTCAACCGGAGGGCCAGGCGCCTTCTGAAGCCTCACCACATCCTCCTCCCGATAATAAGCACTACCAAGGCCCCTTTGATGGAAATTGATTTCAACCTCCACAAATCCAATTCAACATACTTCACTGACATTGACGTGTCACGAGCGTTCCACAGCGGTGTGATCTTTGGCCCACTTATAACAGGTTCAGGTGGCAAACGTTGTAACTTGATCGTCGGTGGCGTGTCGTGTACTTTCAAGCGGGAAATCAAGCCCTATAAAACCTACGAGACCTGGACACGGGTGGCGAGTTGGGACGAAAAGTGGATTTACACGGTGACGCACTTCGTCCAAAGGGGGAAGCTCAGGGCCGGCCAGCGTGTGCTGCAATCTCATTCGTCCGAATGGGCGGGCGAAAAGCCGGAGACAACTTCGAGAAGCGAAGGCAGCAGAGTCGTATTTGCCTCTGCGGTTACCCGATTTGTGTGCAAGAGGGGTCGCCTGACAGTGCCTCCGGCGCATGCTCTGAAAGAATGCGGTCTTCTGAGAGTCTCGACAAGTTCATTCGCCATCGGCATCGGCGAGGCTAGACTGCAGCATGAAGAACATCCGAACGCAGACTCAGCGGCGAAGCCAGATGTCGCCGCTGGTGCGTGCTCGACGATGCTGGAGGATGTCGAGTCATCCAGGATTGCTAACCTGCCCATTGTACGGCTCCAGCAGGGCTGGGATAAAGTCCACGAGCTTTTCAGAGAAGACATTGCTGTACTGGGAACATACTCTGACATGGGGTGGCCATAATATAACCGCAGAAATGTGTGAAGAACTATTGGTGTCCTGCTATAGACATATTTTTGACACCGCACCTAGATTTAGACTTACCGTCAGGCAAGAATCAAGCTATAAGGCTCTACTCCAGCGAGGTTCGAGGAAGAGAGTGAAGACACTATATGCTGCGACGTGAGCTTCTAAAGCGCAATATAGTGTGCTGAACAGGTTACATCTACAGCAAAGGTGAAAATCCCTCAACGTAAACATTTCCAACGGATGACTCGGCCGTATATGCCCATTGTGGGTGTACTAAACAACATTACTACTTTATGAGCCATTATAAGGCAGCGTTCCCAACGGACCTGTCCAATGGACCGTTCTATATAACAAATCTACCCTGCTGATAGTCACAATACCACAGCTCTATCTGTCAACCCCTAAGCTAGATATATTAAAAGAGTCATCGCATTTCCACAAAGCACTTTTTGTTCGTCCTACAGGACGCAAAGGCCACCATTAACATAGCTAGACAGATCTACAATCGAGAAGACATTTCCCTACAAAAACTTCCATTTCGGTGTTACATTTTCTCGGGCTGCTAAATAGGCTAGCTAAAGCAGATAGTGAGAAAAGATCAGAAAACAACCGTGACAACTCTCAGTATGAGGCCTTATGGTGACAAAGGTTGATTGCAGACCAACTGAGGAGTGGTAAGCCCCATTGTCGAATTTCGATTTGACAGACCAGTATGGGCATTGGCAGTAAGCGGTATTTCTAGGGGACTGCCATGGCGAGAAGGGCTCTGCTGACGGGCTACGGGGTTAATAGAACTACGATATCTTCCACGGGAAGGCCGAGTTCTCTTCCTAACTAGCTCGATATGGCGCGGGGTTATCTGTTTATTTGTCATGCTCATCGCGAGATAGACTATGTTGCTACATGTCCTCCAGTACACTTTTGGACGCACAACAATTGAAAGGTAAGTATCAAGGTTTTCCTGACATACAAGCAAGAAGGTTTAATTTATATACGTAACGGAAGTATTTGATGCCTCTCCAGATTGTACAAGGATAAACTATCAACATCGACTACCATCAAATGATCTAGATTATTAGACCATCATTTAGTTGATAGATAGAATACAAACCTACAGCCCGAAGATTTTTGTAACTGCTGGAAGTGTATAAGTCTGGCGATTCAGTGTAGGAACAGCAAGTAATATTTTGTGCTGCCCGTTGGGAGGGCCCAATACTCAGGAAGTCAGAGCTCGTGCGAATTTCCATGGCCATCCCGCGACCATATAATATTGTCAGAACTTCGTAATGAGTGATATTTGAAATTGAGTATTCTCATAAGCGATTAGCGCCTGGAAAGACGGCTAAAACTCATTTATATTAGGCATATTGTTAAGAGTAGTAATGAATGCCAATGTTCCCATATAGGCGTTTAAGATATTAGCGACTACTCAACCAATGCACTGCATTATGTCTTAATACTGGGCAAACAGCTAAGATCAAGTGGCTCTATGATGGAGTTGGGTGACTAGCAAGTATAGCCTTCGCTAAGCAACTAGGTAGATATGAATTTGTCTATTATAAGTGATTTGTGGTTATCTAGGAGAACTAGCTACTTGTTAAAATTCTCTCCGGGTTCGCTAAACGAGTAGCAATATCTTGCAATATTGAATTCTACCATTAATAATTCCATTCTTAAAGTTTAACTTGAGTCGGCGGGATGAGCTCAAAACCTTGGTGTGGTAGCTCCAAATATTGCCACATAAAATGAAATCTATCGCTCCCGAAGAAAGGCTCCGCGTTTCCCTTTCCGTCGAAGACCCAGAACCACGGGCACCCAAAAGCGCCGAGGTTTTTGAAGGCATGTGTCGTGTTGTCAGCAAGAGTTTGTTTGATCTCAGGCTCATCCGCAGCTCTGATTATCGCCTCGGCTTCTTGTTCGTCGAACACGTTAAGGAGAGCGACCTTCAAGTTGCCTGGTTTCGAGATATCTTTCTGGTTCAGCCATAGTGTCTTAAAGCACGCGTCGAAGAAAGCCTCGTATCTTTCTGGATGCGCTCTCTTCACATAGACCAGACAACGTTGGGGCTGAAGAGACATCCAAGGAGGGTATGTTAGTTTGAGCGCCTAAGTAAAGACGCAATACAACTTACTAAGAGGGAAACGATGGGGAAGAAGGATGGAATTTTGAACTTCATTCCGAAATATCTCTGAGCTCGCTCTCCGTCATACCTGGAGTAGACCGCCTTTGCCGGCAGCGTCCATGGTGGTTTATTCCCTATCATGCTGTCAGCTAGAAATCATCATAGTGCGGCGCAGTTGTCTTACCACTGCCCACATTGATGCCACCTAGAAAGACTGGGATGAACCTGCGAGATAGGTTAGTCCTTTAACTTTAATTAAGACTGGCCTGCCGGTTTCATAATTTACTGACTCTACCTGAACTCCTAGGGCATCCAGTGTCTTCTTGTTCCGGAAAAGATAAGTGAACGCGTAAAAGCTGTACGGAGAAACTGGGAATTCGATCTTAGTATCGCGTCCGCTTCAACATGGGTTTGCCAAACTCACCACAGTCGATATACGCCTCGATTCTCTTTTGGGATACCACATTGTTAGACATGATTAGTACACGAGGAAACCGCTTTCACTTCCACCGCTCTCTACAAGCTGTAGAAGAAGATAGTACGGGTAAAGGGCCAACTAAGTCAAAGATAGCCATTCCACGATTGGTTGCCTATTTATGTTACAGAGCGATGTTGAAGCTTATGCCGAATTCCCGCGGTTTAGATAGTCCCACGGTTTAGATGGTCCCGCAGCATAATGCCCCGGCCGTCCTTAGTCTTGTCGCCGAGGCACTAGCTGCGTTGGCGGGTCGATCTTTGTAGGAGAGTTACAGCTTGTCTTAAAACTCCAGCCAAAGGTGGAGTTAGCGGCTGGAATTATCCCGTAATACCAAGGAGCCAGCTCTTTTCACGACGCCCATTTGCCGTGATAATGCCTCTGAATAGTTCCGAGGATGCCTCCACAATGGTAGTGTTGAGATCTTCGCAGAATTCTTCCCAACCCAAACTCAGAAGGTTACTGAACCGGAAGGACGGGAGTGAACAATTCTTTTCTTTGCTTCAAAATTAATTAAAACTTGTAGCCTATTTCTCCTCAACGATTTAGAAGAAAGTCCTGGGTCATTCAGTAAACCTCAACCCATCTCCGGGACAAACGAGACAAGCAGCTTAGAGAAGCTCCTCCCGCACCTCACCGGGTTTTCCCCAGAATCCCTGAATTCTTTCAATATGGCTGTCAATCCAAAAATGCATCCTGTTATAGCCATCTTAGGTGCTGGCCCAGGGATTGGTGAAGCCGTCGCTCACCGTTTCGCTGCTGAAGGGTTCGTCGTCGCACTTCTAGCTCGCTCGGAAGCCAAGCTACAGAATATGGCCCAGCGCATCGACATTGATTATGGCGAGGGTACTGCAAAATACTACCTTACTGACCTTTGCGTCGAGGAATCCATTAACAACAGCCTTGATACCATCAAGACCGAGCTAGGATCAATTCAGGTCCTAGTGTATAACGCCGGAGCGCGGCGAGTTCATGGAAGATCGATAATCGACACAACAACCGAAGAATTCGAAAACTTTACTAAAATCAATTTGTATGGTGCCTTTTGGTCTACTAAGCGTGTGCTACCCGACATGATTACCGCAGGCAGAGGAACTATCCTCTTTACAAGCGCTACTGGTGCACTTCGTGGCATGCCCGGCTTAGCCAGCTTCTCGCCCGGGAAATTTGGTTTGCGATCTCTCTGCCAGATAATTACCCGAGAGTATCAGTCTAAAGGAATTCATGCGGCACACATAATCGTCGATGGGCCGGTAGATGGCGATCTCATTGGTGGAGTAGCCAGGAGGCGATGGGAGCAAGCAGGAGAAGAAGAGAAACTGCGAAATATTGATGCATATCTGGTACAGCCTACGGACTTGGCCCAGATATATTGGTTTCTACATACGCAGCCGAGAAGCGCGTGGACACACGAATTAGATGCCAGATCCCAGAATGAAGCCATGTATTCTAAGATATGAAAGTTCGGCGCAAGGTCTGTAACGCCACAAAGCTCACACAGTTCGAAGGTTGATAAGTGGTTTTCTTTGGGGGTGCTCACAAATGACAGCAGCATTTGAAACGCGATATAAACCATAGCGGCTGCAATTGTTAATACGCAAATATCCGCAGGGCATTCATGTAATTAGTGACATTTGGTTACTTTTCTAGCAACAACATTTTACAAATATACGGGCTATATCACAAGATTTTCCCTTATTGGCTTATTGAAATAGATTGTGCGTATCTTGAATTTGCGGATAAGAATCAATACGAATGAACATCGAGATAAAAGCGCGTCAAATGAAGCGTGAAACTTCCAATCATGCTGCCATACGGTGTTTCTATACCAGAGTTATATTTCCAATTAAGGAATACGCCTGGATGACGCGATAATCTTTCTTTCCATCTCTCTTCTATCTGGACTTAGCATAATACAATGCGTTCTGAGGCAAGTATTATGTCTTTCCAATTTTCTCAGCCGCCTGGTCCGCTTCTTGCAGATGCAAATTAAAAATTGAAAACATTAGATATAAAAGAGTTAGATTGTTAATTGAGATATTAAGCGATCTTGACGCACTCCGACCTGATTTGTACAGAGGAGTATACAGCTTGATAGAGCGTTGAAAAAAAAATACACTAGGTGAGCTATAATCTCTGCATATAGGAAACGAGTTTTAATATACTATACTTAAGGGTCACGGGGATGAGGATGTTTAAGCTCAAATAGAGTGTGATATTATTGATAAGCATTAAGCTTAAGTATAAATAAATAAAATATAATTTAAAACTAAATTATAATAATTATAATAAAGAAATTAATTAAATTAAGCAATGGAGGGAGGAATAACTACATATGGGTCACATGACACCTTACCTGGTAATGCTCTGTAATGCCAAGGCCAATCTTCCTAGTTATTATTCCTTGTGACCCACCGCGTATGTTTTTTTTTTTTTTTTTTTTTTTTGCCCTGCCCTGGATCGCAGTTTATTTGTGAGACACGAGTTAGATGATCCCATCACCGGTGTGACGGATTCCAGGTAACCGCCTCTTAGACAGGCTGAAGCTGATGGCCCCCTTGCATCCTTTGCCCTAAAAGGGGCTTATTTCGGTGTAATTTCCTGCTAGCTGTGATGAAAAGAGAGAGAGAGAAAAGAAAAGAAAAAGAACCCCTGTGGTGTAACTCTTAGATGGCTTTCTTCTTCCCAGCTATGCAGATGATGTCAAAAACGATAGCCACTTGGACCTGGTGCCAAGATGATGGAGTAATTATGTCTCTCAGTCTCAACCAATCTGGCAGCTGGAGGTGAAACAGCATGTATTAGCCCGGCGATCAGCAAGATTAGATTCGATTGGTAGTTCTCCTAGGAGAGACAGCAGGCTGTTCTACATACTATGCCAGAATAGAGGGAAATGATGATCCAACGTTGATGGAAGTCTTATAATATGAAACTTAGACCTCCCTTAACGCCACTCCACAACTCCGGATACCTGATTACTATTGTCATACTATCCTCAGTAGGTTTTTGAGATTTTGTCATCCTTACCTTCTCTCTGTTCGTCATCCAACTTCCTAAGCCAAAGTCGATATAATGGCTGCACTCTCTGTATACACACTTCCACCAAGCCCTGCTAACTGGGACAAGATTGGCGTGTTTTACATCTCTTGGTGCGCATCATGGACGGCCACACTCATTGCCGGCATGGCCTTTTGCTGGCTTCACAGAAATCTGCCCATCCTAAAGATTCGTGGATTACCATTGTCTTTTTTTGCAATTGGTTTTTTGCACATGTACTGGATTCTCGCGCAGCTGGTGTATCCTATCGGCCAAACCATGCCCTTGGTTCTCGCATATGATATCCAGTACTTCTTCATGGGCCTCTGGTTTCCCTTGGGTGTTGCATTGTTCCACGCATCCAACCTTCGTTTCCTTCACGTGGCAAAGCTGCAGAAACAATTTGCCGGTCAAATTCATCGAGTCGAATCCGGATGCAGTGGCGCAAAAACCTCATGGCTTTGCCGCCTACGAAACATGGATTATACAGCACGATCGATGATCTTCATTGGTCTTGGCATGATTATCCAGGTGTGTTTGTCTGAGACTCCGCGCATTAACAATGCTAGATAACGATTATTACGAGTATTTTTTAACCCTTGATTTGCATACTGAATGATATCTATAGGTCTTGCTCACGGTTGGCATGTGGCTAGCTTGTCGAAAATACCATCCCACGTATGGCATTCCTGGCACCGAACTTCGCGGCGCAACAATCCTAGAGCAACTTGTAGACTTGGGCCGAGGATGGGAATGGTGGCCGTCGGTTTTGTGGCAAGTCATTTGGACCTGGATTGTACGTAGAGAACAAGTCCTTACAAGGCGATCATTGTGACTAACTAGTTTTTTTCCAAGATTGCACCGATTCTTCTATGGCGCGCTTGGGGGATCCGCGATACCATGGGATGGCGTGCACAAACTATCGGCTGCTGCATTTCTAAGTAAGTCATATTTGATTGCCGCGATATTACGATTACAATAACTAATCTTTTGGCTTTAAGTCTCCATGCAACACCGATGTTTCTGGTCTCTTCGTATATCCCTGCCTTTCAGAATGTCAATAAATATTTTACCCCAAGCCAATGGTAGGTATCTCGCAGACCACTTGCTCCTCCAGCAAGGCATAGGTGCTAACTAGGTATCAAACCAGGATCCATCTTTCCATTTTCATGTTTGAAATCTTCACAGTTTTCGTTCCAGCCTTCCAAGTCATCAAATTTTGGATTCAGAGAAGAAAGACTACCCGCTCGAGCAAGAAATGGGACAGTCCTCTCCAACCCACGACCCTGAGTCTGTCACCTCAAGCTGGACCCCTCACACCTTCGTCTTCATCAACGGAGAATTGGGTCTTTCTACCCGCCATTTCGACGACGAAGAGTACACCTTTTGACATCTTTAGCGAAGACTTGGGCGATCGCCTGCTAACAATGAGCGCCCTTGAATACGTCCTCAACGAGAATCCTCGATCACTACAAGAATTTTCTGCTTTGAGAGATTTTTCGGGGGAAAACATTGCCTTTCTAACAAGCGCGGCGAAATGGAGATCATTCTGGGCTACACAGAAGACTAATGGTCAAAAAAGGAAAATGTTCAACGATGCTCTGGAGATTTACATCGATTTTATCAGCCCAAGAGACGCCGAGTTTCCCTTGAACTTATCTTCCGGCGAGATTAAGCGCGTTGAAAGCATATTTGAAAAAGCCGCACGCAGCATATATGGAGAGCAAACCATTAATCCAGCAACATCGTTCGATATTGAGATTGCTCCCTTCGGCTGCTGCCAGGCCAGTAGTCCCATCGATCTAGGCGCTCGAAGCACCCCCAAGATACACTATGAGGGCGAAATCCCCGACATATTTGATGTAACAGTGTTTGATAGTGTTCAGACTCATATAAAGTATCTTGTTTTGACCAATACATGGCCGAGATTCGTGGACGAAATGCAGGCCAAGCGACGCCAATCGAGCGACACGGCGAATAGCGAAGGTGCCTGGAAATCTGGATCGACCATTACCAATCGGATTGCCCAGCTGGTCCGTCAAATACTGTAGACGAAAATACGGCGTCTGAGAATTTAGAAGAAGTGAATAAGGAAAGATTACGGAGTCTGCCCGTTGGTTCCACTTTTAGGAACCAACCGTGTCTCTGGGAATCCCGAAACAGCCCAAAAATCGGAACATGCAGATATCTAGCCTAGTTGAAGATTACATACCGTGTTCTAGTAAATAAAAACAACAGCGCGTTTGATAATTGAAATTGGCATCAAATCCAATGGCAGATTTTCCTCCTGCCTTCAAGGCTGCGGCCGCTGTTTTATCTGATCGCAATCGACCTCCAAGAGTTCGAAAAGCATATTCCGTACGGAGCGCTGCCGCTCAGTTCAACATAAGCCCGGCAGCAGTTCAACGCGCGATTTCCTCGTTCCAACGCGCTGATCCTCTTCCTACTCCTAGACAGCCGGGGCGGCCGCGATCGCTGACGAACGAAGAAGAGGAAGCCCTCATTGCCTATGTGAAATGGCTACAGCGAGGAGGATTTCCTGCGACTAAAGCCCACCTTGTGGCCGCTGCCAACGACCTCCGACGACGAAGAGATCCCGAAATTGCGGATCTAGGGAAGAATTGGTATTGCCAGTGGCTTTTGGAACATCCGGAAGTTCAGAAATCCTATGTTAAAGCTGTGGAAACAGCTAGCAAATCGCTTGAGGCCTCAAATGTAGAGAATTTGATGACTTTCTTCGATAGGTTGAAGAAGATCATCACCGACTATCGGATCGGTGCTTCAGAGTGTTGGAATGAAGAGGAGTGCGGCATACGGATTGGCCGCCTTCGTGAACGCCTTGAGGTTGCAGTCGTTCGCTCAACTCGGTCACAACAGCCAAAGGTCCTTGATCCGAAGAACCGCGAGTCTTCTACAGTTGTAGCTTCAATCAACGCCGCCGGCGAGACTATTCCTCCCTGGGTAATCTTCAAGACTTTCCCCACTGAGCCTTGGTCAGAAGTAGAAGTTGGGGCTGACGAGGCTATCCACTTCGCCCGATCAGAAACGGGCTTCTCTAACAGCGAGACCTCGTTTGAATGGCTTCACCACTTTAACCTGTCGTCTTGGGAGAAGTCAGAACAAGCACAGCAGTCAGGACTAGCATTTGAAGAATATTTTGGATGTAACGTATGGCTTCGAGATCCTGACAGTCCTTGGTCGCCGCCGTACGAAGCTCCACCAATCCAATGGCCTGACGATAAAAAGATCTACCGTCTCCTCGTTATTGACGGCTTTGTAGAGCACACAGGGCTCGATTTTATGGAATATTGCATTAAATTTGACATTATCGTCGCCGTATTTCCGTCATATTCAACTCATATCCTTCAGCCTCTCGATGTAGGCGTTTTTCATCCTCTCAAGCTTGCACATAAAAAAATACTGCGGCAGAAATTGCTGTTCCAAGACAACGTGGTGTTTACACAAACAGATTTCCTCACAGCGTTCCGGGCTATGTACGATGAAGGGTTTACGAGGTCTAATATCATCTCAGGCTTCAAAGAAACCGGGGTTTTCCCTCCCAATGCGCAGCCATCAGTCATGAGGGTCTTCTCACAGCAACAGAGGAAGCGCTCTTAGTCAGTAGTCATGCATGGTAGACGCTAGTTACAACGATTAGTGAGAAATTAATAATGATGATATGCATATTTCTACCCTTCACAGAGAGTGTCCTCAGTATGAATACACGTAAATCGGGTGGCCAGCCTGGAATGCAATCGGATAATATCCTTGCTAGTAGGCATATGCAAGGGCGAAGTACAATAGCAATAAAGTAAGGCGTTCCTTGCCAAGAAATTTTAGCTATGAAGCCCTGCATATAGCGGATGACGTAGCGGCAAAATAATAAACCACTGCTCGGCGGCTGCGTTAATCTCTTTTTCCGCCTCTGATTCCAACTGATGTGGATATCCGCCAAAGTTAGACTAGGGTGACCATTGTCTCGTTATGGTAAAGTCACCCCGATAACTCATTTCGGCTGACAAAAGAATATAAGAAAAGGCACATTTATGCGACAGGCTTTAGTATAGCACGATGATATTGAACTGGAAGACGCCCTTTGATTTCATAAGCAGCGAAGGTCAGGGCCACAATTGTCAAAGGCTGGCTTTATCATGCTATTACCAATTCAACAGAGGTATTAGTGAGTTGAAAGCAAGGTGCTAGGGGGAGATAGTGGTTTAAAAATGTATAAATATGGCAACTATGAACAAACAAGAGTGACAACTTTGCCTTCTATACAGCTATTGGTAGTGAACATTGGAGTTATCATCTGTCTTCCTCTTAAACAAGATGCTCTTCAACCAACTAATTCCCATTTTCGCTGCGGCGGTTCAAGCACTACCCCAGCCAGCTTCAGCCAGTTGCCGAGATATTCAGATCCCAATTACCGTTTCAACCCCTCGGTTCATTTTGACAACGTCGCTCCAAGATGATTGGGATGCTGCTGCACTAACTCTCAATTTGACTCGCCGAGATTCGGGTAAAGCGGCCGACCCTCTTCCCATTAGTGGATCCACATCGGCTTCTGTGAAGAGTACTTACACCGTGGGTGCGACATTGTGTGGCCATGGAGGACCGACGCTGGTACTTACACATGGAATCATTGAATCGAAGCTGTAAGTGTATATGTTGATCTATCATTATAAAAATTGAGGTTGCAAAGAACGGGAAAGAGGCTTTGTTCTGATCTCCGTGCTACAGTTACTGGCGACCCAACTTTCCAGGCAGTGAGAAATACAACTTTGTTGATGCTGCTATTGCCCAGGGATATTCAGTCCTCAGCTACGATCGCATCGGTGTTGGATCATCACCAAAGTAAGTCGATACTTTATAAACCGCTGCAAATAAAGTGGCACATGCTCACATGATCACAATAGAGTAAACGCGTTCACAGACGCACAATTCCAGGTCGAAGTTGCCGTGCTAGAGGGTCTCGTTAATTACGCCAAAACCAAAGCCAACGCTAGCAAGATTGCCCTTGTCGGCCACAGTTATGGCTCCTACATCTCCTCCGCAGCAGCCACTCATATCGCCATCGATGGTCTCGTATTGACTGGTTTCAGTGGAACTTTTGAATTCTTCCCCCCTTTCGTTGCAGGTGCCGGCTTGCGCGTTGCTAAGCTACAGAACCCTGCGCGGTGGGGAAAGCTAGATTCTGGATACTTCACCAGCTCGGATTTGTTCGCCGAGACCTATATCTACTATGCAGCTCCGCACTTCGAGCACAGCGTTGCTGAATGGAGTTATAATGTTGCCAGCGAGCCGTTTGCAGTTGGCGAGCTTCCCTCGCTGCTGGCTACTACGATTGACTACTGTAAAATTAAGGCACCTGTCTTGGTTCTCCAAGGCCAGTTTGACGTCTCTGCCTGCGGCGGAAACTGCATCGGTGTTGTAAATGGCACAAAGGATATATTCACCGGTGCCAAAGTCCTTGAATATGTTGACAATTTGCCATCAGGGTGAGTAATTCTATCCAATTAGTCCTTTGAAGAAACAGAAAAGCCTAATTATCTATTAGTCACAATCTCAACTTTCACAAGGTTGCACCACAGGCATTCCAAAAAATCTTCAACTTCTTGAAGGCCCAGGGTGTTTGAGTGTTTATGATACAGACAGTGGGACCAACAAATCCCTCATAATCATGCACATATATTGGCATTTATAGAGAGCAGAACCAACGACGTTTTATATCCAGAGGAAAAGTGTTACACTCCATATGGATCCTCTTACTTTTCATTTTGTATTACTATGCCTAATTTAGTAGCGACCACTAATATATGTCACATGTTGTTTGACTCACTCTATATTTAAGCGTATAAGGATCATCTACTCCTCACTAGCTCTTAGCTGCTGCCTGCTACCTTAACATATTGACTCATAATTTGGTCATAGCCTGCCTGTTTTAATTATTATATAGTATTTTCGTTACAACTAGGAGCATCCATTTACGTACTCTACCTATATCTATAGATTTCATCGCTCTTACTTATAATCTGATAGTATATACATTGCAGAATACTATACCCATTAGACACGACAACTATATACATTAAATAGCAGCACCATGAGCTGCAGAGTATGTGTCTTATAAGTGGTTAAAAATTGTAGTACGCTATCTGATAAGACTTCCTATAGATTCCCCCGGATTTCGTTCGAGATATGCAGCGCGACCCCAACGGGGGTAGCACGCACCTTGGCAGAGACGGTGTGCTTCGTACATTATCTACTGAGTATCAGGTTGTCGATGCCAGGGCATTGAACCCAGATCAGATCAAACAAGTGTTAGATTTTTTACCCAGCGTTATGGATAAAGATGGATTTGATGGTGTCGATGGTACCAAAGTGCCCAAGGAACAATGGTACAACCCGGCAGATGGAATCTTGCCCCAAAAGCCGACCGATGAGGAGCGAGAAGCGCGAAGAAAGGCAATAAAAGAAGCGAATGAGGCACGTATTCGTGACAAAAATACTGTATGAAATAAGTTATCACAATATACGGGTCTACTTCGCTTCTTAAAGCATCTTCACAGTGACTCCCGGTTGCTGCCTAGGAAATAGTTCGAACACAATATGGTTTGCCAGATCTAGACCATCGACTACGCCCTATCTCTTGAATACGTTTAACTGCATGTTGCTCAATATCGTTGGCACCGACGGGTCAGCAGTAGGGGCAAGAAGCGGAATCTTGACCCTGGAGTCCCCTCTCGCCTTGACAGGTATTTTACGACAGGGGACGCCGACCATGATTAGTTTCAGAGGATATGAAGAAATTCCTAATCCGTTCTTTCTTAATGAAGAGGCGATCTCAATTGGAAGAGAATCACAGGTTGGGATGTGTTTGCGTGTTTCACTTTGAGCCCAGATACATTGAAATTGAATTGTAGAGGATTCATCAAACGTGGATAATCCGTCATTTGTCAGTTAAGTGATAAAATTTCCAAGATCGGCGCACTTATAGGGTTGTTCAAACAAAATTGCCGATAATAAAGAGCATCTTAAAGTCGGTAATGGCGGACGAGAGCGTCGAATGAACTCACTCGCAACCTAATCCTCTATTAGAGGTGAAAGTAAAGGAGCAGCTTGTTCTTGTCGAGAAGGAGTTGATAGTTGAAATAGATCAACGGGACTTTCATCGGGCTATTTAGAAGATATATCATCAATATCTAGCTCAAAGATTGGATTGCTCAGCTGCAGCCCGAGCACCGCTGAAGTTGGTTCCTCATCAGAGAACTCCTTCTCTCTTCCTTCGCGCTCATGATCAACGAGGAATGTTGCAAAGCACTCTGGGTTAAGCGTGCGTAGATTCCAGTCAAAAATAGGCGCTGGTTTGCCGGTAGGGTCAAAATCAGTAGAGCCAAGTGTATCACCTGGTTGAGCAGTGCTTGGCCTCTCCGTTGTCGTGTAAGGCTTCTTCCACGGCACCGTTAGCTTTTTGTTGGTCAATATCTGTCCAATTTTGAAACACTGTTGATGTGGAGGCATTCTGAAGATGACTCGGCGCAGATCTGGTGGCGCGGCATCGAATAGACAGTACATGGTATCTGGAGCAAGACGCTTCTGAACTAATATTGGTTGTTTGGGAGGCGTATTTATAGGGGCTTGTACTCTAAATTCGTCTCCGCTTTTTGATATCGGTTCACTTCGAGTCTCTGAGAAGACTGCTTCGACTGTAATGTCTGGCAATTGGACAAGTAGTTGACTGCGTAAGAGGAGCCCGTATCTAGGCAGTGGAACGTGCCAGCCTCCAAGAGGCTCATCTGGGGTCCTAAGACACTCATTAATAGCAAGCTTGATGGCATTTCGCGGCTCATCTCTATCCGTCCCATGTCCCCAGTGGTTTGCGAGACTCAGAGCCCCATCTATCAATGCGTCAATCCAATTATCATCGATGAAGAAGAAGCGGAGAGTTTCCTGTGGGAGGAATGAAGGATCCGGTATGAGATATTGAACAGGCACGTTGGCAAGATGCACTTTGTCGAGGATCCAAGAGTATATGTAGACGTAATCGGGACTAGCAGTTATGGTGTGCTCGTTATACATGACACCCTTTTTATCTGACGTGGCAAACATGAGAGCTTCTGCGTTTGAGTGAGATGATATACGGCCTGAGATGTGAGTCGAGTTTTGTGAGAGCATATCAATGCTGTTGAGGGATATCTCCTCCCCATCTTGTTGGCATCGTCGGTTTCGGGCGAGAGATATCTCAGGGTCTCTAGATGCATGCTGGTTGGCGTTGATATCACAGAGGCCTTTGACCAGTTCTACCATGCTGTCTGCTGTCTTTGAGGGTGGTCCATATCCATCGTCTCCAAAGGGAGCATGAATCTCATGTTTAGAACGGTCCAAACCACGGCCACGAACTGCATTCCGTAATCGAGAAAGAGCAAAGCAGAAGCGTTCATCCGCCAAAGCCAGCGTCTTGCCCAGCTGCCAGGCACTCGAATAGGTTTTATTCATAAGACCAAGCTTTTTATCCAAAATAGCCAGATCACTACCGCAATTTGACTGCATGGTAAGTCCATCTCGTAACGGACGCTCGACTCGCCTTGGCACAAGAGGCCCGCGAAATAACGCAGCGGTCACTTCGCCAGTAACTGTACGAGAGCGAAGGAGAGTGTATCCTTCAACCTGCCGCGCTTCAATAATATCTGCGAGGGATACATCTCTGGAATCGTCTCCAGAGGCAAATGGCTTAACATTGTCTCCAGTGCGCAGAATGTTCAAATTTTGCCCTAGGTTTGTCAAGAGGTCAGATGTACCGGCTACATTCTTTGATGGAAGACAGGTGTAGGTCCAGCTATGAAGACTAGTCATAGCTACACGATCGTTGGCTGTAGAAAATGGCATATTCTCGTCAAAGACAAGGGATAAGAGGTGAACAGCCATCAACGTGGGTAGATCTGAGTCAATTGGACCGGTACGACGGCTGATGACAATACTGAACAGTGCATCACCGTCTTTGGAACCAGCATTTGCCATGCCGTCTGTTGCTATATGTCTTACATGAGCCATGTGCTTATAAGAGGCCACATTGAGCTTGCTAGCATCGCCACCTGGCTCGGTGAATAAAGCTTTAAATAGCTGGCCTGGCAATACGACCACATCAGTAGTCTCGGTCGCTTCTTTTGCATCTAAAGTATTGTTAAAAGCGGTCGCGTTTATCACTCCATTCAACTTGGGCATATCACGAGCAATCATCCGCAGAGCACCCGTCTCGCTCTGTTCGCGCTTTAAATTCTCAGGCAGATAGCGCATGACATTATCAATGTCAGGTTTGTCCATTTGAAGCTCTTCCACCGAAAACACCATTAACGCAAGCCATGTTGTCCGACTTTGATCCGTTTCCTTGTCCTTGTGGGGAGGAAGATGTACTATTGATGGGCTTCTATTCCATGGCAAATGCGGGTCGGTTAGAACAATGTGAGGCAGAATTGTATGTTCTGCGCGTGTCCCAGGCGTGGGGAAGACTGAGTCAACGGCTCCTGGCTGAAGAGAGAATTGAGAAGCAACAGCAATGAATGCCTGCTCAGTGGCCTCAGTTGCGTCTTTTTGAGTATTTTGATCAGACTCATTGGGGTCTGCTGGTGCCTCAATTATTTGGCTAACTTTAATATAATGAAGGCCATCGGTGAGAGAAGGTTCGAAGTAAGAGTAGAGACGGGTTTCTCCTGGAACCAGTGGGCGAGGGGTCCCAGAGGGGATGCGCTGGTCATTTCGAAGAGGCATCGTGAACCATAAATCGGAGCTTCAAGGCAGTGTAATCGAATCGAGTTGCTGGATACTTCACGACCTCAGCGAGAGCAGCATTAAGATCATCACCCAAACTGAAGATAGATGAGACGTAAAGGTAATACAGATCTAAAGTTTTTGTATCTCTAAACTCTTCAATGCAGCAGTCAGCCTTTCTATGCTATGGTGCTCCGATTGGCTGGCCATGACTCTTCTCTGGGATCCAGGGGGTCTCCTTGCATCCTCAGCCCCAGTTCCACCTGGCCACCGGTCGATAATCAATCAATAATGCCATTCCCAAGACGCAGCTGTGGAATCATCAACTCTCTCTAGTTGCGTGTTCGGCACACATTTAGTTTAGCTCACCGCAGTATCAATAATGCAGGGCTCTTTTCTAGAGAAAGCCAAGAAAGACACTGCTCACATGGGAGATATTGGGGACTACATGTATCTATTCCAGTTCAGCTCGCTACTAAGATCACACTAGCCCCTCCTTTGAGGTCTAGACTTTACTCCGCCAACCCCTCCTCGATCAATTCAGCAGATAATGGTACGTTGAATATGGTTTACGCTGTACGAACTCTACGGCTCTTAACGCTCTGCCGATTGGGTAATTACCTGTAAGTATTCAACAGCTACCTGGGGAAGTTGAAGCTATTGGAAACGTCTTATAGGAATAGATCAAATGATGAAATCACAGTTATTCTTACTAGCAATAGCACTAACGATAGGCCTCCAAGTTCTTAGTAAGTGGAGAATTTTAAGACTTGCAGCGGCGGCATTACTAGTCGCGGAGGCTAGGTTTAACAGCCCCATCTTGATCCGTCAGTCTATTCGTGCTACTATGAGGAAGTAGAACTTCAAATTTACTGCGATAGTTGTTTTATATTAAGAGTTGAAAGAAAATGTAGATCATAAAAGCAATGCTCACAGATTACAGTTTCAGATCCACTGAGATCGCTAGTCATTTCTACTCCAGCGAAGGGCCGCCTCTCTTGAAAGAAAGATAGCTGCTATGTATGAACCTAGATCGAATTTAGCTCGCCCATCTTCTATAGCACTTGGCAAAACCATGTAGCTCTCCAAGCCCTCTTTTTCCCCATATTCCGTTACTGCAGACTTTTGTTTTTTTGTCTTCTTGTAGTTAATAAGGCTATAACCACGCCCAATGTCCTTTGCCTACTCTTGATCGGAGAACCGCACCCTCCTCAGATGGAGTTGAAGGAGCCCCAGTGATGAGTTCTTCGGATTTAAGCTCACGGCTTGAGTTGAGGGTAAGAGGTACATCCTTGGTTATCATGAAGGAGATTGATACACTAGACTTGGACTATGTGTTTAGACGACCTAGGTCTAGGGCAGATGAAAGGCAATTCATGACTCAAGACGAGAAAGAGTATCAAGATCCTACGAAAGATCCTTTCAAGAAGAGCGCTAAGCCTTTACCAATTGAGAACATCGGTCTTACATTTTGAGGTAAAAGAGAAGAGGCTGTGAATTGTACTTGATACGACTGTTTTGCTAGGTCCTCTTGGACTTACTCTGATGGGCTTTGGCATCAGCGCTTAGTTGGAACCTTCTCAGCCCAAAAAACGCTCCTCGCTTTCACGACGATGACGGCCATTGCTAAAAACAACAGAGCGGTTCAGTTTGTATTCCTCAAGACTCTTATTGAAACGAACCGAGATGCTCTTCCAAGATGCAATGATGTCATCCGTTGGACCACGTTCGATTACATAAGTAGACCGCAACGCTTGCACAAGTATACCGTACGCAATATACACTGTTCCGTGCAGGGACGGGTATTGCATATTTGGGGCTGATGTCTGTATCGGCGTCACCCTCGCACATGCAACACGATGCGCCACGATGCGCAATTCGAAACAGGCCGCTGGAACTGCCAAAATCCCCATTATTCACTAACAGTGGCAGCGCAGGGGTCCAGGGGGTGAATCTGCTATTTTAAGACGCGGCAGATGTGTTCCGCCATGCTAGTCATCGCCGTGCGGATATCTGCTATTGACACTGTATTTCTCCCTAGAGCTGCGTCGCTCGTCCAATGACATGCCAGTCGCGTCGTGTCCTCTTTGCTGCTTCGCCAAATCTTATCGCCTCTTCGTCTACTCACCAACGTCCATCTTTTGAGCCTTTCCTTATCTCGACGCCGAATCGCGTACCCATCGGTTAGATCCTGGTTTCTCTTCTTTTCCTTTTGATCTCGGGCGCCTATCGGAATTCAGCATCTTGTCGCTGCCATCAGGGCATACAGCAACCAATATGCCGCTAAACGTCTTTCGCATCGCCGGTAGGTTGATAGGATAGCAGCCGACAATGCTGCTCGACGGGATTGATGGCGACGAGCGCTAACATGTGCGGAACAGCGGATTTCTCGCATTTAGCGAGTATCCTCATCCTGCTGCGCAAGATGGTGCAGCTCAACGTGCGTTGCCTCCTTTGAACATGGCCGCCCCTATACCCCATGTGTGTCGCTAACTCGGCGCTGTGCAGAGCTGCTCGGGCATCTCTTTCAAGTCGCAGGGGCTGTATCTGCTGGTCTACCTTACCAGATACCTCGGTATGAAGCTCAGCCGCCACCGGAAGTGCTCAATGGCTGGGCCAAGCTAACCCGGCGCAGATCTCTTTTCGACGGAGAGCTACTACAACATCGTCTTCAAGATCCTCTTCATAAGCTCGCAAGGGTACATCATCTACCTCATGACCAACGCTTACAAGCCTACAAACGACGTCAACACCGATACGTTCCGTGTGCAGTACCTCCTCGGCGCCGCCGCTGCTCTCGCCCTCATCTTCCCTTACCACTACACCCCGTCCGAAATCCTATGGGCCTTTTCCATTTGGCTGGAATCTGTGGCCATTCTCCCGCAGCTGTTCATGCTGCAGCGCACAGGCGAGGCCGAGACCATCACTGCCAACTACCTGTTCGCTCTCGGAATCTACCGCGCGCTTTACATTCCCAACTGGATCTACCGCTACATCGCGGAACCCAAGCATAAGGTTGACTGGATCGCCATTGTCGCTGGTATCATTCAGACCATTCTGTACAGCGACTTTTTCTACATTTATTACAACAAGGTCCTCAAGGGCAAGAAGTTTAAGCTGCCTGTCTAAAGGCGCATACTTCACTCGGCACTTCATATAAAATGGGGCCCCGAGATACTTTCCTTGTGATTTAGTCCGGATGAAATCATCACTCTACGATATGGCCGACGGTAAAAATCTCCAGGGGGGATTACGGCAATGGTAGATGGCTGCGAAAAGGTGAACTCCACAGCTACGGAAAAGTTACAAGATCAAAAAATAGTGTTCAAGAAGGCAAATGATTGCATTGGCGGCGTTTGATGGTGTGCTCGGTTTGACGGCAGTCAGGTAATTGGCGTCATCTCTTGATATGAGGATTTACGAGTCTGGGCCATGTATGTTGTGGACATGAAAAAATAGAGGGCAATCAATTGACTGTTTTTTTTTTTTTTTTTTAATATTAACTTGGACGACGGAACCAAACTGCATGGAGTGATGAATGCGATATTTGCGAACCCAAGCGCAGACTACAACCGCTATTAATAATCACGACTGCTAGAAGAAAATAAACGCTGAAAATTAAGAATTCAAGAAGCAAACGCTGTCGTTTCCATAAACCAAGTTCCGTTTATTGAAGCAGCTCGTCATCGTCCTATTGTAGCTATCACGTGATCTCCATCCATCATTCAACTCGCCATCCTCTGAAGCGTGAACTTTTCCATTCCATCTGCAACACTCTTCACTCGTTTTCTGCATCATTTCAACCCGTTAATTGATTTCATCATGGACGGCGACGCACCGGAAAATGTCGAAAAGCAGGTTGCCCCCGAAAACGGGCTGAGCGACTCTGTCCCTGAGCCCATCGCCCCGGCGCCAGATCTGAGCAAGCTTCCCACGCGAAAGGACGTTTCTCTTCGCGAATTTCTCAACAAGATTGACGATTATGCCCCTATAGTACGTTTGCCTCTTGGATCAATCTTTGGAATGCAGTCATTTCCTTGATGAAGAGTCGAGATGCTTACCCACCGCAGATCCCCGACGCAGTGACGCACTACTACATGACCAAAGCCGGCCTCCCCCCTCCGCCGCAAACCGACCCTCGCCTCGCTCGTCTGCTCGCGCTCGCCACGCAAAAGTTCATCGCCGACGTCGCGGCCGACGCGTACCAGTACAGCCGCATCCGCGCGTCAAGCAACACAAACAACCCGATGGGCACTCTGGGCGCGGCCGCTGGTTTCCCCATCCCGGGACAGCAGTCAGGCCAGCCGAGCAGCAAAGAGCAGGGCAAGGGAGGGCCGTTGGGAATTCAGCGACCTGGTTTCGGTGGCGGTGGTCAAGGAGGAAGCCAAAACAGGACGGTGCTGACGATGGAGGATCTGGGCATGGCGGTTGGCGAGTATGGAGTCAACGTCAAGAGAAGCGAATTTTACCGATGAAGAAGATATGGGGGAAGGGGGGAGAATGAATGGCATTTCAGCTATGCCAGAGGATATGCTGGGAGGGGTACACGGGAAATTTACGTATGGCGTTGGGGATATTGGCGTTGGACACGGATTGTCATGGGCAGGCCCTCGGGATCTTAATTTAGCTTGATCCAACATCAATACAAATACAAGCTGCTTTTTGGTACTGGCTTTTGATGGTGCAAACATTTTGATTTGTGCAAAAAGTCGTGGCATTACGGCGTTGATACAAGTATTTGTACAATATACAATCTCTTCTTCTTCCTCCTCGTCTATGTCGTCTTTCTCATCTATTTCCTATCCCAAATATTCGGTTTCCGCGTCCTATCCTCCAGTCAGCGCCGTTCTCACAGAAATTACTGACATATACGATACTCACGGCGCAAATTCACCCAGCTTGTGCCCCACCATGTCTTCCGTTATTGTGACCTGTAGATAGTCCTTGCCATTGTGAATCTCAAACTTCAGGCCCACGAAGTTGGGCAGGATGGTCGCCGAGCGGGCTTGTGTTCGGACGGGAGGGACTTTGTCGTTTGGTCCCTTGGGCCAGACAATGGAAAGACTGTAGCAAGCAAGCGAGAGAAGAAAGTGAGTTCAACAGTTCATCACATTTTTTTTCCTTGGAGGGGTGGGTTTGCCTTACGGCACAAGGTTTGGGCCTGTGAAGAGTGGTCAAGTCAGCAATTGGTAGGATTTTTGGGAGCGGACTATGTGAATTGAGCAATTACCCTTCCAAACGGAGCGCTTTAATAGCACTCTTGTGGGCTGCATTGTGGATTATACTGCGGTCTTGGAAGCTGGCTTGGCGGTTGATACTGGTGATGGTATGGAAATCTTAGAGAGAAGTTGAGTCACGTGATTGGAGATGGTGACATGTGCTGGACCCACGCCTTGAGACTGTGTAAGTCGGTATGGCGATGTTGAATATTGGCAGGATTCAGCTAGAACTGCGTCAAAAAGAGTGGTTTTTTTTTTTTAATAAGAAACTATTGTATGGTGTTTCTATTAAGATACAAAGCATAGGGAGGGTTTCTCTAATATAATTAGTAGAATCTAGGGACTATGGTATAGTATCTCTGCCTCTTTGGCTCAATCCAACAACATAGTCAAGTTGGAAGACTCATGCACTTGCCAGGAGATTATGAATTATCCCAATACTACCAGATAGCTATATAAAAAAAAAAAGCATATATTCTTTACTCATTCATATTCTTATCGCTACAGCATCATCTTTTCCCCCTGATTTCATTCTTCAGGTCTAGGGTAGCTCGACTCCCTCCAGCATCACGTGTTGGCCGGCGGCTTTCTGGCCAGACCCTCAGTCGACCAAAGTCCAATGCTGGTTGGCGCCAGCGAATTGCATACCACAAGTTGCGTGCTGCGTCGACGAACCAGCAGCGACACCGACGACGAATCAAGCAGCGGGGCCTCCCTTATTGCGGTGCATTGAGTTGCATATCTTGACGGCATTGCTGCATTTGTGGTGATTTTCTTGGCGAGTTGCTCACTTTCGGCTTCTCTTTTTTTTTCTTGCTGCCGGCGCCCATTTCTGGAAGAAGCCACCTTCCAGCCTGTCATCGGAAGAAAAAAAAGTCTTGCTTTTTGGCTGTTGGAAGATTCATCTCAACACTTCCGAACTCGCTGATTTTATCGATATCGACACCGCTTCCGCCCTTTTATTCTCCTTGACTCTTCGAACCGACACTTCCCTCCATCACTGCATCGCAGATAAGCTCTTTAAATGCCAGAAGCCACAGCCTCCGGTACCGACGCGGGCGGCACCGCTCGCCACCGCGAACATAATCAGGGCAATCAAGGCCGCACCTACACCGTTGACCAAAAGGCTGCCGTTCTTCGGATCCGGAAATGCAAGGCCACCGCCTTTTACGACATCCTGGGCCTTGAGAGCGTCCGATCCACGTGCAGCGACTCGGACATCAAGAAGGCCTACAGGAAACAGTCGCTGTTGACGCACCCCGACAAGAATGGCCACGAGCACGCCGATGAGGCCTTCAAGATGGTCAGCCGCGCGTTTGGCATCTTGGGCGACAAGGAGAAGAGGGAGAAGTACGATAAGTACGGCACTGATCCGGACAGTCGGTTTGAGAGCGCTCGCGCACAGAACCCGTTCTCGGGCTTTGGATCGCGGCAGGCTGCAGCGGCAGGAGGCGGTGGCTGGGACGATGAAATGAGCCCAGAGGAAATGTTTGCGCGCTTCTTTGGCGGAGGAGGCGGTCCATTTGGTGGTGGTGGCGGCCCGTTTGGTGGCGGCTTTGGAGGTGAGTTTCTCTAAGAACCAACTACTACTACTGCAACGGTTTCAATACTGGCTTGGCAACATGTGCTGACGATTAAGCGTTTGATACAGGCCCTCAGTTCGTCTTCAACTTTGGCGGCGGCCCAGGCATTCGAGTACACCAGTTCGGCGGCGGTGTGCCCCGAGCAAGACCGCGAGAAGCTCAGGGCCGACAACCTGAACGAGAACCATTTGGTCTTCAGACTCTGCTTGGCCTACTACCCATTCTCTTGTTCTTCATCCTACCACTCATCTCATCCATCTTCTCCGGCGGCTCCTCATCTACACCCGCCATCCCACCCATGGTCTATGACAAACCACAGGACCCTTACACTGTGGGCCGGACAACACCAAATCTCAAAATCAAATACTTTGTCGCACACTCTGATGTAGCCTCGTATAGCGGGTCAAAGTTGAATCAGCTCGATCGTACAGTCGAAATCAATCGTGTGCGAGACCTACGGAATAAGTGCGAGAGCGAGGCTTTGTACAAGAGGCAACTCAGAGAGAACGCTATGGGATGGTTCTACCAGGATCCGGAGAAGATGGCCGTTGCTGATGCGTATAAGATGCCATCATGCGAGAGGCTAGAGAAGATGGGCGTGAGTCGATAAGGGGGCGCATAGGACGAAAGAGGGATATATATAAAGCATTAATGGAGGAAGTGCGAGCATTGAAAAAGACATTGTTGATATGATATTTTAAATACTCAGTAGGGAAACGGCGGCAGGGAGTTGGCGTTTTCTTTGTACGATGGCGTGAGAAATATGAAACTTGCATGGTATGACATGAGCGAGTAGACGATCATGACGAATAGCACGCGAGGGTTATATGTAAGAGACGGATCACATATTATACATGCATGACACAGCATTGAAGGGTTATTCGCGAGACAGAGGACAATGGGAAGATAGATATGCCTTATGAAGACGTAAAATCTATTTGGCTTGACTGGAAGCGAGACTGAGCCATGCTTGACGCTATCATATGGGTGGCCATGCAGGTCGAAAGAAGCTATGGATTCAAAAGCTGAGCATCATGACGAGCTCTAGCCATTCATGTCTTATCCTTGGCTTTTATTGATGGCTCAGACCCACCAAACCCAGCCAATATTCGCTGTGAGCACGGCAAGATGGCCTCAATGATTGGTCTGGAGTTGCGGCCCCGCCAATTATCCCGCGATAGTAACATTGGGCTGCATATACTAACAGGTAATTAGGCTCGCAGTAGACCACCTATATGCTGACAATACGTTGATCAGCTACATGATGTGCCTTAATATATCGTCACCACCCCCCCCCCCCCCAACGATTCGATGGACATTTTTCATCTCTTTCTCCAATTTCTGTTGTAATTGCACAGTCTGTGAATCATGGCAGATCCAACAGGCCGGACAATTTTGCGCATCAATTTCGGTGATATTGATGATCGGCCATTAGCCCTAACTGGAGCTACGAAATACCGATTTCGTTTCTTGGAGGGTGACGCGCTCGCCCACAAGTCAACCATCCATGTACTGGAATTCGATCAGCTGCCCGCAGAGCCGTATGCCGTGATATCATACGTCTGGAGGGGCCTTCCGGCTCACCCCGGTGCGAAATCTCCGCTGCCGAATATTCACGTTGAAGGCGCCGATGGGGCTGATCCGATATCCGTGGAAGTGCTGAGGCTCATCTCGCTGGCGGCAGAGAATCACGGATGTAGACTAATCTGGTTGGATGCGCTGTGCATTCTCCAAGCCCATGAAGACGACAAGGCGTGGCAGATTCAGCGCATGTATGACTTGTATCGAAATTGCAAAACGTGCATCGTTGCGCCGGGCGGCCTTCAGCGCCTTGTGGCTCCCAATGAGGAGACAAACTGGATGACGAGAGCCTGGACGCTTCAGGAGGCGATTGCGCCGCCTGAGGTGCACTGCATATTCTCGTGGAGCCTTGGGAATTGTATGATGCAGTCGAATTTCTCGCTGAGGATTGAGGAGATCGAAAAAGGAGTCGCAGCAGTTGCCCCTCTCGGCCCCACCTTGACGACGGCTATGAAAGGAACTGGATTTCAGATGCTTGACTGGTCTGGGAAATCGATTCAGAAGCCATCTCCCGACTTTCAAATCAGGATGTTTGGTGACAGGTCAGGATGCTATCCTCAGATGAGGGAGCTTGTCGATGCTATTGACATGAAGGGCAAGACGGGCATGTATACCGCCATTTGGAGGTCTTCATTTATGCGTATGGCCAAATACCCGGTAGATTCGGTGTACAGCATCATGGGTATCATGGGAGTGACGCTGGATACTACCAAATTTGGCCATGATGATCGGCTGGAGGCCACGATTGCTTTGATGCAGGCCATCTTGGCGAGGGGAGAACATGCCGAATGGCTTGCTATTGCAACAAAAGTGGTGCCGAACCCACGATTGTCAACCTTGCCGGCTTTTCCTCAGACAGATGCCTCCCGGAAACCTGTTCTGGAATCAAGAGAGGGCATGAAGGATATTACAGATGTCATGAACACGGGTTGGAGGGTTACAGACACACCCAAGGGAATAATGAGCGATGATGGGTATTTCCGATTTAGTGCCTTGTCGGCATCTGTGAGACTGAGCCAGAACCAGGAACAAGAGTCTACTGCTTCTGCGGACGAATTTGGCTCTGAAACTGGGGGCAATTGGGAGGTGATGCCACAGAGCAGTGACGGCGGGTCGCACAAGGCCGTCTTTGTAGGTCGCTGGGAGCAGTATAGAAATGGGGCGTTTGGGTTGATGAGAAACCCGTGCGATCATGCTTTGATGTTGATTGAGGAGCATGCGCCTGGGAGGTTTCATAACGTGGGATATGCGTTTGTGCCGGAAGGGGTTGTGAAGACGGGGAATTGGAAGGAGGGTGTGTTTGAGGTTGGAGGTCCTAAATGATGCTGAAGGTTGAGTATTGATGATGAGATGAAATATTGAATGAATTACGATTGGTTTGAGTCTTGGGGTTTGAATTTTATAAATTGAAGTTGAGAAGTATGATGCAGAGCGTTGTTTTGGTGGTCTTACCTTTCTTTACCTTTTGTCTATAGGGTCACATCTGAGGCTACCCTAGGGCCTAGGATTCGAATTCCAACTAGAGTGTCGAGAATATATCCTTTTGACATAAGATTCCAAATGAAAACTCAGTGGATAGTTTGACAGCTTTATCATCTATAAGATGCGATAAGCTTGTAGGACTAAAAACCCTTCTTTTTCGCCGAAGTCATCGCTGAATTCCAAATTTAGTAATTTCTAAGTGGTAGAACTCTCTCCCTGTAGTGCGATCAACGTTTACCTCCACAACCTGGTGTGTGTTTAAAACCCCAATCCTGTGGATGCCTAGTTCGCTGGGTCTGCAGGTTTCTGCTTTGTCAAACAACATAGCACATGCCTGTGTTTTGTCTTGTTGGGCGATGCTACCTTGTTTGGAGGTATTACAATGTAGTCCTTTCGTGACGACATTGAACATTGTTGAAGGGATAATAGATGTTGAACGCCAGCATGAATTTTAGAATAAGTGACATTCATTAAATGAAGGTATATGTGAGTTGGTGTTGTGATTGCTGACTTTCTAAAGGGAGCTACAATTGGTGTTACTGCCTGGCCTGCTCTTGGCGACTTGAAGAAACCATCTCCAAAACATAGCTACGTTCTATTGGAAAGTAATTCTCGTATCGTGTTTATTATTGTACATTGATATATACTAAAACTAAAATGTGTGTATCTAGGCACTGGTGGTGTCGGCATGTTTGCGCCCCTCCTTCTCATCGACGCCAGCATCAAAACCATCATTGGATCATCCTCGGCTACCAAAATTGCGTAGATTGAGAAGCTGAATCACTAGGTCACGAGTGTCAATTATACAACCCATTCCAGATATCAATGTGGAAGTCAAGCGCGTAACCAACGGCAGGGGAGTCGACCTGGTTGTCCACAACGTCGGGCCGAAATCCACACCCTCGAACATTGACTATGTATATTCTCCGCGGAGGAGAAATCGTGGCGGTTGGATTCCTTGATGGCGTTACAGCAGAGTGGAATCCGGGCGAGCTTATGCTCAGCCTCTGGCTTAAGCCCATCCGAAGAGTCTTAGTCTAAGTAGCTAAGCCCTCTCCTGTTGGAATAGTTGTGAGACGACTAACAAAAGAGCAGTGACATTCTAGTGGACCTGGTAGGGAAAAAGATTGGGCTTTGGGAATCATTGGATCAGGTGTTCACATTTGACGAGGCGAAAGATGCTTTCGACCACATGATTGCAAAGCGTCACGCTGGGAAGATTACCACAAAGGTTTGCAGAGTAGGTACTAATGCAGGTGTAAGTCAATGTAGCAGTCAAAGAAGGGCTTTCCGCGGCGAGCAAAGTAGAGGAGCGTATTTGGATGACGATTTCGCATCTTTAGATCAATACGGACTTAGACTGAGTATCGAATCTCAATTACGCAGACAGTCGCCCAACACGCAAACATCGAGGAGGCAACGACGTCATTTCTGGCCATCACCGCGATAGCTTCGCTTCCCCGAGTAATAATGCATGGCGAACTGAGATTTGGTGGGTGTGCAGCAAAACATCACATGATGGTTCCTGGGAGATACGAGTACGAGGGCCGCCACAGCGTAGCTCTTCAAGAGTCAAAGGAATCATGCTACGCCCATGTCATAGCTCCCTCATTGGGATATTGATTCGGGAAGCCTGCATTAGCGAAATCGTGGCAGCGGCGGATCATCGACCGGGGCCCGGTGATCCGGGACGGCAGGCATGCGGGAACCGGGGCGGCCAAAAAGGGGTGGCAAATTAAAAGGAAACGATTCATATTACTATCGGTGCTCTCGGGGAAGAAGCTCCAGCTGGTGCAATACCTAGTATAACAGACAGCGCATAGGTACTTGTAGCCCTCTACCATATTGATTCGAAGTGTGTGGGTGTGAGAGTATTGCAAATAATCGTTTTAGCCGCGGGACAAGAAAAACCGCCGAGGCCGGGTTTGAAATCTCGAGATTTCATTGCTGCCAAGAAAAAAGTCTCATGCTTTGCTGGAATTTTCCACAGTGCAGCTGACAATATGTGTGCCCAAATCTCGGGGATATGCAGGGGTCCGACAAGGGCCCGCCGCGGTATGTAATCCGATTCACAAGCCACTCCACCAGCCACCTGCTGCGGTGGCAGAATCTCGGGGAAGCTTGTTTGTGGCGGGACAGGCAGTGCAGCTCTGTGGCGCAGCTCTCCGCCCACAGCTTTGGGCTTGGCAGTTCCGGCGATGGGCCTTTTCCCAAAGGGGCAATCAAAGGGGGGTAAGGCAGAGGCCGCCGTGACGTATTACCAAGCAGCTGCCGAAGGTGCCCGAAGCTCCGACAGGGAAGGCGCGAAGGAGCAGCAAGCAGGGCGGCAGGAGCTCCCCAGGATGCACCTGCTGCATGGCATGGCATGGCATTTCTCAGCCTGGAAAGAGCCGCCTGAGCGGATATGCCAGAATATCCAAGTATCTTTGCCCCATAGGCCCAGCTAACAATAGATACCTAATTAAGTAATCCGATTCTTCTTCTTATTTTGTGAGAAAATCGCTTTTTAATAATTCATGATTCAAACTTTTTCTCTCTTTTTCTCCGGTGCTTTTTACGCGTAAATACGGAGTGCTGGTAGCGGGTGTACGTATGCCACCCCCTTCAGGGTGAAGTATATAAATGCGAGGCGTTTGCATCCAATAGCCTGGGCCATCAGCTGTTTTACATTTGTCATCACCAAAAAGCCGCCGTACTCATCAACACCCCCCTCCCTCAGGCATTCCATCTATTACATATCACACATACATCTATATCTGTATCTTACTCAGTAGCTGTATAGATATATATTTTACTTGTTGTGCCATACATATTTGGCGACCCGACCTGACGTCACTTACTCTGACTTCAATTTAACCCAACATTGTTTAAGCAAAGGGACCAAGCTCATACAATACACACCACCTACACACTGAACCCCAACATGACTGATGTCGCGACTCGTCCCAACCCTCCCCTGCGAAATGACGAAGACGCCACCATCAGCGATGCAGTAACAAGACAGCAGCAACCTCTGCCATCGTCATCATCAGCATCAACAACAAACATCGACAGCAGCAGCGCTATTCACCATGAAGAAGCCATCGAGATGGACGCTGCAGCGCCGTCAACTGCATCCGCAGGCGAGTCGGACCTAGACGACGACGACGACAGTGCCGCCGACCAAGTTGAGGCCGTGAGCATCACCGTATCGCATCGTGGCCAGAAGCTGCCCTTTGAGCTGGAGGCCGACAACACCGTCATGGATCTGTTCTGCGAGATCGAAGCCGTCCTCGAGATCCCCATCCAGAACATCAAAGTCATGGTGCCCAAGGGGCCGTTCATCAAATACCCCTTCAAAGACCCCGAGTACTCGGTAAAAAACCTCGCCGGCAAGACAATCTCTGTCATGGGATCGACCGCAAACGATGTCCAGGCCGTGCAGACCATGTGTCACAAGCTGCACAAGCTCAGGGCCGCCCGCGATGCCCAGCGATCAAAGGCCAAGGCAAAGACCACCCGCCGTCGCACAGCCGCATCACCAGAGGACCTCAAATACACCTTTATGCAAGTGCGGCCGCTGAGCGGGTTGCCTCATCCGGAGCGCAGCCTGAAGCTGCTGATGCGACTCAAGGAGGATCCGGGCATCAAGGCGGCAATGAAGAAGCACAAATTCACTGTGGCGCTGTTGACGGAGATGGAGCCGCTGGCACACACCGAGTCAACGCATGAGGGCACGACACGCATCTTGGGACTGAACCGCAACCAGGGCGAGGTGATTGAGTTGCGTCTGAGGACTGATGCGCACGACGGATATCGTGACTACAAGACAATTCGCAAGACCTTATGCCACGAGCTCACCCACAACGTTCATGGGCCCCATGACAGACAATTCTGGGACCTCTGCCACCAGATTGAGCGTGAGGTCGACGCAGCCGACTGGAAGTCCAGCGGCCGGACAATCGGCGAATCATCGCGCTACCACATCTCAGGCCAGGATGAAGAGGAAGACGTACATGAAGACGACGGCGGTTGGACAGGCGGCGAGTTTGTGCTGGGCGGCAGCAAGGTGAGCAGCGCGGGACTTAGCCGACGAGAGATTCTGGCGCAGGCGGCGCTGGAGAGACAGCGAAAAGAAGTGGAGGAGGAGGCGACCGCTGTGGAGGCGGTGGAAAAGGGATGGCGGCCGTGCCAGAGACCACAGCCACCGAACAATGATCGCAACTTGTGAAAAGGAGCGTGAAGAGACAAAGGCATTTGCATCAGTTGGCGTTATATAATGGCAGGAGCACCAATGTTTTTCTCGTTGTTTTATTCGATTCTTGTATGTCTGTATCTGCAGCTCCATCACCGATGGAAGGGAAGCAATATTTGGGTTATTTTTGCGTGTCTAGATAGGACGAATTATTTTTGTGAGTGTACTAGGTGAGAAAGAGAGAGAGAGAGAGAGAGAGAGAGAGAGAGAGAGGACAAGATTCAATCTCATGTCAATCTACACAACTATTACTACTTTAATCCTGCTCTGGTGATTGAACTCTTTCCATTTGTGCTTGTTCAAACTAGTTGTACAGATATTGCTAGTGATGACATTTCCATCTTTCTTTCCACCTTTTTTTTTTGTTTTTTTCAGTAAGGCAGCGGATCAAAGTCCAACCCCTCCACCGTCAACTTGAACGCATCGTTGCGCGCGTAACTGGCCGAGGTGTCCATGTCGAGTCTGCCGCGGATACAGTCGCGGAGGTCAATGTCGGCATAGAGGAGGTTATCCGAGTCTTCCCACTGAGGGCCGGCAACGACGTCGCCAAAGGGCGAGATGACGGCAGAGCCGCCGCGGGAGAGGTAAGCCGCCGGTTTGTGCTGTTGAGTTTGCTCGGTGTTTTCTTGTACTCTGGGAAGATGCTGTTGCTGCTGTTGCTGCTGCTGCTGCTGCTCTTCTTGGGCGGTGTCGCCATTCTCTGCAGGGCACGACAGCACAATCTCGTTGCCGTCCTCGTCAAAGACGCTCTTCCGCCGTGCGTGCCTCCCCTTGGATGGACTCGGCGGCGAGCTGCTCCTCGCGCCTTCCGCGCCGGCTGCCGTCCCGAAGCCGCGTCTTACTCCGCCGTCAATCGGCACCACATCCCGGTCGCCCAGCGCGGCCATGGAGGCCAAGCCGGCCTCGCTCGGGAGGCTCGTGTTGCCGCCGGCCTCGCCGGGGACGCACATGTTGCTGCTGACGACGAAGCACCGGCCCTCGATGCCAATGGTGCGCATTGCGCTGAGCCAGCCCTCGCGGCCGTCGGCCGTTGGGGCCAGGTAGAGGTTGATGTTTTGGTTGTAGAGAGACTGGCGCAGCAGGGGCATGTAGTTCTCCCAGCAGATTGCGGCGGCGAGGTTGACGCGCTGGCCGCGGATGACGGTGGACACGGCGCGGAGGGTTGATGGGTGGCCTTCTGCCCACATGATGCGCTCGGTGCCGGTCTGGTTGTTTGATGGTTATTAGATGCATTTACGTCTTGCAAGCGTTGCATATAAGAGAGGCGGAGGGGGAGACAAACCGGCTTCACCTTTCTTCTCTTTCCTACCATGCCCTCTCTCGGGCAGATGTATGGCACGGAACACCATAAGCTCCCACCCGCTTTCTCGATGCATCCCACCACGATGAAGACTCCCGTCTCGCGAGCAATTCTCTCCAGCTCTTCTCGTGTTCCGTCGCCTCGTCCCTTGCCACCCTCTTCATATCCCGGCAGTTGCCGACGCACCCATCTCAACCCGGCTCCTGCACTGGCTTCGCCGACGGTATCGCCAAGATCGACTGCCTTATCAAAGTACTGAGCGAACGATTCTCGGCCCTCAGCAGAGCGGCTTCCAACAACAGCGCCAAAGGTCGTGTTGCGCGGATAGCCGCCGATGAAGGCTTCTGGCAGGAGGAGGATGTCGACGCCCCGGTCTGCAGCGCGGCGGGCAATGCCTTCAAGATGCGCGAGGGTGAGCTTGGTGGTGGCCTGAGTGTGGGGTGAGGCGGTTCCAACACGGATAGTCATGATGGATAATGACTACGGAGTAAGTGATGGATGGACGGGTTGTCACTTGGGATCTTCAACAAGGAGATTGGATAGCTTCAATGTAGACTTTTTCGTACAAACTACTAGCAGATAGAAAAGCAGGAGACCTGCCTTTGCTACAAAGAAAAAGCGGAAAAGAAAAAGTGAGGAGACTCAAGAGGAGCTTGTCATCGTTTGCAGCAACCACTTTTAAGGTTTTGCGTCATCAACACTAACTCAAGCTGAATAGAGCTCTCCCCCTCCTCTGCTCACTTGTTTCCACATTTGTTGTAAGTCGTTGGAGAAGAGGGCGCGGCTCTTGCATGCGGTACTGCTAGCAGTGCCTTGTTTGGGAAAAGTTGCCCGGCCAAGCGGGGAGCAGAAAAATCATGAGGAACTCGAGCTTGGCGATGAGTGATAACAACAGACTGATTAGGCGTTTGGTTGGAATCTATTTCCTGATGGTTTAATATAAGGTAGTTGACTACATGTACTTTGCTCTTCCACAGTAGAAACAGTCTATTCGCCACTGTTTGTTTAGCGTTTCATAGGTAGATAGGTACCGCTGTTATGACATTGCGCTAGCTGTGGAAACCATCAAAAAGATCAAAGGGCCGCAATCATCTCGTCTCAGCTATGCCGCACATGCCGCACGCCGTTGCCGATATCTCTGATCCATCAAATAAATTGCGAGAATATTTGGCTAGTTTCTTTTACATATGGCGATGGAGTAATTTATGGATGCCTTTTCAGAAATTCCCTCATGTGGTGATGGAAGAGATGGAAGTATGCCTGCAAGAAGGAGTATTATAAAACAATTATTTATACATAACTAACATTACAACTTATATCCAGTATCTTATTTGAGCATCCAATTTGATTTCTCAAGCTATTCAGTACATCGGGTTAAACGCTCACGTATACTGGGTAGCAATAGAAGCAGTTGTCTCGACAGTAGTCAACCTCGGAATAATTGCTACCAAGCATTATCATGAGTGATGGACGGCGGGGCTGGAATGCCGGAAACAAGAAATCTCCAAGTTGTCCTTTATCTAGACGTCGGGTTTCATACTCTCATTCTTCACACAAGCGTTTTCTACATGGTTGGAGCGCTTGCATAAACTCTATAAGCAAAAATACAACTCCACCTAACAACTGGATCTGATCCGCTACACCGGCGCTAACAGCGCGGGTTACATCTTCCGTAGTATAGTGGTCAGTATGCAAGCTTGTCACGCTTGAGACCCGGGTTCAATTCCCGGCGGGAGAGACCGCCAGCAGTTCCAAACTGTGAATTCCTTTTTTTGCTTCAACTCCTGATGGCTGGAGGTATGGATTTGGCTTGTCCCGACTTTTTGATGTCTACCGCCCGAGCTGCGATCGGAGACTGTCTGTTATAGAAAGATATTATTATATGTAGATCTCACCGAGTAATTGCGAGTGCATATGCGTCAATTGTTGCCCACTTATATACATCATTACATTGTGGCAGCTAAGGTGTCATGAATGAAATTTCCCATCACTTTCTTCTCGTCCGACTCGCTACCGGCGCCGGTTCAAATGCATCATCGTCCGATATTTCGTCATCGCTAATCTCAACCGCCTTATCCTGCGTCGCTCCCTGTGAAAAATTGAGCTTTGTCTGCCGCGTCTTGGCCGCCGCGGCACCTCTCGCTGCCGTCTTCTTTGTTGCCGCAGGTTTGCTAGCAGCGGCTGTACTCTTCGCATTCTGTCCGCGCCTAGTCGTTCTTGCAGCTGGTTTAGGTGGTGAGGGAGCCTCTATTCCATCTGAATCCATCACTACGTCTTCCTCTGGCGGCTCCTCCTCCTCCTCGCTGTCCTCAAAAGGCTTTCGGCCACGCCGAGCGGGCGGTTTTTTAGCCGCAGCAGCCTTCTTAGTCGGCGCAGCCTTTGTCGCTCGTGCAGGAGCTCTCTTCGGCTTTGCTGCCGGTGGCTCATCATCCAAATCTAGCATTTCATCATCTCTAGACTGTGCTTTTTGCGATGAACCGGTAGCTTGCAGGCTTGGCGGCGCGTCATCTTCGTATACCCACGCACCAGGTTCGTTCTCCCAGTTACCATCAAAGTCCGAATCCCATCCGTCTGGCTTGGGCTTCAGTATCCTCTTTCGTTCGCCTTGTGCCATTTTCCCCAAGCTACCGGCGGTAGCCATCCGCTGCTCTACTCTCTGCTTGTAAGTCTCCATGGCGTTGTTTAGGTCCTCATCGCCAGGTTCGAGACCCAGCATCTGTCTGACCTGTCCAGACAAGTGTTCTGATACAAAAAGCTCCATAGCGTGTTTATCGTCCTTGGAAACGAACTGATTGACCGCTTCGCCAAAGGGACCTTGTGGGAGCACTTTGAGAGATTGCGCCGAAAGAAACTGATTGACGAGATTTTCCACTTTGATCGTCTCGGCTGAATCACCCCCGAGGGATTCAAGAACCTCTAGTGTGTTCGCCTGCGTATTTTTGCCTAAAAAATGTAAGTTTTAAGGAAAAGCGCAAGATCAATAGATAGAAACTCACTGGAGGCCTTCTTCTTTCTGTAATAGTAAACCACATCGTTGGTGTTGGCAACTCTGCCCACAAATCGGTTTGAAAGCCGTTGTGGATTCTCACAGTCGAATTGGCCGCCCTCTGGAGCGGTATACTCAACTTTTAAGCGGATAAGGGGTAGAGGTCGATCTTCCAACGCCTCATCATCTGTCTGAATAGCCTCCCAGTCTGCGTTTGCCTCTGCAATCATTTCCTCAATCACCTCCATTAACCGTTTCGTAACCTCATGTCGATTGTCCTTTTTTGTGTCTAATCCTCGGAAACGTTTGTCTTGAGAGAGAACAATTTCCCTTGTAACAAATGGTCGAACCGTTTTGAGGGGGAACTTGTCGACTTTAAATGTCTTGTTATTGACGCTCAGCACCGCGACATGCTTCTGGACAGCCTCTCCCGGTACTAATGAAGTCGCTACCGACGACCCCGGCTGCATCACATGGAAGCCAGTCTCTGGATTCTTTGCGGGATCGATCAAACACTCATGTTCATGCCCCCAGACAATTAGATCAAGCCAATCCGGAAGCACATTCTCCGGTAAATGTGACGTGGCCGTGTGGGCATGGTGGTTTTGATGGACAGCAAGCAGGTTGAACCACTCGCCAGTTTGCGTGCCAGGGCGGAACCATTTGACTTTGTGGTCTCGGAATGTCCTAAACATGCGCTCATCACGCACATTGCTCAGCCCATACAGCGCAAGCTTCGTCTCGCCCTTTTGTAGCAGAATCGGCTTCGCCTGGATATTATCCGCCTCGGCGACTCTGCCGTAGTAGTTTAGCAGGCCTGCCGCCTGCAGTAAATCCAATGAACAGTAGTTTCCATCGCCAGATGGATCATCGTGATTGCCATGAATAGAAAAGACAGGGATCGAGATATTTATGTCGGGATCTTCGTAATTGACGTGGGGGAAGGCTCCCTCAAAGACATCGGCAGCATCAGAGAGAAACTCGAGCGGGCATGGCTTCATCCCCAGGCAGTTCTTGCGGAGCGTGCGCATGACCTGGTAGAGGGACTTTCGAGAAGGCTTGTTGTCGTGGAATAGGTCGCCGGCAAGCAGCACCATGTCGACCTGCAAAGCGTGAGCTCGGAGACAGACACACGAGCAGAGATGTCCAGGAAGATGTCGGTGCAACGTACGTCCTCTGTGCGGGCCAGAGTCATGATCTCGTCAAACGTCCGCCAGCTGTCGTCTTTGCGGATCGCATCTCGCTCCTCGTATCCCACATGATTGTCCGTCGCAATCAGGATGCGGATCGTGTCTGCCTCTGGTCAAATGGTTAGCGGGGCAGCCTGCGATAAGCACATTTGTGACATCTCAGAGCTCACCAGCAAACTCGGGCATGATGCCAATCGAATGTCTTCTGGTCGGTGAATTGATACAGTCAAAACTCCATTGATTTTGGGGCTGTGAAAGACGAAAGGGAAAGGCAACAGAGAATAAAGTGTGCACAACAGAACACCAAGCTAGGCGGGCTATTCACGGTGGGAGACGCGATGCTTCTAGGCATTAACGCGCCATGATGCGAGGTCACGTGCTACCAATAATGCGATAATGGCCTTGATGAAGGAGCCTCAATTTTTATTATGAATAGGAGAAGAAGTAGAAATTAATATGGTGCTAATCAAAATTAACTAGATAAGGCCTTTTTTAGTTGAATTTTGTGGGAATTGCGTTCGAGACGCTACATCTGAGCTTTATTGGCTGAACACTACATTGTATGCTATCTTCATATTAGCTGAGTTACATACATGTATACATATGCAGCAAGACCGACTTTGTCAACGAAATAGCCATAATTTTTGGCGTGATATTTATATCAATATATTATCTGTTTTATAAAACTGGACATCACTTGAACATCATATTTCAGATCCACGCTCAGCTTGTGTATATCTCTGATGACCCAGTCATGCTAGTTGTGATACGCAATCGCATCATCCCCAATTTCCGTAAAGACAGCATTGACCGCATCGACAACATCCTGCGGAAGTGGTCCTTGCTCAAAAATCTCCAAGTTCTCATTCAGCTGTTTAATGCTCGAGGCCCCAACGATGATGGCATCGCCACGCTCAGCAGAAAGAGCGCTGTGGTAGGCAGTCCATCGAAGAGACGCAGCATGTCCAGAGATGCCATGCTTCGCAGCAACTTCTCGCACTCGGTCGGCAGCAGCGTCAATGCTCGGCTTGACATACTTTGAAGTATAAAAGTTGCCAAGGTAATGCTGAGAAATGATTAGCATATTTGCCCCATCCCCTTTCTGCTTATGGGCTTGGACTAGGAGTTTTCGACTTACAGAGGCATCGTAGCGACCTCCAGCTTGAGGGTTCTTGTGGTTACCGTTGAAAAATCCTGCAGCGCCGGGACTATTGTGAGAATGAGTCAGTTATGAATCTTTCTAACCAGAGTGGCGTTGAAACTCACCTCCAGGCGTAAAAGGCAATGTTATGCTTCTGTAACAAGGGGAGAAGCTCCTTTTCTCCTATTCTAACGACAGGGTTGTACTGTCCTTGGTAAACAGTTGGCTTCACAAAGCCTTTCTCTTCGCTAATCTTGATAAACTGCTCGACTTCGGCGGCTGTATAGTTAGATAATCCAAATCGCTTGAATTTGCCCTCCCGATATGCCTTGTCCATGGCCTCTGCAGTTTCTTCAAAAGGCACAGTTCGGTTCGGTTGATGCAAGTACATAATATCTACTTGAGCAACTTTCAATGAATCTAAAGAGCCAGCAATGCTATCTGCAATCTTGTCCTTCGAATGAGCCCCGTCGGGGCGGGAGACAACCTTGGTGCCGACAACGAACCTATCCCCGACATTGGCTGCACCGAGACGGGGCTCACAGGACAGTGGAGCGTGTGGTGAATAGCCCCTGGCGGTATCTATCTGGCGATAACCGCTCTTGTAGAAGGCATCAAGAAACTCCTTAACTTCTGCTGGAGAGTCAAACTTGGCCACTGGGTCTCTGGATGCATCTCCAACCTGATGTCGATTATCGTTTAATGACGTGATTTTGGATGCTATGGTCGTGATAGTTAACTTACATTTCCGGTTCCTAGGACGATCTCAATAGGTGATTTAGGCATATTGGCAGTGATTCAAGTGTGAAATGGCTCCTGATAGTATAAGAAAGCCTTTTGGAGCTTGTTATCGCTAATCAAATAACTTTGTGGCCCTTATTTTGTCCTTTATGCTGAAAATGACACCAGCCAACGTTTGTATATTTCTTCATACTGGTTATTGCACGGTATTTATTTAGAAAACTTCATAACCCGAATTGCCGACATTTCACTGAATTTTGCTATAGATCTCAGTAACGCTGTCTGAAAGGGTCAATGTGATACAAGTAGCTGACAAATGCACTTGCCTCTCAGAGCCGATGGCCTTATTTGAACAGACTCGAGTACAGAGAATTGAAGTTGCCGAGGAATTACTAGAGCGAAAATAGTTACATATATGTAAAGTCTCTTAGATAATCCATTTTTTGTGGCACGGAATGAAGCCGATAGGGTCTAGAATAGTAATCATATTTTGGCGGAGATAGTTCGGATTTTTATTTCGACTTTCCATTGGGTTTGGGACACGAATTTATAAGCAAAACTCATGCCAAACTACTAGGTGGGTGAACTAAACTGATGCGGAGGTAATTAGTTAATACCTTCCGGATTGAGGGACGCCCTATTTGTGACTTAGTATTTCGCCCTATTTATGACTTGGCATTTAATATTATTTCTAGAGCTGCCCCAACTCTCGAATTAAGATTTTTCGACGAACTGGTGGCGTGAGATCGATCTAATAGACGGCTAGATTGCATGCTCACCACACGGGAGTATCCATAGCAAAATCGTCCTAGGCCGGATGGTTGAATCTTATACTAATGTCAGCAATTGCGACTTATGGAGGATCGTCTGCAGATTCACTTACCACATCTGTAAGTTTGCAAGGCATGGCACCAGTAAGACCGCAACGTTACGGTGCAACCGTCTCGACTCCTACAGGACTGGCGCGGAAAAAAAGTCCCTTCTTCCAATTGGAGCAGGACCAAGGATAGGACCAAGGATGAACTATGCTTCAATCTAGATATTTTTTCTGTCTAGGACGGGCATATACCTATATAGCATTTAGATTCGAAGACGCTACCCATATGAACCAACCATAACGAATTACCTGGCCGCTATCCTAACTCAGTCCCTAAAACTCAAATGACTATCCCTCCTATGTACTACTATTGACGACCTAGTTGTGCGACTTTCGTTTAGCCAGCGAGCTATTTGGGTATGAGGGCTATCAAGAACGGAGCAAGCTGTCCAACGTAAGAGTTTCAGGTTAGTGGAGATGAATCACGTACCACGCGAGACGCTTTCGCTATGGTAGACGGACAGATTAGATCACAACAAAAAATAAGCTCCTTGAAAATGGAGATTTAGATACAATATGTGTAATTGAGCGCCATATTTGGTGGCTAAATGAAGCAGAGATGCAAGGAATATTACCGTATAGGTGTTTTAGGTAATTCCTCCGTATAAGTAACGTCGGAACATTGGTATATAATGTGACCAGCTGTTTAGACTTGGAAAAGGGCGTGGAATAAGTCCTACTATTAATTGAACACTATATTTTCCGGTATAGAGGTCATTTCTCCTGTAATACCCCGCTGCCGAATACAGACGATGCTTAATATTCTTTGTGTAAAGCACTGCTGTTACTTGGCAGTTTGTAACGTTGTATTTTGTACGAGCTTGGCCTACGGTTTGCCCCAAGGATTAGAGCCATAAAAGGTCTGCGTCTTTCGTAATCGAGAGATTGCGAACGAGTAACTGTAACTGATTTGTCTCTTAAATTGCCATTTCACCATCAGCAAGCATGTATGATGATAAAGCACCTCCTCGGTCGGCAGACGTCGGCGTGCTAATAGACGCTCCGAAAACACATCTTCCGGATGGAATCACACTTTTATCTTCGGACAAGATTGACCATCGCGCGGATGAAGAGATCGCAGCATGGCTTCAAAAGCGTCACCCCGTCACCTCTGACAAGAATATCTGGACATTCTGGCACTCTGGCTTTGCTCAAATGCGACCATGGGTACAGCGAAATGTTATTAACTGGGTCCGTCGGCTGGGTCCCGATTGGACTGTCCATGTAGTGGATCGTGTCGACGGCTCAGAGACGAGCATCTTCAATTACATCGATACCTCTTTCTTTCCGCAGACTTTTATTGATGGCACTATGGATGGCCACAAGGCGCATCAGGGCGACTTGGTGCGCTTGCCTCTGCTATGGAAGTATGGAGGCCTGTGGATGGATGCAGGCCTAATATTGCTGCGACATGTCGATGATATTTGCTGGAAGCGAATTGAGGATCCCGAGTCTCCTTATGAACTGAGTGCGGTGGCTTTGATGCACTTGCCGGACACTTACACTCCACTAAATGGATTTCTAGCCACCAAGCGGAACAATCCCTTCATCAAACGGTGGCACGATATCTATGTTGCGCTTTGGGATGGAGTCACCAACGCAGCGGGATTCCATCGACATCCACTTTTGTGCCATTTGCCTATATTCCGCCCTCCCTCAAGTGCGACCAATTTGACACCCGTGGAGATTAATTATGAAGCCTTCAGCGATTATGTGGCTCATTACATGTGTTGTGAGCGACTGAGAAAATTAAGCGACCCAAACGACGGCTTCAACGGTGCAGAATGGTATAACAAACATATGCTCTTACTCAACGCCCGAGAGGAGATGTTTTACGCCCAAGAAATATCTCAATGGGATGCACAACGCCAATTCAATCTTCTATCGATGACAAGATCTGGAAATGATGTTATTGCAGACAAGGAATGGCAGGAGGCTGAGGATTTTGTAACATCTGTGCTGGCAAACACGTCTATGGTGAAGCTGCCTCACGGACCCGGCAGCGGCGGAATAGCGTTGAAGATGCTGGCTGATATATGGGATGATGAGGAAAATCACAATAAAGATAATGAAGAGGGAACGTTTGCCGCCTATTTGCGATATGGTTCTACACATTTTGATCAGAAGCGGGAGGTTAAGAAGCTTGAGTGGCAGAACCCGGAAGAAGAAGTTTATAACGTCGGCTACCTAGAGCCTGTCAAATGCTAGGCAGCTATTATCTTCTGTGAGCTGTCTAAAATTTGAATCTAGGAAAGTAATGTTTTACAAGATGCGTTTTAAGAAGGCCAAATGCCATTGATCATGTCGAATTTATTTGAGCTGAGGTCTAATCAATGAGCCACTATAACCATACTTGCTTCACATCATTCTATTTCCCCCTTTCCTTTCCTTTCCTTTCCTTTCCTTTCCTTTCCTTTCCTTTCCTTTCCTTTCCTTTCCTTTCCTTTTTAGCGCATTCTTCACTGGAAGAGATATCAGAAACATATAGTTCAAGAAATCGACAGATTTAATTGCGCTTCAAATCCATGTGGCTACTTGTGAGAGTGAATATTAGTATTACCTAACCTCTAAAAGGCTTGCACTTATAACGCCATGGGAGCTTTAACATGATCTCGATATCCCCACTCTATAACCCACCATAAGTTCCAAAAAATAAAATAGTTCTTCAAAGCCGTTTGCATATGGTATTTTGGTATTACAGAGCTTTATCCTATTCAAAGTTCGTTGAACGTAAGATCTTCCAGTGCTATCACATAATCGGAAAAAGACGATATTCAAAGCTGGCTTGCCCCTTTAGGCAAGATCTGCTGCTCATATATCTTCAAGTAGCAGTCCAAATTATATATATGACACATATTGAGCTTTAAATATGCATCCTGCGTGTGACTTTAACAAGAATTAATATATTCCACATAAAATTTGTAAGCCTAACGGGGGAAGAGGAAATATAACCTCGAAGCCCTTTCAGCAGTGGAGCGCCGTACGGACCCGCCCTCCTCCCGTGCTGATGAATAAGATAAGGTACTTTAAGTATGCGGGGTTATAACAACGAGAGCAGATCAGCGGCACATATCCATTGCCTTTCTTTCTTTAAATTACCAGAAACGATGCCTTACTCACTGAAAGGAAGAAACGTTCTGGTCACCGGGGGCTCTAGGTACGATTTGATGACTCTGCCGCCTGACAGGAAAAGAAAAGAACGCCATACTAATCACTGAGACAGAGGTCTTGGGGCCATCATCTGTAAGAAATTCGCCCAAGAGGGAGCTAATGTCGCAATCAATTACGTTTCCAATTCAACAGCAGCCCAAACATTGGCGGACACTTTGGCAAAGGATTATTCCAGCAAAATATTCGTCATCCAAGGCGTAAGAAAACTCCATAATTACTGCCTGTGCACTATCACATTCTACAGAAGCTATCAGTCAAGACTAATGCTCTAAGCGGACAGGACGCCGAAAAACGAGAAGACAATGTTCGCATCGTTCAAGAAACAGTAAAAAATCTTGGCGGACTCGATATTATTATTGCAAATGCCGGGTGGACCAAGCCGAGCAAGTTTGGCGATCTCCATGCACTAACTGATGACGAGTGGAACAAGGTAGAGTGCAATAGAGGACAGTCCTGGAATAGAAAAATATCTAACGACTGATGTAGTGTTGGGCAGTCAATGTCATGTCTCATCTGCAACTCGTACAAGAAGCCGCGCCAATCTTCAATGCGAATCCCGAAGGAGGTGTCTATCTGATCACCTCTTCTGTCGCAGTAAGCAACACCACGAAGTGCCTGATTGGTGAATTTGAGCAAGCGTTAATTTGAGAGATTAATATTTTCAGGGAATTAGCAATCGTGGAAGTAGCATGGCCTACTCTGTTTCCAAGGCTGCTGGGTTGCAGCTCATGAAGAACCTCGCATTCACTCAAGGGCCTAAGATTCGAGTAAATGCTATTCTCCCTGGTCTTATGCTTACCGAATGGGTTTGTCTCTCCATCCTTTGCTTACTTTACTTGCTGCTCTTTTCTTTGTGTTTTTATGTAAGGAATATTTTCGAGCATCACTCACCTGTTTGATGATAGGGCCAGCGGTTTGGACCAGAAATTATTGAAAAAGTCAAAGGCGCATCCACGCTGAAGCGCGAGGTATGAGGAAATTGTTTTTCTCTTAGTAAATGTCCAATAATTAACTTTGACTTGGTAGACTGATCTTGACGACGCCGCCGATGCGTTCATTTCCGCGGCTAAGAATGCTTCTATGACTGGCCAAGAAATTGTAATTGGTATGTCACACCACCACTTAGCTCTGAGATCTTGTTAATAACATCGTATCATAGATTCTGGACTTAATATGGGCACGTATTGAACCAAGTTGGAAGAAATGGGTACGCATGTGTTGTTGTATGGTATTGGCCATTTATGAATTTAGATACACCAAACACTTGCGTTGCAGCTCAAAGCCGTATACCTGAAGCATCCACGCAAACTGATAGCAATTATGTCTCCTTCTGCGATCATGAGGCGATTTGGCGAAGAACTTACCAAGCATCACAACAATTGGGCGAATGGTCTAGTGGTATGATTTTCCCTTAGCATCTTTCCGACGCAGAAATACTTGAGAAGGACCCGCTTGGGAGAGGTCCGGGGTTCAATTCCCCGTTTGTCCATCTTTTTGCCCGTTCTTACCCTTTAAGTTGGAATTTAGTTTTTGAAGTTTGTTTCTGTCTATGGTTCGAGCTTCAGGGAATGAAAAGCCCGATAATTTGTAGTTCAAATGCTACGCCTCACTCACCCCAGCTCTCCTTTATCGAGTCAATCCGGCATTGGAGATGAGACTTATGGTCTGTCGTTTATTTTGAGTGCAGCTCATCGCAAGCCTCGATAAAAAAGGGCTTGAAAATAATAAATGAGAGATATGTGATGCATATTTCCGTAATATCCTCTTCTAGATTACGGAGTTCTCGAAGCTGCGTTCGCTCAAAGTTTTGTTCTGCTGTATGATGGACTAATCAAATAACACTACGCTAACGGTCCATTTGGCATTGCATGAGGGATAGATGTCCGAAGCGGTATACAGTATTAATTGACAAAATTAGTTAAGCGAACACATCCGCTAATATGAATGTAACTAAACGAAAGGTTTTATCATGCGACTAACCTTGACACTACTAAACTCGAGATTTTGATTCATCACATTAAGATAAGTAATATATACTAGTATCTAAGCACCACTTCTGACACAAACACACATACCTATGATAGCATCCTCTGGGCTTTTTCGTAGCTTGGGCGCGCCAAGAGCTTCTTCAGCCATTTTTCTAGATAAGGGTACTTATCGAGAGGAACGCCATCTAGGTCTAGAGGCAATCACAATTTAGAATTAGCTACACAGAATGACACCTTATATAACGTGGATGAAAAAAATCTTACCGTGGTTGGCAACCCAGCCTAGGCAGGCTATATCAGCTATAGTAATGCGGTCACCGACAAGCAGTCCATGAGGAGACTTAGCCAGGTGAGCTTCCATAGTGTTATAGAGGCGATGGGTCTCATTATCATAACGGTTAATACCGTACTCAATCTTCTCTGCTGCATATCCTGCGAATGCCTAGTTAGCGTCTAAACATCCACGGGAATGTATGTTGAAGTAGCCCACTCCTAAAATGTTCTAATTGCCCTTGCATAGGGCCAAGGCCGCCGATCTGCCAAGAGAGCTAAACGACTGTCAACCATTGAAGCTTCGGACATATCATTCCTAAACATACCCAACTCTTTACCTCCCAATATTCAGGGGAGTCCTTTGGGTATGAGAACCTGTTCTCCTTATCATAGCGTTCAACAAGGTACTCAAGGATTGCTCCGCTTTCAAAAATACGGTGCTGCTTTCCGTTCACCCATGTATCAGTCATAGCGGGGATCCGGCCATTGGGGTTGATGTCTAGAAACCAAGGTAGTTTCTGCTCGTTCTCCCTTAGCTTAACATGGTATAACTAGTAGGAGAAAAACATATGTGTAAGCAACTTGATATCCCGAATCTACTTAAAACGAGGTACATTGTCTTTCCGCACCTTGTATTCAAGCTCAAGTTCCTCAAGCAGGATCGGAACCTTGATCCCATTTGGTGTTAACGCGGTGTAAAGCGTGATGTCAGTCTTGATACCCATGCCGACAGATTGGACTTGTCGCTGTGCAGTGCAAAGTGTCCTTGTACCAAGAGCAAATTCGCGAGGCGTGTATTGTCGTAGATGGCAGATAAATGTACGGCTCAAAAGAGATTGCATTGTCTTAAACAGCTGAGACGTTTAAAACAAAAGGTTGAGCCGTGAATTTAAGCTTGCCCGTGGCGCACGTAATGCACGGTGACCAGCCAAGAACTCTAACGTTAGTCCGAAATCGTCCGCCTCCCTGCCAACAAACACAACAAGCTAGCCCTAAAATATCTCTCTTTCTTTAGGAAATACGTAATGATGAGGGGGTTAGTAATTCGGCAATTCAGTGTACTCCAATATTACAGGACAATCGGCTCACCATTGTGACTCAATGCTTCTATCCTCTGTTGTATTCGGACTTATCAGAGAGCTAAGGCAACTGAACAAGCCTGGACCCACATCTACACTGATATGCTTATATATCGTGACAATTATCTAGCTTGTATCGGACATAGATTATTCTGTAGTGTTGCTTTGATATTCACTCCGTGCATTCAGAGTAACAGGCCGTCAACATTACTAAGCGCTTAGGCAATTATTCTTACTTCGGACTTATCAGAGAGTTACTGCCTGCATAACCTCAAACCCAAATTTGCAAAAGAAAGTAAAAGTACCTATATATACATAGAGCCCATGTGTACGTAGGAAAAGGTAATCCCGCAAACCTCCTCCGAAATTCACACAATTCATAACGCAACCGTAGCTATATTCTAGCTCTCTTCTTTAAAGAAATCAAGATGGGGCACGGCAAGATCGTAGCGGATCCTCCAAAGTATGACCAAAGGTATAGCAAAATCCATCAAACTTGTTTTACGTCGTAACCTTTTTTTCCGAAAAGACGCATCTGAAGATAAGACCATCAACATCTGGGACATGACTATAGACGCTTGCCACTAGGCGCACGGAGGGTATACCACCGCTAACTCAACTCAATAGCCTTCTCACAAGACGGGGCCCTAGTTGGAGAATAAAGTTATTGTCTGGGATACAGCCACAGCTACATGGCTTAAAACACTGGAGGGTCATTATTCAGTGTCCAAGCGGGCATATTCTATCTCTAAAATAGCAAGGGCTTATAAAAGCACGTACTATAACTTACAGCATTAGATTACAGCACTTGGTCACTAAAATACAGCACTTGGTCACTAAAATACAGCATTTAATCACTAAATTACAACACATAGTCACCATATTACAGCACTTACTCACCAAATTACAGCACTTACCCACTAAATTGCCGCGTTCTTACTAGATTATAGCATTTATTTACTATGGGATTACATATAGAACTTCGTTACTAAATTGTAGCATTGATCAACAGTAAACATTATACCGTAAGGAATTCACTGTAATTTTTTTAATTTTACATGGACTAATTATAAGTGCTACAACCAGGACCCTCGTAGCTGGTTCCGTCACAATCATTGGTCTAGTCTTTTGCTCTCTGGCTTATCGGTATCAACGTATTGTTACAATACGCAGCATAAACTTAGCTGTTTTAAACACAGAATACGCCTGCTTGGGCCGGATAAGCCGCCACTATGTATTTTATGGATAATTAGAGCGCATGACAGGGTTTTCGGTAGGTAGTGTTTTATCGTATAAAGCTAATTGGATTGGGCAGTAAATACGCCTGCTTGGCAGCTTACTGAATACGCCTGCTCCGTTATTTAATACGCCTGCTTAGCTGTTGAATACGCCTGCTCGAATACTGGATAAACCATCCATAATGATATCAGTTTGTAGCTAGGGCTACGGGCTATGCTATGTACTTTAACAGTGAGTTTGAGGCTGAGACAGGTATTGTGCCTCGTAGAGAGGTATATATTACAAAAGTTCCCTGGCACGCTAATGTGATATTAGCATTTAAGTAAACAATACAACGGTACGTATCTGCTGATAAACTTAATACAAGAAACTAGGGAATATACAGGTAAACATGAAGGTGAACAGGTATCATAAGAGGCGATGAAGTATACCTTAATATAACGCTTTATGCATAAATAAATGTTAACTAACGAATTGTTACTTCTGTGCATGCATGTAGTTTAACTCTATATATTTATATTGTTTAATCTTCTTGTTCTTGTATTATCTGGAACATAGCCCGAGTCCTTTCACCGAGTCATCAGCGATTTCTAAGCTAGATGACCCCTGCTCTATATTGAGAATAAATGGGCGTATAGCCGGCTTTGACGCCCGCTAATATTGCATCATACCGATGGATTTCATGACTAAATGATATCAATGAATTATCTGACTCTGTAAGATTACATGGAATTATGACGTATAACATTTCAAACGAATGGGTTGTTACGTGGTATTTGGGATAAGTATAAGTTTGGGGGCACCGTACCAACTCAAAGGCAGTCAGAGAAAGGAGTTCTCAATGACTACCATTTAAAAAGTAGTGAAATCCTTGGTTATTTGCCAGTCTAGCACCATATGGATCAACCAAAGATGACTGTCCTTTTGGTACGTGACATTGTGGTTAAATGTATGCCTGGTGTCATTCAGATCACAGATAATGCCGCCAAGCCATTCGATGAGCGCGAAGAGGTTATAAGAAGAGCTCTAAACAAGAAAGTTCTTGTTCCAAACATTCTGGAACTAATGCCTGCGTGGCCTAGCGAATTTCAGCCGGACATTGATGAGATTAATGTGAAGGTCGATGAATGGCTGAAAACGTAAGTTTAATGTTATCAACTTGTTAGTCAAATTTACTGAGCAAGGTTGTTGAAATATTTTATTAGTGTGAACGTTGCAAAGGAGAAAAAACTAAAACACCGTACTCGAGGAAATTATACTCTTCTAGCAGGCATTTATTATCCACACTGCAAAAAAGAAAAGATGCTGGCTCTCTCTCAGTTTTTATACTGGGTATGTAATATGATCGATTATATTATATTAAAAAACGCCTGGCTAACTGTTCGTACAGATCTTCTTTTGGGACGATGGTAATGAAAATCTAATATCTTGATCTATACATACTGACTCGGCTTTACAGAAATTGATACAGGTGGAGACCTCACCGAAGATAGAGAAGGCACAATTCTGTGCTGTGCCGAGACTAATAAGTGCATTGATGATTGCCTTGGCCCTAGTCCTAACTACACACCTCCTTCTGGCTCTCGAGGCACCGTGGAGATCCTCTATCCCATCTTGAGAGATCTTCGGGCTGGTCTTGGCCCTGTCTCAACTATGCGGTTGAAAAAAGAGCTCCACGATTACGTCAATGGTGTTAGCAACCAACAGAAAGTGCGCCAGGAAGATCACCTTCCAAATCCTTGGGATCATTTCCAGATGCGAGTTGATGATGTTGGAGTCATTCCAAGTATCACCCAGAATGAATATGCCATGGAGTTTGAGCTTCCAGATTGGATTCGCAAACATGAAGCCATGGAGGAGATTGTTCTGCAATGCACTAAACTGACAATCCTATTAAATGAGATCTTGTCCCTACAAAAGGAATTCGTAAGTTGTTCTCCTCTATGACTTCAAAATTTATTTGAAGGCTAACAAATTATTCTGTGGCTAGCGTGTTTCTCAACTAGAGAATCTCTGTCTCCTTTTTATGAACACTTATAATATATCTATTGAACAATCTATTAATAAGATTCTTGGCCTTCTGAAAGATCACTACACCATCTGCACTGAGGCAGAGGCCAGAATTCCTTGGAGTACAACAGATGAGAAGCTTAACAGCGATATTCGTGAGTATATTCGTGGTTGCCAAAGGTTAGCAACGGGGACCGCTTGCTGGAGGTAAGATTTTCCCTTGTATGCGTAACGCTTCTTGTACTATATCCGCTAACATTAGTAGCTACAACTGCGAAAGGTATTTTAAACTGAGCCAGCTGAATAATAAACAAGAGCTATTACTGGATTTATCCCGTACATAAATAAACATTGTACATGGTATATACCATTAGTCTGCTAGCAAGCTTGGTATATATTCCAGATTGTTACAATGTTTAAATGCTTATTTGGTATTAATTGTATTATTGCAATACTATTAGTACTTACTGAATATGGCTACTTAGGCAGATTAGGTACTAGATATGCTTGCTTAGATACCAATTACACGCATCAGCGGTGTGATATGCCAACCACGAGAAAATAGGAATAGCAATACTAAAATGTATTGTATGTAGTAGCTTTATTGCTGTATAGCGTTTGACTAATCTTCATCATCTTCATCATCTTCATCAAGCAGCGAAGTCCACGGAAGTTGAATACGTGGTGGTCTAGATGCACCGCTCACTTTCTGAGTGACGCTACTAGATCCATGATCCATTTCTTCCAGAAGTGATTTGGCCTGAAGTATGATAATTCTTAATAGAATATTGCCATGAAGCGCTGCCGGAATGTTGACCTCTGGTACGGTCCGCTTTGTAGGTTTTGCCTCTTCTTCCGAAGACCTGCTCCCCGTGGCATTCTCCTTCGCGTTACCACTGACGGTCGTAGTTTCCGTAGGCACTACAGGACTTGGCGGGGACGTTGTATCCTTGCTAAAGTAGTTATTCGCAGCGTCTTTAACCTCACTAGATTCTTCGACGCCACCTCGGGCAAGTAGAAGAAGTGAAGTGACAAAGAGTTCTTTCAAGTATGCGAAACTATATTCTTCTGTTAATTGTGCAATAATGGGGCACAGTTCTTCAGGGAAATCCACAGTATCAGATTCGCTGAATTTTTGGCGCCAGTAGCGACAATAGGCAATGCGCTCATCTTCGCTAGGGAGCTTGAAATGGTACTTGCGATCAAACCGACTAGGTCGCTTTGTCACAGCTGGATCTAACCGTTCGATATGATTTGTAGAGCCGATCATGAGGATGCCGTCATTGGACTCAAGTCCATCAACCTCATTAAGAAAGTAACTGCGGGTATTATCGCCAACGAGGCTATCGAGGTCCTCAAAGATAAGAAGGCACGGAGCCATTCGGCGGGCCTTTCGAAATATCTGCTTAATTGACCATTTTGGCCCGGAACAAGCGTCCAGTGACTTCACATACAGAGAGTGGACTGGGTGTGGTCGTTTAGCAAGTGTGTTGATTATCGCTTTGATAGATATTGTCTTGCCGTTTCCGGGCACACCGTGAAAAATCAAGCCACGCTTCCAAGGAATTTTGAGTTTTTGATACATTTCCCGGCTGTTGAAGAAACCTTCGACGTCTTGAACAAGCTTGTCTTTCATCGTTGGATCGAGAATGACGTCGTCCCATGAAGAATCTTGCACGCTCTTCCAAAGCCCTTTGCTCTTAATCCACTCTGAGTTGTCGTATACCCAAATTTGCTCATGGAGTTCTTTTGTCCACGAACCTGACGCAAGCAATAGTGCATCGGTGGCTTCATGATGACCATCACGCATAAATTGAGGCGTATTGGCAATTAACACAAAGAGGAAGGGGGTGTTTTCATGAAACTGGTTAACGTAGATCAACTGATAGACGATAAACTCGTTGCCTTGCCACTGGTACTTCCAACGAGCAAATTTCACAACATCTTCAAGTTTCCCCGGTGTCTGATCCATCCTAGAAGGAGGCAAACGATAGACACGAGTCGCGTCGAGGCCATCTTCAACCTGGAGAATGGACGTAGCATGCCCAGCCCGGGCATATCCTAGTAAGTCGCATGTAGATGGAGCTGTGCGTGTAATATGATATCCTAGATATGCTTGACGAAGGATCTCGTGGACGGTAGATTCGGTGTCGATACGGCCTACGCTCTTATGGGCGTTCCAAGCGGCAAGTGATTCTCGGTGGCTCCTAAATTCTTTCGCCATGATATCGCACTAAACAACAAGAATACACACATGCGGTTTTTATAGCTAAATAATAGCTGAGGAAGTTGTAATAGCTTCCCGGCCTTGTGTTCCGATTCTTTAGGTTCTTATATAGCCATTCTAAGATATAGAGAGGCCTGCGGTGTTTTTGCGCTTTGTTGTTGGGCGAAGGCCCGTCTACCCCGCAGTTGCTGCCTAAACACTGCCTCAATTTCTTAGTTATTACAATACTGTTGGCCATAGCTAAGTATTTCGAACCAAGTACCAAGTGAACACCGTCACGTGTAAAAAGCTCACGAAGTGGTAGTACTACGAGGAAGGGGTCCCCTACTATTTAATAGGCTACTATATGAAGTTACGGTGAAGATGTGCTAAACGTGATTCTTGGCCTGTAGTTGTACATTAACGACATGAGAAGTCTTATTGTGGTAGCGTAGTTATAGATATTAATCCATCCTTACTACACTATCTACTTCATTGTGAACCGTTAGCGGCACATTAATAATTACTCCATTATCTTTTACAATCACAGAGGACGATATCTATTCAAGAAAACTCCCCAATCTACTTCGTTAATTAATCTACAGCCACTGTTTTTAATAATTTTTCTACATTGTTGATACACCACCATACAGTGTAATAATCTTCTTATTCGCCGCAGAGAACAACACCATCGAGGTAATAACAAACACCATCGTTAATCGAGCACTAAAGATTTCAGTCAAATTAAGCTAAGTTAATAAGGGTGGTGCCTTCAGTACTGAACTTACATTGTACCCATTATTACATTTATACACTTGTCCATTTGACAATCTGCAAGTATTTGAACCAGGGTCACAAAACTAAATGCAAACACAAGCGTCAGTAACAAAATGCTGAGAAACTTGAGCTCGACCTGGTTGACGGGAAGGCGTAATGGTAGATGGAACGTGCACTTACTCCCGAACCCGTCTGTCGTTTGACTAGATCACTGGCGTAGTTTGCGGAGGGTGCTCCCATACTAGGAGTGACTGCCAGCATAAACAGGGAAAAAACTTTAGCAGCAAGCATTTTGGTTAGATGGAAGACGTTTTTCAATGAATTTTAGAAAAGAGCCTTGATAGGTGAGTAGTTGAAAGGTTTGCGTTGAGGATGCAGAATGTATAGTGGGCTGTATAGATCTATTTATTTATTTGTACGCTGTAACTGTAAAGTGAAGACATAAAGCTGCATAAAGACTGGCCTTTCCATTTCAGATATTTGTTTATAACCCTTTTAAGACAAAAGGACATGAGATTCAATATAATACACATATGTTATTTTCTCGTATAAAATTATATAATTGTTATCCTGCTAGCTGCAAGTGAGAGATTTAGCATAAACTGTACTTTTCTAATCAAGATGTTGGTTAGTGTAACATTTTGTTTGGCTTCCCCGCAGACTATTATGCCGTGCTTGCCGATGGGCTTGAAGGAAGAGGATTCAATTTTGAAAGGAAGAGGATTCAAGTTTGAAGGAAGAGGATTCAGTTTTGAAGGAGGAGGATGCAAATCTGCTGACGTAGGGGACTTTTAACCGACCCCATTACGTTACTATTTTTTTTATTGTTTTTGGCTATATCCTTGCTAGTTTATATGTAGGTATGACTACTACGGAGTACCTAATTCATATATATTTTTTGGGGGTAGCGACCCACTTTAAAGTGCTACTTTGATTGTGCTAGAAAATAATATTTTGTCAATAGTGTGTATTTATCGTAGAAAAAGTTTGTAAAAAAATATTCAATATACATTATATATTAATATGTGAAAAGAAATAATTTTGTAAATATTAAAAATATATTTTTTGTATCATTTAACTAAATATAGTACATTTTGTAGTCCACCTTATACTAGAACTTCCGCAGTAGCCGTAATGTCCTCCATTAGTATATATATTTAAAGCACTTCCTTTTACACGCCATAACCCCAACATTTCGAAGTTATACCACAGCTTAATAAGATTTCATCTTCGCGCTTTTACAACTTCAAAACCAATCTACAATTTACTTCCAAAACACTTGTTTATTTGGAAATTCTGGCAAAATGAGAATCTTCGCCTTCGCGCCCTTGGCTTTTCTCTTTAGCGTAGTTACGGCTAACCAGGGATTTTGTGAAAACCAGTTCGTGGCTACTGCTCTCACCCAATTCTTTTTTTATTATTATTCTAATCAAATTAAAAACAGAGCCGACCCAGACAGTGGTATTGGCAACTATTGTTATTGCAATGGAGATGGTAGAACCATGATTCACTATGGAGTTCTCAAAAGTGGCTGACTTATTGTGTTTAGGAAAATGCTATTTCGACAGTCCTTCAACTGGCTGTAATCCACCTGATTCGATTGCCATTCCCTGCCCATAGTCATGTTGTATAAAACATAACTGCGATTGATGACGTAGTAAATGGACGAACAGACAGGACTAACACAATTGTTTGGAGGGATAGTGCACTGAGCATAGATAGATCATTATTAGTTGTCTTGATCAAATGCAAAAGTTCACGGATATTCCAGGCAATAGCAATACAATTATTTGAAAGCGAAGATCACTGGCTCCCTTATAACGTAGTAAAATTGTGGAGAACCGTATCGGAGAATGTTACAATCTTATGTACAACAATTTACTTGTGATTGTTACCTGGAGATCATTAATAATAAGAGAGCATTGGTTTTATAGTTTTGTAAAGAAATGATCTGGGCGAGAATGGTGAGAACCGTGGTGATGTGTAGAGGATTGAATCAAGGCAGCTATTGGGAAAATTTTACAGTACGTCGCGGGATTAGCATGCGTCGCCTACTGATTAAATTGTTAAATTACTGCTATTCTACTACTTTTGTAAAGTTAAATTTTGATACAATCGTTAATCCAGCCCCAATTTACATATCAAGAGGACATGTTTGGCTCTTGTCTAATTCTCGGGAGGCACCCAGCCATATAAACTCACTGGCGCCGTTGGTTATAACGTTGACACACCTTACTAGTGTTCTGTCCTGACAACTAGCATTTATATCGGATTCCGCATCAAAGTTCAAACTTCAGACTTATAAGATATTCATGAAAACATCCTTTAATCTTGCAAAATCCGGACTGCCGAGACCGGTAACAGCATCCCAACCCTCAGTAGCTCTAAACGCCGGATTGGCTCCACAACCCAGGCTTACACCCGTTTTTATGTCGTTCAGCGCATCAGGGTGAGCATACAAAACTGGATTAATGAATCCCACCGGGGCCTTTCCGGCGTTTAGTCTCTCGTTGTTAATAAGGGTTATAATAGAGGCAAAAACGGGAGCTGAAGCTGAAGTTCCGTACACTGTCTCGAGCACGCCTTCGACATAGACTAGATAAGTGGACGCGAGCGCAGAAACGTCTGGGAAACCTCGACCAGCGCGCGTGAGGTTGAGAAATCCGTTCTCTTGAAGGCTAGCTAGATGTGCACCCTCGTGGCGCCGATCAAAGTACGTGGAAATTGCCTTATGCTGATAAGCTGGTACGGGAAATACGTTGCTGAAGCCACCACCTGATGTGGATTGTACTCCTGGTAGAACGACATTAAAAGCAGTCTCTTCATCTGCCGTCTGTGTATTTCTTATTACATTTGTAGTCCCGGTGACGGAACCATTCCCGCCCGTGGATTGAGTGAGTCGCTGAGTTCCCCCTACCGAAGTGATCCAGGGGCAAGCTGCGGGCCATTGAGGACTAAATTCACCAGTTGTGGCGTTAGAGACGCCTGTGGTTTTGTTAATGCAAGTTCCAGGTGAATAGCCACTAGCTGGTCCGTAGTCACCGCTGCTCGCGACAACGGTCACACCCATCAGCCCTAGTTTAAGGAATTCGATACACTGCCGCTTCAAGTAGGCTATGGGAAATTTGTCTTCAGGATCCGTATATGAGATTGACAACACTTTTGGTGGCGTTACATTGCCGCAATCGGTCTTGTTGTAACCTCCCGGCTGCGGGTCAGGATACTGGGGGTCGAGAGATGAATCCAGCGATCCGCAGTAGTATCTTAAGTTGTGTCAATGGAATTTTCTCTGTTTTGAACGGCCACTGGTATGAAACATAGTGTGAGGATACTAACCTATCAAAAGCTGCCAACATATTATTTATGTCTCCCGAGACAAACTCATCGCCAACTTGAATATCCAATACTGTTGCAGGACTCGTCAAAGCCATAGCATATTGAAAGTCTAGATCGGCTTCCAGGTTGAATGGCGTGAGATTGTAACTTGTCTGTAGATATCCACCGTCAATCGAGTCGACAACTGGGCGCTGGCCGACCAGATCCGGCCGGAATAGACCAAAAAACTTATCAAGATCTTCAGGAAGCCAGGTCATCCATGCGATCTCATAAATACCGAATGTATTAGAAGCGTTGGCGGTCTTGTTTGTGTTTGGGGGGATATTATAGAGCTCAGTCAAACATGAAGGGATCGTGTATATGCTACAATTTACTGATGCAGAATTGGACAACTTAATTTTGTCCTGCGTCTGATGCCTTGATTGGGCCCCAAGCTCGGGCCCTCGTTTTTTTCTGGTGACGTTTAAGGTTGACTGAGGCACCCTCGGACCGCTTATTGTGAGATAGTCGACTAAATGAGACACAGATGTCGGGATGGTATAGTCCGTGCATTTTAATTTATTTGTCCGGCCAGACTCATAGGAACAGGTAATATTGAAGATTCGTTCGACTTCTCCCAAAGTTGAACGGATCAAGAAGTGTCCTCCAGCGTGCGATGATGACAACCGAGCAGGTGGAATACCCAATTTGCTCAGCCAGTCTGTAACGGATTTTGTACTCTGTCTAGGGGGAACAAAAGTTGTAGCAACTTTTTCTGCGGACCAATGCTGTCCATATTCTGGTGATGTTGGATCCGAAACCTTCAACAGGGAATCTATTGCTAGATCCACATTGTTTTGAGAGATGGCAATGTGAACCTGGACTGGAAAGGCAGCCCCCAACAATTCATTCAAGTTTCTCCTTGCCACGAAATGATTCTTGGGAAGTAACGTATCCGCATTACAGGGCCCAAAGAGATAGACAAAGAAGAGTAAGATAAGTTGAATGTAGCAAAACATTTTTAGAGCTGTTTGCTGTTCGTCTCAGTGACAAACGGAAAGCAGTCGTGATCTGATTTGTGATTAATAATTCATCAGCGATTGTAAGTGTTTTGTTTAATATAATGTAATAGGTAATTTGAAATATAGTCTTGGGCTTTAGCAGGTGCTTACAAAAGAAATGTTTCATAGAAATTACAAATTTAGGGAATGCAAATAAATAATAAAGGTTTAGCAAAAAAATAAAATTGCATGGTAAATTCAATACTTTAGTTATACTACATAACGAATATACTGTATTAAGTATCAATATTTGTAATTTAAATAGTATATGCGAAAACGATGTTACTATGCTACATGCGATAGTTATATATCCATAAAAGTAAGCTAAAACTTAATAATTAGGATCTTTGTTTCATTTTAGCTAAGAAGTATGTAAGTTGCATTGTATTATATTATTGTACACACACCTACTAATGTCTCGTCGCAATAAGGATTCTGAACTAATGTACAATAACAATAATCTATACTTTAGCCGGACAAGGGAAATGTAAACTATTGATTAATACGAATTATTATATCCCCACTTCATATATCTAAGTATTACTTCTTATAATTCAATTCTAATACACTGTACGGATTTAAATAACACATTATTCAATCCTTACAATCACACATATGTATCAAATTTACGATCTAGAGCACAGAGATAACGCAATGTGTCCAGCGAAAAAGAAACGGCGGCACAACCTGCAGGAAATTGAAGCATTTTTGAAACCTTTGCATCATGATTATGGAAGAGCCAGTCGTTATGTTCACGTTACCATCTTTGGCTGTGATTTATGCAACGCCATAGAATACTTGTTGTTCTAGGCGTATGCAATCATTTTTCGAGGTAAATGTGATGCCTAACTGATCGTCAATTGTCAGTCAGTTTCACTCTGCATAGGAATATATGGACTCTCTGACTGTGAAGTCGGCTTAGCATTTTCCTAGGAGAGCAAATCCATACTCGGTCGAATCATCCTGGCAGGTTCTAACTTGGAACCAGTGATAGTTGGCTCATTCATTGCTCTGGTAATTTCTCTCTTTTCTACTTCATATTACACGTTTACCATGGAAGTAGGGACTACTTGGGCAACTAAGATCAAACACCACCGACTTCCTATGGTGTGCGATGGTAGTCCAGCGTAAGCAACCTCTTGCAAGCCGTACCATGGTGGTTTTGAAGCTAATGGAATCTAAGAATTGTCATTTCTCTCTTCTGGCTTGGTCAGACTCAGCATTATCAGAAATTTCGGGGTTATTGGTTGGTAACAGTTATTGGTTGCTCATTATGGAGTTGCTGAAGTATATAACGGACGCATACAGGCAATTTACTGCCTTGGTACACGCGGCTGCAAGCACAGTCAGGCCGATCACCGCTGTTTGTCTGCCCCTGGCTGGCAGCCCCATGTATGGGAAACCGGGAATCCATTGGGCATGCTGACTATTACTGTCCCATGCACCTGGGGCGAGAAGATCTCCGTACAGAAGAATGCATACATCTGTACTTACGCCTACTTCAATGTGTCAGGAGGCGGCCGCCGACCGAATCCGATGGAGCAACTGCAGCCCCTTTCCCATGGCTTGACAACGTCCCCAGGCAGAAGCGGCGCACAGCACCCGGGCAACCTCCTGGATAAGCCGTGCCGCACCGTCCGGGCCGATGATACAGCCCACACCCGCTAGATAGGGGCGCATCCGGGCGCCGTGTTTCAGCCAGGTCTGCTCGTCATGCTGGCTGTTCTTCTGGTCTAGGCGAAATGTTGCTGGCACGCCTATTTCGTCTTGATCAAGCACTCGCTCAACGTCCTGCTGTGCAGGCACACCGGAAATCTCTCCATAAATCCAAAGGGCCTGGCAAGAGACTGTCATCGCGTGGCCCTCAAAATACGCATGCATGTTGGAATGACGAATGCAGCGGTACAGCTTGCCCGCGTGTAAGGCGACCTGACGAGCCTCTCCACCGCGTTGTCGTACCCAAATCCGGAGACGTTTTTGGCAGTCGAGAATATCGTCACTCGATACGCGGTACCCGCAGTAGCAAAAAAGCTCGCCTAAGGATATACCGAGAAGGATACCAATCGAGTGATAGTGTATTAGGATCGCAGACTTGAGCGAAGACAGCCTGGGCAGCTCCTCAATACCCGAACACAAGATACGCAGGTATTCCATGGCCCTGCTATTGCCTGGAAAGGAAGTTTCTTGTGCCATATCTAAGGTGTCATCAGGTTGCAGATCATTTGCAGTAAAACCAGGCGGTGACCAGAATCCATCTTCCAGGCAGTGACGATACCGCAGCGCAGTTCTGAAGATGCCCAAGACAAGCAGCAGGGTGGAGAAATCACCGAGATTTTGCGGGTAGGTCTTGGTTCTGTACAAGTTGTTCAACTCCTGTCGGATGCTCAGGGGCCGTTCTGCTCCTGCACCACAATTGCTCAGCCGCCTACGATAGCATGAGTTAACATACCTGGGAATTTATGACTCACCGCATTCGCCTTGCTTCCGGAGGACTTCAAGCCACGCAGCTGCGGTAGGAGCCCGCCACAGCTCCTCCGGACCTGGAAGTTTAAGCCGAAGAAGATCTGTCGGGATGATTGGTGGCAGGTCGAAAAACAACGCATTTTGGCTGTCGAGGAGCTGATCTCGCAAGACTCGTTAGCGAGGTTTGGTAGAGAAAGAGCAAACAGCAATCTCAGGGGCCATATGCTTTCATCATGGAAAAATAGGGGGAGGCACAGGGTGGTACAGACTGACCCAGACTGAATATGCCAGCCGGCACATGCTCTCTTTACGACTCCACAATTTCCATGCCTCTGTACATGACTGCTCTGGGTCTATTCCATCAATACGCCGTCCTATTTCGTTGAAACAGTTGACTTTTCGGCACACTGATGCGATGAGACTCCGAATTGACTGGGCGGACTCAGTGAGCCTGAGGTCGCCCGAGAATTGCATACCAATCTGGTTCAGTAAGCCAGCCTGTGCTAACCACGGCTCACGCGTTGCGCCATAGTCCTCTTCAATCTTGTTCACATTCTCAGCTTCATACTTTTTCAGGTCAGGTAAGGATGTTGTATACGCACAGCGACATGAAAGGCCCGGCGAAGAAATTCCTGGAAAACTACCACGCAATCAGCCGCAGCAGGGACCCGCGAGTAGCGACATCCGATCGTCACCAAAGCAAGGAGTACTAGCCAATGCTCGTAGCAAGGGTCAAAGCTCGGTTTGTGGATGAAGGGGAAAAGGGGGTCGAATTCCTCGAAGAAGAGCTGCATAAACGCGTTGCAAGCGGTAATCGAGGGGAAAGCACCGGTCGAGAACTGCTTGTACCCAACTTTGGCCGTGCCGTTTAAGGCTTCGAAATTTGCTACGATTTGATCGTACTTTTGTTTGGGGAGAGGGCCTACGTGGGCCAGGTCCTCGGCGCACCATATGGCGTCCTTTTCCCTCGAGGATAGAATAGGGTCAAAGGCTCCCATGATGAGAGGGGTGGCCTGGCCCTTGCCGATCCTCGCACTTTGATATTTCCATGCATTATGTATGTAGTCGTCGAACCGCATTGCTTGGCCCAAGTTTGGCTCGGGGCTAGCTCTCGCAGCGAGGAAACTCGGAACAGGTGCGCGAGACTCCGGTAGATGTTGGCCTGAGTCCGATGCAGAAATTAAAGCACCTGCTTGCGAAGGGGAGGATATCTCTGGAATCATTGCCTGTGGAAAGCCGGCATTTGGGCACTGATGGAGAGAGCCGAGATCCAGAAAGCTGTCCCAGAAAGACGGATCCTGTGCAGCCAAGTCGAGCGGGTAGGGATCAGAAGACTGGAGCCCAAAGGCCAGAGAGGCAAAATCGAAGCCAGGATGCAGGGCATTTGTGTGCTGCGGTGTCTCTGAGCATTCCGGCGCAGCCCCATACCCGGACGGGATGGAAAGCAACTGCTCGCCGGCCACAGCCGTGGGGACAACCGGAGTGGGAAGGCCATCAGAGCGTGTCGACATGCCCGGGGAACTGCCCGAATCGCCTGCACCATGTGTCGTTGGCCGTGGCTCCTGCAGCTCGGCATCCGAGTGGCCACTCTTGGGCGAGCGATCGATGGCCGTGCTCATATATCGAGGGTCATCGTTGGATGACTGCCAGCAGCCGTTAGTCGGGCTCTTCCAAAGCCGCACGTCTCGGGTATAACACTTGCCTGGGAAGACTGTGGATGCCGGTACGAGCACAGCTGGTTCCTGGAGAGGCATCGGCTACATGGTTGGTGGCCATCGCAGCGCAGCTTGGATCGCGAGCACTCGCGGCATGCCCGCTTTACCCGCTTTGCCCTGCTCTGCTGGCGGTCTCGATGGCTCCCCTCATGCAGTGGGAGATGCCGCTGCAGGGTGTCTCTGTCGTCGGCCAAGACGGTTAGCAGCCCTCCAAACTTGATGCCAGCAACGAGATGGCCTACTTGCGCGAGAATGCGCGCCGGCAGTGGGGGCAGGAGAAGGGCCGCTGGCCCAGATGCCGCGTCCTGTGCCTCAAGAGGTGCTCGGCTCGGCGAAAGGCCGCGCCGCATTCGCTGCAGACATGGCCAGCCATGATGGATGATGGAGCGGCGACGAGGACAATGATGAATCGATGGTGGTCGTTATAGACTGGAGATGGCTTCGAGTGCAGGAACCATAGAGGCTTTAAATCGGGCCAGCTTGGCCCACCGAAATAGGTTGTAGAACGCAAGATGCAGATCCAAAACCCGGAAAACAATGAAACCCTGTATCCAACTATCACTCATGCGTAGTCGTGAGCGCTCCGACTCTCACGACAAGAAGACAGACTCTTGCCACCACGCATCGAAGCCTGTTTCCCCCTGGGTCAGGCTCAAAGTCAGCCCTGCAAGGGTCTGCGGTCCGCTGGCGGCAACACTGGGGTTCGGCCTCGGGGATGTGACTCCCGCAGCACTGTACTGTGCTGTCATCGACCAGGCCCTGGTTCTGTGGGTTCGCATCAGCCTCGATCGAGACAAACCCTCAAGCCCGGCATGGCCACCTGGATGTGACCTTCACACACCGGCGACCCGAGCGGGGTGACCCCACGCGGGAAGTGCAATGGGGGCATTGGTAAGCATACAAGTAACGACATATCCTTCTAACGAAGCAGAACGCAGAGTGGAAGCATCCAAGAACGTAAATTAGAGACTGCAAATCTGAAAAACCATCTGGTAGGGCAACCCAAAGTAACTCTATTGTCAATATCTACCTTAGGCAGTGGTTCCTAATTCTGGGGGAGAGGGTGTAACGAGCCCTAGTGACGACGGTGAAACAATTCGGAGCAGCGCGCTCTATCCTCTCTGTGTTGTCGGTGGTGGGCTGCTCCCGAACCCTCTAACATGCCCTTTCACCACGGCAAATGTCCTGAATAGGAAAATTTGAACATGTTCCCAAGTAATACTGAATGGAATCTAACCCACACGACTAATCTTGATGATTTCTCTAGTCTGCCCATTGCTCCAATATACTCTAATACTCTAGCAAGAACCATGGGAAGTAGAAAAGAAATTCGGGGTCGGCTCAATTTAGTCCTGACCACATGGTCTAAACAATTGGCAAGACGACATAGCTTTCGTAGCCCTCGCCGATATGGACATTATTCGTTCCGCGCAGCTTTCTCTCGTCCCTTGCCGATTGTCAGTTCTTGAATCATACCTAAAGATGGTTTCAAATGGGAATATTGACCTGTCAATTGGGTCGTGGCAAGCAAAGGGATCCGCGCCTGCGGGGTCCTTGGGCGAGATCTCAAGCACCAAACGTTCGCCTTTTTCTACAACCACGTTTGTGGGCCAAAGCTCAATCTGCAGATCGTATACTTGACCATTTATCACCTCTTTCTTGTCGGACTTTTTGTGACTTGGTACCGGTACTGGAAGGTGGAAGCTATCAGGGTATGGATTCGGGTCGATGGTGCGATGGGAGGCGCGGAGCCAGCCAAACACTACAGGTGTAGGAGTTCCCATGCTCGAGCTGTACAAGGACTCGTTCCCTTGTGCGTTAATTTTTCGAAGAGCAACGTGAACGTCGAGATCTGGATCGGCTTCGCCCTCATTGTCGGTTAAGGAGGCAGCAAGACGGACATGTCCATGACCTGTTACTTCGTACTCCTCTTCAGCCACTGGCGTGCTGAACCGAATGCCTTCTCCACTACATACGGTATGAGTAAAAGTATCTATGCAAGTATCTGCAATTAACTTACGCTGGCGCCTGGTAAGAGAAGGTAGCGGCAACGGAGGGCTTCTCCCTTGATAGCATGTTGTCAGCAGTAAGATGATATTTTTCATACTTGGTGCGGGCGAGCGGCCACTCCTTCTCATCACGGTACTTGTATTCCAATTCACCTTGTATACTCCCTGGTGTTTGAGTCCCGCGGCGAACCGCAAACGCGACGGGAGCCTGTTTACCAGTCTTCCAGCCGTCGTAGTCGTCGCCCTTGAGGAAGCAGTCGTAGAATGACTTTTGATACGTAATATATGGTTCAAGGTAGTAAGGCAAGTCGTGGCGCCCAGTGTGTATACGCAGGAATTTATACTGAGAACTCGCCCGCATATAGCCCAAGACATTGCCTCGTAGATGCAGACCAGTTCCACCCTGTAGATAATGTCAGCCCGAAAAGTACAACAAGCAGTTCACTTGAATTTACCCAATTGCCTGCACTGAGCAGTGGAATCTGAATTCTAGAGTAGTCTTCGCCAAACATACGGTCTTTGTACCATTCATCATCGATCCATTCATTTTCAAGCAAGAGTTTGGGAAGGTCTTGGTGCAATTCATCCAGCTCGGAGTCGCAGAGCTCGCCCTCGGGCGACGTTGGGCCCCAGCAACCATCCGACCGGTTCTGGCTGCCATAGTGGTTTCGCTTAATCTGCCTGTGATACCAGCCATCGATAAACTGCAATCAATTAGCATCAACAAGGCAAACGGATGGCTCGAAAATTGCATACACCATGATGCATGCCACCATGGCGGCTTCCCTCGCGATAATAGTCACCCATGCCCTCCCAAGGCACCATGCATGTGAGTCCTCGTGGTTGGCGTGCTGCTGTTGGCCACTTGCGCCAAAAGTTAGCAAAAAAGTGACATAGAACTGCTCATGAAGGACCAACCTGATTAAGGCCCAAGTAGGATATTCCTGTTAAGCCGACTTTGCCAGTTGACCATGGCTGGTCTGCAGCCCACTCGATGGCCATGGCGTAATCTATGCTGGCATGAGAAAGTGTACTTCCGTGCTGCCGCCTGAAGAGACCACTTAGAAGCACTCACCATCCCAATCTTGGGTGCTGAACCGCCGGGACTTGCCACTGGAGGCCCCTGAACCTCGATGGTCCATAATAACAACTGCGTAGCCGTGAGGGCACCACCAACTCGGCGCAGGCGCCTCCCAGCACAAATGCTTGCTCTTCATAATCTCGGGAATATCTCTTGCAGATTGCTTATACACTTCATTGTGAATATAAGGCCTAAGCCAGTTATGTTAGAGATTTCCCAAGGTCAATGATGCGTGAGCTGCCTACACATCTTTTCCGTAGGGAGTTGCGGTCATGAGAACAGGGAATCTTGGTCCCCCTGAGCGAGGGAGAAAGACATTTAGGCGTATGCGGTCGCCGTCGCCAACCTCGAACTCCTCGTTGATACGGGCAATGTAGCGGCCATCGCCTTCGTCAACAGTGGTGATAGCCCCGAGAGGCTTATAGTTGTCCTTGTAGCCCATAGTAATCGCAAAAGAAGTGATTGATGCTTAGGATATTTTGCTGTGTCGATCTTGTATACTACCTTGTAGATTCATCGAGGATTATTTGACGAGGATGTCGTTGCAGACTTATATAGTACGCACGAAACTCGTGAGTCTGGTAAAGTAAGCCTTGGGCTTCGTAATAGGCCGAGCCTTATGAAGCACGATATGTCAACTTTGTGGAAGCCGATTATAGAAGCCACTGTACGAACTAGCCAGAGCAATCCGAGTGACGGTGGCGACGCTGCGGGGCCGAAAGAGCTGGGCTCCGAAGGTCGTCGTCCCATAGTATACATGTAAACGCTCGCAACCTTTTTTACGGCTGATGAAGCTGTCCAAACCTAGCTTAACCTGCCGGCCCCTGGCTTCTATACTTCTCTAGTACATAAATGCAACTCAGCATGAGTATGCGGCAGCTCAAACAACTACCAGCTACCCAGTACCCTCTTTTTTCTTCACGGCGGTCAGATTATCAGCTAAGCAGCGCCTCGGCAAAGGTCCGCATTGAATCTCACTCTCACTATCCCCAACGTTTGGTTACTATGATCCTGTACATTTGAGAGAACATTTTACGTGTAAATCTATTCAAGTTGTTAACCCTACTATGGTAGAAGTAGCGAGATCCCAATCTTGTGTATCACCGACCCGAGTGGAGGCTGCCCCCGCTCGGGAAGCGCTTCGCTTCCTTGCAAGTGTTACCGTAGATCCCGCCTGTTCCTCCGAGCTTTGCTGCTCCTATTTCATCTCTCGGATGCCTCCGTCAGAGTGACCATACAACACGGACAATGGGATGCACGATAGTGACAACGTAGGGGTAGTGCAGCATTTACATTCATTGGTAAATAAGGTCATTGTGAGCAATATAGTCGTGTTTAAATCGTGTTACGGTTACACACAGTAAAAAAAAACGGTCCCCACAGTTCACTTCACTACATAAGCTTAACAGTTTTCAAGATGGTTTCATTACTTTTCCAACCAACAATGTTGCATTTGATGATCTTCTCCTTCGTAACGAGTATGTTATCAATCCCCTTGACTTGAAAGACAAATCTAACGTTACAATACAGAGAAAATACAGAAGAAAGAAAGCCAATTCCGCATGTTTCGGAAGCTCTGAACGATTTTGTGATACCAAAAATTGCTATTTGTAAGCTGTAACCAACAGTCGCTGACTAGATAGAGGTCTTTGTATATGGTACATCTGTGTTCGGCGCATTTAATTGAGCGATGTAATCGTTCAGTTGCCAACACATGTTTCTATTCTCATCTGAGCATTCTTTCGGTGACACAAGTGACCAGCGACACTTGGTCCACAGTAGACCAAACAGATTTCTAGAGCGTTGGAATTTGAAGAATAGCAGCATATTACACAATTTGTTTAAATTCCTTACGTAAATGACAGGAGGTCTTGTTTGGATAGACTGGAGGTTATGTTTTTTCCCGGATTCATGGTCGAGGAAGAATGCATAAAGATGGTCAACTTATGATGTCGGTGCATTCTGTTGCTGGCTCACTGAGGCTTGATTTGGATAGATACGACCAGAGTCGTTATGATCATATCCACAAGCGAATTTATAAGAGAGAAGGAGTTTTCCATTTACTAAGCTAGATCCTGTCGATAGAAACACATATAACATAATACAAATACACCTAATAGCTAATCCATAAGACAGTCAAATTCGATGCCGATTGTTTTCGATACATTGGCTTCTTTAGAGCACTCACGGTAGCCATCCAATAAAAAATCCAGAGTTGAGGTAATCACAAACCTAGTTCGCGTCTAATGGCATCGATTCCTTCGTCCAATCGTCCAACTCTCTCCAAGATAGTAGTTAGTAGCACGATCACATTCATGTGACTCGCGTCGACCTTTCGCCGAAGATCTGCCACGGAAGCTTCGAGCGCATCGCATCGCCTTTTGAGAAGTGCATCCTGATTGCTGAGAGCTTCTCCCATAGTGATGCGACGTGCCGCTCTGGAGGAGGATGGAGAGACTGTGGGGCTGAGAGTGGGAGTCGCGATGTTCTGAGCACTGGACCGAGAGGGCTGAGTTTGAGTCGTAGTGACGGGAGTCTGCTCGGAAGGCATGATTTCCGGTGATTGCTTCTTGACAATGCGGCTGGGAATCTCTTCATTGTCTTCAGTCTCGGATTCCTCCTCTCGCTTGCGTTTTGCGACGTGCCCCTGAAGGTATGTCGAGGTGAGGTCTTTGATATCGAGAGAACCAAAGATAGGTTCAAGATCTATCTCAAGCTCGACCATGAGTTTCTGGCTGAGGATCTCTGGGCCGTAGATGGCCTTCAGCATCACGTACTTGGGCCAAGAGGGGTTGGTTGCCAAGTCCTTGTACAGCGGATGCTCTCTGGGATCGTCGATGGCATCCACCTGGACAACGAAAGAACAGTTCTTCAGCAGTTGAATGTAGATTTCTTGGTCGGCCTTGGTCATATTCGCAGCCTGCGCCCAGTATGCATGTAGAGCGCGCTCAGCTCGGCACCGCTGCTCGGGGGCATCCTTGATTCGGAAGTTTGGGTCTGGGAGGTCTTCGAGATCAAACCTGATCGGTGGGATCTGAGGGCTTGGGCATGGATTGGCCGATGCCATGAGAGTGTTCATCGAAGGTGCCATGTTGACAAGAAGCAGTGCGCGATGATCGATTCTGATAGATGTGTAAAGTAGTTGATAGGGGCAAGTCCTCGGTGGATGCGGTGAAAGATTGTGAAGAAAGATGTGGAAAGGAAGTTGTTAGCAGAAGTGGCGAGGAGTGTGAAAGAATGGATGGAGAAGCAAAGTGGTGAGTAGGTGTAGTGAAGGGCTTGGAAGCAAGATGTGAGGGTGAGAGTGAAGAGAAAGTGAAAGTGAAAGTGAGAGGAAACAGAACAGAGGCTGTTTTCTTATAACAAGTCCCAAACACGCGTTTGGTGAAGCAGATTGTTGGTGGCAGTTGCGAGCAGTTGGCGGCGTTTACTTCTTATCATTGCGGGCGCCAGTTGATTGAGAACGATAGAGATTGGTATGAGTAAAACACGAGGCCAATTTAAATATGGGGATGATATTAGACCACAATCTATTACATTGGTATTTATAGCTCAATAGTATCGCAATTTTCTCAACAATAGATACCATCTTCCAAGCATTCTCGTAGAGCGGAGGTAGGTTTCATGTGCTCTCGCACTCCCATGATGCCAGAAATGACATGACTCTACTTCTATAGAGTCACCACATCATTTCTCGTAATCTAGATATTATTATTGCTGGTAATTAAGACGAGAAAAGAGAGTCTGATGCACTAAACTAGAATATATTACACATTATCGTAGAATCCCGTCACTCATCTTGCTTGATCCCACAACAAGCGGGCCGTAGACGGCACTGTTTTCGTAGCCAAGAACAAAGTCCGGAAAAACATCCTCAGAGAGGTAAAAGTCAGGACTAAGTAGCTGGTCAACGTCGCTAAAGTGCGGGGAATCGCTAAACCAGGGGTTGGCTGGTTGTTGGTCGCTCATCATCATTGCGGCCTCTGGTGTCATGAGCATAGAGATGCCATTCGGCTGAGGCTGTTGTGGCGCTGGTGACGGCTGTAACTGCAATTGTTGTTGAGCATGCATAAAACTGCGGTCACCAGTGCTCTCAGAGATAGCTACATGGCTGAGATGACTGTCCGAGTTCTTATCCTTTTTTGATGCTTGGGAACTCCCTTTCTTTAGTATCGTCTGAGCCCGTTCAAACAGTCGGTACATGACATCGGCGCTCCAGTACGTCCCTCTCAAATTTGATAGCACAAGCATATGAAGCTGAAGTTTGTTCTCTGCAAGACCGCGGATTAAAGAATTGGATGATTTACAGTCGTATAGATGAATCTGCATAGCAGGAATCATTGCCGTTATTCTACGCGATGCAGATGATTGTCAATGTCAAAATCCCCATCAGATGTTATACAGGAGAGAGATTGGCACTTACATCATTGGCTTCAAGTATCGTATAGCATCAAGCTCAATGAGACTCTGCAGCAACCCGTTTGTATGCGATGCAGCTTCACGAGCTCGGCTTGTAGCCGTTTGTCTCCAGTGGGAATGTGCCCCAACCGGGAGAGAGCTGGATCGACTCAAGGCGTATGGCCGGTAAAGTATTGCAATTGAAGCTCTACGGAGAACGTCAGCTGCTGTCAAGAAGTAATCATCATGTTTCTGGGGTACAAACTGGTAGTATAAATCGATCTGATGCGCATGAATGCTTAGCTCCTCGCTGGAGTCCCCCGAGGCCACTTCGTCTTGCGCCAACGATTGCAGCTCTTGTGCATATTTGTCAATCTCCGCCATTGTAGGTACAATCCCATTCACACGATAATGAACTCTCAAGATGTTTCCCAGAGTATCGGATATCTTTACAAGCCGAATCCACATCTCTGCCAGAGCTCTCGAATCGGTGGGAATAAATTTGGCACTTCCTGGGTTTGTGACAGATTCTAGCTCGTTCAAAACGTCCTCTACCACAGGAAAGGGGGTATCACAATCTTCGCTGTGAATTCGCATTGGACGACCCCGAGCCAAAGACACCCATCGATCTCTGACAACACATGCCCACCATATGCGACGCATCAGAGACTCTCGCGCTGTTGAAGGCGGTTTCTTTGTACGGCCCCTCAAGCGAGAAGATCTATGGAGGCCGATATTTTGGGACAGAGAAATGGCAATGCCTATCCAGTACCAAGCTCCAGTGTGATCTTGCGGATCAGTATACCAGAAACCCAATAAAATGACTGACTGAATGAGCACCAGCTTGTCGGTTCCTCGATCGACATCATAGAGGCACTATATCGGCTTAGCAAGCTGCAAAGTTATTGTGCATCAGTTTCCAAATCACTCACTTTGGCGCGTTCATACATTGCAGTTTTCATCGCCTTCCTACTAGCGAAACCTGCTTTTCGCAAGACATCTGTATCGACAAACTGTAAGGGAACGTCACATAAGCGCGGGCAGCTACATGTGAGTTGGAAAGCCGACTTACATTTGCCGCGGCCAATAGCATGCTCCAATAAAGCAATAGGCTGATGTTCCGAGAGCCATTGCTGCAGTAATCGTTGAGAAATGCAGGCGCATCAATTATCGGGAGGACGAAGTGAACATGCTGAAAGTAGCATCGTATCAGCTCGTCGCACACCTCATCTGGAAGCTTGGAAAAGACGCCTTGAAGACGCATGTATTCCAACTCATGAGGTTTGTGAGATGTTGTTGTAGATATAACGGGGGGTATATGCAAGGTTTCTTCGGGAGATTCAGGATGACAAAGGTCATATACAGAGTGACGCGGGCCGCGTCTATCACCTAAGAGCTTATTGTGAGCTTTTTTTCGCCCCGCCCCCTTTGTCCTAATTCCCAACAGAGGAAAGAATTATGCTTACCGATGTAAGTGAATGAGGTGTCTTCTGGCAAAGCTGCCTCCGGCGCGGCTTGGCCATAATCATCTTCTATACTCATGACATTACTTTTAGACTGTGATCTTGATGCCAAGAGCACATAGCTATAGGAGTGTTCTGGAACGTCTCTACCTTGTATAGCATCAATGGGCGGCTCTGACAGCCTGCCAGTAGCAGCAGTCTTTGGGTATGAGATTCCAGAATCGCCTCGGTTTATATCCGATAACGGCAGTTGTTCGCCCTTTTTCCTCCGAGGTCTGTTGGAAATCAAGCCACACGTGTCAATATGTCTCAGCTGCCCGCCATTAACCTTTCTTTCTTCCGCTCTTACCGATGCTTTTTGCGAGGAAGAATCACGCAAGATCCCCCGTCTCGCTGACATTTTGAACATGGGTTACCGCCAGTGTGAACCACATCACAACGCACTTTTCGCTGATTACAGGCTTGGCAAGCAACGCGTGAACGATTGCGTGGAGCAGCTATACCCGCAGTACTGCTGCCCCATAGGTTGCTGCTGCTGGGCCGCGTCACATATGGGCCATCCCCAGATTCCATGATCGGTAAAAGATAAGTAAATATCTGGGGAAGAAGTTTGCCGCCGGCAGAAAACGAAGATGAATGCAGGGAGTCGATCCAGCTTACTTTTACTCCGGATGAAGAATCCCCAGCTACGCCACAAACCCCAACTTTTCGGCGCCAAGCGACGAAGTTGTTGTCGCGAGCTAGAACGGCTAATTCGGCAATTAAGAATCGATAGTCGCGTTCGATTTCTGCCGAATATTTCTTCACATTGACCATCTACCATGGCGGTTCACCACAAAATTTTCTCCTCTTACGTTGTCCTTAAGGATAGGCAACATGACAGGCCATCAAGGAAAAGAGCGGGGGCTGTCATAATACCGGCATTTCCCTTGCGTTACAAAATTTGCCGAGACAGAATCAGCTACTTGTTAAGCTATACGCTAGCTACGCCTAACGGATCAATATTATAAAACGTCTTCATCGCTTGGCAGCGAGAACTAGCTGGAATATCGCAATGCATACCATGCAGCAGCAAGACAACTACACAGCAGATTGTTCTATTACCATGGAGCCTCGCGAGATGGAAACTCTTGACGACACAAAGATTGACAGGGCGGAGGAGATTGAGAAGATGGAGGACGATACTGCCAATATGAAACCGAGTCATGATCCATTTACTGCAGAGGAGGAGAAGCGACTTATACGCAAACTCGACTTCTGGTATGATAGTATTCTTTCCAATGACTTACATTGTTTTACTTGGCCTGTATCTCACATTAGTCTACAGGATTGTCCCCCTCATGATGGTAACATATACGCTGCAAAGCTACGACAAGGGTGTCATGAGTGCTGCGACACAGTTCAATTTCAATGCAGATTTGAAGCTTACCACTATTGTCGGCTATGAACCCAATGGAACCCCCATCACCAATAACCAGAAATACGCCAATGCGTCGATGATTTTCTATATTGGATACCTGGTTGGCACATATCCCATGATGTTTTTATCACAGCGCTACTCCACATCCCGTGTGGTAGCATGTGCGACTTTCTTATGGGGAGTCGTTCTCATGTCTACGGCTGGATGCTTCAACTATACTGGCATCATGCTTAACCGTTTCTTCCTCGGATTCCTGGAATCGGCTGTCGCGCCCTCGTTCACCGTCTTGGTGACCTTTTGGTGGACAAGAGAGGAGCAGGCCTTGCGAACGGGATTCTGGTACAGCTGCGTTGGCGTTGCCACGACTATCTCTCCTCTTATCAATTACGGCTTGGGCCAGATTCATGGGTCCCTCCCTTCTTGGAAGCCCATTTTCCTTATCCTCGGTGCTATCACGGTTCTGTGGTCAATAGTTCTCTTTTTCTTCCTTCCGGATAATCCCATGACCAGCAAGTACTTGACCGACGCCGAGAGGCAAATTGCCATTCGCCGCCTCGAAAGAAACAATGCTGGTACCGTCAGCCATGAATTCAACAAGAGCCAATTTTTCGAGGCTTTCCGCGACTACAAGCTATACAGCTGCTTTTTCATCGTCCTTCTTACCGGTGTGCCATCAGGTGCTCTTGGAACTTTTGGCACCATTGTCATCAACGGTTTTGGCTTTGATCACTTCGACTCTCTAGCTCTCACATGCCCCATCGGCGCAATTACCGCCACCTCAATTCTTCTTTCGGGTTACATTACGCGTAAATGGAAGAATACGCGTTACCTACTCATTGTCATTTGCGGCTTGATCTCTCTTTCTGGAACTCTCATCTGTTGGTTTGGGCCTCGCAACAACAGAGGGCTGCTGTTTGCCGGCATTTTCCTAGTTGCCGTGCAAGTTGCCTCTGGCGGTCTTGCAGTTTCTCTGGCAGCATCAAATATGGCAGGACATACTAGTAAGTTCTCTTCTTCTGTTATAGCATATACTGCACATCAATATCAGTGTCTTACTGTTTCCCAGAAAAGTCCACTGTCAGCGCGTCAACTTTCGTTGGCTACTGTGTCGGAAACGTCATTGGCCCCGTGATTTTCGGTGCATCGCCGGGGCCAATTTATCATGCAGGGTTTGTCGGAAGTTTTGTTTGTTTGTGCGGTGTGGTAGTCATTGCATCTATAACTTTTGTTCTTCTGCGCAGAGAAAACAAGAAGCGGGATAAGCGATCTGGTTCGCCAATGGGCCTGCACTCAATTGATGAAGATCTTACGGATATGCAAAACGAAGATTTTAGATATGTACTTTGATTCAGAGTAATTATTTCTAAATTATTTTATTAAGCTATTATTATTAATATTATTAATATTATTTCTTGATTTTACCCCAAGATTCAAGGCAACATACACAAGTCTTATTAGGTAGGCGATGTTCTTCAAGAAACGTGTGTGCAACTAGAAGTAAACATATACGCAGTTCTAAAGCGAGTAACATTATTCTATACCGACACGCTCCTAGCAAATAATGCCACGGCTGTGCTTTTTCCAGGGTATATCGTATGAGGTATACATTATTATTAATTTAGAATATCAAGACATGATAAATGCGTTTTGCAATGTCTACAGCCAATCGATGTAGAGTGGCTAAGTAACCAATAGCGCACATTCAAGCTACTTTGCCGACTTTCCGGCATTGCCACGTTTCAATTCACCAGTTAGCTCTGGGTCCAAAAATATAGCGCGGTATGGCTGGTTAGATGCTGATGATGAGCTTATACTTGCGGTGAATTCGGTACTGGCTAAAAATAAAAGGCAAAAGTCGGTAGAATCTCATGATTTAGTCACAGCTGATCAACTTTCTCCGGCTTATACGGCTCGTAACCCCAACATGGAGGGGTTCAAGGGGTAAAGCTTTCTAGACTGGGATGCAATCGTACATAAAATGCGCAATTCTCCGAGACAATTGACATAAGTGGAAAGTGCGTTTCATTGTTATCTTGTTGTTTCGTCCTAATTCGGAACTCTGTTGTCTCTGACTTGCTTACACAATGCTGTGGCTTAGAGTTGCATTCTTAGCTGGGTTGGGTGAAGCCTTGGCGATAACCAAGAGCCGTTCACTGATCTCGCTAGAAGGATGTCTTAAAAGATTACCTCATGGCCAGTCTGTTGGAAGCGTTGCCAACGTAACAATCACAAGCGGCGGGTTGTTGCGCTACTTTCTCATCTCTATACCACCAACCTACCATGCAGAGGCTCCAACGCCTGCCATCTTGTCTTACCATGGTGGTGTCCGGACCGCCGAGGACCAACTACAATTAGATCAGATGACGAATCCGGAATTTAACACGAACTCGTTTGTAATTTATCCTCAAGGTGTCAATGTATGTATCTTGAATATGCAAAGTTGCAGTTGCTAGAGGCAATACCAACTAACAAACCAAGAACACATGGCAAGGCGTTCCAAACATCACCATAAACGATGTTCAATTCACCACAGATATCCTCAACCATGTCCAAAGCCAATATTGTATTGACTCTGCCCGTATCTTTGCAACTGGAAAGTCGGACGGCGCCGGGTTTTGCAATGTCTTGGCCTGCGACCCAGTAATGTCTCACCGCATAGCTGCGTTTGCCCCAGTTTCTGGCGCTTTCTACATCGATACGCTGCCTTGTGCACCCAACGATGTGCCCATCCCGTGTCACTCTAGCAGAAACAACATTCCATTTCTCGAGTTTCATGGTGGCAACGACTCGACGATCAAATATCAGGGCGGGGAGCGCAAGAAAGAATGTCTTCCATCGATTCCGCATTTCATTCAACAATGGGCTGTAAGAGACAGACTTGGCCTGCACAATGTCACAACGCAAATCTCGTCAAACACTGTGTCTTACAAATTTGGAACTGGAGTCAATTTTGGATTGGTGGAACATGTATACGATGCAGTTATCGGACACGATTGGCCTAGTACTGCACCAAATGCGGATAACCAAGTAGTTGGACATCATCTTGCAAGTTTCAACGCTACTCCGATCATTTTGGATTTCTTTAAACAACACCCTTTGAGCTTTTGGGATATTATTTCTGAAATATAAGGTAGCGGGGGGGAAAGACAATAGCATGATTGGTTTACATATGGAGAAAACATATAGTAGTATAATTTGTAGACAAAAAAAAATGCAACTGTTCTCCATCCATACCTTCTCTTCCCTTTTCTTTCTTTGCAAATCAAAGTATTTAATTTTCATCTTAAATCGCCTTTGTTTTCAACATAGAGTAACTGTAGACACTCAATCGGGAAGCGCACATTTGATAGGCCTGCAAGGGCTCAACCACAAATGCTACTTGCATCGAAAATCTGGGGTGCGTGACACTAACGGAATGCCAAGACGTCTCATCTGTCAAGCGTTAGTGTCAACACTACGGGCGTATTTACTGGAGTTGACCGAAATAACCGAATCTACCGAAACCCCTTGCTTGTCGGCTAAAAAGTCAGAACCGGCATATAATTGCCGGGTAAGCGTTTCCTCTATGAGCATCGGCTTGGATATATTCGATTCTTCTATTGCTATAGAAAAGTATATTAGAATTAGCGAGTTATTCGTAAGCCACACTTTATTCCCGTTTATTCCCTTTATTCCCTTATATTTCTGAAAAGATATTTAAGCATTCTAACTGTTTGCTTGTTCATGCATTCAATAACGTCGAGGAAGGTCGTGTCAACATGTCAGATTCGTTGCTCTCCCCAAGCACCACGCCAGATGGCTTAGAACCACGCTTTTCTCTCCCAAGCACGACTCCACGTTCTAGCAAAACTCCTCTAGTAATAGGTGGCGTGACAATCTATATCTATGGATTAGAGGAGATAAAAAATAAATCCGGAGTGGACGTGGGTGTGCTTTATCTAGCTCACAACCGAACAAGGACGTACTTGGTGACAGAGGGCATTGCGCATGAAATATTGCATAGGTATAGAAATGATGGAAGGAACAAAAAAATCGAGATGATTGCCGTCACCATGAATATGAGAAACCATGGAGATCGTGAAGTATGGACCATCCACTGATCTATCATCAAGACAGCAACTAACATGGTACACTTACTAGGTTAGTCGAGAAGCAAACTTGACTTGGTCAGGCGGCAATGAAAATCATGCGTAAGTCACAAACTCACCAAAAAGATAATTCTGGTTTCAATATTCCCTTTCCATTTCGTCGAATGAGGCTGAGACTTGTTGTTTGGCATATAGTATGGATTTGACATCTATGATATCCGGAGCGACCCAAGACTTCAAACTTGTTCTCGACTTTCTACCAGCCTACCTTCCACAATATACTCGATTTCACAACATCATGCTTGGTGTATCCCTGGGGGGCCATACGACCTGGCGTATGGCATTAGCCGCGCGTGACCAAATCGAGGCTTTCGGAATGGTTGTCGGTTGTCCAAATTTGACATCTCTCCTCCTCGAGCGCCTAGGCATTGACGCTGCAGTATTTGGCGTAAAGGGAGAAGAATTAGAAACAATTGATTACGATCAACTAGAAAAGGTTATGAACGAACAGCAGCGACGACGATGGCCGCGAGCACTGGCTGAACTGATCCGCGAGGACGATAAGAGGATACTTGAAGAATTTCCCGCCAATGTGCCACTGTTTATGTGTAATGGAGAGTACGACAAACTAGTTCCTTCACGGTATACTTCATCATGGCTAGAAAGAAGAAAAGCTATGCTGGATGGAGGTATGGCCTCGGAGGAAAGCAAAACCAGGCTATTTATACAAGAAAACACGGGGCACAGCTGTACCAAAGAAATGGTAGCGATGCTTGCCGACTGGCTGGGAGATTTATACAAACTGTAAAATTGGGCGCGGAATGGATGAGTCTTGTCTTTTTTTTTTTTTTTTTTTTTTTTTTTTTGTGGACTGTGAACGAGTTTACCCTCTATAGACGGTATAAGGAGAAAGTACTATTAGGAGGCGAAAGTTTGCTATCCTAGGCGACGCTGCAAACCATCCTTAATACCCTATTAGACATTATTTGAAGCTGCAATGCATTTATAACATTCTTTTCATGCATAATTCTGTTTATAACTGATATTCTGTACTAGTGCCTTGATGTTGACTAAAGGGTTGAAGCGACCAAAGGGCGTCGGCACCTGGAACAGGATTCGACGAAGTGGAAGCGACACACTTGTATTGCGCGGTTAAATCTTCGTATTCGAGCTAACCAAAAGACCATTAGGGAGTACCATCCGGAGATTTGGCCACTTGGTAATATACATCCGTTACCAGTTAAATGATCCCCAGCAACACACATCAAGAAACGAAACCAAATGAACATCATTATCATATATTGATTCAAATTTCTCTCCCTAAAATTCCTTCATTTCATACATTCTTTTGCCTCACCAAATACTAAAAGCAAACCTCTTTACTGTCCGTCAAGCACAAAGACAACGATTTACAAAATACCCGGAATAAGAATGCCGCCCAGCAGGCCGCCCTTGTTAAGACCACCCAACAGTCCAAGACCACCAGTAAGGCCTCCCAGACCTCCCTTCAAACCTCCCAAACCGCCAGTCAGGGCCCCCAGACCTCCAGCACATCCACCAGTGAGATTAGAAAGTCCAGAAGTCGCAGATCCCAGCCCAGAGGTTGCTCCTCCAGCAGTGCTTGTCGCAGTTCCCAGCAGAGCTCCCAAGACTGGGATGCCCTTAAGGATGCTGAGAAGGCCCGTTGACGAGCCGAGAGCGCCAGCAGCGGTGCTGTTAACGCCAGTTGTATCAGCTCCAGCCACGGGAGTCGCCGCATTAGAGCCGGCCGCAGTCAAAGCAGCAATCACACCGTCAAGGATGTCCAGAGCAGTGGAGTTGGCGGAAGTAGGAGTGACAGTAGGATCCGCAGCGTCAACAGGAGCAGTATCCGCAGCGTCAACAGGAGCAGTATCTGCAGCGTCAACAGGAGCAGTATCTACAGCGTCAACTGGAGCTGGATCATCTCTCTTGACATTACCGGCAGCGTCGCCGTGGAGCGCGGCCATGAAGGCGTCCATCATTTGCATCTCCTCCTGGCTCATTCCCAGCTCCTGTTGGTGCTTGGAGAGGACCTTGAGAACAGCCATCTGGCGCTCGCTGAACATGTCGGCCAGACGGATATTGGTGATTGAGGAGGCATCTGTGGACATGTCGGCCGCCTTACTGGAGTTCATGTTCATGTCTGCGGGGGCAGCGATTGCGCTGCCCGCGAGAAGAGAGACTGCGGTGGCGGCTGTGAATCTCATTCTGACGGCTCTATCTTGTGAGTTTTTCTTTTTTTTCTTTTTTTTCTTTTTTTTGTATAATGAGTAGACGTTATTGATTTGTTCGGTGTTTGGCTGCTGTTAATGTCTGTATGAGCGTCGCATGCAGACTGCTGTATTTATATCCATATCCGCCATGAATATAACTTCCAGCATTTGCCAATTACTCTTCTTTTGATAAAAGGAATGGCGATCTCAACTCTGCCTTGATTCCTACGATCCTTGAGTTGTTGGATCGACAAATACATATTCAACGCAAGAATGAGCATGTCTGTTGATCAAATCGGTCGGAATGTAAGATAACGAGCCGAGCAACCGAGCTTCTCTTCAATATTGAGACAATATGAAGCGTCATACCAAGTCAAAACGAAAAGTCTCACATACAAAGGGGTTGGCATTCATCAGCGTAATGTCTAATATTGTGAGCGAAATACGACATTGTATTTATCGTCCAAGACATCCTTAGTCATTCTTCTTTCATGGCCTTCCCACCATGAAATTTGTGCACCTTCTTGGACATATGTGGGTAACTCAATATATTTTACCTATCACAGCCGAATTCTTGCCAGAAAAATACAGCATTATAATAACAGCGGCCATTCTCGCTTGATCGCCTCACATAGACAAGCTATGCTCTTATATGTGTGTTAGTCGATAGCTTCAGCCGTCTTTGTTCTATGATTGAATCTAGACTATCTAGTTCAGGTCAAACGTTGCAGTATCACTCCTTCAGAAATATCATCATCCGTGCCCATATGATCCTTAAAGTAATATATGACACATTGTCATCGCATTTCCCCCATTTCAACACTCCATCTATATGCATCCAAATGACCTGGAAACTTAAACAATATATGAATGCTCCCCGAGTATGTACATATGGACATGATATACATATATCGATTTTGATAATCTCAAGCATAATTGCGCCATTTCAAGTATATATCTGTCTCAGCCAAATCGAATCCCCGAATTGGCGTTCCATGTTCCTTCTTGGCCTTGAGGTCCTCCGGGCGGCGGCCCTCCAAATTTAATTCCCATGGATGGGTTCCACGTTCCAGGCATTGGACTCGACTGCTGCCCGGGTTGTGGCTGCATCTGTGGCTGTTGCATTGCTCCTCCAGCCCAAGATTGAATCGATGCTTCCGCGGGACTCTGGACTGCCGGTCTAGAAAATGAGGTCTGTTGCTGCGGTTGTAGCGGTTGTTGATACTGTTGATGCGGTGGTGGCTGTTGTTGCTGGTATGCCTGCCGATACGACTGTTGGAATTGAGGTTGTTGCTGCTGCTGTGGGGCAAACTGATGGTTGTGGCCGATAGGCGGTGATATGTATCCTGGTGAAGGATTGCGAATAGGCTGCTGGTTATTTTGAATGTTGAGATTTGACAGAGTCGGCATATTGAGTTCCCTATACCATCTTCATTAGCCCGCAATCAATCAATCATATGACACTTCCAGATGTTTACTCACTCTTCCAGGTTCCTTGCCTCTATCCGTCGCTCGGATACCCACGCTTTGATAGGATCCCGAAAACCATTGGCAACGATCCTATTGAGATCATTATAGAATTTTCTTCCTACTTCCAAGTTGTTGCCAATTTCCTTGTACTTGAAGTACGCGCCGTTCAATTCCTGCAACACGTGCTCGCGCTCACGATGGCCTTTTCCGTCAACGAGACGCTTCTGCGATTCGAATTCTCTGTTGGAGCGCTGAAGCAAAAGCAGAAGGTTCTCTTGGTCTTGCGCTTCCTTTTCAATAGCTTCAATCTCAGGCTCATAGAGCTTGTCTAGTCGCTTTTCAAAAAACTCTTCAAAATGAACCGTCTGCAAGGGCGTCGTAGTATATGTGCGTTCAAGACGAGCTGCTTCTTTGAGAATATCAGGTTTAATGTCGTCGCGCCGGACTGCCTCCCGTAAAGTCTCCACCTTTCTTCTCCTCTTGCTTTCCATTCGGAGGATATCATTATAAACACTTCGTACACGCCCAACTGAAGCTTTCAGATCGCTTGAAGTTTCAATAGGCGTGCTTGTGGGTACGTAGTTCATCAGAGATTGATTTGAACCGGACAAAATCTCTAGCATCTCTTTATTTGCGACGAATTTCTCGCGCACGGCGTCGTCGCTGCTTGCGCTGTTTTGAAAGTAGCCTCCAATTTCAGTAATCGCAGCCCAAAACTTTGAGCCTGTGGGATCAGCTTGGCTCTCGGGTCTCAGCCATCTACTAGTTCCGTATTTCCTGCGTAACTCGTCATCCTGCTCTTTTTCTGCTGCTAGCGCTGCTTTTCCCTCCTCATATATCGCCCAGTCATTAGATCGCAGCTTATCAATGTCAATTAAGCTTCTCTGAATCTTGTTAATCGCATCAGACTGTCGAATTTCCTCTGCGTGCTGAATTAGGCTCGGTGGAAGGCCAAGGGGTTTTTCCAATGCCATTAAGGATCCAGGTAAGCCAATGGTACTGAGCAGTGTATGGATTTTCTCTGTTAGAGTCTCTAGCTCCTGTATAATGTTTTGGTTTACCATTCGGTCTCTGCGTTCCTCGTAGATCGATATAGCAACGTGAACCGAAAACGGGACCAGCTTCGAGAAAAGTGCTGGTCCAAGCTCGCCATGGTCACTTAGGTAGTCGAGAGGATTGGCTACCTGCGGGGGCGTTCTGGCAGTAGCCATATTTGCCCTTTCCAGGATCTTCAACTCGGCTTTTGGAGGTACAGGGTCTTTATATGTGTTAGCAGCGATATCCAAAGCCAAATGAGAAATAACGTACTAAGAAAGATCAAGTCATTGTCCTTTTCAGCTCTCTTCAAATCTTCTTCTAGCTTGCGTTTTAATGCCTGCAGGTCCTCCAGGACTGTCTTGTTTAGAGACGCAACTCGGCCTTCCTTGATACCGTCATTCGCGCAAATGACAGCGTCCTTTAGCCGAGCAATCTCTTCTCCGTATTTTCTCTTTTCTAGACAATCGCACGCAGCGCGATACTGTGCAGCTGCGGCGAAATGGTGATGCTTTGCGTTCATGTGATGAATCCAGGGGCTGCTAATGGCCTCGCTGCTAACCGCGGCATCCGCAGCCAAGTTGTACAGATCAGAGACTCTTGCCGCCAGCTTCGCAATTGAGGCGTCCTTGTAGCCGTCCATCACAGCCTTCTGCCAGAAGCACTCTTGGCTTTGCGCCAGAAAGAGCTGTACAAGGGATTCGAGCGTATTGTTGTCCATGTCGTCGGGCGGGTTCGACATACGCAGCTCGGGAAGCACGGATTTCTGGACATGCGACAGCACGCCTGCGGCAAGAGAGAAGTAGTTTGCCGCTGACTTTAGACCCTCGGTGTCTCCTCGAGGCGTATTGAGGGCAAGCTGGGAATAAAGCGCGGCAAGGTTGTAGAGAATGTTCATGAGCTCGTATTTGAGGTTGTTGCGCGCCATCGGTCGCTCGGTGTGGTAGCCAAGAGCGGGATACCAGGTGAACTCGGCACCAATCTAAACAATCCAAGTAGTCAGCATCCATGGCACAGTATAGAATCTTCCCCCTCGTTTTTGTATCTTTTGATGCTATGCTTCACAAAAAAACAATTCGTAAGGCGATATTTACGCACATCGATTGGAAACTTGCCGCCTATCCACACGAGCTGTCCCGCATACACCTGGAGCTTCTTGATGCCGCTCAGATGCGGCTCTCGCACATTGGTGGCGTCTCGTCGCAGCGCGTCAATCATCTCCAGATCGTGCTGGAACATGTCTGGGTGCTGGTCATATTTGGTGTTTATGTACTGTCGAATCGTCGTCGACAGAGAGAGTTGCAGAGACCGGCGGAACGGTATGCTCAGGATATTGCTGGAAGGCCTGCGTTGCAAAAAGCTGTCAGTACAACGCTCGAAGCAGAGAATAGAGAATAGAGAATCGGAATTCCATACGTAGACATGGTGGGCGCCGGGCCGCTGTCGAGAAGACAGGCTATTCGAGGACTGCGAATAACGAATGTTGGGGAAAGGAAGCGCCAGCAGCTATCATGACATAATAAAGCCCGAGTGTTTGATCTTTTCGCCTTGCTCTGCTGGTTGGCGGGGCATTTGCCGGCTGTCCATAGAGGGGCGGATGACTCAGCAATGCCATTCTCGACGGCTACAAGAGTTGATACATGTACCCTGCACTTATTAGACACTGAAGATACGACACGCCATCCAAGTTGATAAAGGATACATAGTCACGAGCAAGGCCAGAATTGTTGAATGCGTAGTGTTTCATTGTCTATGTTTCTCCATTTATCAGGAGTATTTGGGTCTATAATCTTGCCGGTCTGCCTCGTTCCGGTCACGCAGTAGCCTCCCCAAAGCCATCTTGCATCATATAAGTCAAAGCGATGCGGCGCTGCACTAGGCCGACATCACCAAAGCCAACAAAATCTACATGACATACATCCCAAACCCATGCTCCAAGATGAAGAAAAAAAAAAGAGGAAAGTAAAAGAAGTAAAAAACAAAGAAGTTGAAGCAAACAAAGTCGGTTCAAAGAGAAACGCAGCTTCTTCCGAGACGACCACTTAGACAGAGAAACCTCCAAGTAGTTACCAAATAAAGCCAGGGTGTTTGCTCTGTGTCCCGTGACTAGGTCCTGTTTCCCGATTCTATTACACGAGATACAAGTAGGTGATGATATCCAGCCCATTTCCGGAACGCCAGCCCTCGGGGAAATAAAAGAAAGAAAAAAAAAAGAAAAAAAAAAGAAAGACGAGCTTTCAAATTGTCGCGTTTCAGAGCGTTTCACATTTCACTGATTGGCTTTGAAACGGTCATTTTTCTTCGTCGACTGTCCTCATTTTGCTGGGCCACGGTGGCCCTCTGTCGAGAAAAGAAAGTAGCTGTACAGTCACGCTGTACTAGCCGGTAGCACAGCTAACCAGAGTGCAAATGGTGACACTTGGAGGAGAATAAACAGACACCGTCTCCAGTCTGTTCCACGTTACCCTTCTCTCCAGACATGAGGAATAATTTAAGGTAGTGCCGATCGCGGGGCGTACAAATGTTGTATTGAGCCAGGATTTGCTTCTTATGATGGGATCCAAACAAGCTCGATGACACCGTCAATATTGCTCATCGGCTGTTTGTCGGCGTGGATCCATCTTTCGTCATCCCTTTTGCGCGTGTATGTTTGTAGGACAGAACCATCCGATTGGACTTCTGATTCTTGGAGCTCCCAAGAGATCTTGCGGCCCGTCTTCAGG